CCTCTCCCCTCGACTTCACTGCTCGTTACTTCGGTATGGTTGAGGCCTTCACCGAGCACATTCGCAAGCACCGCCCCCACACCACCTGGGTCGGATTCAGCGACGACGACACCTTCTTCCTTTCCCTCCCCACTATCGCCGAGGAGCTCAAGCTCTTTGACGAGAAGAAGAAGCACTACATTGGATCTTTGTCTGAGGCCAGCTGGCAGGTGGATACCTTCGGCCACATCGCTTTCGGTGGTGCCGGTGTGTTCGTTTCGAAGCCCCTCCTGGATGTCTTGATGAAGCACTACGACGAGTGCCAGTCCTGGGGCGAGCAGCCTGGTGATCAGAAGCTCGGCCAGTGTATCCAGCGCTTTGGCGACACTCCCCTGACTCTGTGGCCTTCGCTCTACCAGATGGATATGGCTGACCCTGTGGACGGTGTCTACGAGTCTGGCCGCAAGATCGAATCCATGCACCACTGGAACAGTTGGTACAGCAAGGATGTGGTCAAGATGACCACTGTCTCCGCTGCCGCCGGTCGCAAGTCTGTTCTGCGCCGCTGGGTCTTTGATCAGGAAGAGACCGTCAACAGCGCCACTGGAGAGACCCTCCGTCACTTCTGGGTTATGACCAACGGTTACTCCCTGGTGAAATACACCTACGATGAGCATGTGGCTGATGACGCCATCAACTTCGATGCCACCGAGAAGACATGGCCCGAGGACCCCCGTGGCTACGAAGACCGTCTCGGTCCTCTCCGTCCTGCGGAGGAAGATGGCATCGCCAAGGACCGCTGGTTGCTGCGCGACGCTTTCGTCGTCGGCGACAATGTACACCAGTTCTACGTGCGCGAGGAAGATGAGGGCCACAGCGTGATTGAGATCGTCTGGCTCGGTCCTAAGGGCGGCGGTGGTGGTGGTGTGAGCGATCATTACCTTCGCGGCACTTTCCAGCAATAAACAAATTGCTTCACCACTTAAGGCTGGTCCTTGGGACTGTTCCTCGTACTTTTTCACTTCGTTGCACATGATTCGGCCTCTTTTCTATTTCTTATCTTTCTTTTTTTTTTTCTCCTCGGATATCACCCATCTTCCTTTCTGTCCCGACCTCACGACATCAGCCCCATACCATTTACAAATTCGCCAAACGCAAGGGCTCTCACTTCTCCCCGGATGAGACTCGTCTTGGCTTCTCCGTGTCTGATTCTTTTATCCGGCGTTGCATTGACGGAGTCCAGTGCTACGCTGGAATCTGGCTAACTCGCGTGCTTCTATATCCTGACGGTGTACTCTATCTCTGAAATGTTCTGTGGCTTTGACCTCCCACTCTCTTACTTTTATTTTTTTTTTCTGGACCCCAGAACCCTGGCTGAAATCTGCCACTCTCGATCAGCGTGGCTTTTTTGCTATCATCTGTCTTTCCCTTCTTTCCCGGTCTTCTCCGCGCGCTTCAGGGAGAAGCCACTCCGTCCTCCTTGCATATTTCTGTAAAAATAGACTTGACCGCAGACCCCGCTCTGCGGTCTCCGTTGGTGATTAGCGTTGAACCTTTTGTTCATGATGCGAAGAATATGATCAGTTTCCCTCCTTTCACTATCGTCTCTTTCCCCTGCACGGGCGTGCTATGCAAAAGCTTGAGGCAGAGCTGGACTCTGCTGTTTCGGGCCTAGGGCCCCTCGGATCGGCCCGCACGTTTCTCGGCTTCGGTTGCTTGTTCGTGCTGGTGCATTGAACTACACGAGCTGCAAACGGTCGGAGCCTTCGGGGCTCCCGGGGTGGATATGGATGTTTGGTGCCCAGGTGGACCCGTCGCGTTCAGAAATCGCTATCTCGTGCTGCGTGCACTATCGACATTTGTTCAGATTCTGGGTGTAACACTTCAAGCATGATTTGCCACGCAAGAGTATCCATTCCCTAGGATCATTGTATCATTAGGTATGATTTATGTATTCCGTAAGGGGTCCTCATCTGGAATCTAGTAGCCAACGGGTGTACGGAGTACAAACTCCATAGCAACCCCACAGCTTACCGTGCATATATTGGGCAAGACTGAGTACACTCCGTACTGCTCACCCGTGCATGTGGACTTGCAGCCGCATTACGTGATTTAGGTGAGGCACCTGGGCAGGTGCCTAGGTGGGCAACCTGGGATGGGTTTCGAGGTCGAAGTACGGAGAACCGCGTGCTGAATTGCAATATGCACGGTTGGAGTGAGTGACACGGGCAACCTTGGAACTATCTAGAAATAGTACTGTTACTATATATATCTAATTCAAGGCAATTGGGCTAGAGGCTGTGTGGGAATTTGCATGGAATGAGATAGTCGAGGCCGTGTTACCACTGTGCAACCATGCTCAACTCGTAAGTATACCAATGTACTCCGTACTATACAGATCTCCGTACCAAGGAGTGAGTAAACCTACCAGTACTTCGTACCTGTGGCTCCAGCCTTTCCACGGTTCAAGGTTGCCTCCAAGCGCTGAGACCCATGGTTGGCTGTGAACGGCCTTGGCAACGGCCAATCATATCAGGGCTAGGATCCGCCACCTGGAATGGCTGTGTATTTCACGGAATTCGGGGTCCTTTTGTGTGTATTTTTCGGGGGAAACTCGAGATGCGATGCAATTGGGAACGCTGAATAAAAATAATCCAGAGGGTCCTCGCAGAGTCCATCAGGAGCTCCATCCCTCGCCATCGACAACAAAGAGCCTAAAGCCCAGACCGGAGGGGAAAGTGGAGTCTACCGGAGAACAGCACCAATCATCACGCAAGCCAAGAGCCATGGACCGATCCCGTGACCTACCGCCTGCCTTTCGCTGAGGGTCGCACCTTCCCCCCCCCCCAAATTCCCCCAAACCCATCCTTTCTTACACGTCCTAACCGAGTTTAGATCCTCCCCTCTGTACTTCCCCTTTCGGCAACCTTCAACTTCACCACTTTCGGTCTCTTTTAACTGGATTTTCCTGCTTCATCATGTCTGCGGTCGATGAAAAGCTGTCTCCTGGTCACGATGACCTGCCCGGTAATGACGGCCGGGGCACCAAGCGAAACCGCATGAGTGCCGACGACGAGGACGACGATGATGACAAGCCTGGCCGTGAGCGCCGCAAGATCGAGATCAAGTTCATTCAGGATAAGTCGCGTCGTCACATCACCTTCTCTAAGCGTAAGGCTGGTATTATGAAGAAGGTAACGCGTCTCCCTCCTCTCCCAGGGACCCGAGGTACTAATAATTTGGCATAGGCCTACGAGCTGTCCGTCCTCACCGGAACCCAGGTCCTCCTCCTGGTGGTCTCCGAAACCGGTCTCGTCTACACCTTCACCACCCCCAAGCTCCAGCCACTGGTGACCAAGGCCGAGGGCAAGAACCTCATCCAGGTAAGCGATTCCTCCAATGCGTGGAATGTTTGTCATTTGTTTTTGTTCCGGTCGCTAACCACCACCAGGCCTGTCTCAACGCCCCTGACCCCACTGCCAACGAGAACGGCGATGTCGCTCCCGATGTCGCGCCCGAGGCCCCCGAGGACGTGGCTCACAATGTCAACGCGCCCCAGGCCAACATGCGCCCCGGCCTGCACCCAGGCTACATGACCAATGAGCAGCAGCAGCAGATGGCCTACTACCAGAACCTGCAGCAGCAGCAACAGCAGGGCGGCCAGTACCCCATGCCCGTCAGCGGTCGCATGCCACCCCAGCACCAACCCACCGCTTAATCTTATGATCTGATCTGAGGGGGGAATAACCCCCCCACGGTCCTGGATGCTGTGTCTTCTTCTGCGTTTCCTCCCTGCGCCTTCGCTCTCTTCGCGTTCATTTGATACCCGTCTTCCTCTCTGCCGATCCATCCCACTCTTCCCGTGGTCGCGCTGTATCTACATGCGCTGTTTTCTCCCCAGGGCTCTCTTTTGAAACCATTTGTATATTGTCAAGCTATTCTGGTTCTATTCTAGCTTCTCTTTGACGATGGTGGATCGGGTCCCCACCCTCGATATTGTTCTTGGGATCTCTGGGATCCTGCTGTGATTCCCATGGCTTCCAAGTCACAACTGAATTATCCCCCCAAAACCGACAAAAAAAAAACTAACCTCTAAGAAAAGAGAAAGAGCGCAAGCAACTCTGGGCTTCATCGTTAATCCCGTTGTTTATTTTCCCCCCTCTACCTAGACACTGGCGGAGGATGGTGGTGTTCGTGGTGCATTGAATTTGCTGGCGAAGTGGCTTTTATTTTTGTTTTATTTTATTTTTTTCTTAAATGTTTGCTAGGCCCTTGTGTTACTCTACTCATTGTCTAATCTCAACTGCTTTTTCTGTTGATTCCATGTCCCGGTCGGATTGCCTTCTGGGCCGAATATTTTGTATGGTATGAATAAATCGGATCTGAGTTTCCTTCAGGTGTACTCTATACCTAAGTCTTCCAAGATTAGTCCAGCCAAAGTGATATACATTCACCTGGGCAGTGGGAAATATACGTTCCACCGTCAGCAACAGACAGTTTCATATGCAGCCAGCCCAAGCTAAACGAGCAAACACTTCCCTTGGCATCCTGGGCGAATCGATCTGCTGACCTGCATACGAGTATCCAGTCAGGGTCAAGGACCTAAGATTAGAAAGTAAGCCGCAGCTGGGTAGATCCCGGAGTCCGGATCGTGTTAACTAGTACCTAGATCTGATGCAATCTGAAGCATCTCGGTCATAAGTGCGCGTTGGAATCGGCATCTGATATGTATTTCTGAGGAGCTATATATTTGAGAATTTGTGGTATCATAGTATCTTCAGTTGACAGGGTGAAAGGAAAAGCGTTGAGCATTGGAGCCAAAAGGGTCCACGGGTGGTACTCGGTATACTCGAGTGTTACTGTACAGGGGAGCAAGAGAGTAAGGAGCAAGATCGGTGGAAAGACTGATGATGAGAATTGAGGCGTAAGAGGTCACGAGGGAGAGGTTGACCTTGGACACGGGTGAATGGGGGTATCGTGAAATGGAACCAGGAAATGGTGAAAGACTCAGAGAAGTCAAGCTAGGAAGGTCTCGGAAGCAGAGAGGAAGAAGGATCGTCTGCGTCGGCATCAGCCTCACTGCCCGCCTGCGGGCTGCTTCGGAATAGGAAGCGTCTTCCAGACGTCCAGGCACCTGCCAAAGCCCTTCTTGAGCCAGCAAGAAGACCAGGCATAGTGCTGGAGGATTGATGGGCGATACATTCGCTATCTGGGATTTCGCCGCCGTTTTCTGGAATTGTTCCATATCCGCCGACTTCGCGGTTGGACGGGATCCAAGTGCCTGTGCTTCGTCGCTTGCGATGACCGATCGATGTCCCTCCCCATGGCGCTGATATACGGGTTCGTTGGTTCTGCCGAGACGTCCATCGATCTTGGGTGCCGGCGCTGATTGTCGAGTGTCGCGCCAGCCCTCGTGAAGGGTTGCTTGGAGCCTCGCCGCCACTGTTACTGCGTGGCCGATCTGCGTAAGGTCGTTTCTGCCCATGATCAGATTCATAATCCGAGTCGTCGAGATCGGCCCAGATGGAGGCGGGGTTGAGGTCGGCAGAGTCGCGATGGTCGAAGTGTAGGTTGAGTGGCAAGCTTGGAGCTCGCCCACGCTGGTATAGAAGGTTTCGAGTGTTAAGGTTGGAGTTTATGAGCGGTTCGCGTTCTCCAATGTTGGATTCATCGGCTGGCCCGTCAAGCCACCCGGGTGATGTTGGGGTGTGCTCTTCCATGACTGCCATTCCTGGTCCGAGGCCGGTCTGTGTAGGCCCCACTGTTGTGACAGCGGCGTGGTTGTCGATATCCTCCAGTCGCCAAGACAGACATAGAACACCGGCTAGGAGAATGATGGTGCCCAAGGCGATGAGACCGGCGTGGAAACCTGCCAACTGCGACACTTGTCGGAAGTAGATCAAGCCATCCATTATCGCGATGATGTTGTAGATGCAGAAAACGAAGGGATATAGAACACTTGTGCTGCACAATTTCAACCCCCGGTGTAGGTAGAACAGCTGTGTCAGCGCCAAAAAGATCATTCCTAAGAGAATCACCCATGACTGCCAACGGTTGAATTGGTTCACACCGTCCACGATTGTCCGAACCAGCAGTTCCACTGCTGATTTCGCTAACAGTAAAGAATGAGCCGACAGTATACCACTCACGAATCCATAGCTCATTCCCCTCAGCAGTCTCATTCTACTTTGATGCCGCAGCAAATGCGGCGTAAAATGCCCGGACGCCGACGGTTTCGCGCGATATGAGGGCACGAGATGTTTCAGCAATTTCATGCCTACTAGTATGATAACAACCAGCAAAGTTGTCGCTCCCATCCATAGAAGGAACGGCCGTCGCTGCAACAGCCCGAGAAGCTGGTCTAGGGTGTGTGCCGGTTCTCCGATGGCGCCAAACGTGGCAATCAGCAGTGCGCCGATGCAAACAAGAACGGTTCCCGCGAGCGAGTATCGAGTAAAGGGTTCACCGAGTATTAATGTAGCGAATATCGTATTAAACACCAGTCCGGACTATGGGGAGTATCAGCAGGGCGGTTCCGTGAGCGACACAACGACAACTGACCGCTTGAAGCGTCGAAAGAACCGGGAGAGGGAGCGTCGTGATTTGAATAGTGCTTCCCACGATATTGGAGATCACAAACATGCCCATTCCTAGTTGCCATCGTCGGCGCTTATAAGGGGGTCTGCGGAGATCGTATGGGTGCTTCTCGTCTTCGAGGAGATGCGACTTGCGCTGGAGCGTGAGCCCGATTGCTTGTAGACTTGTTGAGATCAATCCGACGACCACACCAACCTGGCTACGTTAGTTCTGGGCCTTGGTCTAACGCTGGAGGTTGTTCTGGGATATTCACCGCCACGCTACCCTCTGGCGACAAGTCACCTAGATTGCCCATGTTCGCGAATTGTGCATTGGCTGAGGGGGGTTTGTATGAGGTGCGCCAATTCGGGAATACTACCGGAATCGAAAGGCCATGACTTGAGATCGGATTATGCGCAGGAGTTCAGAGAGGGACGCATCCAGAGAGTATTCAGCAGTTGACAGAGGGTACAAAGAAAGACAAGCTCGACGTTGAGGGTATCAAGGGACATCACACGGGAGGTCTGGATGCGGTACCGCCAAGGCAACGCAATCCCGAGCTTAGTTGGACACAACACCTTTACAACCCCCCACGTCATTCCCCATCACTGTACAGCAGTCGATATCCGCCAATATGTCACAAAGCCATGCTCTTTCAGATGATCAGGTATGGAAAGGGTTCTAGATTTGCCATAGCTTCCGGAGACTGACATCCACAGGTCGCGGGCGAGCTCCGCAAGATGACCGCGTTCATCCGACAAGAAGCCCTGGAGAAGGCCCGCGAGATCCAGCTCAAGGCCGACGAGGAATTCGCGATCGAGAAGTCCAAGCTGGTGCGCCAGGAGACCGCCGCCATCGACACCCTTTACGAGAAGAAGTTCAAGCAGGCCTCCATGTCCCAGCAGATCACCCGCTCCACACTCGCCAACAAGACCCGGCTCCGTGTTCTCGGAGGCCGCCAGGAGCTCTTGGATGAGATCTTCCAGAACGCTCGTGAGAAGCTGTCCAAGGTCGCTGCCAACGACAAGAAGAAGTACCAGGCTACGCTCAAGGGGCTGGTCCTCGAGGGCCTGTATTATCTAAATGAAGACAAGGTCGCTGTTCGCTCACGCAAGGCGGACGTTGATACCGTCAAGAAGGCCATCGAGGAGGCGACCAAGGAGTACAAGGAGAACGTTGGCTCCGAGGTCACCGTGACCGTGGACGAGTCGGAGCCGCTGCCGGAGGGATCGTAAGTTCATCACATTACCTTGTCTACCAGATCCGATCTAACAAGTTGCAGTGCTGGCGGTGTGGTCATCATCGGCGGAGAAGGCAAGATCACAATCAATAACAGCTTCGAGGAACGCCTGCGGCTATTGGAGATCGATGCTCTGCCCGCCGTCCGAGAAACCCTCTTCGGCAAGAACCCCAACCGGAGATTCTACGATTAAGTCTTGGGTCTTATTCTATCTTGGGTTTACGTTCGCGAATGCTGTATTGCGTGTGTTATAGTTCGGGTGATATCTGCTCCTCTCGACCACTTCCATAGACAGAGGGGGTTTCTTTGCACAGTTCTGAACTGATCTGGAATATGATCAAGTCTTTTAGCGGCCGTTTTATTGCGCATCTTTAACGACACTCGTAGGTTTTAATGTATCTTAACAGCGATGGCATTTTGCCTGGGCGCATAGTCATTAAGGTCGTAACATAAAGTCTAGATATCAGATGGACACCTGAAGATATCTAACGAATGGGCAGACCCGTGTCTCCATCAGCCCTCGCAGTATACTTACTCAACATACTCCGGATGTCCATATTGTCATTGGCGTGTGACTCAAACAGTGTCTTTTTCCCAGGTGGTTTGGACCGAGTCGAGTAGAGGATCCGATAGTGCAAAGCCTCCAAGTCACCTTTCGCCAGCGTCAGGGTCATATGGGAAGCGCCAGAAACCTGGATAGAGCAATAAATCGTCTTCAGCTGACTTGCTAACTTGTCGATCTCGGCATTGAAATCTTCCTCGGTGCGAGTCTCTCTGTAATTGATTTCCAATACTGAAGCATCGATCGCAACGCTGAGAAGAGAGGTGAGGGCAATAAGCTCTCTCCAGTCGTAATCAGCTTTCCCTTGGAAACGTTTCACCTGGAAGCGCCTGTTGTTGGCCAATAATTCTGTGATGCGGTTCAGATCAAGCAATGTTTCAGTTGGTTCGTCCAGGGGTTTTGAGCTCTCCAGTAAAAACGAGAAAGCCAGTCGGCAACGCAGCTGTGCAAGCCAAGGAGATGAGGGTAAAATATGCCCGGTAACCCGACTTTGGATGCAGACGTCATCAACTGTTTCGAAGAACGCAGAGCAGACTCGGTGTAACTAGTATTGTCAGCTCTGGTTGCACTTCACGAGTTGAGCAACATACCATGGCTTTATGATCAGTTTCCGTGGCGCCATTGGGGTCGAAGACAGAATCAAGGGTCCATTGGAGCTCAGAGGATACTGTGGGGTCGGCTGTCAAGGAACTATCAACTGCCAACCGCAGTAGAAGGAATATGACGTGCTCCCTGGTGTCCTCCGCCAGGCTGCAATTCAAGTTAGTGTTGGGGTAGCATGCGGAGGAGTAGTTGACCCACGAGTATGTGATCTCTCGCAACATTTTGAGAACGGAAATAAACGGAACATGGTCCCTCGACTTTGGAACCGCAGTAATCTCTGAACGTGTCGGTCAGAATTTGCGCAATCACGAGAACACATGCACCATGATCAGGTCTTACCATGATGGCTCATGGGAGCTATTTTGTGTGACGGGTCCAGGGCTTCCTTTCTGGCTCCCAGTCGTTCAAATAGTTCATCAACGTCAGCTCGGCCAATCAGCGATTTCATGCGCTGTGAGTCTATGGACTGGTTTTCCCTGTTAGCCAGTCTCTAAGCAGTTCTGCTGGGACGATTCTCACGAACCTTCATAATCCGACAATATGCTGAACTCAACTCATCTCGTTGTTCATGAGGGACTATGGTAGTGATGTTAGTTTGCGGAGTAGGATGTAAGGTGATTTACAGGCAACGAACTGGAATGGAACATCCACGGCACAACATCATCCGACAATATTCCCTTTGACAGGGCTATTGAAATGAATTCACCGGACATGAATAGACGTTCACGGGCTCCGCGGTCTGCATGGGGTTTAGTACCAAGGACCGAAGTATGACGTCGCGCAGAACATACCGCTCAGTATTTCCATCTTAGCTCCAGGTGCACAGATATGTTGTGGGAATTGAGGAGGTGGAATTCGCTTTCGTGCATCATCAAAGAAAAGCCAATTTCGATCATAATCCAGAGCGTTGGTTCTCCTGATAGCACCCAGCACACGGCTAGGTTCAGGTCCATCTTCCTTCTGGCCAAGCGCTGTGACCAGCAAGCTCTCATTCAGCCTGTTCCCAAGGGGCGCAGGCCCCTTCGATGGCTTCTGAGTGAGGTTACTTTTGTATTTCTTAACGGCTGCTTCGACCTCATTATCATCCACTGCGTCGTGGACAAGTGAGTCGAGGTTGTGCTTCCATTTCTTGGGCGATGTGACTGGTTTGAGCCGAGCAGGAGAGGAAGTACCCTTATCTTTCGATATCCGAGCAAACAAAGTCCCCGGACCATCTAAGGAGCTGTCCGAATCAGTGTCTTCGCCATCGGAGCTGATGACGGTCTGTTTGCCATTCTTGATGATGCGCTGAGATGCGCTGATGCCTTCCGAATCGATACTTTGGAAACTTTCGGTGAAAGACGGCTTCGAGGCACTTTCCTGGGTCGATAGCTGCAGTGCTGCTTTGAGCTGGGCGTCGGCCTCTTGTTCAGATGCAGGTAATAAATCATCAAACACAAAGGACGAGCGCGGTGTGCTGAGTGGCGAAGATTCTGCTGGAGCGGGCCCTGGGTTTTCTGGTATATCAGGGGCACCCTGCGTAAATGAGGGTTTCTTGAACCATCTTGAAAGCGACATGATGAGCGATGAAGAAGACAATGAGCTCGCTCTCGCGTCACAAACGCGCTGGCACCGGCGCGATGTCACATGACTGGCAGAATTTCTTTGTCTTCAACTCATCAGATCAAAGTGATTAAACTATTCCTTTTCTTTTCTTTTCTTCCAGATGGGCAAGTACATTTGGCCACTCGGGGACTATTATCTGGAATAAAGCAGTGTTCTGTATGAGGCTATGCAGTGGCAGGACATTTACGGTGATGTAGTAGTACTATAGTATGGATGTATATATTTAGCGATGCTCCAGCTAGGCCCCCAATTTCTCAACGTACTTTGTACGGCCTCGGGCGTCTTCTCTTTACAGCATCTCCATACATACTAGTCCGTAGGTACATTCATCGGATGTTTGATCGACATCGAATGAAACCTAGACATCTCGGCTGTGTATGTATGGGCATCAGGGGTAGAACACCTGGGCACTCGTTAAGTTTGGCCTATGATGCGCTATTCATATCAGAGAGGGTCCACTATGGTTCATGGGCGATCGGCTTACGACACCCTGTCATACTGCTTTTCCCAGAATTGAACCGAGTATGTACTAGTAGAATCCTCCGAACGGCGTTTTGTATACATAAAATTGTGTCTCACAATAACTCCCTTGCGTCGATTTCCCCTTTCAGCCTCGATAGCAACGCAGTCAGATTCTGTTGTACCACGTAGGGCCGGAAAGGGGCACACGAGCCGTGAATTATACGAGTATAATGATCATCCTGGGTCCGCTTAAGAGGGCGCAGGGCTTTTTAATTGCCGTGCCAAGATGCCCAGGGGAACGGAGTCGAGAATCTACGTCGCGTAGAGAATACGGGGCTTGAGAGGCTGGATAATAAATATGTATGCCTGTTGATATCCTTGAATTGTGCATGGGAAATGAAGCAGTACCACACGGAGCACGGAGTCCGGAGTACATTAGATATAAATTTGCGGTAGATCATCACATTCCGAAAAGGGAACAGGCTGGCTTAGGTCGGGACGCTCGTGCCGTGTCAGTTTCAGGTTTGATGCTCCGACTCCGAGTACTTGTTACTTGCAGTCTTGGTGGTCTCCATAGTCTTCTACGCAGTCTAGTGATGTATATCAGTCCTATGACTGTAAACTGCACTATCACTACAGACACGCAGCCCAGTGAAACTGTCGTAAGGCGTATACAGCATCAAGGGTGGGGGCTGGAAACGATAGCTGTGGGCCAATGAGCCACTTCTCCAGAATCTGCACGACGGATGCTGCGGATACAGGTTTTCCATACGGATTCGGTACTCGTAGTATCCGATGGAATTAATGTGCGCCGAAGTCCTGAGATCCAGGGAATCACTAACTCCGACTTGCCACTGTCAGAAATTTAGGACCGTTAGGAACCGGACTTTACAGGAGTTAGTGCCCTTAAGAAGTAAGAGATCTGGTATCCGTAACGGAGTTACGGATCTGTGAACGCGTGTAAAATTCTAAGTCGGGGGGCCGGGCCAAATGACAAAGCAAGTAAGGTAAGCGCGGTACCATACACTATACGAGGGTAAGCTGGCCACCTCATCCCGGAGACCTCTCTTTCTACCAACTTTCTTCGGAAAATCCGCCTCACTCTCGATTCTCTTCTGCTTCAGTTAATGGCCCCGAGTGGGTGCGCCTGTTGATCTGCCCTTCGTTTTGCAATTCTACATCCGTCGGCGCCCCGAAACCCTTGTGTTCCACCCTAGCCACCTTGAACCGCCCTGCGTACACGCGCTGTGATACATTCCTGGAATCGAATTTGCGGAGTGTGAAATTGCGCCCGACGAAGAATCAACCACAGCGAATCCGTCCGATCTTCAGACTTTGCGCCAGCGATCGCATCTTGCCCCTGCACACCGGATGCCCGACTGCTCTCAATAACGACAGTTCCCTCGAAGTGTATGCCCCTTTTGGGTGCACAAACAGCCTAGATGGCTCATCCGCCCTTGCCTGGGGCGAATGGGGAGGACAATCCTGAAGGTGGCGAAGTCCGCGAGGTCCCTAGCAACGTCTCCAAGCCGACGAAACGACAACGATGGGCGACCACTCGAGCCCCCGGTGCGGGAGGGATCAAGAAACGAGTCTCAATCATCGATCGCTTTCACAAGAAGGGGACATATGGAGATGAAAAACGAAAGTCGAACAACACAACCGCTTCCACGAACGCGTCGAGCGTGGAACCCGAGGTCCCAGAATCGGGCCCAAATCGCAGGGTATACTTCAGCATCCCGATCCCCGAATCAGAACGAGACGAAGAAGGTCATTTGAATGTCACCTACCCCAGAAACAAAATCCGAACCGCCAAATACACCGCCTTGACTTTTGTTCCCTACAATATTTGGCTGCAATTCCACAACATTGCGAATATCTATTTCTTATTCGTTATTATTCTTAATGTATGGAATAGTGGCTTACCCTTGGATTCAACTCTGATCCGATTGTACTAATGACGTCTTAGTGTTTCCCGATCTTCGGTGCCAACAATCCCGGTTTGAACGCCGTTCCTCTTATCGTTATCATTGTCGTTACTGCCATCAAGGATGCCATCGAAGATTGGGGTCGAACAGTCTCAGACAACCAAGTGAATAATTCCCCCGTTTACCGACTAGTCGATTGGAATAATGTCAACTCGACGGAGGACAACATCGATTTATGGCGTCGAATCAAGAAGGCCTGCACCCGAGGTGCCGTTTCCTCGTACAAATGGATGGCCAAGCAAGTCCAGAAGAGAAAGCAGGGCGGACTCGAGGACGACGGCCAGAGACGAGAGTCGTTCCTGAGCACGGCGGATCCTCGAGCTTCCATCTACACGCAGCGTAACTCAATGGCTCCCGAGGAGGTTGCGATACCTATGACCAACGTGCCATCGCCTCAGCCCGAAGCTCGGGAAGACTGGCCGATAATGAACAGCCAAGAGAACAAATACCTGTCCCCGAACACCGCCCCTCGCGAGAGCATCATGGAACCCGCGCCCGAAAAGAAACATGGATCGGTTTTGGACAGTGCTAAGCAAACGCCCGGCAAGGCTCGATTCAAGCGAGAGGCTTGGAAGAACTTGCAAGTGGGAGACTTCGTTCGTCTGTATAACGAGGACCCCATTCCTGCCGATGTCGTGATCCTTTCAACTTCCGATCCGGATGGTGCTTGTTATGTCGAAACAAAGGGTCTGGACGGAGAAACCAACCTCAAGGTCCGCCAAGCCCTGCATTGTGGTCGCCAAGTACGACATGCCAGAGATTGTGAAAAAGCCGAGTTCATCATTGAAAGTGAAGCGCCACACGCCAACCTATATGCCTACAATGGTGCTGTTCGCTGGGACCAGCGCGACCCTACCTACCCCGAGGGTCCACGGAAGGACATGGTTGAGCCTATTTCGATCAATAACATCTTGCTGCGAGGTTGCAACCTCAAAAGTACAGAGTGGGTTCTGGGTGTGGTTCTCTTCACCGGCGGAGAGAGCAAGATCATGCTCAATTCCGGTGCTACACCAGCCAAACGCCCGCGCATGGCCAAGGATCTCAACTGGAACGTTATCTACAACTTCATCATCTTGGCCCTGATGTGCCTGGTCGCAGGTATCGTGAACGGAATTGCATGGGGGACACCGCACAAATCTCTGGAATACTTCGACCTCAAGTCTTATGGTGGAACCCCACCTGTTACGGGTATTGTCACCTTCTGGACCGCTGTCATCTTGTTCCAGAACTTGGTCCCCATCTCGCTCTACATCTCCCTCGAAATTGTTCGAACTATCCAGGCTGTGTTCATCCACAGTGATCTCTACATGTACTACGAAAGATTGGGGCTCTATTGTGTTCCCAAGTCTTGGAATATCTCCGATGACGTCGGTCAAGTGGAGTACATCTTCTCAGACAAAACTGGTACATTGACTCAGAACGTGATGGAGTTCAAGAAATGCACGGTCAATGGCGTGTCCTATGGCGAGGCCTACACAGAAGCACAGATTGGCATGAGGCGCCGCGAAGGAGCTGATGCCGATGCCGAAGCCGCCGAGGCCCGACGCCAAATCGCTGCTGATGCGGAACGAATGCTGAAATTACTGCGTGCCACCCACGACAACCCTTACCTGCACGATGATCAACTCACATTCGTTGCTCCGGATTTTGTGGCCGACATTGGAGGGAAATCTGGCGAGCAACAGAAACGCTCCTCGGAGGACTTCATGCTGGCTCTTGCCCTGTGTCACACCGTCATCACTGAGCACACCCCGGGTGACCCCCCACAAATCGAATTCAAAGCGCAATCTCCCGATGAGGCTGCCCTGGTCAGCACTGCTCGTGACTGTGGCTTCACTGTCCTGGGCCGAGCTGGCGATGATCTACTTCTGAATGTTATGGGCGAAGAGCGGACATACACTGTTTTGAACACTCTTGAATTCAATTCGTCCAGAAAACGAATGAGTGCAATCATTCGGATGCCAGATGGTACCATTCGTCTCTTCTGCAAGGGTGCAGACAGCATCATCTACTCTCGCCTGGCTCGTGGCAAACAACAGGAGCTTCGCCGGAAGACCGCTGAGCACCTAGAGGAATTTGCCCGAGAGGGACTCCGTACTCTATGTGTTGCCGATCGACTTCTTAGCGAGCAGGAGTATCAATCCTGGGTGAAAGATCACGACGTCGCTGCCGCCGCTATCACAGACCGCGAGGAGAAGCTTGAAAAGGTCTCCAGCGAAATTGAACAAGACCTCATGCTCATTGGTGGAACAGCCATCGAGGATCGACTTCAAGACGGCGTCCCAGATACCATCCAGCTTCTTGCGGATGCTGGTATCAAGCTTTGGGTTCTCACTGGTGACAAAGTTGAGACTGCCATCAACATCGGCTTTTCTTGCAATCTCCTGAACAACAACATGGAGCTGATTGTGCTCAACATCCCCGAAACCGAGCACCAGCGGGCCTCTGACGAACTCGACAAGCATTTGCAAACCTTTGGGTTGACTGGTTCTGACGAGGAACTTATTGCTGCTCGTTCTGACCATAGCCCTCCGGAGGCTACCCACGCTGTTGTTGTGGATGGTGAAACCCTCAAACTGATGCTGCATGACGATTTGAAACAGAAATTCCTCCTGCTTTGCAAGCAGTGCAAGGCCGTTCTTTGCTGCCGAGTCAGTCCCGCACAGAAGGCTGCCGTTGTCAACATGGTCAAGACTGGTCTGAACATCATGGCTCTGTCCGTTGGTGACGGTGCCAATGATGTGGCTATGATTCAAGAGGCAGATGTGGGTGTCGGTATCGCCGGTGAGGAAGGTCGGCAGGCCGTCATGTCTTCAGATTACGCTATTGGTCAATTCCGTTTCCTCCAGCGTCTTCTGTTGGTCCACGGCAGATGGTCCTACCGTCGTCTCGGAGAGTGCACGGCCAACTTCTTCTACAAGGTATGTGCTTCTGGCGCCAACAGCCCTTGTTCTCCTAACTAACCTATCATAGAACCTGGTGTGGACGTTTGCTCTTTTCTGGTACTGTATCTACAACGACTTCGATTGTTCCTATCTCTTCGACTACACCTACATCATCTTGGTCAACCTTGCCTTCACTTCTCTTCCTGTGATCTTCATGGGTATCTTCGATCAAGATGTGGATGACAAAGTTTCTCTGGTCGTGCCTCAACTTTACATGAGAGGTATTGAGCGCAAAGAATGGTCGCAGACCAAGTTCTGGTAATTATCACCAGCTTCCCAAGCCCCATTTGAATACTAACGTTTTCCAAGGTTGTACATGGCCGACGGAGGTTATCAGTCCATCATCTGTTTCTTCATGCCTTATCTCCTTTATGCACCCGCAAACTTTGCCAATGCAAGCGGCAGGAATATCAACGACCGCGCACGTATGGGTATTCTGGTTGCATCGTGTGCCGTCATTGCTAGCAACCTCTACATCATGATGAACACCTACCGATGGGATTGGTTCACTGCTCTGATCAACGCCATCAGTAGTATCTTGATCTTCCTGTGGACCGGTATCTACACGTCATTCGTTTCCTCCGGCCAATTCTACCATGGTGCTGCCGAAGTTTACGGATCGCTGAGTTACTGGGTTGTGCTCTTGCTGACTGTCTTGATCTGCTTGCTCCCACGTTTCACGTACAACGCCGTTCAGAAGGTGTTCTTCCCACTCGATGTCGACATCATCCGCGAGCAAGTGACGCAAGGCAAGTTCAAGTATCTGGATGCAATCCAAGACCCTCCCATGCCCCCAAAGGAGGGAAAGGACGGCGATCTCAAGCCGGTCACTCCCAGCAACGACTCGGCCACCTCTTCGGAGTTGGCAAAGCCAGTGCAGCCAACCATGAAGCAGGACCCTGGTCTTCACGATGAAGAGCGACCGTTCTACGCTCCATCCATGGCTCCGACCGCGAACACCCACAATCCTCGCAGTCAGAATGGCAGCAATGGAACAAATTACACTGCCAGCCTTGACCAATATCCACGGCCGCAATCTGTGGATTATGTTCGACGATCTCACGACCGGACACGGCACTCCTTCGAGCGCAGTCGGCCAAGCTTTGAACAGAGCAACGACTTTACCTCCGCGGCTATGCTATCGCGGGTAGAGTCATCGCAGACTCCAAAGCATCAGCACGAAGACCCGTTCCGAACCCCTGACGATCCTCCTGTACATAACATGATTTAAAGGAGCGCATCCTGCGTTGCATTGACCTTGACGACCCGTCCCTGATGACGTTTTACCCCCCCATTCGGTTCTTCTGATCTGTTCCTTGTGATTTCCCCTTGCCATCTTCATCCCGATGAGCAATTTGCTTTGGTGTTTCCCTTTTTGAGAGACTTTTTATATTCCCTGATAGAAAGCAGGCGTTATTTGGTTTGCTCCTTTGCCCGGCCGGAGGTTTAGCGCATCTTCTTTTTTTTTCACCCCTTCCCACTCATCATTCCCTTCTATTTACTGCCTCCTACTTTATCTCCTTATTGTTGCTCTCTTGTTTCGTCCCAGTGTCCAACTGGTCTCTCAGTCTCTTTCTACCTCTCCCTTGTACAAAAGCGTTTTTGTCTGCAAAAGTGCACGGTACCCGCATTTGAAGGTTTCCTGTTGTCTCATCCCATCTGTGATGTTGTATCTCGTTCGCGGATTTATTGGATTATTCTATATTGGAGCTTGTCTTCACTCTGGACACGCTTGCATCGCCAAGGGACATCATGTATCCTATTCAATGCCCTTGGCGAACAAAGTACTTAATGTGGTCAATTAACATCTTCGTTCATATTAACTAGACTGACTTAATGCGTAGCGTACTTGCTCTCTCTAGAGTTGTAAATGATTTAAATAATGGGATAGCTACTGGCTGGCACCGGGAAAGAGAGAAAGCAGAGAGTTGTTGATTCTAGCAAAAGAGAAGCAACTGAGAAACTGAAGAGAGCCATCCTTACCCGAGATGGCACATGGTCATCATCCATCTCAACACCAAGTATACGCCGAGTGCCCCAATTGAATGCTCGAGTCCCACAGAAAGGACGGTGACTCTGAAGTGGTTTCCTCTTTGGGTAAAATAGAGCGCGTCTACGCGTAGAAGCAAGACTCACCGCCCGCTGGCAGTTCGGCATCCCGCGTTTCCTTGGGGAATTTTTGTGTTTGCCATCGGTCTCAGTGAGCCTTTGCAATCCTTAGGCTATATTCATTCCCTTGTAAGGCTGTAGCAACTGGTGCTCGCCTGATCCACCTGAACACCATCCTGCTGCCAAGTAACCATTGCATTCGGTGCTCAGCGAACAGTCATTTGTGCTATCAACAGTTCTGAGTTGCTCTCCTTCTACAGTACTCCCATCACCAACGTCGCATCTGAGGTTCACTTGAGCTTTATCTGAACCTAGTGAATTAACAACCTGGATCGGAACGATGCTATAGCTGCCCCAGCTTTCGGAGGAAGGAAATGCCCTGCAGTCCGTCATTGAGTCTCACAACGACATTCTGAGCCAGTAGTGACAATGGAGTTCATCGATGGGATCGGGTAGGTATTAGCCAGTCTTCGCAACAATTCAAAACTGACCGGTGTTTGTTCTGTACAGTGAGCTAAAGGCACTCCCTGAAGGAGTCCACCTTCTTTGCCCCCGACAAAGCGACGATGACTACGGCCGATACGAAGACCTCGAACAAGTGGATGAATCGGGCACACCAATCAAGGACATTGTGGCTCAAGCAAAAACCCGCAAAGAGACATTTCTCTCATCCATGCGCATTCTGGCATATCACAAAGATGGAGTCGAAGAGCTTCAAAACTGGGTCCTCGGGAGACTCGACGATTCCCTCGAAAAATGCGACTTGTGTATCAAACATTACTACACAGGCAAGGTCTGGTTGGTGGATCGATTGAAGGAGGAAAATTATCAGGAAGACGACATCGAGGCCTTTGCGCAGAGAATCGACGAGTGGGATATCAAGAGAATTACGCGCAACCTGAAAACGGCCACGGAGCAGCTGAGACAGACGCCTCCTCAGAAGATTGGGCTGGATGTCTTGGACAGAGCTGCGTTATTGTCTATCTTCGAGACATTGAGCTGCGAGGCTATGCTACGTAGCGAGAGTCTTTTGCAGGAACACTTCGACGAGCCATTCAAGCTCATCCAAACGAAACGAAGTCTCAAGGTCTCCGACTACATTCCAGCTGTTACTCGATTCCTCTTCGACTCAAATCAGCTGCGATGTTTCTGGGCGCACAGTTCATGGGCACGATACGCTCGGTCTCCTACCACCATCGAATTTGAATGGGCAATCCGGGATGGACTTCGCTCAGCTCTACAGACTGCTTCGCTGCAACCACCCCAGTTGCCGGTCATCGCGCGCTTGTGGAGAGGGATGCAACCTGTTCTACGGAGATTAGACAAAGAACAGATCACACATCAGTTGCGAGGTCTTGAGATAGACCCTTTCCGTCTTTCTGTGGATCACCTTTCTATCCCCTCTCCTGGTTTGCGATATCTCTTGAATACCATCCAAATCTTCCTTGAGAAAGCACCTGCGGACTTCTGGGAGGCCATGCAGGCTATCTCCCCCCAAGCCATCATGGAGCAAACTTTTTACAACACACAATTCAATAATTATCTCATGGGGGCTACTGAGGGTGAGCCCTTCGAAAACTCCCCATTGAAAGATATGCTTTCATGGATTCATCCTTTCCTCAGTTCCCTGAAGGGTGCCCATCAGCCATCTGCCTGTCGGTTTTTGACCTTGCAATTACTTGGCAGACTGCAGAATTCTCAATATCCTAACCTGGCCCGGTATCACTGTTTCCATGTCGGCTTGACCAGCCTTCTCCAAACACTGCGTCGTTTCACAGACAACGAGTCTTCCCGAGGCTCAGTGACGCGGGTTGTGTTAGCAGAGACCATGGGGGTAGTGAGCGATACTATCAACACAATCATCAACCCTCCGACGTTTGCTGTTGAACAGAGCCGCCAAGAGGAGATCCGCAATTTATGCATGGACGTGGTGCGCAATACTTTGGCGCTGGAATGCCAGTCGTTGAAAACAGATTACGAGGTTATTCTCAAGCACAACACCCTGTCACATGGAGTTTCTACTTACTCCGCTCCCATCTGGGATGCTGTCATCAAAAATCTCAGCCAAAACAACTTACCACTGTCAGGGTCTGCATTACTGGGTATTCTGCCTCTCGTTGGTTTGGAGAAATTTACCACTAAGGGTGAAACCAACCAGGAGAAGACCCATTTCAACATGATTTATGAACATCTGATCAATCTCTCATGTCGAATCATCGAACGTCTTGCAGACTTCCCATCCGATCATCTGGACAAGTTGTTCCAAAGCCAGGACACAAGCAGCGCTGTGATCTCTGCACTTTTCGCTGCAGACCTGGACACTTATACAGCTGCAGTTGACCTGATCAAAAACGCAACCGGTCAATCTGCCCGACGAGATGCCATCTCCCATCTCCTCCAGTCTTCTTTTACCACTACCGTCTACGGTCTCAGTTGGTCCTTCCGCCGAATTTCGACAATGAAAACATTCGCGCCTGCGCCCAGAATGTTGTACACCGGCACGGACATTGTCGAGACGCTTTGTGACAACCAGAATGGCATCCTTCGCACTCGTAACCTTGCTGATCGCCGAGAAGTAATGGCACTCCAGAAGCTTTGGGAGTACCTGTGGTCGGCTCTCACCACGATATTCGACGAGACTGAGGCATGGCACCTTCGGGGCAATGACAAGTCTGTCATGCTTGAGTTCTGTCGAGACACGATTCAGTTTGCGGACTTTTTGTTCGACCAGTATGGTGTCTTTCTCGGAGCTGTAAAAAATGCGGATCCAGGCCAAACAGCGGCATCCGAAAACTTCCTCAAGTCTCCAACTGCGACAATGAGTGCCATGGTGAAATGGTTAAGATTGAAGGATGAATTCTTAGCGACAACACTTGTCGGGCTAGTTTCAAAGCTTTTGCGTAGACTGGGTGTAATGGAAGTCACAACTGTGAAGCCAGATGCATTGAGCTTTATTGAGGGGGTTGCTGTCAATGGCACAATCAAAACAATATTGACACCACGAGAGAAGGCGGAGCTGGTCCGCTCATTGGAGGCATACTACAAAAAGCCTGTGGTCACTGCTTCTACTGCTGCTCTCAAGAAACAGTCATCTATCACGGCTTTCGCCAAACCATCTGACGTCTCGAGCCCCTCGCATACCGTGAGCGATGATGAATTCGATGATGATTTGAATGATCAAACCCTTCTTGAGCTTTCATCATCTGTGGAATTCAACAAGGCCCGTGTCGCTGCTGAAGCCAAGAGGAAGGCCGAGAAGGCGGCTAAGATGCAATTCCTTTCCTCCACGCTCAAGGCCCGCCCACCAGCTCCTAAGCCAGTTGTTCCGCCCCGTCCTAAAGATGATGCGACTTCAGTCCTATCGTTCCGAGAAAAGCGCGAGCGCGAGAAGGAGGCGAAGAAAAAGCGCGATGCTGTGGAGCTCGCGAGGCTCAAGAAGAGCATGTCGACTAGTGGTGTTGGAGAACAAACCGCTGAGCAAGGCTCGGGCCTGAAAGGAATCGGTATTAAGGGCAAAGATCATGCAGTCCCTGCCGATAGCATGATGGTGTCATCCGGTTCCGAGTCGGATACTGAAAGCGAAGACGAGTTGGATAAGGAGTTGTTCGGCGCAAAACCCAAGAAACCCGATGCTGTTGCAGCATATGAGCTGAGCAAGAAGCAATCACTTCAGCAACAGCCAATCAAAAAGGTCAAACGACAGCGTTCCATCAGGGACATGCGAGCTCGTCTGTCTCCTGATCTCAGCTCTCTTCACCATTCCATTCTATCATGGGACTTCTTCGCAACTGGTGATCTTCCCCCCTCCTCGGGCCGCACCGACTATTCCCTTGTCTCAAACACGTTCCGCACGCCTGGTGATTACCAGAGTACATTCGAGCCCTTGTTGGTACTCGAGGCATGGCAAGGATTCCAGGCAGCGAAAGACGAAGGCTCTTTCCGACCCTTCGAGGTCAAGGTCATGACCCGACTTGCTGTCGACACATGGATTGAGTTCAGTACACAGCCGCTTGGTATACTACCAAAGGATTTCAGCATGGGTGAAGGTGATTTGGTCCTGTTCTCCAGTTCCCCCAAACCGACAAATGATAAGAATGCGCCTCACATCCTTGCGCGTGTTTGCAATGTGAACCGGAAGAGTGGAAAGCTGGAGGTCACTTACCGGGTGAATCCCACAAACAACAAATTTCTCTCTAACTTTGGGCCTGGCACCGAGACATGGGGAGCCAAGATCACATCCTTGACCCCCGTGGAGCGTGAGTATGGCGCCTTGATGGCCTTGCAGTATTATGATCTGTGCGAGGAGATCGTTCTGGCTAAACCCTCGCCGCTTTTGACCTACTCGGACGCGAGGCTGCAACCCATCATGGATAATTATACGATCAATCGTGCTCAAGCAAAAGCTATCAAGTCTGCTGTTGACAACGATGCATTCACTCTTATTCAAGGTCCTCCCGGTTCTGGAAAGACCAAAACTATTATCGCGCTTGTCGGGAGTCTCCTCACCAACGTTCTTGGGAAGCAATCCGTCAGCATCACTACTGGTGCGGCCGCTACTAGGAACACGATGTCCAAGAAACTTTTACTTTGTGCCCCCAGTAACGCGGCCGTCGACGAATTGGTCATGCGTTTGAAAGAGGGCGTGAAAACAAGTAATGGCCGGAAGGAGAAAGTATCTGTTCTTCGTCTTGGAAGAGGTGATGCGATTAACACCAAGGTGTTGGACGTCACTCTCGACAACATGGTCACTGCTCGTCTGAACCAAGATACCAGCAAAGGAGACAGCGTCGATATGCAGAAGCTGTATGATGAGCACAAGAAGACCGATACATCATTCAAGGAGCTCCGTGGGCGCCTCGATGAGGCTAGAGCCAAAGGCCTGCCACCCCCGGAAGAGCTTGAGCGCGAGTTCGAGCTGATGAAGAAGAAGCGATCTCAACTCAGTACGTCTATCGACAAAGCTCGTGACCAGAATCATACTTTTGCTCGCAACGCGGATATGCGCAAGCGACGAATCCAAGAAGAGATCATCAACGAATCGCATGTCATCTGTACTACTCTGAGTGGTTCTGGCCATGACATCTTCCAGTCGATCAATGTTGAATTCGAGACTGTTATCATTGATGAGGCGGCCCAGTGTATTGAACTGAGTGCTCTGATTCCGTTGAAATACGGTTGTTCCAAGTGTGTCCTCGTCGGAGATCCCAAGCAGTTGCCTCCAACGGTCTTGTCGAAGATGGCGTCTCAGTTCCAGTACGAACAGAGTTTGTTCGTCCGCATGCAAAAGAACCATCCTCGGGACGTGCATCTTCTCGATATTCAATATCGTATGCATCCTGACATCAGTACCTTCCCCAGTGATACGTTCTATGATGGTAAATTGCAGGATGGTCCGGACATGGCTAAACTCCGCAAACGTCCATGGCATCAAAGCGAACTTCTCAGTCCTTATCGATTCTTCGATGTGCAGGGCATGCACTCAGCCGCTACCAAGGGTCATTCCTTGATCAACTATGCTGAGTTGCAGGTTGCCATGCAACTCTATGATCGCTTGATCACCGATGTGAAGGGGTACAACTTCGCCGGCAAGATCGGTATCATTACGCCTTACAAAGGTCAACTGAGAGAGCTCAAGAATCACTTCTCTCATCGATATGGTGATGATATCCTCAACAAAGTCGACTTTAACACAACAGATGCCTTCCAGGGTAGGGAAAGCGAAGTCATCATCTTCTCTTGTGTGCGAGCATCCAACAAGGGTATTGGTTTCTTGGCTGACATTCGCCGTATGAACGTCGGTCTTACTCGTGCAAAGTCATCCCTGTGGGTTCTAGGTAACTCGCGGTCGCTTGTACAGGGTCAATTTTGGAACAAGCTGATCACCAATGCACGCGATCGCAATGTCTACACGGAGGGTGATGTTCTTCAACTTCTGCAGAAGCCACAATTCACCGGGTACAAAGAGGCGGTTATGCTTGATGCTGACGCCGAAGAAAGCTCCGACACCCATGGCAAGGAAGTCACGGACCAGGAAGCTTCTGGGCCACCTGTCTCCCCGTCTTCTTCCGCGGAGTCTTATGATCCCGAATCGCAGGATGTCTCCGTCCCCGACATTCCCGAACCCAAGAAGAATGGACACCTGCTGCCACGCCCAGACGGGCCCTCCGGCGGAAACAAGGGTCTTGATGAGACTCGAATGTGTGGAATATGCGGAAGCGCCAGTCACTTCACCCACAACTGTGACAATGACGATGCAAAACTCGATGCGCGTGGAAATTGCTTCCGCTGTGGCCAACCTGGTCACACTAAGAATTCCTGTCGTGCTGAGCGTTGCCTTGAGTGCGGGCAATGTGGGCATCGGGCCATGAATTGCACAGCGGAGAAAACTCTCTCCAAATTCCAGAAGGCCCGCGTTGAAAGAGATGAATACAACCTCCAACAGCGTCAACAAGCCTTCTCGGAACGCCAGCGAGAACGTCAATTGGGAACTCACGACCGAAAGGTTCCTACTGTTCAAGCCACCACCTCTAACTCTTCCAAGAAGCCTGTCGACGACTCTGCCAAAAGGAAACGCGGCGACTCAGCGTCCGGGGCGCCACAAGCACAGCGCCCTCGGACAGGACCACCTAACACCTCAAACAATGGCCCCAAGGGCCCACGGGGTCACCCTGGTCTTTCTGGCCATCCCGGTCTCTCCGGTCTCTCTGGGCCCCCTCGCGGTCCGCCCCGTGGTCCAGGCAACTCGAGAGTCGCGGGTCACCCTGGTCTCTCAGGACCTCCAATCGTTGCCCCCAAGCCGAGAGGTGGTTCCGGGGTAAGTGTTGCCCCTCTCGCACGGTCTGTAGATACTAATAAGAAACTAGAATAATAACCCCAATGCCCCAGGAGGCCCGGTGGATGATCTTCCAGGAGTAAGTTCCTTCGACGCAACAGATGTATCATTGCTGACGATGTAACAGGGTCTGATCAAACCTTCTCGCGATGGGCCGGCCTATCCTATTGATAGCAACCCACCGAAGATCCCCAAACCCAATGTAAGCGCGGTTAATCTTTCCCTCCCTTTGTGATGCATCAATACTCATATCACATACCAGCCCAACCAAGGACCGAAGCCTCGGCCCCCGATGCGCAAAAAGAAGGAGTCCGACCCATTCATTCGCCCTAAGAAGCGCCAGTGAGCGTTGGGCGAGTCCCACTCCCCCCACATTCCAGTACCCCTCCATTTCTTTTCGAGCATCACTAGGCGTTAGCGGGGCACACTTGACGTATTTTTTTCTTTGTTCTCTGTCCCACATTCGATTCGCAATTCGCGGTCGCAGATATTTCCCAGTGAACCCGAAATGCAGCCTCGAACAGGCCCGGCTAGGGGTTGGTTACATATTGTTTCAAATGGTCTTTACCATTGTAACGGGTAGTTCCTGAGTGTATTCGGTGGTTGAAGCCCCTAGGGTATCACTGCTATGTCTATACGGAGTACGCATAGACTAGTAGTGGGCATACATGGAGCCAAGCAAGTATTTTGGGCTCTTGGGGATGTTCTAGATCCAAACCTAGACGATGCTCGGAAGGCATCCGTGTATGTTGTACATCGGATCGGTTCCGGGCCAAATGCTCCCGGTGAGCTTCTCATTCGTAGAAGTCAAATTCGACGCGTCTTGGCTTGATACGGAAAGGTAAAGAGCACGGAGTACAAATATAAGGTGTGAAGAAGAGCGTTGCTCGGAGAATAGCAGTGCATGCATATGTGGCATACTAGGCAAGGGGAAGTATAAAACGGTAGACAATTATCACTGTAATGCAAGACCTTTCTCCCACTTGGGAAGAATATGCTCCCTCCACACAGTATTATTGGAAAGGGCGTCACCGTCGAGTGAAGGGTGAGTGTTACAGTCTACTCCTCCGTACTCCGTACATATTAGCGTATCCATTCACCTGGGATTTTAATAACCACTGTGCCAGCTGGCTTTGCTAGCCCCGGTGATAGTTCGATCTGTGCGTGTGAGCTGTCATTTTCGGATCGCCTTGATCGCCTAGAAAAAAAATCAGATTCACTTCGAAGATCATGACGCGAACATGTTTGCCGGGGCTGCGATACCTCACATCCGGTGCGGAGTACAGGGTTTTGACGTTTCCCCTGTCGGTACTGAGGTCTCGCCCCCTTGCATCTGATAGAAAGGAGGAAAAGGTACGAACTCCATGAGGTGCAATTCGAGATCGGCCTAAGAATCCACAGCATTGTTCAAATCGATTGACGATAAAGACGTGGTGTATCATATCCACCACTAGTTGAGGATCCTCCGGGCTAGTCTATAGTACAGTCCAACATGTCGACAGCGTGTTTGACGTAGCTCCACTCCTTCGAAGGATCAAATCCCTTTGATTTGTGTATTTTAACCTCAACCGTATGTATCGATGCCTTTCCAGAGGGGGTTACTCCTACCGAGTTCCAAAGTAAGGATGCGACAGCTCAGAAACGCGACTTATATGCCTATATTCCTATATTCCGAATTTCGATTTCTATTAAATTATTTCTATTCCCCTGAGCTCTGGTTGCCTTGTCTCACGCTTTTCTTTTCGCCTCTGTACATAGCCCCTGTACGTGCTAGGTATATCACATTCGAGTCGCCTATTAAACCGTCTATTCTGGTGAGGTCTCTAGGTCTCTCCCACCAACTCATTCTAACATGTCTCCAGTATACCTGGGAACCCTAACTTGATGTCGAGTCGCATTGCGAACCCAATTGCTTCTACCTATGCATCATTGGGATTCATCGAATGACTACGCCGTCGCACCCAGCCCAATTGTTCGGACTTATCGACCTGACCCACCGAAGCGCAAGAGTCCCAATATGCCATCCCCAAAGACAGCCCAGGTCGCTGTCTCCCCGAGGCCTCGGGGGGACAGTGGACCAAGGCCCCAGGCCCGCTCAGCAGGCACCGCTGAGCGACCTGGAAGAAATGAAAGCCTAGTCGACCTGGTTCGCTTCTTTCAGACTCAGAACATGACAGCCCAAATCCTACCTCAGCCGGAACCTCCATCGGAACCTCCCTCTTCGCCTCAACCGACGCAGCCAGTGCAGCCAGTGCAGCCGCCAAGCCCCCCGGACAGCACGACGGCGCTCCCAGTGGCTATTTCGCCCAAAGAATCCAAGCCGGAAATCAAACAGGACCTCAAGCCCTTCCATCGCCGGTTACTACAGTTTGCTCAGCGTCCCAAGAAGGAAACCTCTGCCAGATCGAAGAAAGAGGAGCAGCAACGTCAGATCGAAGCATTGACCCGAGAAGGATACCTCATTCCACCACCTACATCTAAAGGACCCAAGATCAAGGACGTGAACCAATCTAAGGAAAGCCTGTCGCTATCTATCTCTCGGTCTCTTTCTAAATCCAAGCGAGACGTCGAAAACATCGGCCAGCCATGGTTGCAGGCCAAAGCCGATGGCAGGAATCGGCCAACTGAAGGCCGACACCTGGGCTCTCTGGACTTGGATGACTTTGGATCAATGGTAGACGTTGCAGTCTCACTCTCCGAGTTCGATGATGCCGTACCGCCGCCATATCAACCAACTGAGAATGGACCTTCGCCGTCGTCGTCAATGGTCCCAGCGCCAAGCTCTAGGGGAGGCTCCAGCTCAGCAAACTCCATTCGGCCGCCATCTTCTATCGCATCTACCAGCCGCTCGTACAGAAATGTTTCTATCGACGAACAAATTCAGCGGCCATCTGCTCCTGCGTCCAGTACTCAAGCTCCCCCGCAAGAGAATGATACTGCTCCCAAGTCCCTGGGGCCACCCAGTGTCAAAGAAACATACACACCCAGGACTTCATGCGATAGCCTAAGGCGAGACCAGTCAGACCGGCGTTCTGTCCGCAATGTGACTCCATCTCAGCCGACACTGAAACTTTTCCCGGATGTCGCACCGCCTCGCAAATCAAGCATGACTGCCTGGAGAGCGTCAGTAGTGCCCCGGAACCAGATCGTCAACAACCTGGCTTCTCCTGCGACCCCTACCCCGGCTCCACAGCCGAAGCCTTCCACTGAGACAGCTGAACCGGAGCCACGAAAATCGTCAGATGTCTTTATAGACCGTCCCACCCCTGGACCCGAGCCACAGAGTACGGGCGCTGTCGAGCCCGCTGCGTCGACTCCGGCCCCTTCAGAGAAAGCAGCAGAGCCCGATTCGACAAGTCAAGCCAAGTCGCGACGGACCTCTCTGTCTATGGGCACACTGAAGTCGTTCCCTTTGCCTGCCCCGACTCGGCCCTTGCCAACATTGCCTGAAACTGGACGTTCCCCAAGTGCTCCCCCAGACAGCGGTGCTCGCTCCATCCGATCTACTCGATCAGGACCTGGGCCCTCGAATCTCCACTCTTCTCACTCACCAGAGCCGGACACCGAGGAGACCGAACCCAACGCCAGCCCTCGCACGATCGACTCTCGCCCGACTACTGCTGTTGGCAGCATCGGAGCTGGAGGGTCCCTTGCTGATGACGAGGATAGCATCTTTACCCCGTCAATCACAGACTCTTCCAAAACCACTCCAGGGCTATGCACCGCTCGAGGACGCGCTTCCAGCGTGCGTATCCCTCGCATGCAAGACCTTCCCGAAACTCCCAGTCAAGACAAGGGCCAGCCCTTGGCCGACTCTCCAGTTCTTGGACATGGAACACCCACAGAGCCCAACGGCAAGAGTGCCGCAAAGGGACTTCAGATCAACTTCAAGGCCGCTCGAGCAAATCTCCCATTCGGTCTCCCATCGCCTCCCCCAACAGGCTCTCTTCCATCGGCTCCTCCTCCACAACACCCACCACCTGCCCCCCCCGGACGCAAGGCCGGCCAGCGTCACGTCACTCCTCACGGAGGCAAGTATCCCTCCATGAAGAACAAGGAAGCCCCATCCGGTCCAGGCTCCTACCGAAACTCCATGATCTCCCGAAGCGACAGCTCGAGAAGCAGTCTCCGGAACGAAAGCTTCCCAGACAACGAAAACCAAGAACCTGAACCCGAGTCCGCCATAGCTTCATCCGACGACGAGATCACCGGTTCAAAAGAAGGAACAAAGCCCTCACGCCGCGAACCCAAGCACAAGCGCATCCAAACCGTCCGCCACGACGAATCCGAAAAAGAACCCAGTCGTTCGCGCCTTCGCTATCCCCAACCTACCCGCCCAGTCCCCCACAGTCGCACCAGCCACAGTGTAGACCAGACCCTCCACCCCCAGTACCAGCATCAATCGCGTGAGTCTCAGAACCGATCCCGCTCTCGCTCAGACCACTATCTCGAAGACCGGGTTGCGAACCTCGAGCGCCAGAATCAAATGCTGCAGGCTGCTCTCATGGCGGCGTTGAATGCCAGTGGGAAGAATCCACTGGAGGGTCTCAATATTGATCCGAATATGACACCGTCGTTCCAGAGTGCGCCGTATATGAATCAGTACAATCGGCATGGTCGGCGGGACAGTTGGGTGAGTTCTTCACAGAGCAGCAATAATAGCGCCTATGCGAACTCTTGCAATGGTGCCAATGTCAAGCAGTTTGACCATATGATTGAGGATATCGAGTCTGGTTGGATGTCTGACAAGTCCAGTCTTAGTGGTGCTCGTGCTGCTCACAGACATTGAACGATCATTCCTTTTCTTTCTTTCTTTTTAACATTTTGAATCTTTCTCTCTGTGATTTCCTATCTCTGGTTTTTGGTTTGTGGCTCTCTTGCTCTTCGCTCCAAGGACTGTTCATCCAGCCTTGTTTACATTCTTCATGATACCATTCTGTTACGCTCTTCTTGACTGTTCTTTTTATCTTTTTTTTTTGGCATTTTCTGGTCTTTATTTGTGAATGTGCATGATAGTTCAGTGAATATGATATACCCGTTGATACTCCGAATCGAGTTTGTATTTTCCGTACTCGGTACAAGGCGCTGTAATACTCCCTGCTACCTACCATCAATGAAATCATACCTAGTAGGTGATTTGTCGGATACTCGCAGATCAAATTAATAAAGAAAAGACAAACAACTTTGGCACAAACAAACAGCCAGATCAAACGCATCAATTTGATTTCGGATTGATGCTTAGCTAATCATGTGTTTGGCAGCGAACACTTGAAGCTATTCAGCTCGAACTTGTACTTATTGCATTCCAGTCCAATCAATGCAGGGGACATAGCGCCTTGACACCCCTAACTCCACTCGCATCCCTTCACATTCCAACACCAACATGACGAACCCAACCGTAAGTCTCCCACGAGCAACCAAAGAGCTAGACTAACACCACCAAGCGCACCCAAGTCCCCCAACATGTTACCGCATTGCTCTCCCACCTCACCTCCCGACCAGGCGTGCAATCGACCCTGATCCTCTCCCGCAAAGACGGCTCCATCATCCAAAGCACAGGACAACTCGCCCAGCCCCAAGATACCAACGACACAAACACCCAGCCCTCCGACTCATCCCCTGCCTCGCCCGCCCTCGCTCAGCCCTACCAGCCCTCCCAAGCCGAGACCCTCGCAGCCCACATCTTCGCGTTCGTCTCGAGTGCGTCGGCGCTGGGTATTTCTCTGTCACGACCGGTGGTCACGCAGAATGGAAGCCATTGGGACGAGGCGTATGAGGGGAATGAGGGGCAGGACCGTGACGACGACGATCGCGACGAGGATGGCGAGGTGAAGCTGCTGAGGATGCGGACGAAGAAGCATGAGATTGTGGTTGTCCCGGACCGGAAATATCTGCTATGTGTGGTGCATGATGCTACTCCTGGGCCTGGAGCGACGGGGTCGCGTCGCTGAGGTGATGGAGTGTGAATACATTTGTTGCTGAGCAGGGTGTTTTGATTCTTTTTTAATATCCTGTTTGTCTATTCTTCTTTTTTTTACTGGGGTTCGTTGGCTCTGGATTTCATACATATACCCGATGGAAGTTGAATCTTTGCATTTGAATCTCGTTTGGACCATGTAAAGGTGACAGGATCTCAATGCTTCTACAAGTTATGATAGAGTACTCCTGATACTTGGACGTGGAGATGGGCTGGGAAACGAGGTCTATGGATAGGACTTGCAAGCTCTACTAGTGGGACCTGAACTCGCAACGAGAAATGAGAAATGAGCAATGAGCAATGAGAAATGACCCTGAAAGCCTAGATGTCGACAGAAGTACTTTACCCCTCATGGCGGGGATGACAGTCACTTGTACATCGTATCGGCCATCTTTACCCTTTGACATGGCTCACCGTGACGGCAGCTCCTGCCCCTCTACTCCGCACAGAAACAAGTCCCTCTGGACAACGAGGGATACGTGCTGATACGACAGCACTCCCACATCTGATAGCTCCAAAAGTACGGAGTACTTTGTACTTACGTCGAATCAGGCGGCAGCCAAGACCCATACAGCACGGAGTACGGAGCACAGCGAAGATAAAGCCTATACTGCATATGCTCAGTTGCTGCAATGGCGATGTTGCTTAATACGAACGTCCAGCTTGGCATGTCACACTGCCTGAAGCTTCAAATGCATACACATCAGGGTTCGCGCCGAGTCTGGAGCATGCACTCGTTCATGATGCCATCATCAACGGGCAAGATGCGCCCAAGTCACCACCCAACGAAGCCGATCAGCAATGTTTCGGGGTGTTGCATCATCCCCAGCCCTCGGGGTGATCAGCTAGTCCTCTCCCAGCTTAACCCATGAGGCTAAAGGCGCCTCGTGGGTCCAGGTAGCAGAGCGGACTGCCCAAAGGCCCCGTGATTACGGAGGAGTCTCTGTCCAAGGCTGCTATGTCCTGATGCGTGACCAACCTGGCGGAGATCAACGAGAATCCCCCATTTTCAGGGTCTCCAGTCAGCGCACCTCAGCGCACCCCGTTGCCGCCTGGCGAGCTAACCCGTCACGTCGTGATTAATGTGGATCTGGTTAGGCACTGGAGCCCTTGCACCATCAGGTTGCCGTGACAGTGCTCCGAAACCCGACCCCCAAACTGGATCTCGTGCCATTATCGTGGTACAGAGTATACGAGGCATCCAGTACGCAAGTCACGCGTCCTGATCTCCCCTTTTCAGGTTGACTTGGACACGCTCCATCCAATTACGACCGCGCAGCATTCCCCAGGTTGTGGAGTCCGGATTCAACGTGGATCCACATGGTCCTGCAGAGAGTGATTTGATAGCCGTTATCGGTGAGTAAGTAAGGAGCTTCGCGTGTTCAGTTATCGTGGTACATCCGGAGCAGTCGATCGGCGCTTGGGTTCCGAAGTGGTCCTATGTACACCGGTTGCCGGGGTGGGTTCGGTGTGGGGGTTTCCTGCATTATAACACCGGTGAGCGGTGTTTTGGATTATTCCGGGTCTTTCGATTGGACTCACCTGGACAGACCGAGGTACGTTGCGATGCATTACCAGGCTCTTACCAGGACCGGTATGCACTGGACTGTGCGTTTTGCCAGGTGACTTGTGTTCCGATGCGGTGAACTCTTCTATACTATACTGTACTATACCTCATTCGTAGTAGTAGTATAGTATAGTATAGTATAGTATAGTAGTAGTATAGTGGTAAAGTATAGTAGTTAGCACTACACAGTATACTAGTAGTAGTATGTAGTATGTAGACAGTATGAAGGCTATATCATAGGTGCCTGACAGCCTAAAGTCCGGTTCCCCAGGCTGCCCTGCAGTCAACCAATCAGCAAGAGGATAATGGGGATGCTAGTGGACATTCGGAATGAACAGCATCGGCATAGGCTTAATGCGCATAAGAGTGGGGCGGGATCTAAGACCGTCTGCCTGGACTCGGATTGGCGATGAGTCAACCTGGGCTTTGTCTATGATTACCTAGTATGATGTTGATTATGATTATGATTATGAATATAGTATTATGGTTATGTCGAGATACCTAAAGGGGGCGAGTGCAGCTAGCTGCCTGACAGGTTGGGTTTGATGACCCTGTACGGAGTCCCGGGGACTAGTGGGAGATAGGAATATCAGAATATTAAGAATATTAAGAATATTAAGGATATTAAGAATATAAGGATATCAAGAGATATAAAGATATAAATTCATCAAGCTCAGTGTATAAATTCCAAAGAGCAGAGAGTGTAGAGTTAACGCGTAGTGAGTCACCGTCGTACCACTCCTATCTCGGACTTCCTCGCCGCATCCGGGTTTTCCCCCCTCTCCCTCTCTCTCTTCACCAGCCTATCCCCCAGGGCTCTCGAGGTATCTCCTGATCATAGTGTATTGAGTTGGAACTTGAAATCAGAAGGAGTATTTCATTATATTCTGTTGATTTCTATTTCGGTCAACTGCGCCTCCCCGCCACCTGGTCTCGCCACAGTGTGACTGTTGGTCTTTTTTTTCGCCTCTCTTAGTCACTCCTCTCTGAAGAGTCATAGGTAGGAGTTTAAAACTTCTGGCATCTCGTCGACACTCACTGACTCTCCCAGCCCCATCCCCCCGACCTACCCGACCTTCCCTAAGTCTCTCTAGTCTCAACGACTGCCTTGTCCAAGCAGCCACCAGCCTGGTTCTGCCTGTTCCATGGCCCGTTGAGTGCCCTACCTTCTACCCACGATACCTTCTTGTTCAAAATGTACCTTATTGTTTCTTCCGACCCGATCGCCCGTGTTTCTGTTACCGACCTCCGCATCGTCACCGTCGCCGGTTACTAAATCCTCGCGAAAAGAGTCATTTTTGCCACGTGCCCCTGCTGGGATTCTATATCAGAAGCACTTGGTTTGATCGGATCGTGAATATCTTTCTTCTTGTCTTTATAGCCTTTTTTTGCTCTCGTCCCTTGTTCCGCTCCTACCGGCGGCTCTGCGTCTTTCATCTTAATTTCCACACCCTGGCGATTTACTAAAAGGTCTGCCGTCGCCTACGTCGCAAAAGACGGCCTCTGTCTCCTCGGCTCTCGTTCCCGGTTCCCTCCTAACGGTATCTTGACACTTATAACGGTTCCAAAATCGGACCATCTCGCTCTATCCGACCCGCTTGTCCCTTCCATCTGAACATCTGTCCATATGAACTCTACAGCACCCTCGGATATGTCAGGGATGGACGTCCTGGCGATGAATATCTCAAACCCAGGTTCTCATATGAATGCGTCTCACCACGCACACCCCTATGCATCCTCGATCGCTTCCTCCGCCTCTTCCTCTTCCTCCTCCGTCTTCTCGCTCGATTGCGTCTCGAGTTCGATTTCCTCGACCTCGACCAACCCGGTTGACGTGATTTGGGAGAATGAAGGACAGGGAAGAATGCCCGGGCCTCGGGCTCTGCCCAAGGCTGCTCCTAAGGCGGATGGTGTAGTGCCACCTGAGCTGCGCACGCATCCTCGGCGCACTAACACTTATGCTTCTAGCGCCCCAAGCGGGCGTCCTCCGCCCTGTCTGCTTCGGCAGTCGGAACGGAAGGTCAACTTCGTCGATAACCTCGTCGGTAAGTCTTACGTCCTCGACAGGACACAGACGTCGTGTGGAACACCCAGCTAAATCTGCACCAAGACACTGCATCACAGATCGTTGAGACCATTTGGCCTCTCTCGGCCGCGGCATCCCGCAGTGATGCCGCAACCGGATCGAAAGGGGTTCTTCCCCTCCGGACTTTCATCCAGGAAACACTCCGCCGGTCGCGTACCAGCTACAGCACCTTGCAGGTGGCCTTGTATTATTTGATTAAAATCAAGCCCCACGTTCCGACACAGGATTTCACAAAGGAGCAGTCTCGGGATCAGTCGCTCCTGCGGGCGATGCAGTGTGGGCGTCGGATGTTCCTGGCCGCACTGATCCTCGCATCAAAGTACCTGCAGGACCGGAATTATTCCGCTCGCGCTTGGAGCAAGATCTCCGGCCTGAACACCCTTGAGATCAACCAGAATGAACTCATGTTCCTGAAAGCGGTTGGATGGCGCTTGCACATTGACGAAGCCACTTTCCAACGCTGGACCGATCTGGTCCTGAAGCTGACCCCTGGTGCCGGAGGACCGGCAGCCGAAGGTCAGTGCTGGCAGACTGTGCTTCCTAGACTCACTCCTGAACTGGACCTGGTAGAGTCGGAGCCTCGCACCCCAGTCTCGGCCATGGGTGGAATGGACCTTGGACTGTCAGAGTCCCCATCCCCCCGGAGTATGTCGAGCAACGAGTCGATCCGCTCGCGGGAACAACCCTCGAGCGCCCGAGGCCTCCCCCGGCCTCTGGACCCGACTCCGCGCATGGACTTCTCCAACCTGGCTATGCCTGGTATGCCGCGCCCGACGATGCTTCCCACCCCTCAGATGACCCCTCAGTCCCAGATGGCGTCTACTCCTGCCGCGAGTATGGCTGCCTACACCCGCCGCCCCTCCATCTGCACGGCTATGTCCCAGGCGCAGAATGCCGGCATGGCGCGATCGACTCTCGATCAGCGCCCGCCCATGTCATTCTGCCCCCGGACTCAGTCGTTCGATGGGTACCCGGCGGCGGTCCGTCGCTCATCTTTGGCTCGGTCGACCTCCTCTGCGTCGTCGCCCGACTCGATGGTGTCGGATGTGTCTACCTTGTCGTCCCGCTCCTCGCGGTCGTCTTCGGTCTCATCCAATGCCTCGGGAAGCTGTGGCCCCGCGCCTGCTCGCTTGGCTGTCAAGGCCACCCTGCGATGCACCAGCAACTCCCTCAAGGAGTCCCGTAAGACTCTGGCCATCGCCTCGCCCATCGACGAGAGCTCCCTGGTCGGTGTCTACAGTTCTCCTGAGTACCCTAGTTCTATGACCTCTTCCGTCCCAGACCTTTCCAACTTTACCTTGGATTCCAGCCTGAGCGAAGCCGCCCAGAGTCTCTGTGAGCTTTCCGGCGCGACCCCAGAGCGGCGCCAGTGCCGCAAACGTGGCCGCACCGGATCCGATGATCTCCTGCTCCAGGACCACGTCCGCCAGTTGATCAACCTCGGAGCCCCCGGAGACTCGGTGCTTCCCGACGGCCACTTCCCGCACTCGTTCATGACTCACACGAATCCCCTTGCGCCCGCACGGACCGGCCCCGTCTCCGGACCAGCCGGTATGAAACGTGCCTGCTGCGGCAGTGAAGCCCGCAAGGTGGCGCTCAATCCAGGTCTCCGTGTTGCGGAGTACCTGAATTGATTTGCGATATGTTAGCGGATCTTTCTACATTTCTTTTGTCTGACAAAAAGAAAAAGTCCGTCTTTTTAACTGCTTTTTTGACTCTTTTGGCCAGCGACCCCACCCTGAATTATTGTACATACTTCCCCATATCTCGGGCACTGGGTCGTTGTTGGGCGTTTGATTCCCCCTCGAGTGTACGATGTGGAGGCGTGTCTTTGGGCATCGTGCATCGTTTCCTCTCACTTTTACCCTGTTTCTTTTATCTCGGAGTGTGGGTCGGCATGGGGATTGGTCTTTTGTTTACCTCGATTATACCTGTACCATTTTATGGTCGCCAGAGGATAGGATAATCCAATACTTAACAGCGAATTTTGACTTGATCAAGCCCAGTATAGCGGAGTAGGGGAACCTAATGACTTGTATCGCTATATGCTGTATCTGATCTATACTATACATTCAGATACCTAGTACTTGGCTGGATTAACATCTATGACATGTCGAGAGGACGGAGTCACCGGTTGCGATCATCCGATCAGATAAGATATCAGCTGATCCTCTCCGCACCTTGCATCTCTACGCCCTTCCACTCTCCTACTTTCCTACACTCCTACATCTCCCTGGGTATACTAGGGAACACTGAGAACCATGAAGCTCTATAGCCCCTCCCTTCTTCCCATTTTCACCCTTCTTTCAGTCGCAAAGGGTTTCGTCATCCCCCTCCCCGACAACCTCCAAGCCTTCCTTGGAATCGACAACGAGAACGTAGACCTCCCCTCCCCCATCCAAGATGAAGGCTTCAACCGCCCCTCCTGGTTCACCTCCACCCTGATGGCCCGTCGTCTCCTTGCCCTCTCCCCCTCCGGTGTGATCTCCACCACCTTCCCGGGCTCCATCCCTCCCTCCGCACATGCCCCTTCCGACGTCGCAGGCCTCTCCATAGGACTACGGGAATACATCGCCGACTGCGACAGCTCACTCCCAGACCCCCTCTCACACAACGACAACGGCGACCCGACCATCCTCGGTCTCCGCATCGGCACCACCTTCAAAAACATCGCCGCAGGCTCCAACCTCAGCCTCCAACTAGACTGGTGGGATCATCTCGACGAGGCCGGCCCCGTCTACCCAGGCCTGCCTCTCAGTCCCGCTGCCTTGCCCCGCGTCACTCTCTTCGGGTACTTGGATACTCTGCCGTCCCCGCTGCCGGACGACGCGGCCGCCGCGCTAGAGACTTGCTTCCTGGGCCCGCATCCTGATGCGAAGGTCTGGTTGCCTGGGGCGTCGTACTCGCCGCATGCGAGCTTCTGGGCTAGACTGGTTGTTACCCATGCGTATTGGATTGGTGGCTTTGGTGACGTCCAGCAGATCGGGTGGATGAATCTGACTGAGTGGCAGGGTATTAGACCTTATGGGAGTGTGGAGGGTGTTGGGGATGGTCGAGGCTGGCAGGATGTTCGTTTGCCTGGCGAGAAGCATTAGAGAGCATGCAGTTGAGCGTCTGACTCGCATCTCTTGGCTTCAACCCCATTCGCTCGAGTGTTATCATGCTTATCATGCTTATCATTCCACCCCCAAGTAGACCAAATGCCAAAGTGGGATGGAGTTGTTGAATGTATCCTCTGCATACTGTGCCGAATCTCATTCCAAAAGTCTTTTGTATTGCTCCAGGCTATACATCTGGGATTCGTACTCTAGTCTCAAGTGCTGTGTCGACCCATAATTTAAACGTCATACCTAGGTACATCCCGAGCCCTACTATGCGTATCTCAAGACCACGACTCCGAGTCTCGCAAGGCGAGTCAGCTTTCGCAGCAGGAAACGCACGCTGGACAAACCGTGATCTCGATCCGATCGCCAAAGACAGACGCAAATGGGGCATATCCAGCCTCGTAGGTGCGCTTGTCTCTTCCCATCTATGTATACCCATGGTATACTCCACGAACCCAGCTCACCAGTCTTTTCCAGCATACTGGATTTCAGATGCCTTCAACGCCGCGACCTGGCAATTTGCCAGTAGCATCATTGCCGTGGGCTTGACATATAAGGAAGCACTAGGTATCGTCGCCTTATCATTCTTCATCATGTCATTCGTTATCGCCGCGAACGGCGCCGTCGGCGCCATATATCATGTTCCATTCCCTGTGATTGCACGAGCAAGCTGGGGATTCTGGGGCTCATACGTAGCCGTGATATCGCGAGTCATCCTGGCGGTATTTTGGTTCGCGATCCAAAACGTGAATGGTGGAAATGCCGTCCGCGTAATGCTAGGCGCAATCTGGCCCAGCTACCTATATCTCGAGAACGATATCCCCGAATCGCAGGGTATAACGAGTAACGGGATGATAGCATACTTCATATTCTGGCTCGTCCAGGTCCCGTTCCTGTGCATGCATCCCAATCGGCTGCGCTGGTTATTCACCGTCAAGTCGATCCTGGTCCCGATTGCCTGGATCGCGATTCTGATCTGGGCTTTCGTCGCAGAGAAAGGTGGTGGTGGAGTATTCACTGCGCAGACTGCGACTGTCTCCGGCTCGAAGTATAGCTGGCTGTTTCTGGCGAATATGACATCCGTCCTGGGGAACTATGCCACATTATCAGTCAACCAGTCTGATTTCTCGCGGTACTCGCGTATCAGTCCCAGATGGCAATTGCTGTATGTGCCTATGCTTCCGATTGTGTTCACTTTCATCTCCTTCATTGGCATTGCGGCCTCATCGGCTGGCCAGGCTCATTATAACCTCGCCTCGATCCCATGGGACCCAACCGTGTTGATAAGCTACTGGCCTAATCGTGCCTGTCGATTCTTCGGAGCCTTCTCCTTCGCCTTGGCTTCGCTGGGCGTAAACATCTCTGCCAATTCGCTCTCCGCCGCGAATGACTTCACTGCCCTCGCGCCACGGTATATCAATATTCGGCGTGGCCAGATCCTCTGCGCAATGCTATCCTGGTGTCTTGTGCCATGGAAAATCCTCGAGTCAGCAGGGAACTTCCTCACTTTCATGTCCGCGTATGCCATCTTCCTGGGTCCAATTGCCTCCATCATGCTCTTCGATTACTGGGTCATCAATCGCCGGCGCTATGATACCCTCGCATTGTACCAGCCCCATAACCCGATCTACAGATATGCAATGACAGTGCCTGGCTCTGCGAAAAGCATCTCCGGCGTGAATTGGCGCGCGATAGTGGCGTTCCTTGTGGGCGTTGCGCCGAATCTGCCGGGTTTGATCAAGGCTGTGAATCCAAATATTGATGTCGGGGTTGGGGAACACCCGTTCGAGTTTGGTTGGCTGTTGGCTTTTGTCGCGACGACGATTGTTTATCTGCTTTTGTCGTGGATGTTCCCTGCTCTTGAGACGAGGATTGATCGCGCCGTCTTGCCGGATGAGATTTATGGGGATATGGTGGAGGGTGTTGAGGCTGAGGATTCGGATAGGAGGTCCAGACTGGATGGACGTGAGAAACATGCCTTTGTGGAGAAGGTCGTCTAGTTCGAGATCCCCAGGTGGGTTTGCGTTAGTATACACAATACTGTGAATGGTACTGCTTTGGAATGAAGTCTGATTTTGGTATTGAATCGCTCCTGTCCATCCAAAGTAAACAGGTTGAATGGCTGGCATTGGGTATATATGAATCGGCCTCGGAATTCCAAAGGCCTTGACTAGCAAGTCTAGTATTGGCAGGTAGTATGTCCAAGCGGCGAAAAGCAGTCACCGACAGAGGCGGAGCCTTGGGCCGAGTAGCTGGTGCTCGATATTCTGTACAACCTGTTCAGATGCGCATGGGCAGACACTCCAGAGTGTACAAGCCAACATGGCTGAGCAAGTTCCACCGCCAACCCAAGCGAGACGTGCTCGCATCGATGAGATGTCGGCGAATGGGTTTGATCTTGAATCAAATCAGCAACACATTCACGGCCCTGCGCCGTATGCAATCGCTTCTTTCAGCACCTTCGTCACGCTCGAAGAAGCACGACCCAATTCACCACCTTCTTCCCTAGCACTCTTCAGCCCCCGCTCCATAGCGGGATGGAACCTCGACGAAAAGACCCGGAACCGATCCTCCCTCGTCTCATACATCTCACCTTCCTCGTCGCGCGGCTGACCCGATAAATTCAAATACGCGAACGGCGTAGACGACTCCGAAATCATGTGATGCTCGGTCTGGCAAAGCGGGTACGGCCACGAAGTCTCATCATCCGACATCTCAACATCCTTAACAGCAGGCTTTCCAATACCCGCTTCAAGGAACTCGGACAACGCTCCCAACGTCTTGACCATAGGTTTACCCTGGCTACCGGCTTTGCCAAACGAGGCCCGGCTCGAAGACCACCGCGCGGACTCATCTGTGTGCCAGCCCAGTACGGACAGGAAACAATTGAGGGTCTTGATCCATCCGCCTGCGCATGACACTGTTGATTCGCCCGCTGCTTCGACCATCCATGAGAGGATGTCTACGGCGGAGCTGCGGATGTCGGCCGCGAGGTGGGTCATGCCGGCGCGAACGTAGGGAAGGAGTTGGCCGACGTGGTCCTCAACGTCGCCTTCTGGGAGGGTTTTCAAGAGCTTGAGGAGTTGGGTGCGCACATTGGCGGAGGCGTCTAGGATGAGTGGGAGGAGGGATGGGAGGATGACGCTGACTGGTTGTGGGAGGGGGGAGTTGACGGGGCGAGAGGAGATGGTGGTTGTGAGGTAGGCGAGGGAATCTCGTCTTTGGGTGTCGGATTTGGCGGCGAGGAGAGAGAGGTTATGCGTGAAGGTTGCATTGGAGGTTGGGGCGGCAAGGTGGAGGGATTGTTGAGTGAGGACAATTGCTGGCTTTGAATGAGTTCATGTTCATGTTCATGAGAGCGAAAGAAAGCACATACACTTGGACTTGAATGTGGTGTCCGTGTAGTTGTCGGGCTTGGCCTTGGTCTTCCCAACCTTGAGTTTGGGTTTCTGCACGAGTTAGCGGTTGAGCTGGGAAGCAGACACTTTGCATTCTCACCTGGAAGTCCTTCGCCTTCTCCTTCTTTCTTTTAGAGCTGTTACCCATGGCTGCGGTGTTGATTGGAGAAGAGATCGTCGGCGATTATTCCAGGTCTTTTTTTTGCGCGGGTTATCACACGTGATTTATCAGTTTCTGCCTGAGGTATAAATTTATCCCAAAAGGGAAGTATATCAAGATGACCCCAGATCCTCTACACTGCACACTGCACTGTGGACCACCCTTCAGCAATGAACGTATCTAATATCGATATTTCGCCAGTGAAAAATTTCAAGAAAGTTATAATTTAATCAACTTGCACCTAAGACCCGCCAATTCATCCAAGGTTAGCAAACAACAAAAGAAATCTACAGGTATACGCACCACGAGACCCTCCCCCAAAAGCCTTCGCCACCGTCTCCTGTGCAGACTGCAACAGCGTCTTATTCCTCTCGATCCCATGATCCGGGACCTCCTTAGAGCCATCCCGGAATTGCCAAATGCTATTCGGTGTATCCGACAACCGACGAGATGTGGCTCTTGTGTCGCCTAGATAGTATCGAATTACCACTGAGCCCAAGGCTGCGTACCAGCTGGTATGGAACATAAAGTACCTGGTTGGAAATGACCGGCGATCTGTTCGCGGACCTGGCTGGCGGACTCGTTGACACGACCGCCGGCTGTATCGGTGGTGTGTGTTTTGGTTGTGATCTGCTCGGACGGTTCTATATAAAGCTTGCATGAGTCTAGGCATTGGTGTTTGGAAATCCGAACTTACCGTCTGTGGTTGCAATGTCGCCCTATACGGATAGGTGAACATTGGCTTAGTCTGGGAGTGAGGGACCTCGGGACATACTGCCATGCCAGCCATTTTGATGGTGATTTGGTATTCTACAGCTGATAAAAACCTTCACGTCGAGTTCCAAGATAAGTCCGGTCTGTCCAGATGTACATAAATGTCGGCTTAACCTCCGGTGGGCAACTATTGTGATGTCATGATTTCACACGAATACTAGAGCAAAGCTTGGTAAAATCATAATCATATTGATGTCCAGGTCTAAAAACGCATAATAAAGCCCATCGGCCAAAGCCTGCTCGGCAGCGCACGGAAATTCATGTAAAAGGGACAAAAAGACAAAAAAGGACGAGAGAGATGCGCACTTCTGCCCGGCTCCGAGCTGCAAAACAAAACAAAAAAAAAGCAACAAGATCAAAGCATAAACGTCAAATGTGAAGAAAAATAAGAAAAAGCAGCTCGGGTCCCGGAACAGACGCGGTTGTATCAATCAAATCAACAAAAAGCACACGTAACGGATAATAGAAAAGTCATCAGGGTAAGAAAGGAGTCACGACCGCCAGCAACATTAGTCGTGTAATACGTGAAATTAGAGCGGCGACTGGCCCCGTCACACATAGACAAGAATAAGCAAGAGAAAAGGAAGTTCAGAGCCTACAGACTCATCGTCAACCACTCCCACTCCTGGCTTGCGCCTTGTCCACCGGCGATACTGTGGTTGGCCGGGTTGGCGGCAGCAGGTGGCGCCATCGCCGGAGCCAAAGGTACAACCTTGGACCGGCTGGCGGGGGCATTGGACTTGGGGCTCTCTTCAGCATCAGGTTCCGAGCCTGTGGGGGCTTTTTCGAGTCTGCGCTGCCGCCTGGGAGCCACTTGGACTCCGGCACGGGCCTGGGCCACACCAGCAGGTGGACCAGACTTGGGCGGAGCGGCAGCGATTGGAACGACGCCGGGCTTGCCAGTCGCGCTGGAAGAGGCAATTGAAGGCGGGGACTCGGATGCGTTGATGCGCGATCCGATGGAGTTGGATGGAGCGTGGTGAATGGAGTTCTTGCGGGAAGACTTTTTGGATGATCGAGAAGCGCCAACAGCAAGAGTGTTGGCGCTGCTGCGGTTTCGCTTCTTGATGACATCGGTTTTCAACGACAGGGGTCGGACGACACCGTGAAGTTTCAGGAACAGACCACAGGCATTGCACAGTGGCTGGCCCTCAGGGTTGCGTCGCCATAGAGGCGTGGTCTGAGTGAAACAGTTGGTGCAGGTGGTTGGCCCTGCGTTCGGGTCACCGTTCTTCGAGCCACCAGGGCTGCCTGGGCGCGAAGGCACAGCGCTGCTGAGACCAGACTCGGGAGGCGTGCTAGGGGACGGGTGAGTGGTTGGAGGTACGCTGGCAGAGCCGTTAAGGTTCTGGCGAAGCAAAGCAGCGGCATTGGGAGTTGAGGCTGTGCGCGGTACCTTTCCGTACCGGCGCGGGTCTTGCTCACGATTGCGCACTTCGCTCACGGAGGCGGCAGATCCATGGGTACGACCGAGAGAACCAGCGTGGTTCCATTCGGACGGCCCATCGATCATGTCTGTAGATCCGATCGTAACTTGTTTTCTAGGGTGAGCACCAAAGCCTGGAAGTGACTGGACTGATCCGGCATAGCCTCCATCCCAGTGTAGAGGAGGGCCGAGGTCGCCGGCATCATCCAATGAAGAAAAGTCGTTCGGCATTGCGATACCGCCGCGTTCATAACCACCATCGTCGTCCTCATTGTCCGAGTCTCCGCCAAAAGTAAACATGCTGCTGGCTGGGGCTGTTGTGGAGAACTCGCCAGACCCAAGAACCTGCGAAGGGTTGACATGCTGGTGTTGCGGGACTGAGAATCCAGAAACGTGAGTCGTGGGGGTTCCTGTGGCGGAGTTCCCCGACTGGGACTCGCCGTTGGAAACATTGTACATGTAGCGGTTGTGCAGGGAAGCGGACAGGTTAGATTGACGCTGTTGGATGTAGTTCGGGATCCGGCGCTGAGGAAGAGACTCAGAGGGCGTATCATTGAAGAACATGGACTGCTCGCCCTCGTAAATCGGTTGCGGGGTGGACACGGCCGATTGGTAGCCCGAGGGCGGGGGAGAGAAGAACTCGTTCGAGTTGAGGGACGAGGCAAGCGGCGTCTGCGAATACAGGTTCGAGAACGGATTTCCTGCCGTCATCGGTGATTCCGAAGGCGAGAAATGGAAGTTCTGCTGATAAGGTCCGGCCGAGTGAATTCCATGATCCTCGCCAATGCCAAAGGTGTCGAGCCCATATGGCACTCCCGAATGCGTATGTGAGTGCTGGGGCCTGCGCGGGCCCACCGTGCCGTTTCCTGTGAGAGCGAATGTCGAGGGAGGGTGGTCCAGCGAATAATCTGGCAGTGCTGATGAGAGGCCCGAGTGATGCGAAATCATAGCGTTGGATACGGGAGGTACCTGGGGCGAGGCCTCGGCAGGTCGCTTGCGGGTGGGCACGCCTAGGCCAGCGAAGAATTGCCGCTCGTCGACGCTCGTTTTGCGAACTCGACGGGGCACATATCCGAACTCGGAGTTGGGGTCGTGGGGAGGGTGGGGGAAAGAAGCGGCCACAGACGGATCCATCATCGCCTGATCCTTGCGCGATTTGATGGGGATGGATCCCGACGGCACTGCCGTGAAGGGGCGATCGGTCGGTTGATGAGAGTGATCGGCAGGAGAGTCGAAGGGAATGATGAAATCGTCCAAGTTCATTGGGTCTGGGGTCGTCTCCATATGCATAGGATGCGAGTGGGATTCCGCGGGGGATACATTGTCTGAGAGATGCATGTTTGCAATGTTGTTGGACGGGCTCAACGTTTCCGAGGCACTGTCAAGGCAACCGCAAATCAGCCGGAGAGTCATCCAGATCCACCCACGATACATACCGTGCCTGCTGTTCTTGCTGCTCCCGCTCCTTGCGCTTCAGATTCATGGCCATCATCCTCCAGGTCAAGTTCTCCATGCGCTCTTGGTTCGGCAGTTGGGATTTCGTCCGGGTGTAGAGTTTCCAAATCTGGGCGGCCAGAGGATCCTTCCTCTGCATCTCGTCGGGGCTATCGCCACGGGGTGCCCCGTGCGTCCACTCGGGGAAGATTGGACTCCCCAGGACGCCATCTTTGGCGTTGGAGGAACCGGCACTGAAAGGTGAGTCAAGCGAGAAGTCGTCGGACATCATATGGGCGTCCGGGTCGAAGCCGGAAAAGGCCATGTGGTGGTTCGGGCGGTCTTCCCCGTGCCCATGATGAATCCCCTCCATAATCTCCGATCGAAGGGTCGAAGGGGGGGGAGGGTCAGATAAAAGCGCCCGCGGGGGGGTGTGAAGGGCCAAGGGTGGGTTGGAATTCAAATTCCCCCGTACCCGCCGTAAACGAGACCCTTGCCGAAAGTTGATCGAATGCAGCCAAGCGGCCACCGATTGGCAGATTAGAAACGAGGGTCTGCACACCCAACGCCTATTAGCATGGATGGGTATAACATGGGGGACCTAAGCTGACCAGGAATCTGGAACTGAGGACTGGAGATCTGCCGTGGAGGGGGGGCTAGACCCTCCAGACGCTCATGCCCCGAATAGATGAATCTGCGAGGGAAGATGAAACTGACAGCGAGTGCGTCGAGTGCCCAGGTGTGTGCGAGGGAGAGATGGAAGCGAATTGTCAAAGACCCTTTTTCAAATTGCCCTCTATGGAGAATTATCTAGACAGGAAATGGAGAGAAGCGAAGGGGAAACCAGAAATAATATGATGTCGTGAAAGTCAGGTAATTTATACCGGTAATACCTAGTACAGGAGTTACGCTAAATCCGATTCGCGGCGCTTCTGTATATATCAACTACATCCTAAGATCAACCTACTCAATACGATAAAGCCGACCTGAAGCGCCACTCCCGTCTGCTTAATCCTCCATTAATATTGGTTTTATGTACTTTTGGCCCTGGGACCATGTGTCTACGGAGTGACCAGCTCCTCTCCAGCTCGCACGGCCCCCCAGAGTGGGAACCGCATATCTACAGGAAGCATGGTATATGACATTTCCGGCATCTTGACCATCAGCATCGGCCCGAGTGGTCGCAAGACCCGTACTAGACTCCAAGCTAACGTCCTCGCCCGACCCTCTATTTGGAGTCGGGACCGGTCGAAACGCAGGTACTTTAACTATCCGTGGCCTGGTGGTGGTCATTGGGCAAAGCTTGGACACTCAGAATCTGGTTCAGGACGGCGGACTACTCGCACCAAAGATATCATGTTCATTAGCGTCTCCGGAGCATGTCCAGATGGAGGCTAAGTGGGGACTGTTCGTTACTGGTGGAGTATACTTCCCGGGTCGCATGCTCTCTTTCCTGAAGCCCTGGACGCTGTGTTTCCCTCTCAATGGGTCTGGAAGGTGGCAATTCGCATGCAGGTGAGAACCATGTCCCAATGAATTAATCCGGCAGACGTCCTCGCCATCGAGGGAGGGCCGGTGTTGACATTGAAGGTCCCAAGTATAGTTGCAGCGGGGCGGGTGATACGTAGACCGAGCAACGGATGGAGCCCGAGAGATAAGAAACGTTCTACGGGTCTTCTTTTCTTTGCTTTGACTCATGTTCCTTTCTTATTTTGTCGCGTGGCCGATGCACTCATTCAAGCATATAGAGAGATATTATAAGCCACGATGGATTCAAATGCATATCATCCTGTTCAGCAGGCTGGGAAATCCTAGGTGTATAACAGTTATAGTAGAGACTCACCGGGCTCGAAAAGAGAATCCCTAAATTACCCGAACGTATCCCCGGTGTACAGGCAAAAATACGAGGTCACAGTAATTCCGTTTCCCCCAGGCACTTCATCATGGGGCAACTAGGCCGGGGACCGGTTAATATCCCTGTGTGATTTGCCACATGCGACGGCCCCGACAATAACAACTGGAGACAAGCAGTCCAATGACGCTGAACAGAGTAAGCAGATAAGATGATAAGCGAGTACATAATTAGCCGTGGTAATGCGGGCGTGATAGCTGATCTCTTATCTCATATATGAGAGTATCTTATACTTCTCATGCATCAGACCATGACTCGTGTGTGCTTTGCCATCGCGGTCTCAGGCACCCGAGTCATCCCGTCCTCGATGCGATGTCCCTAGGACTCCGTACAGGGGTGGGCCATGGCGTCCTGCACTGTCAGCCCGCGACGCCAATCTGACCGGTACTTTCGTCTCGGAATTCCCCCGCAGGAGAGGGGTTCGACCTTTTCTTTTTTTTTTCCTATGCGGTTCTTGCGGTTGCGAGAATTGTTGCCTTCTGTTTGCCTCTGGCGTCGACGACTGATTTCATATGAAGGGGAGAAACCCCCCAGGTCAAGGGGAGCTGACAGTTTTCTGCATATCAGTACACAGCACGGGTTTCCATTTGTGGGAAGCCGAAGGTGAAATCCGAACTGATCCAGGCAGTGCAGCATTGGACTGAAAGGGTACTGAAAGTGTGTGGGAGAGTACCCAGGTGTGAGGGATGGTGAGTCCTTTATAGACGGTCACCTTGATTGTTGACGCCGTGATTTTTGCTATGATTCAACGTAGCCTCGATAAGACGTGACACTAAAACAATCTCGCAACCAACGGGGTGACCCCTGGGTATCTTGGCCCAACGAAAGGCACATCAGCACAAAGATAAGACCCCCGGGCATCCAGGGCTGATTATTGGGTCTCACCTCGAGCACACCGCTATTGTGACCCTATCTCCAGATTTTCAACCCCGGAGTCTGACATTCCCACTGATCTGCGAGCGGATCCGTGGCGTTGACTTGCAATCCTCGACCTTATCTGCTCTGAATCCCATCAAAGATCTTCAAATCTGGCAAGCTGGCAAATGTGACTGGTCGCTTCTGCTATCACATGGCAGAACACCTGGGCACGCCTGGGCGATTACTATCTCAACTGACGCCATATGTAGATCGCCCAAGCACGCAAGGAGATCTGAACGGCCTCGGAGAAATTGGAACTCTTAGTCAATGGCGTATCACATCCTCATGTGCCCTATCAAGTCGAGTCCAGTCACTGATATTGTACACAGCCCAGTAGAAACTTTATATCTTATCACGCCCACGAGTCGGAGTCCGATCTATCAATTTCCTAGATGTTATCGGACTCTTCATCCGTGAAGTCTCCGCCATTCGTTCAGATTCAAAGATTGGACCTGAAGACGTAATGACCTCTCGATAACATGAGATGATACGCAATGCAGTCTCCCGGCTTGAATCTTCCCGAGGCCCAAGGTTACATCATATGAACGGTCAAGCCTCGTTGCCTATATAAAGGCTTTGTACGACCCCGGGTATAAAGGCTTAAACCGTGGGACTGCTGTCACCCTTGCTTCCAAGGTTGTGACTGCCGCCTCAAGGTTTGTCTTGGAACTGCATATGAGCCGCGACCTTCTTTGGCTTGACGTTGGGCTCAGCTCGATCCCGACAATGGGGGTAGCTTTTAACCCTTGACACTAGTACATTAATCCATTCCGTCGGTACATGGTTTGTGACACCTTCTGATAAAATCCAATCCATGGATGCAATGATCAAGCAAGGGCGTGGTACTAGGTATGAGGACATGTATCGGACCCGAAGTATGAATCTCGTAAACTGTAGATCGTGCTTGTGACGGATCCGTCGAAAAACAGAAGTGCATAAGAAATCCGCTAGCTCCGATCTACTCCGTACTTAACTAATCGAGGCAATGGTGAAATATGTACGAAGTAATGGTTATTGTGCGCTAGTATATGCAATGGCTGTTAAAAAATTGATAGGTAAATTGGCACGTGTCCCCAACCTTGGAAGCAATCCAAGACTCGACTCTATCCAAGCAACTGGCGTGTCAGTCTCCATGGAAAAGGGGCTCGATTGGCGATAGTTCCAATTGCCATGCCGAACAGATCCATTCTCCACCCTTACGAGATCCTGGGCACGAAATCACACGTGTGAACAGGGGCCCCATCGGTTCATAAAGGGGAGAGAAAACTTGGAAAGAGGTAAGAAAAAAAAGAAAATCTATGTAGATGACCCAAAACAGAACCTCCCAACATATATGGGGCGGATTACGCCGCATACCAGACAACCACCCGCCAGAAACCCCCAACATAACGAAAAATGCAAAACAATATGGACAAAGGACGTGAAGAGAATCGGTTCTTCAGACGAAGCGGAAGACACCGAACATGGGTGATGAGATCAACGACCATGATAGAAAAAGAAAGTAAAAATGAAAAAAAAAAGTCCAAAAATCATAGAAAATGCCACCCGACAGCCCTTGCGCCCGCTAATGATCAGCTGCAAAGCAGACCCACCACGGTGTATGAGGATGAGGTGAAAACGTAGAAGAGAAAATGCCAATTGGGGAAATGGTGCGCAAATCCCACGGGGTATTAGAAATGAAGCAAGCCGTCTAGCAATGTGATGTAACGTGATAAAGATCAGAGTCCAAAGAAACATGGAGAGAGGTGATATAAAGTCGAAGGCCGAAAGAGAAAAAGCATAGGTTTCTTCAATTGGGTGACCGACCCGAAGCCCCAGGATGTCCCATCGGATGGCTGGAAGGGTAAGGATGTTGGGGCACAGCGTCGCCGGCATACATGGGGTAAGGGACGACGCCCATGCCGGACATGGCATTCATATCTTGCCATTGGGGATAGTTCATGCCTGGTGGGTACGAAACGGAGCCGGGGGTCATGTCGGGGCCGCCGGGGGAGGTGGGGGCGCCCATTGCATTCGCAGACAATGGCTGGGCTGGGGTGGTCATTCTGCGTTTGAGCTCCGGGGGCATTTGCGGGTGGAACTGGTTGGTGTAGGACGGGCCCATTTCCTGGCCTGGGTAGCTCATTGTGCGCGGTGGTGGAGGAGGGACCTGCCAAACGGTTCCGTCGGGTTGCATGGCGTATGTTGGCGTCTGGGTCATGGGCTGCGCTTGAGCTCCCATTGGGGATGCGGCGGATATCGGTGAGGGTGGTGGGAGTCCAGAGGGCATGTTGCCTCCGGTCCACATATTGGGAGACATATTCATCATGGCGCCCTTTCCGTTGGTCATGGTATTCAATAATTGGGGGTCTGATATTGTCGTAAATTCGTCCCATGCGACTCCTGGATCCATCGGTTGATGTCCAGTGAAGTCTCCAGGTCCCATTGGTCGGTCTAATTTCAGATCAGTCACTGTCCGGCCAGAAATCCCAATTCGCCAGGGAAATGCCTACCAGGTGTTAGACTCATGTTAGTTTGCACCATGCCAACATTATACGTTGACATGTCCGGAGCGGTGGGGGTATCCATGGCCATGGCTGGGTATGAATAGAAGGTGTCGGCGGTCTCGGGGACCAGGTTATTTGGGGATGAAGCAATTGGTGTAGTGGCCGAACGCTCGGTAGACGGGGTCTCCAATCTTGAGCTTGGGCGGGATTTCTTCTCAATAGGCGGTTGTTGATCGACGGGGAAGAATTGACAATCCTTTCGCAATCGGATGCAGTTTTCGCATCGTCCTTCGGTGTCATCTGGCGCGACAAGACAGCGAATCTTGCGTCGTCGACAATGCACTGTGTCTCAAGTATAAGTCGAACTGTCACATGAATCGCATGTGAATGACCCCACTGCGACAGGGGGGATTTCGCGTCTCGACACGAGTCGAAGAGAGAGAGGAGAGGATAGCTAGGTACTGACCACAGGCAACGGAGGTTCGATGATATCCCAGCTTGTTACGCTTCTTGTCGTTGGCGTCCATGGCGCTTTGTGAGGTTGGTGTAGATGACATGTCGAGAACAGCCGCGGGCATAGCTCCCACGAGCAAGATAGTGTTATTGAATCGATGATAGGCTCATCAAATTCAGCCTTCGACAGAACTCTGCGCGACAATGCAAAGCCGGATGGCGCCTCGGGGGGCGGAATGGATGAAATGCGACAACTATGACCACGAGGCCATACAGACAGGGGAGGACCGAGAAGTGCGCGCTGAGGGTGACGCTCTAATTCTCACTTCCAGATCCACATGCGCCACACTGGACCAGGCCTGATATTGCGTTTCAGAGAGCGAGAAATCGGGAACGGTGGTAGGATCCGCTGTCTCAAAGGCAACGCACTGCGATGGTTGGGGATAGATTGGGGATCCCAGGTCGTTCGCCCACAGCCAGTTATGACCGAATTAATCAATAATTATAGTAATTAGAGTGTTCATGGAATGCCGGGGGTGTTTAGACGGGGTTAGGGCCGAGAAGGTTATCGTAGGCCAGTTTGAGATCGGAGAAGAAACACACTAGGGGGACCAGTCAAACGATAATAACCAGAAAGAGATTAGTAAGGGAGCCAAAAATAAAAAAGAGAAAAATGAAATGGGCCAAAGGAGTGAATATGAAGTGAACGGTGTGGGAAGAAAGGAAGAGAGCAGATCGAGGATGTACTATAGTCCAACAGACAGAAGCTAATCGCGGGGTGAAACGCCCAATTGGCCTGTGGTATTTTGATTTTTTTGATTTTTTTTTCTTTTTTGGTTTTATTTTTTTTTTCACTTGAAATTATGAATTAAATTTTGATTTAATAGTATAATCCCACTGTACGTGGACCAAGGTGGCTCTGCATCATCCCAAACTAAGACTAACACGGATGTATCGACTTGGCCCAAATCAACTGCAGGTCATTGACAATGGATGATCACTTCAGGGGGGACAACTTTCATTCACCTCAACATGACTAGACTACCGGTCAACATTGCCAGTTCCTGTTGAGAACGGACACGGAGCACAGTACGGAGTATTCTGAACGAAATTATTTATTTCCCAGCATTTTGGAACGGTAGACAGGATTCGAAGTACAGGACTCGTACAGGCCCCTGATTGCGTACGATAGACCCGGTTCATCAAATGAGGCCCAGGGAACCATGGTCTGGGAGCCCTGACAAGAGTGGGGAGTGGATGTTGGACGATGACCGCTCGTACTGGACCATTTGGGTTTAGAGCCAGGAGGGATACCTGTCAATCATTGTTGAACTGGGGAATACTTCCTTCAACTCCCGGCTTAGTGATTGGCGAGGCGAGCTTAGGTCGGCACCTAGGGCCAATAGGCAGGCCGCGTCGAGGGTCCATTGTACCAATTGAACCTTCTCTCTCTGGTCATTTCCCAGGCTGATCCCTAGAATCATTTGAAGGCTTCTCGAAGATGCAGCTCAATCTAATGTCCACATGGGCTTCTGGAATGGAAGTGCAATCTTAAAATCCCATGGCCAGAACTGAAACGAACCACTTGGGATGATTGGTTCTAAAAACAGTTTCAGGGTCCACGGCTGATGTGTATCAGGTTATACCCGAGCGGTGGAGTGTTCTCTCTTTAACTGCCCCAAGAAGCATCTCTTTCCATCCAGTCCATTAGTCTAGGTCTCCTCTCCAAAGGTGAATCATCGCTCCATTGCATCCACCTGAGATTCTGGATATTCTGGATATTCTGGATGATCTGGAGATTCGAACGAGATTGGGCCAATGAGAGGACGCGCAGACTCTTCGTCATGGACCCAACAGCGTTTCCTTGGGTGAGCAGCCTCTAGCAGGACAATCAGGACAATCTTCATCGGAGTAATTAATGTTTCACCGTCTGAATCTGGGAATTTGTTCCACGAACAGTACGCGGCCTTTAAGATTAGATCCAACCTCCAGCCCAGCACGTTTAACGTGAACTTAACAGATGCAGATGAAATCAATCAGCTACACAGCCCTGAGCTACACCCAAGAAGGACATCAGCCCGAAAAACGAAAAGCCTTGAGGCCTGAGAATGCAAGCGATCTCTGTAACAGCGGGGCTGGTCAAGGTTTAATTAAGGATCGTCTCACCTCTGGTAGCGCGTTACAGCCTGAGTCTTGGCATTCGCATGGGGCTCATCGGGGCATTTTCCCCCTAAGATTTTGGAGATAGCATTAGACTACAGACTCAGGTTAATCCCACTTAAGGGGGGAGATCAGCGATGGGGACAACGTGCTTGTTCTGGCGACAGAGAACGTTTGTTCATCGGGGATCCAAAAAAAAGGGGGTGGCTATAATACCAATGGCCACTGGCCAAGCTGAAAGAGGAGAACGTGTCAAGATCAGGCTTGGAATGTACAACGGAGCAGAGCTGGGAGTGGACAATGATCTTCAATTCCCAAGGTTGTATCACGTCAACAAAACCCCTCAAGGCCAATAAACGCCACTGATCACCGTGCTCCGTCCATACGAGATAGCCCAACTCGCATGACTGCTAGTACATGGAGTCAACTAGGGACTTTGTACTCCGTATGAGACCGAGTCTTCGACGGTGCCACTTACACCTCGACTCAAGCCCAAGGGGATGGCTCGACCGCCCTTTGGTGAGAGCAGGAGTGCTCACGCTTCGGCCCCGCCCCTCAGCACGCTCTCGTCCAAGATCGACGAGCACGGGACTTGAGATGGCTTTGGGCAGTCTGATTGGGCCTCAGAAATAGAGACTCTTGGGGTGCACCTGCACCTAGAGATCCAGTGCATGTATGACGCGGCAAATATCATAGATCTAGCGCGATTCCCAAAACCCACAATATACGAGTGCATCTGCATCTCGTGTAGGCTGGAGGCATAATTAGGTAAAGCCCCAACGGGCGTCGCGTCGTTGTCGATCAAGGATATTGTTTAAAGTGAAACAAGGGTCCAGGGCTGAGATCTTGAATTCTGGATCTCGGCCAAGACATCCTTTCTCACGGTTCTAGAAGTTCGGCTGCTGTCCGTGAGGTTTTGTTTCCAGTGCAGGTGTTTCAGTGAATTCTTTCCCTTCTGGGGTTAGCCATTCCTGTCCTGCCAAATCCCAACTGCCGAGCTTCGCAGTGGCGTGCATGTCGAGTGTACCTGAAGACCTGGCGATTGCTCGAATGGGTATAGTAGTATCATTTCGGATGTAATGCTATTTTGGAGTCGACTCCGCCTTGCATCAGTAAGGCTGGAAGTACACGGAGTAGTCCGTGAGTCAACAGAGTACATACTATACTGTAGTCTTCGTACGTCGTACTAGTACTCATACATACCTATGTAGTCTACACTAGATCCTACCTGTCGCATACTCTCCCTGCAGATGTGATTCAACAATGCATTATGATCAGTTCACACGGAAATCTACTTCCTCAGATCGGAGATCCCCCATGTGGAGCTGAAGCAGAAACCCTCACTGGTTCCTCTCCTCTGGACCGGGTGTTTCACTATGTTCGGGCCCTTGACTTCATTTGGTGCTCGGCTCCTCTCAGAGGGGTCTCTCCCTTAACCTGCAACCTGCCTTACGCGTCCTCCAGAACATCCCTCTTTTACCCTATGCGCCTTTTTTTTCCCTTGAATTATTTTTAGCACCTATTTCCTGATTTGTGATTCTCGGACTTTTCTCGACAGAACGGAGAAAAGGAAGGTGGTACTGTGCGATCTGACAGCGACCGTTGAACCAAATCGGCCGAAAAAAAGGGGGTTTTCCTCCCCGGGCTCTGAGAATTAGCCGCCGCTTGATGTGAAACATGTACGGAGTAGGCTTTAAATTCTTGCCTGTCGGCATCTTGCCGATATGTGATTTTTTAATCGCTTACGCGCACGACTACCCGTACATCGACAGCACGGGCTTGTCTGATACAACATGCGACACAGGTTCGCCCACATCGACCGATGATGGCATGACAACCAACATAAGCACACCACGCCCGCGCAAAGGTCTCTCTATCTCGGTCGCCGCGCGCATCAATGACCATAATCTCCGGGAATGTCTCGGTGTCTTGTGATGGTGGGGGTGCCGAGGTAGTGGCGAGTAACCCCAATGGCACGTACTCGTATGGATATGACTGGTGCAAAGGATGTCCTGTCAATCTGGTATACTTTGTGGATGCGTGCGATTCCTTCTGATCGTAGCCTCGGTGAAAGACTCCCAGCGGCGGACAACATTGGTGGGCGGAGACGAAGCGCACGTTGTATTTCAGGGGGAAGGACACTGTAATTGGCTCATCCACGGAGCTCGCGATAGAGAACGAGATAGAAGCCTCGTGGGCAACTAAGACACCTTTCTCTTGCGACGCCTCATTGGTTGAAAGTGTGAGAGATTGGGTTGCCACCCTGCAGGCTGGGCTTGGCTCGGGGTCTCTGGGGAGTGTAAAGGCCTCGGCGGTGATGTCTGCGGTGCCTAATGGAGATGATTCCAAGGCGAGCCTAGCGCCCTGCTTGATTCGGGGTTTGCTCGAACACCGCTGAACCTCTTCGACAGTGAGCTCGAACCAGCCACTCTCGAGAATCTCCAGTGTAGTCGCATGGCGAGGGACCATGTCACTGCCAATCCACCCCATGCATGTACTAGCTCCAGTCAAACTGGACAAGACACGTCCAATGATGCAGGCTTTGCTCCACCAGCTCCGCTCACCAAGGGTGAACCCTCCATACAGACTAGCAGTCGTACCCAGTTGATCGAGAGCCGCGACATCGTTCTCCAAGATCGTCGCCATCAGCAGATGGCTAATTCCCTCACCGGGAATCACGAAACCAGAGAGCCATGTGCGCGAGATCCAGCCTAGGGACTGAGGCTGTGTCGGATCGGAGCCATTAAGCTTCACGCGGCGCCGACAGGGGTCTCGCGTGTACATATCTGCCCTGGCCAGTGACGGGGTCAGGGAAATGTTTCCCTGACCCCACCTGTCAACGATCAACGCCGGCAGCACCGGGCTCGTGCAATCTCCAAGTTTGACTTCCATGGTAGTCTTCAACTCAGCGATTCTCGGCCATCCAATGTTTTCCGCAAAAACATACAGTCCCTCGAGCTGCTGCCGGACATGCGTCGAGCTCAGCTGACAATCCCACGCAGACTGCAGGTCCCCGACAGGCAAGGAGCTCTTCCGGGTAAGTGCTTCGAGGAATGCAAACCGATGGCCTTTCTCCGGCGATTTGGGCGAAGGCTTCGACCGGGCGCTGTCCGGTGTTGGTGGTGACGGACAAGAGATATCAAGACTATTCAGGAACCGTCGCACAACAACCAGATCCCAATTCACCTTCCCTTCTCGCAATTTCTCGAATTGTCGGAGCTCCTGGACAGTGATGTTGCCACCGTGCGGATCATGCAGCATATCGACTCGCACAAACGCATCCAAGCGAAGAAGCAGTTCCGCGGAAAGCAGCAGTTGAATCAGAAGCCACTTCCGCTCCATCCCAGACTTGATGAGGCTCTCACTCAATCCCTCGCCGGTTCCTGTCTTGGTTCCTGACGTGGGCGTGAGACAATCCCCATCGCCATGCTGCGAGGCCTCCCAGAGAACCTGCCCGGCCCGGAACCGCCATTCAGGTAGACTGAAATTGATCCATGCGCCTGGTGTGGCCAGCACGACTGCCAGCGTCTTGATTTGCGATTTGATGCTTTCGGGATGACCTGCGAGAATGTCGGCGGGCGGAGGGTGTGGGTGGAGGAAGCGTGTGTGTAAAGAGTCGTGAAGCTGGCGGGGGCTCTCGATGTCTAGGATTGTTTTCGTTGATCCTTCACGAAGCATGTCTTCCCGGAACTGACGCAGATGTTCCAGTCTTTGCACGAGAGATCGAAGATTGATGTCTCGTACGCCAATGCGCTTCCAGGCTTCAGGTCCCTCGGAGATCAGTCGGTGTCGATCGAACACTGCGCCGCTCTGGCACTGGGAATAGGGTTTGTTGTAGCCTTCCATTAGTTCAAATGCTTCGGTGGCGCCCATAGTAGATATCTGACGCATATACTCGGGCCTTTTGGGCTCTTCGGGTCCGGTGAATCGCACAGCATCAGATACAGGTAACTCGAGGAAATGTCGAAACCCTACAGTACCGGGCTCCTTCCCATTATTAGATAGCATGTTGGGCACTTCGAAGATACCAATGTCGAATGTAGCTCTGTTCGTAGCATCTGTCCGGCGCCAGTCGTATGCCTGGATTGGAACACCCCCTTTGACGACCCAGTCATCCGGGACCGGTAGATGAGCGTGAAGTGTACTGAGTGTAAAGGATGCATGTGGTAGTGGCTTGCGATCCCACATGTGTTGGACCACCGCGTTTTGTTCGTCCCAAGGGAAAATCACCTGGGGATAAAATCGCTTATGTTTGCCTCTTTCGAGAAGAAAGTGAGGCGCCCCTGATAGCAGCGCCTTGACTTCGTTCTTTGTGAGCGTGCCACGATCCGACGGACTGGGCGCTTTGCTAAATGCGCTATCGTGCGGCTTGCTCGCCGTGTCTAGTCTGTTCTCGAGAAAGTCTTGTATGTTTCCGGGCTGTTTTGGCTCGCAATGCTCTCCAGCTGTGGGAGTCTCGTCCGGGCGAGGGCTCCGAGGGCTCCGGGCGGACTCTTTGCCAGGGGGGCGCTGGTTACTAGCCGGCGTCGGGACAGGCGGTGCACCTTTCTGTATGTGATCATGCGCCTAGCTCCTTGTAAGCCCACCTCTCACAGATATCAGCCAATTGGTATTCTCACAGGTATATCCAGCGGTGACACACTCCCACTGTGTCTTCGTAAAAGGCCTCGGAGGCCTCTCTCGGAATGATCGTCTACATGGCGACCAGATGGGATCCGGCGATGCGCAAGTGAGGGTCTCTGCGTTTCATGGTGCGGGGGTGCTGCGTCCGACTGAGAGCGACGGCGGCTGAAGAGGAACGACATGATCAAGTGCAGAGCAGCTCATCGTAGTCCAGACGAGGTCACAAAAATGGGCAACCGTCAAATAAGCATCGGAATGCGGAGCGCTGATCTCGGCCTTTCGGCTCGTGGCGACGGCAAAGCGGCAAGTGGATGACAGGTGCGTCACCGAAATTCGACCGAACGAATTGCCAGATTTTTTTAGGCCTGCAGCAGACGTGTTCGAATGTAGAAACGCCCTGAGACCGTTGAAAGTCATGACGTCGTGACGTCGGGAGTGGTGCAAACTGAGAGAAAACTGCCTGGATTTGGATGAGGATCTGAGGGTATGTCATTCTCTAATGTACATTGTCATACTTGAATACTCGATTCTAAATTTATTGGGAGCTCCGGCTCTTTATTCGGGAAATAGTATGATGTTTGTTGCTATACTTCACCAACACTAGATATATTTCTGACCTCCCGAACCGTTGGAATACCTTTTTCCACCTTTTTCTTGAACTCACTTGTTTCGATAGCCTTTAAAATGGATTCGCCTAATAGTGTAACATTGGAAAATGAAGTTTTGCAAGTAAAATCTTGGAAGCGACCGTAAACAACATGTATGGATGTGTACAAACCTTGGAATACCTAAGGACTCTACTGCAATCCTGGAGGCACTTGGTGCATTGCTCCACACTTAGGCATACCATAACCTACCCAGGTAAAGAAACCTCCAGGGCTCTCAGTGTTCCAAGGTTGCTTCTAAGGTTAGCTTGAAACTCGAGAATTGACCCGCCTACAGAGCTGTAGAGTAGTTCATAGTGACTATTGTCTCTGGAGGTGACAATGCTTCAACTCGGAACATCCCGAGCTCGTGCCAAATACCTTAACATTGGAAGTGAAAATCGCACGTGTGCTGCAATATTCTATCACCAAAAGAAATTCATTCAAATTTTGGCTGTTAAGTTCGTAAAACGGAAGATTCCAATGTTCCTTTCGGTCACCAAAAGTCTATTATATGGGAGACCCGCTCACGAGTACTGCTGGAAGAACCCAAGAACAGTCTTGTAGCCCCTCTCGTACTCCTTGCGAACCTCAGGATTCTCCAAATCAGACCGAGCAGCCATCCAGCCATGGATCTGCGAACCAAAAGTCTCAACATGCTTAGGACCCTTCAGGTTCGCCTCAAAGTCCTTGACGTCCTGAACAGGCTCGTCTCCAGAAGCAAGCAAGGCCATGGGGATGTTCACAGCCTTGGCGTCATTTGCATCAACCATGGCAGGGTGGCATTGTGCCGCCGCCTTGAACAGCTTGTTATCGGCGCCGGATGACAGCGCAGCAATCTTGCCACCCCAGCAGAAGCCCAGGATGGACCAGGATTGGAACGCGCCGCCGGGGGCGAGTTTGTTGCTTTCGGAGACGACGGTGGGGATCTTGGAGAGTGTCTTTGGGGGTGCGGCTTGGTTGGAGAAGAAGGCGCCTAGCTTCTCTTTGTGCTCGTCTGTTGTGGGTGGGTACCAGGAGATGTCTGCTGGGGAGCCTTCGAAGAAGTCGGGCATGAAGACGCGGTATTTCTGCTCGGACGAAGTGGAGAGAAGGTCGGCGCCTTGGATGGTTTGGTCGAAGAATCCGAAGATGTCTGGAATGGTTATGTTAGTATTGGTGCGGGGTGTGATTTTGAATGGCAAACTGACCGTAAACCACCATAATGGCCTTGGAGGCATCCTCAGGACCAGTGACATCTAGAAATGATTAGATCGAACATTCCCCAATGGGATGAGGCCAACTCACATGTCTTCAAGCCATTGATGGTCTTGTACTCTCCCTTGGGCTGGTAGCCCTTGGAGACGACAGGAGGGATTCTGGGATCAGTCAGCACAGCTCAATTCCATTTGACTCTGTAGACCTACGAGCAACAGGCTTTGCTGATTCCAGACATGTTGTAGTGATATTGAGAGGTTATAGAGAACAAGAGGGGAAGAGTAGAAGTAGAAGTAGGGGAGTACCCCGCCTGTGATGTCATCGCGGCTATGGGTTTAAGCCGGATGCCACTACATCGCCCAGTTAGGCTGGCGATGGACGATTCGCTGGTTGCACATTTGTCTCTCCCGTGGCTTCAATTGACTCTGTTCATATCTGAGACCTGAATCATGTATTGGCTTACACGGTCAAATGACAGCAGTTTTCAACGGATAATTCAGGGAACAGATCAGATAGGAAATATTCGACAAGAAGCATTAAAACCCTTGGAAGTATACTCCAGACATGCCTGAGGATGTGAGAGATCTAAACCAGTTGACCCAAGGTTGGAATGGTAATGCAAGCCTGAGGCACTCCATATCACCTCAACCCTACTTCGTAGTACAAGAGAGCCATGATCAAGGCTGGGTGAGCAGTCTTCGAGAGGCTGCTGGACAACCTTGGAAGTCCCTACTCGAGGATATGGGATGAATATGAAGACCTGCAGTGCACCCAGAGGGTACCACAAACACCATGTCGCAGGAGGACCACCTTATTTATGCATATAAGAGTTCCACAGCAGAGGCTGTCCAACCAGACATCTGTGAGATTGACCCCGAAGCTGTGAGAGTCCTGCAGATGGGTCCCATCCCGGTGGTCGCCAGGGTTGAAGCGAGAGAAACTCCTCTCGCTTCAAAAAGAGGCTAGACTCGCGCATGCAAATAGACCCACTGGGAATGCTCTAGGTTTTGAATGTGTCAGGTCGGAATTTTGCCGCAAGGGGGCCTCACAGCCAATGCTCGTGCTGGAATGGGAGCAACGGTCCAAACCGAAGCCGAGATCGTCTCGCCTCGTGATCGAAACGCTTAGACACAGGTGCCCGGTGAGGCTAAGACCCAATGCATACTACTGCTCGATTTAGCCAGCGCCATTTCCCGAGGCCAGACAGACTCGGGGAGGACTGGTCAGGGAGCAGAGCCAAACCCCGATTCTGCACGAAACTCATGGGTCGCAGATCTCCCGGATGACAAGGCAGTCAACCTTCCACGCGCCATTCCCGGGGAACGGTCTGAACGCCCAACCGCCTCTCCGAAGCCACACCGGCAAGAGCCGACGCAGGCGACACCAAGGCGTTCACGATCAGCCGGGTGGATCCTTGCGGGCTGTCACATCTGAGGAGCAGCCTTGCATGCGAGTGACTAATCGGCTGCGAACCACACCGTGCCAGGGAGGGCAAAGACGATCGGCCGGGTAGCAGCGTTGGAGGGGCGATTGTCGACTGATCGTCGCTGGAGTGAACCCTTTCGGGTCGTCTAGATGCGTATCGAACTTCACGATCGAAAGTGGAATGTCCATAAAGTACACATTATATCTGGATTCTAAGCGATAGGTGCACACAGAACTAAGGACTGAGGCACGGAGTATGCGTTTGAGAATGTGACTTGCCCAAGACCCCCTTTTTTTTTCTCTCATTTTTTTTCTTTTTCTCTCATTTTCTATTTTTTGCCGTAATGTTTCGATTTTTCTTTTTCCGTGAACTAGTAACGGACTACTACCAAATACGGGGCAGCAATGCGGACCGGATCGTAATATTAAATTCCATGCAAGTGGACATGTCGACTTTTGCCAAGCACCTCAGCTGTTGACTTGACTTTCCCCCTCTTCTCGGGAGATATTTCCAGCAGATCAGCTCTGTCAGATTTCATATATTCTATATTGTTCGATCGGAGTACGGAGTATGGGTGGAGAGACCCTTTTTACGGAGTACTAGTAGTACAGATTTGATTCGTTTTGGCCCTGTGCTTTTGAATGCAGTGGACGGGGTGATGATTGGTGGATAAGCCATTTGACACCGGGAGAGGCCCCAGGAAGAGTCGCGTGGAAGGCTCCAGGCCTGTGAGCCCCGAGGGAGAAACCCGAGGGAGTGGATCGAGGCGATTGGCTTTGGAGGCGAGGGTAGAATGTATACTGGACTAGTCCTATGAAATCCCCGAGATCGAAATCCTCTTGGGGGCGAATTACTCGTACTATACGGAGTACTCCGTACTTACGGAGTACCTCGTACTGGTACCCAACCTTGGAATACTCTACTCCGTACAGGACAAATAGAATAGGAGTTAGAGCAATAGGAATAGAACAAATAAAGAATCAGAATCAGCAGACCAAAACCAAAACGGAGAACCAAAAAGACGCTAACTCGAATCGACGAATGAAGTGCCGTGCTCGCTTGTCAGTGCCCTGTCGGTGCTTCGCCTGTCTCTCCCTCTGGGTCTCGTATTCTGGCCATTCCGGCCCTGTCCGTGCGTGGCAGCTTATTGGGTAGAAATCTCACCGCGACAGTCCCAGAAAAAAAAAAGGAATATTTATGAAATTGAATAGCCCTTTGATTCTCTCCGAACGCAAGGAGATATCTCGAAGGCCAGAGGGTCAGTATGTACGGAGGAGAGTCGAATTAGGGACAGGTAATAATGGATGTACCACTAGTATCCAGGACCTCGAAAAGTAATCTAAAAAGATAATTATAATTATGGCCCAGACTCCCGCCGACCCGAAAATTCCATATTGACTTCTTCTTTCTCTCTTATATACTCCCCCGCGCTTGCTATCGCGGTGTTTTGCCCCCACATCTTTCCTTTTCTTCCTTTTAACCATTTTCTGATTTCTCTTGAAGATGGACTTACCCTGACCTTCTCTTGCTACTCTATCTACCCTCGCCCTGGATTCTACCTGCCCTTCGGGGGGCGTACCTGATCGAGATTGGGCCTTGAGCGGATCTTTTGGTCTGACAGCGACCATCCCAACCTTGAACGATCCCGACTTCTACGTAGGCGTGCAGAACCCATCCGCAAACCTGGCGACTCTTGCAGCGCCAATGGGGACAGCGTTGGACCCGTTGTCGGCCCCGTTGAACGTTCGTCGCCCGGCAGCGCCAACGCTGCCGAGCTTCGAGCTCCCTCCACCACCGTTCACGCTGGCGGCGGCCGCCCCCAAACTCGGGAGCCAGTCCAGCCATCCCCCAATCTCGCAGCCCGCGAATGTGAGCGTGGGGAACCTCCTAACGCCACCCGCGACCATTCAACCGGGGGAACACGCCACACCGCAGCCCTTGGCGCCATCAACAGGCGCATCCGATCTGCCACCAACCTATTGGCCCGCCAGTCCCTACGGTCACCCCTGGGGCTCGACAGTGAATGCCTACTCAGCGCGCACTTCCTTCTCACCATCCTCGGGCATGCAGGTGCGCTCATCCATCACATCACCCGCCACCGACGGACTGCCCCATCCATATGAGGCGCCCTCCGTATCTTATCAATCCTACCAAGCTCTCCCCGCACCCTCCACCATGCCTCCATCGGCCTCTCAACCCGCCCTGTCCATGTACCCCGGGGGACCCGCCACATCCCCCGCGCCTCTCCCTTCTAACGATCCATATGCCGCCAAACCCCAGCATATGTATGCCGCCTCGCCACCCATGGCCAGTCCCCAAGCAGGCTATCCCATGTATGGCTCAGCCGGCCTAGGCATTCACCCACCAGGTCGCATCCCCGTCCCCAGCCCATCAGCTGGACAGCCTCCACTCGGATACCCCCGTCAGCCCTGGCCCTCGTACTCACTTCCCGCCATGAACGGCCCCGTCATGACCAACGTGCACAGCCCCGGCGGCCCCATGTCCATGATGGGCATGCAGCCTGGTCTGCTCCCGGGATTCAACAGCGGCCATGTCGCCAGTTCCCAGCATTTATACGGTAGTCACGCGCCACCACATGGCATGTCTGCCCCCGCGGCCGACCGACCCTTCAAGTGTGACCAGTGTCCGCAGAGTTTCAACCGGAACCACGATCTCAAGCGCCACAAGCGGATTCACTTGGCCGTGAAGCCTTTCCCCTGCGCACATTGCGACAAGAGTTTCTCGCGAAAAGATGCTCTCAAGGTATGTAATCTAATCACACCGCAATGACTATATACTGACTCGACTAGCGACATATTCTCGTCAAAGGGTGCGGAAAGGACGGTGACGACGGCAACGGCAGCCAGACCGGAGTCGACATCAAGGGCGAAGGACGAAGCGAGGACGGCAGCCCACTCCTCAATGGGCGTTGAAACAGCATCTCTGGTGCTGAGATGTTACTACCCCCGAACCTAATTCTCTGTATCTACTAAGGTGAGGGGGGTCATACCTAGGCATCGGGAGTCGGGGTTCTCTCTTACCGGATTTTACTTGACATTTATCTTTTTTTTTATCAGCCTCGGCGAAGGGTGTGTGATTTGGGCATGGGAAGGTGTGAATTCTGCTTTTGTTTGATATCCGGTTTTCTGTTTACAATATGTGCTTATCGGACTCATGTGTGACGGTACCTATCCTGCTTCTGTGTGATTTAAAGCGATTAAGCGAACTGTTAATTGGATGGGCAACGTCAGTATATACCAACTATTATGATCTGCATATTCAAGAAACGAACAAAAAACTTTGAGAAATAGACTTGAACCTGCAGGTTGGATTCTTAGAGCCCTAGGTTACATGCGGACAACCTTGGAAACCTTGGAACATTTCTGAAATGTCTTATTCTAATTAGACAGCGGATGAGATGAGTCTATTCGGGTTTATTCACATCGGCTTGATCGACTCAGGTTTATTCAGGCTTGTACCCCCTCAATAAAATGTAAGATCTTGCGTGTTTGACAAACGAGGCAATTAATTCTATAAAAACCAGCACTGCTCGACTATTGAAATCAGAACCGAATAAGACGTGGGAAGCCAAGGAACCAAAGATTCATGCCTCCATACAAGTATATGATCGTCCTTTCTCTTTGATCCCATCCAAACTATAAAATACTCGCCGAACAAAATCCCTGACCGCGCCCCAAATCCAATTTCAGCCCTCATATCCTTTTCTCCTGGAAATTTTAGTTAGCCATGTTCACCACGCGCCTGCTCATGCTGGTGATATGCCTGGCAATTCCATCCTCGGCATTCCCAAAACGGCAAATGGGGTCCATCTCTCCATATACCCCGAACATCGGCAGATCCAACGGAATCTACCAGATCCCCAGCACCCTGTACAACGGATCCAGCAAGGCTCAATTTGACATTCAAACAGAAACATCAACCCTGGACACCAGCACACTCCTGAGCCTGGATGCACCAAAATTCGATACAATCAACGCCTCCGTCTTCGACTGGTGGTATTTCGACGCCGTGTCCGAAACTAACCCGGACGTTTCATTGACCATAACATTCTTCTCTTCAACGGCTGCAGCATTCCCATTCCTGGCCGCTAATCAATCCTCGCCGCTCACGGCTTGGATCTGGGCTTCGTTCGCTAATGGGACTGTCTTTGCTGATTATGTTCCAGCAACTGTCGCGACTTTGACAGGCGTTGACGGGACTCATACTGAAGGTGCGGGAATCTGGCATGAAACGGGATTCGCTTGGGGTGCTTCGACGGCGCCTCAGACTAGGTATGAGGTTACTGTTGCTTCGGAGAAGCTCCAGGTTCATGGACGACTTGGTTTGACTGCGGTTAGTGTTGAATGAGTGTTTTTGAGAGATATTTTGCTGATGCGTGAAGTAGACGGTCCCGTATCATTTGCCGTGCGGGATTCAAAAGGAGAAATCAATTCTTGAAATTGCTCCTCATATCGGATGGGTCAATCTCGTGCCCGATGCCGAGGGCGTTGTCGATATGAACATACGTGGATCGACATTGAGTTTCCGAGGTCCGGGCTATCATGACAAAGTGAGTATTAACATGCTTTGTAAATGTGAACAGAGCTAACGTTTTCCCAGAATTGGTCTGATAGACCTTTCATGGAATCGGTCGAGAGCTGGTACTGGGGCCATGGTCGTCTGGGCCCGTACTCGATTGTGTGGTTCAGTTTTCTCGCTCTGAACGACACTACGAACTCAACATATGTTAGTAGCTATGTCGCGAAGGATGGAAATGTTCTTGTTTCCGCTTGCGACGCGAGTCTGCTCACTGTGCGTCCGGTTGGGAGCCCTGGTACCACGGGGGGACGGTACCCGCCCATGGCAGGGGATATCCCTGAAGGATTTCATTTGGATTTTGATTTGGGGGAAGAAAGTCACCTCTTGGTTAATGTTTTGATGAGAGCAGTTGTTGCCGGTGATGGTGAATACTATGTGCGGTGGACGGGTGATCTGGCTGGCGAAGTGAGCAGGTCTGAGAGTACATTGCGCGGACCTTGTCTCCCTAGCTCGGAGAGCGAGCAGGGTAGAGAGGACGCTTTGATTGGGGTTGCGGTTTTCGAACAATTTGTAGTGTTGGAGTGAGATGGCGAAAGAAAATCAAAGAAATTTCAGGTTTATACAAGATATTTAACCATTCGTAGGATGCGTGGGTATAGAATGAGGTTGGAGAGTGGCTCGAGCCAGACACAAAGTTGAGTAGGGTGTGAACAGGGAATGAACATGACATGATATGCGAAAGGAAATTAAAGATGCAGAGAAGCTAAAGCAAATGCAAAACTCATTAGAATCCTCCCTTCAGAGCTCGATGCATCATCGAGTAAGCTGCTTGGACTTCCATTCATCCACCAATCCGCGATAATCTTCAGCGCCGTAAGGCTCGAAGCATCGGGCCAACAATCCCCGTTTCCGCTGTGTGGGTAGGCCCAATTCCTTTAACATCAAATCGACATAAGGAATAGCATCAAAGACAAAGTCGGGATTCCGTCGCCCAAACCCAGCTGGGTACCGGTACCTCCCGAACTCGGAATGCAGAGTCGTTTCCCAAACGAGGTCGATATCAGTACTATCTTCCATCTTGAGATCAGATGCCGCTCGCACAGCGGGGGGACATCTCTCGTGCGCGGTTGGCGTCAAATCGCCGCGGAAATACGCTGCTATCCACAATGCCTGGGCTTGGGCAATCAGTGTCGTGTTGATAGTCATGGTTACTCCCATGAAGGCGAGGGAACGGTCCCTCACGAGGGAAAGGGGGACCATGAATTTGGCTAGACGGAATGGATGCGGCACAGCTGCTTCGGAGGTGCCGCTCAGTGGGCGGAATTGGGGGTTAGGGCATGGTTGGTCCTGGAGACGGGGGAATCGGCGGAGGATCTCTTCATCGGCTGCTTTGACCATGCGTTCAGGGAGGGGATCTGCGCTCCAGGGGAATCCTAATTCGCGATCAATGCCTTCGGGGAGGAATTTGAGGTTCGGAGTGCAGCGCCAGCCCGTTGAGCAGATTAGTGCAGAGGTGGGGAGTGCAATGCCGGATGAAAGATGGACAGTTCGATCGGAGAGTCGGTCTAGATCTTCAACGTGTATTGTGATCGTGCCGTCTCTGACCAGATCGAAGAAGTCGGTGGGATAGTTGAGAATGCTGAGCGAAGAAGCAATCCAGAATGGACTGACCCATGGCTTGAGTTTTTTCATTTCTGAATGGCTGTCATAGCCATTCAGTTGAATGACATCTGACCCGAGAATGCTCCAGAAAGTGTCCACGACCTGACAGAAAACGCATCAGTGACCTATATTCGAACATTCGGTGCTTCAAAATGAGAAAACAATACCTTTCGGCCAAGCCAAGTGCCATGTAAGAAGCTGCGAATGCCAGAGAAGCCATCAGCATGGCCCCAAATACACGGACTGAACCAAGTCAGAAAGCGAGTGGTCACTAGCTTCTCCAGCCACTTCTTCAGGGGCGTCACATAGGGAGGCGCCATCCAAACAGGGCCATGTCCCGACTTTCGAATGATCCAGTCAACCTTCATGCCTGTCGTTGCACATGCATAAGCCGCATCCCAGCCCGATTTCGTGCCACCAAAGACCGTGGCACGCTCTCCGGGCTGCAACACCGCATCCTGATACTGTAGCATATCGCGGCAGTGGAAAATCGGGGCATTGAACGACTCTTCGCCCTCGAAGGTAGGAAGATAAGCCTGGGAGGTGATGCCCGTGGCGACGATCATTTTCTTGGCTTCGAGGATGGTTGTCTCGGATCCATGTGAGACCGTCAACTTCCACGATCCATTGATATTGTGGTGCGCGCTTTCCACGCGGTGTTCCAATCGGATATTTTGCGCAAAGCCGAATCGCTTTGAGTATGCTTCCAGGTAGTGCTGGATGACTTCGCCGGGAATATGCTGCCCGGGCTTTACTCCAAAGGTCGCTTCGTCCATTGGGAAATCACTGAATTCGTAGGTGCCCAGCATGTTATTCGATTTGAGACCCTTGTACAGACGATGCTTGGCCCAGACACCGCCGACTGAGTCGGCGGCCTCCAGCAGCAGTGCATTGTGGGTAGGGTTGACTTCGCAATAGGTCTTAATGGCAGAGAGCCCGCTCCAACCTAGAACCCATCAGTGGCATGATTTTAGAACGAGAGGCTCGACTTACCTGCGCCGATTACCACCAGATCCACGGCTTCCATCTTTGGACAAAACCCTTGATTTAGGTTGCGCTGGGTTAGAGGGGTTGATGCAGGAAATATGTACAGACGCAAACAAAAGATTAGATGGAAGAAGGGCAATTCCGTACTTTTTAATTTCTTTTGACTTTGGACTTTCTAGCATTCTCCACTCGACTCGTGCGCAGGCCGAGGGGCGAACAAGGGAGGCTAAAGCAGGAATCTTAACGGCATGGTGTACTACTAGTACAGGAGACCCTGCCGCACTCTGCGTTGGTACAATGCAAGGCCCTTGGGTTCGAAAAAAAGGCCATGCCATGTACTTATCAAGAAGTGCGAACTATTTTCACTGTGCAGCCCTTTCTTACCCCATTGGTCGCATATGCAGTCCAACAGTGTGACCGACGCGATGGAACCGAGAGGAATACGGAGAACTCAGTTTTGCTTCCGCCGTTTGACTATATAAGCCCCGCCATCATAGCGTCTGAAGCCGGTTCGAACTGGGCCCTTTCGAGCCATCGAGGGGCGTGCAGGGCTCCACAGGAAGAACTAGGAGAAACTCACGACCAAACCGGTTCGGAGCGTTTAACGATCATAGCCCCAGTGGGAAACAAATGGAAGGAAAAAACCAACGCTAAGGCACAACATTGTTTGATGTATCTCAGTTGGAATCTCAATTCCACAGCTGCACCAGTGGGACCAGTGATTGGAATTGTAAAAAAACAGGGAAAAAGCCCTAAGGAGAACGGATGGCCCATCCCGCCCCCCTAATTAAATGACCCGCTTGGGCTCCACCGCGAGCGTTGGCAGCGGGATGCTACCGCTGTCATGTCGACACAAGAATATTGATTAATTCTGCAAACCATATTCTACTAGTTCTCTGTCTCCGTATGTACTATGTTGTTAATGCTTATGGGGATAAGACTGTGCTAGTATCCCGGAAGTACCCAAATTCCAGGACCTGGACTAGTACTTTTGCCGGTCTAATTTAAGCAAAAACGGTTGGTCATATCTCGCCGGCAACGACGGAGTCCCTCAGTTGTCTTTCGGATGGTCCCCGGGCTGATAGGCAACCCAACCAGAGAGCATGGAATTCTTGGGGCTTCTTCGTGCTGTACTTACACCATATGTGTAGGGTAGTCCGTTTGCGCGTCCAAGCGACATGCTGGACAAAGAAACCCCTGCCAGGAAGTGCGGTTCTTTGCTTCATCGAGAGATTGACCCGATCGAATTGGAAATGGTGTGTGCGTTGGTGTTACCGATCGCCCTCCCCACCTAGGTCCTTTTGCTAAAAGACTGCACTGGCCCCTAGATGATCACTGGCCCCAAAGGTGATTCATCACTCAATTCCGTAGGAGCCGGGTCTGCAGAAGCCTACTGCTTATTTAGGGTAGGGGGAAAAACGGTGGTTTCGACCTTAATGGCCGTCACTGCTCCACTTGCCATGATAGCCTAAGACATAGTGGATGCCTCTGGACCTGCTCATTCTTGCATGAGAAATGTCCGACCTGTCATAAATCGACTTTGGCAATCTTCATTAAATAAGAACATATAGACCTGAAGCTCTTACACGTGTGGCACATACTCCATTCCTTTTTTTTTTCTTTCTTTTTTCTCTCGTTGCTCTGTCCGGCTTTCGCGATTGCGTTCATAAATCGCCTGCCCGGTTGCCAGATCTAGTTCTAATAAGAATACGACCAACGGAGATCACTGAGAGTTTGCCGTTTGCCGCTGGCTTTCTTCACCCTGGATCCAATTGACTTTCTTCTTATCCCGAAGCACACCCAGGACTGAAACGCTCCTTTTTTTTACTTTCCTTTCAATGTGATAGAGTAAAAAAGAATATCACCCCATCTCGTCGACTATGGGCGACTTCAACACCGAGGCATTCACCTTGCTGGCCTTGTCCATTGTTATAATCGGCCTCAGAACCACTGCAAGATGGATTATGGTTGGCCCTAAAAATTTCCAAGCTGATGATTACTTGATGTTAGTTGCATGCGTAAGTTTGCCCTAAGCTTCCAAGGTTTCCTCCTGTGCTTGACTCACCACGCGTAGGTGGTCTATGGACTTGAAACGGGCGCGGCTTACATGGTCGGCGCATGGTTCATGGGTCTTGCAAATAATGCGATGACAGATGAGCAGCGAACGACTCTATCCCCCGACTCGGAAGAATATCGTCTTCGTGTGGGTGGCTCAAAGGTTCAGGTGGCCGGTTGGTCCCTGTATACGCTTCTATTATGGCTTCTCAAAACATGCATGGCCGTCTTCTATTCTCGATTGACGTATGTGTCTATCCATATCTACCTTTGCATCACTGACATATGTCCGATCTCCAGTGCAGGGTTAATAAATATGCGAGTGCGAATCCATATCGCTTTCGGTTTTATCGCGGCGACTTATATTGCTACAATTTGCTCGATTCTCTTCGGATGTCATCCAATGCACAAGAACTGGCAAATAAACCCCGACCCTGGAAGTATGTGGCTGCTATATCTTGTTATTGGCTTGATTCCTAACGATTATTTCCAGATTATTGCCAGCCCGCAGTGTCAAAGATCGACATTTATGTCACTGTTGTCTTGAATGTCGTGACAGACATCTATCTGATTAGCATTCCAGCACCGGTAATGGATCTTTATCTGTACCCAGCCTCGCCGATAACTAACTGTATTCCACAGATGTTATTCAAGGCGCGTTTAAAATGGCGCGAGAAACTTGAGCTCGTCATCCTTTTCAGCGGTGGTCTCTTCGTCATGATGGCCGGTATACTGCGTTGCGTTCTCATAGTGACAGTAAGTCTCAGCTTCAAGGTTAACACAGTCCAAACGCTAACCCACCAACAGGCAGGTGCAAACGGTGCCCAGCAAGCCGGCAGCTGGGCATGCCGCGAAACCTTCGTCGCAGTGGTCATTGGAAACGTCCCAATGATCTACCCAATGTTCCGGCGAGTTGCTCGGCGTGCCGGTCTCTACATCACATCAAGGAGTGGATCTGAAAGCTATCCCGCGTATCCATTATCGGATGAAAATGTCGATGGTGAATACGGGAGGCGCAGACGCAAGTTCCACCACCCTTTAAGTCTTCCCGAAACACATTGGATCAATACGGTCAGTGATGAGCAGATGATTTTGCCTACGTCACGACAAGCCCCGCCAACTTGTACTGCGGGGGATAGAGACTGGGATACCAACAGTCAGGGTAGTCAGGGGATTAAGGTTGTTCATGAAACGATTGTTCATAGCGCAGAAAAGTCGCCCCGCCGATAGTCGACGACGGCACTCAATTCAAATTTTAAATGTTCATCAGCATTGACTACTTGCTCTTTGTGAAGGCTCATACATACTAGTAATGACTCCTAAGTATCTTTGAAAAATATATAAGTTGTCCAATGTTTGAAGTCAACAGGTTTGGACATAGGGGAAACCTTGGAATGGATAAATTCCAAATTCAAACCTTGGAGGCTGACTGCATAGCACCTCCAGGGCTGGGCATGACTCGGCGAGCTGAGAAAAATATGATATCAGAGATCATATAGGTAACCGACGAGTTTCTACACAAGTACTCCGCACATAAGTACTTGCATGCCGTTCGTGATCTGTCATTTTTATATAGATGCCTTTAAGGTAAAAGAAGCAATGATATGCGTCAGACTTATCCCATTGACCAGAGCGAGAGAATATATGGCTCAGAAGTACACACAAGTACGAAATGCATGAGGCCCACCCTCAGGTCCACAGCTCTGGTGTCCGTGCTTACAAGCCTAGTCTGCGAACCACTTGCATTGCATGGAATTGCCTCGCTCTTTTCAGTTTATCCAAGGTTCTCAAGGATGAGTGTCAAATGTACACATAAATGCATGCCTCATTATGCATACCTATTTGAACGCTTCCCCTAACACCTCGGCACCAGCGGAGATATCGGAAAGAGTGATCTTTATGTGATTCGTTTCAACATCCATAGACCCGGGACAGCACGGCTTATTGCACATCCTAAATACCCCAATTGACATGTACCTTTTTCCGAAGAGGTTGACTACGGACGGGCAATGGGTTTTTACCAAAGGCCCTGTTCGGGTAGTACTGCAACAAGGTGTTTTCGTCAACTGGTGGTAGGTCCACCACAAGAGAGCAATGTGACGAAAGGATTCTGCCCTTTGGCTTCGCACTATATGGGCTTGAGACTCTTTTGGGCTGGATGGACTCAGAAGGGTGGCACTGCTACGATCGGTACCGCGAACTTGAGATTCTCTTCTGGCAAACTTTTCGACAGGAAGCTCATAACTTCTCTGACGCTGATTTGTATTTGGTCCGCACTGCGAGAATGGCTGGGCTTTTCTGCCGTTACGTATTTAATTTTGACATGAAAGGCGTGGTGCAAAGTGTGCGGACGGACCAGCCGGATGGTTCGCTCGTATATCTTGATGCGTTCTGTGCTGCTGGTGAGTGTATTCCTCTATCGTGAGCCTGCCTATGACGTGTTTGGTTGAGCAAAATGAATGAATTATTATAAGCGCTCAAAGCTTAGACTTCATGTTGACATGAACAGCCTTGATATTGGAGTAGGCGGAAAGACCCGCCTCGCCAAGCTCACGGCCAATGCCAGACTGCTTGACACCACCGAAAGGAATGCGCCAATCACTATCATTGCTCGAGTTGATCCAAACCATACCAGCCTCGATCCTTTTCGCAACCCGATGCGCACGGGTCAGATTCGTGGTGAAAAGAGCACTTCCAAGACCATAAGTCGAGTCATTGGCCATATCAATTGCCTGCTGCTCATCACTGAATCGTGCAATTACCACGAAAGGTCCAAAGACTTCCTCTTGGTAGATACGCATCTTAGGATCCACGTCTGTGAAAACGGTAGGCTCAACAAAGAATCCCTTTCCATCACCGACACGTGCCGGCTTCCCGCCCGAGACCAGAGTTGCCTTCTCGGACTTGCCGACATCGATATATGACATGATTCGGTCATATTGAGCCTGTGTCACCTGTGGGCCCTGGAAGGTGGATTCCTCGAATGGGTCGCCGACCTTGGAAACATTCTTCACTTGGGCCTTGAAGGCCTCAAGGAATCGGTCGTAGATTTTATCTTGAACCAGGATGCGGGATGTCGCGGTACAGATTTGGCCTTGGTTGTACATGATGCCGATATGGGCCCATTCGACCGCCTGCTCGAGATCTGCATCGTTGAAGACGATGAGTGGGCTCTTACCGCCTGTTTCCAGGGTGATGTTCTTCAGGTTTACACTGGCCATTTTCATGATTTGCTTGGCGGTCGCGGTGCTGCCTGTGAATGCAATCTTGTCCACGTCCATGTGGGAGGCCAGGGCGGCACCTGCGACGGCACCGTGTCCATTCACGATGTTGACCACGCCGGGCGGAAAGCCAGCTTCCACAAGGAGATTTGCGAGGAACAGGATAGACAGCGGAGTCTGCTCTGCGGGCTTAAGGACAATGGTGTTACCACATGCGAGGGCGGGGCCGAGTTTCCAGGCGGCCATCGCGAGGGGGAAGTTCCACCTATGATTTGTTATTAGTGTTGGCTTCATCATTGATATTATTGGCACCTTGAGACTTACGGAATGATCTGCCCACAGACACCCACTGGCTCGCGCACAGTGTAGGCAAACTTCTCTGGGGTGGTGTCGATGACTTGACCGAAGATCTTATCAGCGAAGCCGGCATAATACCGGATTGTCTCGGCAGTCTCGGTCAGGTCGTCGTTGAATGAGACTGAGTATGGCTTTCCGTTGTCGATGGTCTCAATTGTGGCGAGGGTCTGTCGGTTGTCCTCGATGAGCTGGGCGAGGCGGTTCATCAGCTTGCCACGGTCAATTCCGGGCAGATCTCTCCAGCATGGGTTGTTGAGAGCGGCGCGGGCAGCCCTGACGGCCTTGTCGACATCTTGCGCCGAGGCTGCATGGATTGAAGTAATTTCCTTTGCAGTTCTGTCAAATGTTAGATAGCTGGTATTTGGGGGCTGCTCTATTCACTTACGCTGGGTTGATCGTGGCAATCTTCTCACCGTTTGAGCTCTTGACCCATTGGTTATTGATGAAGAGGCCAGTGGGCTGGGCCCAGCTGTGGCCGTTAGGGGCTGTGAGTTGAACAGATGTAGCCATTGGGAGATGTGTGTGTAAGAGACATCATGAGTCGTCTTGCTCTTAAGACATCAACACAACAGCCGAGCATGGATCGGATGGACATGCCCAAGAGATATGTGATGCATATCTCCACTGCGGATCTCTCCAGATTGACAGCGACGACAATCTTGAAAGGTGCGGAGACCGAATCACGGCGGTTCATATAGACGCTAGTCCCAATCGGGCAAGTCCCAAAGAGGCAAGTCCAAGCAACTTCAACTTCGCCAACTTCACTGGACTCGTGGTTGACTTGGTACTTCTTCTCTGCTCAACAGCATCTCTAGCAAGCTGAGACCAATATACTCCAGATCACGTACATACATGAGTACACATATATCCATAAGTACATAGAAACCCGATCTTAGGTAATGAGGTGCATCGAAATAAGCTTAGAGTTAAGGCCTTGGCGCCGCACTCGAATGTTGCACGTTGCGCAGTGTCAGCTATTGTCGATATAGGGCAGGTCGTGCCTAGTGCCATCTGGCAGATAAGACTTGCCCGATTAGGGCGACCACTAGCAGAACCCATCTGCATATCGCCGTTGCTATGCGATTGGCTCCGCCGTGGGAACCGAGAAGTCAAGTCATATTCGGACGCTTGTCTCTCCATGCGTTACCCCGAAAAAGAACGGGAGACCCGCACTCGGGTTCATTCGCAGACCGATATGCCCCCGGGTTTCTGGCAGTTAAAGATCCGATTACCCGATTGGGAAGGTACATGCGGATCACGGTGCAAGACGTGTGGTCTATATAAGATCTATGGCCACACGTTGTTTCGAGATTCACTCAAGTCTCTCTCTTTCAATCTCTCTCACATCTTCACCATGGCTTCTGCTCCAGACACTGAGTCTATTCCAGGCTACACAATCTTCCGCGAGGGAGATTATGATAGTGTTGCCGCCGCCGCTATGTTGCCACAGGGAACTACTCACCCATTAGGTGCGAAGACATCACTAGATCTCTATTTCAATGCTAACCAAACCAGATCAACTGTCCATCAAGGAGATTCCCGCGGCTGCAAAGATCATTCGTGACTATGCTAGCCCCAAGTCTATCAAGTTCAACTGTCTCACTCTTCGGGAACCCAAGAAAGCAGAGTACCAGGCATTCCGTGCCGGCACCGTGCCAGCTCCAGACCGTCGTGCCTTCGCTATCGTGATTGTGGACAAGACCCATCAAGTCGCAGAGGTCGTGGCCAATCTCACCACGGGCAAGGTTGAGGGATGGAAGGAAGTCTCCGAGGTGATGCCCACTCTCACCTTGGAGGATCTCGATGTCATGGAGCGCATTGCTCGCAAAGATCCCCGGGTGATCCGCGCCTGCAAGGACATTGGCATCACCGATATGGACAAAGTCTTTCTCGACGCATGGGCCATCGGTATCGACGAGCGTTGGGGCTTCGAGCGTCGTCTCCAGCAGGGTTTGGCATACTACCGAAACTCCGAGTTCGATAACCAGTATGCCCACCCTCTGGATTTCAGCGTTGTGGCGGATACCGAGACCGAAGAGGTTCTCAGTGTCGATGTTCGCTTCGTCGATGGCGAGCGTACTGCCGCACCTCTCCAGGAACACAACTACCTGCCTGAGTTCATTGGCGACAAGTACAACCACGACCGCCTCAAGCCCATTGATATCACCCAGCCCCAGGGCGTCTCTTTCAAGGTCCGCGGCAACGAATTGACCTGGGCCAACTTCAAGATGCACATTGGCTTCAACTACCGCGAGGGTATTGTCATCTCTGACGTTCGCACCCATGATATGTACGAGGACCGCGAGCGCACACTTTTCAACCGTATCTCCGTCGTCGAGATGGTTGTTCCCTACGGTTGCCCCGAGAAGCCTCACCACAAGAAGCACGCTTTTGATGTCGGCGAGTACGGCACTGGTCTGATGACCAACTCCCTGAAGCTAGGCTGTGACTGCAAGGGTGCCATTCACTACATGGACGGTGTGATGTCTACCTCCAAGGGTGAAGCCGCCGTCGTCAAGAATGCCATTTGTATCCACGAAGAAGACAACGGCCTCCTCTACAAGCACACAGACTACCGCGACGGCACTGTCATCTCTGCTCGTGACCGTAAGCTCATCGTCTCTCAAATCATCACTGCCGCCAACTACGAATACGGCTTCTACCACACCTTCACCCTGGACGGTACCTACAAGCTCGAGATGAAGCTCACCGGTATGCTCAACACCTACTGCATGCACCCCAGCGAGACAGCAGCACCCTACGGCACAGAAGTGGCCCCCTCAATCAACGCCCACAACCACCAGCACCTGTTCTCCCTGCGCATCGATCCCGAGATTGACGGCACCAACAACTCCATCATCCAAAGCGATGCCGTCTCCGCCGAAGCCGCCGTCGGCTCCCCCGAGAACCCCTACGGCAACGCTTTCTACAGCAAAAAGACCCCCCTCCGCACATCCCTCCAAGGCGCCGCAGACTACTGCTACGAAACCAATCGCAGCTGGGACATCATCAACCCCAACCGCATGAACGCCATCGCCAAGAAGCCTGTGGGTTACAAGATCCTCAACAACAACTGCCCACCCATGCTCGCAAAGCCCGGCTCAACGGTCTGGAAGCGCGCCGCTTTCGCCCGCCACCCTCTCTGGGTCACTCCCTACAAGGACTACGAGCTTTTCCCTGCCGGAGATTACGTCTGCCAATCCAATGGCCAGGAGGGACACCCCCATAACTCGACCATTGCCGACTGGGCGGCCCGCAATGAGAACATCGAGAATACCGATATCGTCTGCTACTTGCAGTTCGGTCTAACGCACTTCCCGCGTACGGAGGACTTCCCTATCATGCCTGCTGAACCGGTGAGCATCATGCTGCGTGCTTCGAATTTCTTCGAGAAGAACCCGGCTCTCTGGGTGCCTCCTTCTGCTATCTGTGTTGACACGCAGAGCAAAAATGCTTTCCCTTCGTCTTGCTGTGCGACGAGTAAGTCGCGCATGTAAGCGTTGGTGATGAATGGGATGAATTTTGTACATAGTAAACAGTAAATAGTCTTGCAATCTTTTCATATTTCAGATCTTCCAAATTTTCAATCAGCCTCCTGTGTAATCTCCACACTTAGGGTCTTAGGAGTGAAGATGAGTCCTTCGCAACACTCCATCACCTGGGCATGCATCTGTCAGTCATTGGAACCCATATATACCATTCATCTATATACATTGCTATACAGTCCCAAGATCTAGATAATATTCTTCAACTCCTGTCCAGCAAGCAACCGTCTAAGATTATATCCAATCAGCGCCTCCGCCTCACGAGGCCTACCACCAGCCGCATGAGGCGAAAGAATCAAATTGGGCGCCGCATACAACTTCGACTCGGCCGGCAGAGGCTCAGTCGAGAAGACATCCAACGCAGCACCACCAATACTACCACTCTCCAGCGCCTGAAGAAGCGCATCCTCATCAACAGAAGTACCCCGACCGACATTAACCACCCAAGCATGCTTAGGCAACAACTTCAACCGCTCAGCACTCAACGCACCATTCGTGCTAGCGGAACCAGGCAAAATCATAACAAGCGCATCAGTGCTCTCCAAAACCTTGGGGAGGGAATCCTCCCCGACAACGCGGTACCCATCACGCACGCCGTCCGAGCGCGCAACACCAGTAACATTTGCGCCGAGGGCAGTAAGAACAGGAGCGAGCTTCTTGGCGATATTGCCAAAGCCCCAGATAGTGATGTTGGCACTCTTGAGGGTCTTGAAGGTTCCTGGTTCGCGATCGCCCTGGGGACCGCCCAGGTGAGCGGGCCAGACACCGCGGTTTTGGAAGTCGCGCATTTCGTAGAAGCGGCGGGCTGCGTTGAGCAGGAGGCCGAGAGTGTGTTCTGCGACTGTTTCGTCGTGCAGGCCGGAGCCGGTGGTGATTGCGATGCGGGAGGCGTCGAAGCCGGCGGCTAGGACGTCATTGGGGCCTGCGGCTAGGGATTGGATCCAGCGGAGGTTCTTCATGCGCTTGGCTGCATCTTGGAGATTGCTGGCTTTGTTGGACCAGGTTACGAGGAAGTCGGCGTCGATGAGGGATTCGGGGATCGGCGCGGTGACGTCGTAGGGGTGCAGGGAGACGGAGAAGCCTTCGAGGGATTGAGTGTTGAGGTGGAGGGAGGTTGGGTAGAGGAGCTTCATTTTGGGGGTGATTTGTTTGGATAGATGGGTGAGGCGGGCGAGAGGGGACATTGTGTCTGTTCTTATGCGACGGTTCAAATGCCGCGGGGTCGAGGGACTCGGGCGGAGCTCCGCCGTCGGTTATCAACTGCGTGGGGGTGGATTGGGGGCAACAATTACTAGTACTACAATATAGTAACACTGAAATTGGAATGGAATCATCGCGAGGCTATTTGCTTTCAATGTGTATGGGTATCGGGCATCGCCTATGAACAAAGTAAAAATATACAGGTAAAACGACTAGAACATGCGGAAACCCATCTCCGAGTTTTTCCACCTATGAAGTGGCTTCTTTCTCCTCGTCAACATTGGTGCCCGTCAAGAAGAAGTCCAGCTCACTGGGACCACCTTGAGAATGCTCGTTCTCGGCCAGCTGTTCCAACAAACTGAGGAAGGGATCTTTCTCAAGAGATCCGCCCTCGCTGCCGTTGGTGGTGTGAGTGCCACTAGTCTGGGACTGAGCGCCTGGAGTAAGAGCAGTGGGGCCTTGCGTCATGCCATTGAAATTGGCGTGAGCAGCGTCGAAGGGGAATGTAGCGTATTGGGGGTTTGAGGGGGGCGTGGGGGCTATGTTTAGAGATGCCTCGGCAAGGAACCCGGGTGGGGAGAGACCAAAGGCTGAGGGAGAAAACCCAGTGGGGAGGTTGAGATTATGTTCCGAAAGATCTCCCGTCTGAAGAGAGAATATGGACGGGAGTGGGGATTGTTGAGCCTGGAACTGGAGACTCGGAGAGAGGGAGGGGGGTTTTTGAGATATTGACTGGCGACGACGGTCGGTATCCGGACTCTGGACCGGTGCCATTGGCGTTGAAGGTGCTGCTCGTGTGCTTGAGTAGTAGGATGACGGGGTTTGATAAGAAGGTGCTGCCACTTGGCGTTGATAGTAGTGATCTTGGCGGTCGATGAGGTTTGCGCTGGATCCGGTCAGTAGGTGGTCATTGTAACATGGAGGTGGTTGGGCTCACCCCTGGTTCGAGTCATCTCCAGTGTCTACTAGCCGCACATGCGATCCGTCCAAAGTCAAGCCGGGGTATCGGTCGAGGAAGTCCTCGAGGTGGAACACCGGCGAGAAGCGCATGGGACTGCTAGCCAGATTGCGCACAAGCTCGGAGTGACAGGTGTAGATTGTTTGAAGCAGCTCACGCTGGTGTTGCACACCCGTCCAAATGCCTCGAAGCCACGCGAGCTGGTGCATTTCCCGGGTGAGGAATTCCGCACTGGAAGAGAAGACCTCTCCCTCGCGGCCCTTGTAATGCACGCCATGAACATGCACGGTACCAGCAGTGCACACGCAATAGCCGACAAAAGCAGGCCACTCAACTAGTGGCGAGTTGCGCCCTAGTTCAACCAGCTCAGCGATGGCATTAGAGTGTGAGAAACACAAATTAGTAGCCTCAATCTGCCACGACTGATGCTGGCCGGTCCCGCGCAACTCTACCAAATCAATTGGTAAGAATGGACGGTAGATCAAGCAATGCACCAAATGGTAGATCAGCTTGCTCAGCAAAAGAGTCGTGCTCTCCGGGTGGCCAAATAACGCATCTATCGACGCGAACACATCTTGCGTACCGGCCGCCCAGATGTCCAGCTCCTGTCGGATTTTGGAAAGATTAGAAAGTGCGTGCCAGGGGAAATGGGAATCACCCTTGACTCCCCCGGCAGCAAGGTATTTATTGGTCACCCCGAGAATCCTTGTGATGTCAATCAACAAAGAGGCCGCGCTTGGCGACTTACGGCGAGAGTCCGCCGAGTATTGAATATTAGGCCCGACATGGAACAGCTCGCCTTCCATGTTCAGACCAGCTGCATGGGGTGACCATGACGGTAAGCGCAGGACCACCGAGTGGTCCGAAATTAGGCATGGACGTCGGGATCCGCAGTTGATGAACCGATCCATCAAGTAGACAGACCAGAACAGCCGGCGTCTCATTTCACGCTCGACGGGCGCAATGTTCATTTTTGAGGGGGCTTCGCGGTACAGATCCAGCGCGACAATCATGGCAACGCAATTTGCTGGCTACTGTCAGTTGAAAATCAAAAGTTTTTCGTGTTGAGACTCACAGAATGTCATGTAGGCTTTCTTTCCAAGCCCGAACGCAAAGAAAGCCTGGGAGAGTAGCACCAACGTCTGGAGGCCGTCTATCGTGGGATTATCAACATCGATCAGGCGCCTAGCCTGCAGCGCCGCGTCAAGTCCAGTACGACCTGACTGCTCCACCTGGCTGGGTGAAGTATATCTAAGCATTATCAGTAAGGTGCGCATCCAGGCCATCTCGGTAGCTTTACCTTGACGCCATTGCCGAAATCGCCATGGCTAAAAAGGCTGGCAGTTGGTTTAGCTGATGGCGCTGTCGTGTAGTCGCCTCGTCCAAAATGTAAAACGGCTTGCCGTGCAAGCGCACAAAATATATGTCCAAAAGCGCATCGGAGAGAATTCCATGATGCGTCGGCGATTGCTGAATATTGGCTGGGGCGCTCGGTCTGGGGAACGGATCGGCTGGCGCCAGCGAGGCCGGCGCGGGTCGCTCCGAGTAAATAAAAGAAGTGTCGATGGTGTTGCGACGGGTGGGAAAACTCGGAGGTTCGTCCGGGGTATCGGGAGAAGTAGGCGAGATGGGATTCTTTTCATCGTGCAGTCTCTTCTCGAGGCCGTCCACTCGTTTCAAGAGGGCCTCTAGCACATCGGTCTTGGGCCCCCGCTTTTTTGGAATCGCATCTGCCACCCATTAGTCGGCGATCGTATGATGTTGGGCGATCGATTCACCATAAACACATGGACACTGGAAGACCTTGCATGCCTCACAGCTCGGTCGCAGGCGATTACACTTGATCTGTGGCTGGTCAATGAGGGAACGGGTATCGCCACCTGGAGACTGACCTTGCGCTTGCGACAGGACTTGCAGTTCATTGTCTCACGCGGCTCGACCGTCGCACGGCGAGGCGTGAGACGGTCGATGCTGACCTGGGGACGAGACATGGCATGTGGAATTGAAGTCAGGGAGGGGGTGGAATAAAAGAAGAAGGCCAAGAGAGGAACAAGGAGACAAGCGCATGGCTGTGGCGTATGGTCTATACCAGATCAGTTTGCGGAGGAGGAAATGCGGAGAAGTGATGTGCCGCCGGACTTCCCGTTTTGTGACCGTACAGTACGAGTACGAGGGACAGTGACAGTTGACAGTTGACAGTCAATAGCCACTTGTGCAGGTTCGGGTATGCGTTATGGATGTTATTAGTTAAATACATACCTAGGTACCTATGGAAATGCAATAATGTATTGATGTGTACATATATCCAGGGATGAACAGTAAATACCGTAAAAAACACATCCGGGGAATTGCCTAATTAACCCCCCTCTCCGTTAGGGCTTCGACGCTAACATCCGAGGCGATCATTAGCGCTCATTCCCTCCGCTTGGACCCTGTCCTCATCATCTCCCCTTTGAGTACGGACGCCCTTCCAAGGTTCTATCATTTTAGCTGCAGAAGCATTCGTCTCAAACTAAACACCTCTAATCCCACGTGCAGATGGATCAAGGACTCGGCCTCGACGAACAAAGTCCGCCATATTCGTCGCCATTCCTCCCATCCCCTGCAATCCCTCCACAACCCCACCCCGATCCCCTGCTCCTTTTTCCTGACTAACCTTAAACCGGCCTTCAATGCGCGTAATTTCAATCCGCATCCCGATGATGTTCTTCAACAGGGCTGCAATGTACTCTCCTGGCGCATCGGCAATTTCCCAAGGTTTCGGCGATGCCGCACTAGCGCTTCCTAGCCCGTTACTCCGAGGTTGCGGACTCGTCCCTTCATAGCCCATGATTCCCTCCTCGCCCAGCCGAGCTAGATCACCTAGCTGCTGTCGTAAAAATGACTCGGTATGTGGGTCTTGAGCTTCATGGTGAAGGGTCACATGGCCGTAGACTTGCACGGCGGCGTAGTTCCAGGTTGGCGCGACGCGCCCACCTGGTTTCGAGTCCGTGTAGAGGTTGGGGGAGATGTAGTGGTCTACAGGACTGGTGAAGATGATCAAGGCTTCCTCGGGGAGAGTGTGGCCAATGCTCGGGGACTGAGGTTCGTCCGTTGGAAATGTGCCTGGCATGGGAGTGGATTCAATGCGCGAGGCTTCGATCATTGCCTTTCCTTGTGGGTTTGCGCGGGCGATGTGCCCGCGCAAAATGCCCAGTGATGGCTCGGGCACTCCATTGCTGGGGTTGATCTCCGGCGGGGCTGAAACATCGTCTAGCACCCAGGGGATGTGGCTGCATTGGAGAGTTGGGTGCTTTCCAGGCAGGGAGGTAGTCAAGACCCCGAGGGGGTGTTGCTGAATGAACGCATGAAGAGTGGGCAGGTCCCGCACTGCATGGCTTGGTGGGAGGTGCATTGTGCTCTGTCCAGGAATGCGAGCACTAGGACGAGTCGACTTGAGGGGCCCCGGATTTTTGATAAGCTCTTATCGGGACCTCGGGCCATTTCAGGGCGAGTTCACCTGGGCAGGCACTCCCGCCTCCCGACCTAATTACATGTAGAAGACTACAACTGGGCAATGTTCTGACAGTGTATATGAATTCAGATGGGATTGGTATAGGAATTCACACCTGCACGTGAGACAGACAGACTGAGAATTGACTGGTCAGCAAAGCCACATAGGGTAGTACCACCGTCTGATAATGATCGACATGATACATGCAGTATTTCCTGGTAATATGCAAAGTAAAACCTTCATTCATATTTGGAGCAGATGTCAGCTCCGCGGCCAATTTGATCGAAGCTTAGGGCACGCCCCGAATACCCCGGAGATCCAAGCAAAAGCGCCGAGGGAGGTATTCGCCCAAAGGAGCAACATGTGCCGATTTAGCGCACGAGTGAGGACAGATAGACTCGTAGGCTCGAGACTATGCCAAACGGGTGCTCCGCAAACGCTTCAAAGGTGAGACATACTAGATCACATACGGAAACAAGCTCGAGTACGAAGTACCTTGAGGGTTCATACAAGAGATCATGATCAAAGTGGGTCAACCTTGGAAATGACCGAGGATGATTATATGAATGTAATGAACGTCAGGCTGTATAGATCACCCGGTAGACATTGTAGCCACTCTCGACACAGATGAGTATGAAAGCCGAGACCCTCACTGGCCTCACCCATGATTAAGGCACTCAGAAAGAAAGGCAAAGAACGGAAAAATGAAAGAGATTAACCCGAAATTAAATCAAAGCAACCCGTGAAATCCTGATGAACATGTTCAAGAACATGCCCAAGCTACACGAGACAACGAATGCAATGCATTTCTACACAGAAATCCCCAAACTCCATCCCAAACTCCAGTCCGCGTCTTGAATCTACAGACAAGAAAGAAGACAGCTAGAAAAATGGCCGACCAGACGCCATACGCACAAAGTCGAAAGGAACATTCTGACCAACGAGGAGCCTCAGCGTCTCAACTGTCGTCCAAGCACTAACGTCTTCAGCCCCATACGCCGTCCACCCTGCCCGACTAGCAACAGCAAGGGGATCTCCCTTCCTGGGCCCACTGGCTAGATCTAAATAAACCTTTCCCCGGGACGTTGGCGACGACCGACCATTCGCACCGTAATGTCGTAGCAAGGGCTGGACTAGGAGTGACTTCTCAGGTGGTAATGCAGAAACAATCACGAAGGGCTGCTCGACCAGCTTGACGGATTGGATGGATGTGAATGGTTCCAGGCCTGTAGATAATGGGCCTGAGGCTTTAAAGCCAACGGTGTAGATTGTGCCGACATCTAGAGAGCGCAGGGCAAAGATGGCGGGCGAGGCGTCGGCTTCGGAGCCGGCGAGAATAATTGCCGCTCTGGTGCTGTAGGCTGAAGGCACGTACTCGCGGGTCAAAGTTGCGCGGATGCCTTTCCACGCGGCGTTTTCGCCAATGAAGCGCGATGAGGTTTGAGAATCGCCGACCATTGCGATGGTGTCGACGAGGCCGATGGCGCGGGCTGCTTCGCTTATGGCGGGGATGTAGGAGGTGGAGCTTGAGATTGGGGGGTTCACATAGGCGCCCCCAAAGTGCGGTTGGGAGAGGATGGATTCCATGGTGCCTTTGAGGCCTCGGTCAATGGAAGTCAGGTTGTGTGGGAGACCGAGTTCATTGAAACATTTTTCCATGAACATCGAGTGTGGCGTTGGTCGGAATGAGCCGATGGCGTAGATATCACGTTTGGGCAGCTGGCCCATTATATGCATGGCTTCGTTGATTTCGGCGGCGCTTAGTTGACCCGGTGCGGCGATCATGGGGAGAAGGGGGTGTGTTATGGGGGAGAAAACTGTATTCAGGGCTCTGGATAACTGGCCCATTTGACCCATGTTGACGGCTGAGAGGAGAGGACTGGAGCCACGACTCTTGATCGTTGAGCGGAAGTATTCGAGCTCGTAGTTCTCCTCGATTGTGTGCACCATAGCAATCATCTTGACGATGTCGGCGTACTTGGCGCTTTCGGTGAAGATGCGCTGTGCTTCTTCGGAGGTCCATTTCCAGTTTCCGGAGAAATCGTGGAAGGCAGAGAGGATCATGCTATGTCCCTTTTTCTCGAACAGATTCCGTCGGATTTCTTCCGGCAGCCACACTTCCACATCGATGTACTCGACTCCCCATTGAATCGCCCGTCGCAAATACTTGTAGAAAAGCATAGGATTATCAATGGGGAACTTTCCGTTTTCCCTCGTACACCTCGTAGTAAATATAATTGGAAGCTCGGTATGCTGTCTCAGAAGCATCAACTGCTGCCCAACATACTTCAAGCTGGGAACGGGCGCAACACCCTCCGCAGGCTCAACCAGCAAATCGACACGGATCTCCACGGCATCGGAGCCCACAGACAAAATATCCAAATTCGGCAAAGCAGCATGCACATCGGGAAAGGTCGTCGAGATAAAATTCGTCCGCGTCTTCGTCCCCAAATCATCATGCGGTCTCGTCTGTCCCAGAATCAAAGACAGAAAGCGCGACAGATCCCGACGCAAGAACGGACTCTGCGAATACAAGAACTCATAGTCACAGCTCTCCGTCAATGCATCGTCCGGCGCCGTCCCATCCGCAACACAGTGCGTATTCACCACGATCAGGGTCGATCGCTCCGGCAAGCTCGCCACCTCATGTGCCAGCACCCCAAGCACGGCATTGCGCGCGCGCGTCTCCGTTGTCCATGCCTTGCCCAGAACTTCCGCAGCCAGCTGTGCGATATGGCCCTGGTTCTCGGCGTGAACGATCACGACGGTGTCCCCGGAAGCGGGAAGCTGGATCACGGGCTCTTCCTTCAGCGCGGAGGTGGAGGGCAGAGTCGGGAGAACGGTAATCGGAAGAGCGATCTCTGGATCGGCCTTGAGAGCCGGGACGGAATCGAGGAGCGGCGGCGCCATGTGCGGTATCGCAGTGGGAATCATCGCATCACAGTCGCAAGTGTTTTCATACTTGACGAGAATGTGTGTGGGGAACAGACGAAAGTCAAAAGTAGGGGGAAGCAGGTATCCGTGAGCCGGATATTCAGAGAAGTCGGAAAAGGGAGAGCCCCGAGACTAGCTTGCTATGGGGTAAGCGAATTGAGGAAAGAGCTGCCGCGACATAGCCAAATGAAATGCCTTTGCGGCGAAGAACTGCACTTATGCGCAGCAAATGGATCCCGAAAAGACGCGGGGAAAAGTGGGAGCGGCGTTGGGTTTCTCCGCCAATCACGGGCAGGCTGATCTATACGAATTTGTCCGTGATCAACCTCCAGTAACTAGAGGATTCTGATAGAAAGCCACAATAAAGCCTGAGACCCTGATTGCTGATGGCGTTGCCTAGGTGCTGAGGTGCCCTCCGAGGCCTAACGAGACCCGTGGCCGGGGGCTACAAGGAGATGCCCTGATCTGATACGAGGGAAAAAGGTTGTAACCTGACTGCTGATTGGCGAATACGATGCTACCTGATGTGTCATTGCTCCAATGCCAGGGCCATCAAAGAGCCAACGGGACATTAGGTATATCTCACTACAGGGGTTGAATGGTCTCAAGATATGGCTCCATAACAGCCTTGGGATTGGAAATCTATGTCCGGTGCAATTAGCTATCCAAGATACAAGAGTAACACACATGGGTGATGGGATTAAAAAAGGAAAAAAAAAAAAGATCCGCCCAATTTATTTCAAACAGATAAAGAGTGAGAAAGATACCAGCCAAATCAGGGTATTAGGCAAAGGCAAAATGACAGAGATGGGACAATCAACACCAGGAATCGCTTTTTTTCTGTTCACGGTTCCGAGCATCAAGCCGGAGTCAAAACAATATGTACGACCGACACGATGGACTGATCTTTTTGAACTTCGACAGGGCAATAAAGTTTCAGTGAAGGGAAGTTGGTATCTGCACCGCGGGGAAGATCAGATTCCACGTAGTCGGGTGAGATGTCGCCGAGCCAGCGGCGAGATCCCCGCCCGAAACAGACCTCAAACACACGCGAGTGGCGGGAGGAGGCCATTACGGGTCGAGGCCGAGCCGGCCCGCAAGGAGGGTTTCAGGTTCAGGGAGAGACGGAGGTCTCAGTGACGGGTGGGACCCACTGCGCAGGGGACGATGGAAAGAGGAGAGTAGAAATGCACCAATTAACTCGGGGGAGAGATGGCAAGGCCATTCATGAGGTTGGGAAGGGGCTTTCTGCGAGCAGTATTGGCTGCCTTAGAGACCCGTGGGGCGCCGTGGATCATGCGGGGCTCGGTCATCAGGTTGGTGTCTAATTTTGCCGGTGCTGCAAGATGGTTAGCGGGAGCAATTAGGCTGAACAGTGGTGTACATACCTCGGGTGACGACTCTGCCGTAGTCAGTGGAGAGGTTTTGCTGGCTGCGGCTGCTTGGGGGGAAGAAGGTGGCGTTGGCGGTACGCCAGAGGTGGTTGGAGGTGTCTGAGAGGAAGTCGGTTGTTGAGCGGCCAGAGAAGATGGAGGAGCGGCCACGGTTGCGCTTGGAGAGCACGATTTCGTCGAACAAGGCCATTCGAGGGTCCTTGGACTTAGGGCTCGTGCGCTCACGGTCACTGATGAACTCGTTGAAACCTAGCACGGGTTAGTGGCGGGTGGCATGATTGGTGGTGGAACAACTTACTTTGAGTCTGTTGCAATATCGCAATGTAGTCGGCATGTTCGCTTGGAAGGCTCTTCATGAAAGCCTCCGCGTTGAAGGTGTAATACAACCCTTGCTTTTTCTTGTCACCACTAGCTGGGGCAAGGAACTTTTTGTACGTGTAGAACAAGCTGGCGAAGCACCTGACAAATGCAGCGCGAACCTGGTCGGGGTGGAAGGCTGCATCACACGGCAGGCACACCATGGACGCACAGCGGTTGTGGACGGTCAATCTACAGGAGGAGCATTTGTACATGCCTTCCTCGGCCTGTTCGTCACAGATCGCACAGGTCAACTTATCGTCCCACATCTGGACCTGGAAAAAGTGTCCCTCAACCCAACAAGTCCCTTCGTTGCTGCCGACGGGCTGCACAAACGATTGGGGCACAATTGTAGATGCAGCAATAGTCGACTGCGCATACACAGACGGAGCGTAGGTGGAGCCACCGCCATATTCGGTGTTGAGTGTGGTTACTGAAAGATTAGATGTGTGGCCCAAGAATGGAGCGCTGGGTCGACGGCTCATTCCGAACGACGAGCTCCGGCGCGAAGCAGCATCGAAGTGACCAGAGCGCTTTTCACGCAAGGAGGCCTGCAGTGCCATTCCAGAGTCGTTACGCGACGAGGGGGTGGGCGGAGGCGGAGGGAAGAAGCCGGAGGTGGGGGAGCTCTCTCGTGGGGATGGCGGGGATGCACTTGCTCTGAGGGTCGAACTAGTGCCTGGGCGCTCATTGCCGCGAGAGGAGTACCCGCGAGAAGGGCCTGCTTCGTTACGTGCATGCGCGAATACATTGAAGATTGGGGGTGAGTATGTGCCCGGGACAACGGCTGTTGCACCAAAGGCGCTAGAGTTGAGACCGACATATTTGGCGAGATTGGTCGCGGGCGCCTTTGAGGTGAAGGTTGCCTTGCTTTCGGACATGAAGGCGTCCCAAGGGTATGTCTCTACTGCATAAGCAGGAGGCCCAGTGGGAACATGATATCGGCCGTGCTGGGGAGCAGCTAATTGCAACAATGACAAGAGCTTCCTGCGCTGATGGCGTGGGAGAGGGGTCGGCTGGAAGGTACTCTCAATCATGTTGTTATCCAAATCAATTAGAACGAAGTCATCGGTCGGCAGTTCCACTTTCTCGTATCGTCGCTCGATACCCACAATGTAAGGGCAAGGTGCTTCGAGTGCTTGGATCAAGCGGGCAGGAAGAACGGGAATAAGAACTCCAGTCCACTCCAAGGGAAACAGGAGGTCAACCAACGCCCTTGTAGCAAGATACAGCATTGAGGTGTGAGATGACAGGAAAATAATGCGAGCTTCGGTCAAAGCATACTATATGCGATCAGTTAATGCATCCAACCCGACCTCGGGAGAAGCACAAGACTTACCTCGAATAGAATGAGAATATTCGGCACCGACAAAGTTCGAAACAGCGCATATAGGTCAGTCTACAGAGCGGTTAGCACAACCTTCGGCCGTGGAACTCAAACAAAATTGCGATAAACTTACATTCCGAGAGCCTGGGATTTCGTTCGGAGCCTCTTTTCTCGCAAACAATCGTAGCTCGCGAATCGCAAGCTCCACCTGGGTCTTCGAGGATATTGGTGCAAATGCTTCTGTGCAAAGATTCATCACGTATTGCTCCAGCGGCTGCCAAAGCCCCATTCGAGGTGATGGTGGAGGCACATGCTGCACGCCGTTTTCGGTCATAGGTACCACAATCGCCTTGAGCCATTCCTTCCAGAAGCTCGTCATGGTGCTCTCGCGGCCCAAAATACCGTACGCACGGGGAATCCAGAATCCAGTATCACCATCGGTCAGGCCTTCGATCTTTGAGGCCGCGCCATGACGGACGGGGCGAAGAAGGTCGGTCATCAATCCAATCTTCTCTTCCACTGCACTGATCTCATCTTCCAGCTGCTCCCGGGATTCGGATCCTGATGGGACCGTCGGGAGCTGGGCTAGCAATCTGGATAGTTTTGCTCTCTCCGATGCCAATCGCTCGCCCAAGCTTGCGGCCAGTTCACGTTCTTCGTCTGTCATATTATCTTTCCGCCACTCCTCGCAACGCTTCTCGAGCTCCTCTGCGGCATTTTGATTCAGTGGTATCCAAATTATGACGCAAATGGCGTGAAGCCGGGATCCATTATCCGTCGTCATAGCAAATCCGTGCCAAGTAGACCGCGGTCGCTGGTCGGAGGATACGATGTTGATATCATTGGGAAATGCGAACATGGGAACATAGTCGGGGAAGTTGCCGCGCTGCTTCAATTCATCCGGCATGGTTCGTGTGGGGTATCGGTCCAGAAGCACGGGCTCAAACCTCCTTTTCAACGGGTGCATAGTGGGCGAGATCTCGAGGGGTTGTGGAACGGGAATCACCGAATTGTAATTGCTCAATCGTCGAGAGGTTCGTACGGAAGCTGGTAAATCGTTCAGTCAGCACAAAAAAAAAGGTCCCTGTTTTGACATCGGACAACACCGGGGATGATTCTCACATTGACGGGCAACTGACGGTTGCCGCTTCATACTGTTCATGTCCCGGAAGGCCATGTGTCGTCGCACGCTGCCAATGCCGGATCGCAGCAAGTTCCCCCCGGGGGAGGGGGACTCCTCCGAGACAATCTTCTGTGTGCGGACTCGGGATCGCGGGCGGGTGTTCGGGGTAATTGCGCCTGCCGTGAGACTCAGGTCTGTCAGAAAGGACTCGCGCTCGTTGGCAAACTTGTATAAGGCGGAGTCGAAATCGAAGTCCTCGGTGAACATGGCGGAGCCGCGCAGGGGTGACGAGCCACCCTTGACGGTCATGCTGCTGCGATTGCTATTGGTTCCTCCGTTGGTGCCTTCCGAGGTCTTGGATAGTGTGGAGAGTCGTTGGACGGAGCTCCGGCGACTGACGCCTGTGAAGAGCATGGAGTTTGGGCGAGAGGGGTCGGGGTTGTATTCTTCCTCGGCGTCGGCATCTTCTTGGATGGTATCTGCGAGGGCAGGCCCGGGCGAGGCAGCGCCATTGGTACGGTAGTCATCCCCCAATCGTCTGAAGGTGTCCAGAATCTCGGTGCCATCCACGCCGGCGATCCAAAAGTAATCGGCGAGGGGGGCGCCCTCCGAGGAGGAGGAGCTTGAGGGCATTGTGAGAGTCGCAGGGGACTTTGCAAATTAATCGCCCAATCGTCACCACATCAGAGGAACTGTCGAGGGAACAGTTAAAAATGGGGGAACGGGAGGGAGGGGCAGTCGAGAGCGAAGATCAATTCCGGGAACTTCCAACGTTGTATTGAAAAAGGAGTTGCGCATTTGCACGACTTTTTTGTTTTTTTGTTTTTGTTTTTGCTCGGGTTTTTTTTTATGCAGAAGTACTCTCTCTCTCTCTTTTTATTTTCCTTTTCGGATAGCTGCGTCTGTGTACGCTCGACCTCACGGTTGCACCCTGACGTACATCCTCAAATTTATTACTTAGTTCTTTAGGACCCTGCCAACCATAACCCTAGCCTTGCACAAGAGTCTGACACCGTAGCGACCTGCAGGCTCTCTGCAGGGTGGCTGGACTTCTAGGGGCTCTAGCCTCCACCGAATCATAATGCAGAAGGATGCATTGATCCTATTCCAGCCATTCTTCCTGATACCCAGCAGCCTCAACTCGGCTCACACCTACAGTACTATACAGTGGAGTAGATGATTGAACACTTTTCCGGATCATCTGCATAACTTCAGACCTCGGGATGGTGGTTCGGAAAAAGCAAGCGGGTCCCAAAGAGGGCGTTCGTCTTGATATTGCGCTATGATCCTCGGCATTTAGACAGCGTAGTCCGTGGTGAGACATGGCGTTTAGTAACGACTTAGGCAGAGTGAGCGCCACAATGTCATTCTTTTATAGAGGGTTTGCCGCATTTTCCAGACTCTTTAGCGTTCAGGGGCTAGTCAGCGTGGACTCTATTGCGGATAGTACATAGTACTTCTAAGTATAACTTTCCGGATATAGTTCGTTCAGCCTCCCTCACCTCAACGGCTCCCTGTCAGACCATTCCCGTCCTTGACGGCTACGAAGACTCCGTATAACTATTGAATTGCCAACCAGGAGAGTGGAGTCGACTCCCCCCGGGGAGACGATCAATACTGCAGTGGGAGGGAGTGGAGAGAACCAACAGTGCCAAGGGTATCAGTTTCCACGGGTCGGACTCACAAGCCAGCACTAGTATAGTATGTAGGTACGGAGTAGCATAGGAGGTAGTACTTGTACTGAGTACTAGTAGTTATAGTATACTGTTTGAAGCCAAGAAAAGTCGAGTGTTGACAATATGCTCACACCGCAGAATCTCACTGTCTCAGGTCATACGCGGTAACCCTTTCCAACCATCCCGTGCTGATTCCCTATACTCCATGTACCTAACTGCTAGCCACCGCACTAGCCTCTCAACGAGCCCAGTCTGATTCTCGTATCGCAAACAAAGAGCCATTTTGATATACCAGTATACGTTGCCATGTCAAAGGTGATCCCCATATGTCCAAAGTCTAGACTCGGTGGCAGAGTCCAGACTCCCAAAGACTCTGTATACATGCCCAAAAGACCAGCTGTGAGATCCCGCGCCCTACGTGGCCCTAGGGACTATTTGGGCCTTTCACCGTGCGACAAACTTAAACATTAGCTGCAGTCTCTTGGCCATGTGCGAAGAGCCTCAGTGCGAACTATGAATTTAGGGCTTAATACTAGTACTGATTCTCTATCTCTCTCTGAACGCCATCTTCTCAACCTAGGGAGGAAGCTGGGATACGTATTCCAGTGGGTCGCTACGAATTCGCCCTTGCCGCAAGCCCTGCAACCCGCCGAATCAACAATTGTAGCACAGCAGCGGAAAAGGCAACCCGTCCACACCGCGTTTCGCGTTTCAAGTGCGTTTCCGGCTCATCAGGTTGCCCGTCGTCAGGAAGCCCTTATCGCCCATGGCGCCGCGCCATTCTATCGACAATTGACCCAGCGTGGCACGGCCATCGCGGCGGAGGTCCTTGTGCAAAGTCTCCAGGCCCTCGTTCTGGCCTTCTTCTTGTTCCACCAAGTAGGCCACCTGTAGAACGTCCCGGGGGTTCAGGGTCGGCAATGGCGGCATATCGGAATTCATGGTATCCCAATTCAGCGATTTTGATTGAAACGGGGGCTTGGCATTGAGTTTCGTTTGCTTTCCATCCCCTGTTAGCATCGCGCCCGGTCTGGTTGGGACCCGGAACAATTCTCACCTTGACTACCACGGCGCCTTCGCCCACGTTTTCCAACTGCGCTTCCAGCGCATATCGGAGTAATCTCGTCTTCCCGTACGGGCCGAGCGATTTATTGTCCACTTCCAGGGGCGGAAGTTCGGAAGCCTTGGTCCGCACGCTCAAACATGGTTGTGCCACAAATTGGTATAATTTGCGAAAGGTTCGCACCCGGCCACTGGCGGCCTGCGAGTCCGATCCTATTTTCGTCTCGGTATAGCTGACGCTGACGGCGAGCACGTGATTCCCTTCTTCTTTCAGGTCAAATCGTACAATCTTTTGTAATGACTCGCCGATCTTGAGGCCGTCTGTTGATGCCGTGTCAGTGGGCGGGTCAAGCTCTAATGCCGCGACCGACGAAGGTGTGGTCATTTCTGCGACGATGCGCACAGAGGTCAAGATTCGTTCATCGTCATTGTCGTCATCGTCGTCTATTTCATTATTCGCGCTAAGGGTGCACCCGAAGGTCTCTCCAACGTAGACAGACCCAAATGCCGGGGGTAAGGTAAGCTGTCACGGTGAGCTTTGGGACCCTGATGTATGGGTTCGAATTGTGGCTCACGAGGGGCGATAGAATGAATTTATCATCGGAGGCTCCCGATGGGTAAGCTAGAGATGCTTTCGTTGAGATAGGTGCGTTGGACGTCGGGAGGGGGGACTGATAGCAGAGGGATGGTCGCGCAAGTCTATCGAGAGTCAGATCCGGCATTCGATGCGGATGCAGGTGGTCTTGGTTACCGCAGGACTAATCAATTCCTGATCAGCATATGGCTCCGACTCTGGCGTGTGTCGGCGTACCTTTCAGAGACACAGCATGGGGTTCCTTAGGGGCGTCAGCGCCCGACAAAGCACGTGGGCGAGCCATAGCGATGCTGAATGTATTAGCAGGTCCAAGGAACAAACGCGCTGGGTGTTAGGGATATGAAGTCATGGTCGAGCCTGGGACGCGATAGCGATAGAGGAGTTAGACAAACAGTGCAAACATCGCAGCCTTCCAGGGTTCGAATGGTCCATTCACCACACTCAACGTCTGCTCGTTGATAGTACTGCTTATGATTCTCAGAATCAACTAATTTTCGGAGAAACTTTGTGACTGCTGTCTGTTGGAAGTACAAGGACATTCAAGAATGGGATATCTAAGCGATCTACTCATCAATCTACGCACCCAAGTATACACCACATCCTTACTGTGCTCAGTCTTAAGGAACACTGGACACTGTGCAAGGACAGCCCGGGAGAATGACTAGGTACCGGCAGACTTTTACGCGCGTTAGTCGCTCATTGTTCATTAGTGTTTCAAGATAGATGTGAAGTTGAGCGCCTATTCGAAGGCAACCTTTGCATCCGGGGTCTATATCGTAGCTTCCCAAAGCCTCAATACCACATCTCTGCCCTTCTTCTCTTCTCTCTTCTCTCCTCCCTCCTCCTTCTCAATCCTCCCACTTTCTCTCACACTTTCTCAATTCTTCTCATCTCTCATTCATTCTGATCTTGAACAACGATGCCTTCGCAAACTGAAACGGGCAATGCTCGAGACCCCGAGTCTCCTGGGACGCCAAATCCTCCACCCAGAGCCTCCAAAAAGAGAGCCGCTGCTCTATTGGCTTCCATGGCAATTTCTAAAAGCAGCTCCTCTGCATCTCCCAAAAGACCTCGTACCCGTGACCGAGCATCACAAAACCCATCGAACTCCCGCAGGTCGTTGGATGCTACCACCCCTACTCCCACTAAGCGAGCAGTCGGGAAAACTAAAAAGGGGACCCCCAAGAAGGACCCGAAGAGTGCTGTCGATGAAAGGATTTCCAGGGCTCACACTGATCGGTATGTCTCTCACGCCCATGACAGGCCTCGTCCCCTCTAAAGCATGTGAGTAGGATTTTCATCGTCGATCATGATATTCTCCCGGATATTGGAAATGGTGCCAGCCTCAAATGTGATATTATTGGAAGTGTCGGCAATATTTACAAGGTGTGGGTGAAGGAATATCCAAGCTGCACTTGCCCAGACCATGTGTTCCGGCGCAGCAGATGCAAGCACATCGCATACGGCACGTTTGAGAGCCCGACTGTGATCCCTATTGTGCTAATATCATTTCAGTGTTGTGCAATGTACTGTCGGCTACGGATGAACAGATCCATCAGCCGAGCTTCTCAGAAGAAGTATGTCAAACCCACAAACATATAAACACTCTAATATTTGATCAGGATCTCAACCGCTTGATGAAATCGCCCGTTTTGAAGCGAGTCGAAGCGGCTAAGGCAGCGCAAAACCTAGAAGGGAATCGCAAGCCAATCGAGGGAGAATGTGCTATTTGCTTCATGACAATGAAAAAACGGGACCAACTTGTCTGGTGTCAGTCTGGATGCGGCAACAATCTCCACAGCTCCTGCATGAACAAATGGGCCAAGTCTTCTGGGAGTCCTGTCCGTTGTGTTTATTGGTGAGTAGCCACTTGTACATGGGCTGTTTCCACAACCTGACATTGCATAGCCGAGCTCCCTGGGATTGCGAGAAGAAGATGACCGCAGGCGAAGCCATGATCAAAGCTGCGATGCATATAGAGCGGTATGTGGACGTCTCTGAAGAGTTTGGGATGGAGGGTTATCCAGGCAAGTGTTACTTGTATTGTCGTCAATGGTCATCGTAGCCATCACTGACGAAATACTCCTAGACTCACCTCCTTTCCGTGCATATCGTAACTCCTTCGGCAGCCATGAAGCAGAACCCAACGAGGACTAGGATGCAATTCATACGTGAGAAGTATCCGATTATTGATGTGCCAGGAAGTATGATCATGGCGACTCGGCCCTAACTCTTTTCTTCCCACACGTTGATTATGAGTCTGTGGCTGATGTTCTTTGCAACATTGGTATCTTACCTTTTTAACCATCTGAATGAGCTCCAGCCCTTAAGGACCAACTGAATGAGCTCCCAGTTAACATCTCTCCAATTTCACAATATCACGTTCTAGTATGAGCGGAAGCAAATCCATGGATAAATTAGCTCCTCGACTGGCAGGGTATCCCGCGTGAGGAAATTATCATTTAAACTTGGATATTTCTAGGTATACAATTTCTAGGTATAGGTCGATAATCATTGAAATCCAAGACGGAAATAATTCATTCTCTGAATATGGGTATCTCGCAAACTCCAACAAAACCAACGCAAAGCTTATAAAACGATGCTTCCAACCTTCCAAAGTTAAAGCACCAGACCAACACATATCTATACATCTTTCTGAAGCCGCTGACCTCCTCTAACAGTCGCAACACTCACGCTCTCCTCACCCGTCATCCAAGACGGCATGCGCTCGGGATCAACCACGCCCAATTCAGCAAGTTTTCTAAGGCCGCTGATGACATTCGAACCAGAGAACGTAAGCGATACAGCAGGCACTGTATCCTCATCGTCGGAACCAGGTCTATCAAGAAGTCTGATATCCAGACGATCCAACGGCGCCTGCGCAATTGACGACTCTGTCCCGAACCGGGAATGAACTGCCATACGACGCTGTTTCGAAAGAGGGGAAAGAGCACCGCCCTCAAGGCTATTAGACTTGCGCTTCGTGCTATCCCGGCCGGAATCTGTTTCCGCCGGATCGATTCCAATATGATCTTCTGGTGCGACGGTATTAGATGGGCGAGGATCCAGCGGACTCCCCTCGAGCGCTGCATCGGCGAATATGCTAAAAGCGCCATTTGAGACGGTTGATCGGCCTGGACCACGGAGCGTGAGAAGGGTTGGGAGATTCTTTGCAGCGAGAGAGGTCGCGTTCAACGAGAACCTTGCTTGTGGACGTGAAAGGGCTTTGGGAATTGCGTCACGGACTAATCGCTGCAGAGTCCGGGTATCTGTTGCTACTGAGCTGGTGGAGGGCGCGGTCTTGGATCCTGAGGCCGTAATGGATGTGTAGATGAAGGGGCAGCTGTCCGGGAAAGCAACATATATGATGCGCGAGGAATCTGTGAAGATCTCGGCTGATTGGGCGGGTGATTGGTATGGAGAGTCGACAACGAAGATTCGCAGAAGTGTTAATGGGAGTGTTGCGGAGCGGCCGAGGTGGTAGTGGGCTTTGACGAGTGGGGAGATTTCGCGCTGCAGAGCTTGGACGAATGTCGCTGCTTGAATGCGCGGCACGGAGCCAGACCAGTCCGGTGATTGCTGAGGGCTTTGTTTCCCGACGCCACTTAGTTCTAGCGCTGTCCATCGTAGGCTGGCGGGGTGGTCGTCCATGTAGCGTAGGTCTGCCATTGCTAGTTGGCGGAGGGTAATTCCATTGCGCCAGTCGCCTTCTAAGATTCTGTCGAGCACTTCGCGCTTGCCGCCTTTTCGGTCCTGGAGGTCGCTGTAGACTTGTTGGATTTCTTCGATTGTTTCGCCGGCGGGGTAGGGAAGGGCCTCGTTGTCTGGTCCTTCGGCTTCATCCTGTTGCAGAAATGGTGGGAAGGATTCCACATTGCGATCATCTAGCCAGAAGAAAGCAAGGTCTAACAATGCTTGTCTTGAGAGCTTGCCTAGCGTTTTGATGAGGGATGGCGTCGACGAGGGAATCCGGAGATTGTTTGGTAGGCTGGCCGTAGTCGGGGCGCGCACCAACTTCTGACGCGCCATGTTTGGGTCTCGGGTTGGGACAGATTGCCACCAATCTCATGTCCAACACAGACGCTCTGTAATGCTCCAATGTTGTTTCGTTGCGGGCAATAAACAATATCACGTGGAGATAAGATAGTGCCTGTCTCCTTTCGCCTGACAATTAAGGCCACGATCCGTTGGCCTGTTGGCCCCCTGTTTGAAGGAAGTAAAGTACCCTACTGATGGAGTCAATCAAGTCCCTGCATATAATTCGTGAAGCTTAAAGCCAATATACGATCCAATAAGCGACCACCATGGACTATATGGGACCATTTTATTTTCACACTGAGAAGCCGAGGCATGGGTGGGTCAAGGGACTCAACTAGTAAAACAGGGTCGATCCGATTTCTGCTTGTGCGACAAAGATATACTACTAGTATGCTGGACCCTTGAAATTCCAAGCTCATTAATACCTACCTCATGGCCGATTCACGCCAGCAAGTAGCCGTTATTGGCACTGGAATGGCAGGCCTTGTCACCGCATACATTCTCAGGAACGACCCCAGAGGGAGATTCGACGTACAAGTCTTCGAAAAGGTACATCATTAACTTCCACGCCCCTGGAAAACACAGTCGCTAATCCTGATGGCTCGTCCAGCAAGATAAACTGTCCCTCGACTCGGCGTCCCATACCCTCACTGATACGAAGAGCGGCGAAAAATCCGAACGCCTCGACCTGCCCATGCGCGCCTTTGCCGATGGATACTACCTGAGTTTACGTCGCATGTATGATCATTTCGGGATCACATATGGCTCCCCACGATTCATCTACGCCCTGTCGAAGTTAGCGAACACCCAGGCCTCACCGTATTTCATCCACTCCTCGAATAATCACCAAGTACCACCACTGCGCCCGAACGGTCTCCCATGGATCAGCTGGCTGATCGAGGTGTGCTATCTGGCTGTATGTTACTATTGGTTCACGGCATGTTGCTTCTTCGTGACGCCTGAGACGGTGGAATCGGCTGGCGCGGAGGAAACGCTTCGACAATACGTTGATAGAATCAGACTCCCTCAGTACTATGTCAAGCATTACATGTTACCGCTCATGTCGAGTGTGACGACTTGCTCGCATGAAGCACTGCTTGATTTCCCTGCTGTCGATCTGGTCGATTACGAGAGGAGGACGTTCCGACAAAAGCACTACACCGTCCTCGGTGGTGTCCACCGGGTTCAAACGAAGTTATCCGAAGGCTTGACGCATACACTCGGGGCGAAAGTTACATCTGTTGAGAATGTTGGCACAAAGGTTCAAGTCAGTTGGACTGATACCGACGGACAGAGTAGCACCCGCCTCTTTGACCATGTTATTCTGGGCGTGACGCCCGACGTCGTTGGGGCCATCTTCCAACCTCTTCGAAGTGCCATGGCTGCTATCCCTACGACGACTGTGCAATCGGTCGTTCACCGTGACTTCTCTAGAATCATCAATGCCAGCAAATCGATCTGGACGCAGATGTCTTGGGGCTCGAACCAATCGCCTCCCCAGCCTATCCACATGTGCTCGAATGATGGAGCGACTGAGTCTATCCATGAACATCCTTCATCTGCATTGATTACCACATATCCCATTGCCCCCATCGATCCTGAGAAGGTCGTGTACACCGCCACATTCACCCGCGTCCTGCGATCAGCTGCCAGCAGACAGATCGTGAACCATATCTTTGGGAAGAGCATTGCGGACGAGAAATCTCACCTTTGGCGAAACGGCGATGGCAACGTATGGCTGGTTGGTGGCTGGTGTTGGGATGGAATGGTAATGCTGGAAGGGTGTCTTGCCTCTGCGACGAGAGTGGCTAATGCCCTTGATGTTGAGGTGCCATGGTGAAGAGTTCTTGACTTTCACGATTACGACTGTACATACTTTCGGACTTACGTTGACGAATGTTTTGGATTTTAGCACATACTATGTTAATAGAGCTGCCAGGTGCTCAGGCGTCTCATATGCGTTCAATTCTGTCATACTGATTTCCCATCGCTTGTTCCCCTTTGGTTATTTGGTTATTCCTACATACTCATTCTCCCTCGCGCCTCAGAGGCTTGCTCAGAATCCTACACACACCAGATGGATAATGAACAGACTACATGGGAGTGGACACTGATGCTGGTTAGAAAGCAGAATGGACAGTCTCGCGATGTACTTACGCAAATAGGGTCGCCTAGATGGTTGGAGGCAGGGGCACATGTGTTCAACGGCCCGCAGCATCCAGGAAGTGGACCGCCGTTGATGCAGGTGAAGCCCGGTGAACACTTGCTCACTTAGTCAAACATGCCAGTATGCAACCTTGAAGTGGGGGGAACTTACGCATGTTTTCGACGCTTCACAGTATGGCTGGCTCGCGGGACAAGCGATACATTGGCCTGCAATGCAGGCACCGCCACCCGGTCCGAAGTTGCACTATCGAAGCAAATTAGCATTTTCTCGGCGCTGAGGTGGATGAAAGGGGAAAGGATCCATACAGCCTTATTGCACGATCCACAATGATTGACATCCGTCGTCAGATCTGTACACGTTCCATTACAACAACCAGGCAACACACCCGTACAAGGCGCCGCATTACAAGAGCCGCAATGCTGCAAGCTCGTTGCCAAATCCGTGCATCTTCCATCGCAGCATCCCGGCTGGACTCCCGTGCATGCCAAAGCCAGACACGATCCACAGTGATTCGGGTCCGAATTCAAGTCCACGCAAGTACCACGACAACAGGCTGGATTGACGCCGATGCACGGCGCATTACAAGCGCCGCAGTGGTTCACGCTTGTCGAAACATCCGCACAGGCGCCGTTGCAGCATGCTGGATTCAGGCCTAGGCATGGCAAGGATGTGCAGGAGCCGCAGTGGGCGATATCGGTGCTGAGGTCTGTGCATAGGCCGTTACAGCAGGCTGGGACGTTGCCGTGGCATTGGCTTGTGCAGCCTCCGCAGTGGTTGGGGTCTGTGAGGATGTTGGAGCAGGTGCCGTTACAGCAGGTTGCGCCCAGGCCCAGGCATGGAGCTGCGGTACAGGAGCCGCAGTGGACGATATCGGTGCTTAGATCTGTGCAGACGCCTGAGCAGCAGGCGGGTGTTAGTCCGTTGCATTTCCTGCCGCAGAATGCGCAGTTGTTGGGGTCTGTGAGTGTGTTTGCGCAGGTTCCTCCGCAGCAGGTTGGGCTGGCTCCTTGACACTGGGGATGTTAGTTTGGGTGGGCTGCGGAAATAGACGGACATACTATGTTATTGCAGGTTCCGCAGTTCGAGGTGCTGACTGCTAAGTCGGTACATGCGCCAGAGCAGCAGCCTGGTCTGATTCCGACGCACGGTAAGGCGAGACATGCACCACAGTGGTTTGGATCGGAGTCAAGATCGGAACAATTGCCGCTGCAGCAAGCTGGTCTGACTCCTGTGCACTATTGAATAAATTCATAAGCAATGACTTGAATATGCTTTGGCAGGCCACACTCACACCACGTCCGCAGGTTCCACAGCTAGTGATGCTAGTTGCAAGATCAGTGCATGCTCCCGCACAACAGCCAGGTCTCAATCCAAGACAAGGCAGTGCGCCACAAGCACCACAGTGCAGAGGATCACTACTGAGATCTGTGCAAGTTCCTGAACAACAAGCTGCCGCATTCCCAGTGCACTACGAAACTGCTTAGCAAAATTGGGCCTTTGGACTCAACCAGGACGTTCACATACCATGTTATTACAATACCCGCAATTCGCATTCGAGGAGGAGAAGTCTGTACAGACTCCCGAGCAGCAGCCAGGCTGCTGTCCAACGCAAGGGAATGCACTGCAAGAGCCGCAATGTTTGGCATCAAAGGCGAGGTCAGAGCACGCTCCCGAGCAGCAAGCCGGTGTTAATCCGGTGCACTTTATGTCGAGGCGAAGATATCAGTTACATCGTGGCTATGATATGCACATTCTGAGACAACGTAACGACTTACCGTCTTGTTGCAAGTACCGCAGTTGTTGAGATTGTTGTTGAGGTCTGTACACGAGCTCGAACAGCAAGCTGGTCTAACTCCATTGCACTGAGTGTTGTCAGACCAGTCATCAATTCTTCATCCCGAGGTCCTGCCAGCAACTCGAGCATAGACTTACCGGTGTTGCATTGCATGCGCCGCAATTGTTGACACTGGAGCTCAGATCTGCACATACTCCATCGCAGCAGGCTGGCGAAGCACCGACCAGACACTAAACAAATTAAACATGAACAACGCAGTCCGATGTCTCAGCTTACTGCTGCACCACAGGCCCCGCAATTCCCCGTGTTCGACGACGTATCTGTACACGTGAGGAAACAGCACTGTTGACCCTGTGCACACTATACGACCAGATGTCAGCAATCATCAACAGTGGTCATTCCCACTCACGTTCGGAATCCATGGAACGCAGAAAGTCGCATTGGAGTTATGCTGGGGGCCGTGGACATCCAGGGAGGTAACATTGGTCGTGTTCACTGGGTTAGTATTGACATACTGGCACAGGTAGAGAAGGGTCCCTGGTATGAGATGAGAACCTTATTGGTGCCATGACAAGCGAGGACCGGGGGTGTCTGACCTAGAAGAAGCATAGGGAATATCTGTACAGATGGCGACATTGACGCTCCCTGGGTAAGCGCTGGCTTTGGTACGTTGGATAGATGGAGACACAGGAGATAGAGAGCATGAAAATAATAGGCCTTATATCGCGCAATCGATATGGGAGGGTGTATTGTTTACTTTGACTGGTGTGTTCGAGACCATGTATAAGCTACTCTTATTCTGCGTGGTGTTACCCAAGATCATGCAAAGGTTTATACTGTTTAAATGTTGGGGATTTCTTCCGTGAGTACTCCCTACATGTTAGATCACATATGGAGGTTGAGGCCGCCTTCTGTGTGTTACCTAGTTATAAGTCTGCATCCATGGATGAATGTTCAGCTCATGGGTTTGTCGGTGCAATGTCAGAGCATCTGACAGCCCTGGAGGGTTCGAGGGAATTGCTCTATCTTTTGGCCTTTGGAACCAGGTTGCCAAAGGTTTGTTGAGATGTCACAGTAGCAGGGAACAATGGGTGTGTAACCAGCTTTGAAGACCGAAAAGGGCTCTCGCCGGCGTCGGTGCTACACGTATAGATCTCCGTTCTTGGCGAAACGAAAGTACAACGTTTGAACATGGGGAGAACAGAGCTGGATCATCAAATTGTCAACATTAAAAGTCACCGTGAGGAACATCACATTGCTAGTCGCTAAAAATTCACTTTTAAAGATTATGTTTCCCTAATGGGAATGATAGTATATACAAACGTATACGCCGTAGCATTGCTGGTTGTTTCGGAGGTTTTATCGCTGTGGCTCACCCACAGTCTCTTCAGCCCTGGTCTCTTCCTCGCCAGAGTGTCCTTCCTGGACAGCTTCGTAGAAAGGCGCAAACTTGCTCTTCATTCTCAGCCGCCTTCCGAAGAAGTAGAATCCAACGGGAATCGGAACGAGAACAGCCGCCACGCAACCAAGAAGCGTAGCTGCCCATTGAATGCCCATGCCTTGGAACATCTGGCGGGAGAAGAGTGGGAAGCTGGCTGCAACCATTGATCGGCAGAATGTGTTTGCTGCGATTGCCGATGCGGCACTGGAAAAATGTCAGTGGAAATCGTTCTGATGAAGAATGAAGTTGTAACTTACAACATGAGGTATGTATCGATCAAGTAATTGAACAGTTGAATGAAGATGATCAAAAGTCCAAAGCCGGTGAAGAGACCACTGAGGGTCGGGACAATCCAATGGATAGTGCCGTTGAAGCCTGTCCAGCCGAACCAGAAGAGTCCGGCGGCGAAGAGGGCTCCGCCGACTATCACGGGGGGCAGACGCCATTCTGGGATAGGCACACCGCCATTGGCTTCGAGTTTCTTAATGTACCATCTGTTCGAGGTAATGATGTATGTTGCCGCAATCATCAGGCCCACGACCATGCCAAATAATGGGAGACCTCCAACACCGGCATTCATACCATAGACCTGCTGGAAGACCAGAGTATACGCAGTCAGGAAGCAGTATAGCAAGCCGTAGATAAAGCTGAGGTACAGAGTGACGGCAAGAATCAAGGGTTCGTTGAACAGCAACTTCAGCGGACGAGAGAAGTTGTTCACGATCAATTCACGAAGATCGACTTCGATTTCCTCCTGCTTGGCGTGAATACCCCAATTCTTTGTCCGGCGACGGAGCTCCGATGCTTTGGCCACAAGAACCACCGGTGGGTAAGACTCTTGCAAGAAGAGCACATTCATCGCGAAGGCGCCGAAGCCCATGAATGCAGGAATGTAGGCGGTCCAGCGCCAGCCGAGGTAGGACATGTTGATGAATCCACCGATGAACGGCGCGAGGAGTGGGCCGAGGAAAACGGTCCCCGAGAAGCATGCAATGGCGGTACCACGGGTTCGATTGTCCCAGATATCAGAGAAGACAGCGGCGACCACAGCGAGCGGACAACTTCCGAAGATACCACAGAAGAATCGACAGATTAGCAAAGTCTGCAAGTCCTTGGAGACTGCGACTGCGATGTTGAAAATGCCAAAACCAAACATAGCAATAATGATGGGGATGCGACGCCCTTGCAGTTCGGAGAGAGGAGCCCAAATCAGCGGACCTGACGCATAGCCAATGATGTATAGTGAACTGGAGAGAATGGCGACCTCCAGACCGACGCCGAAATGACTTGCGACATTGCTGGACGATGAGCTGAAGACGGCGGAGTCGAAAGTGGAGCAAATACTGGTGAATGCGAGGATGGCACTAATATACACCCTGGATACATGTTAGCATTTTTATGCGCGCGCACCTTCAACGAAGCCACTTACTTTCTCATCACCGGCCAATTCAACGGATATAGAGGATCATCGGGTCCATCAAATTCCACCACGTAGTCCTCGCGCGCAGGCAGCAATGGAGGGTACTCCTTTCCGCCACCAAAAGGCGGAAGTGGTTTCTTTGACGGCCTCGAGGTGAGACTCTCACCCACCGTCAAGGCATGCTGGGCCCGCTGCGTCTCCGTCCTGCTTAAAGCGCGCGACGCACTCGTCTGTCGGCGCTCTAAATCGAGCTCCGTGTTTCGGGACTGCAGCCGATGGATCTGGGGATCATATTCGAAGGAGCTGCTGGAGGCATTTGAGGAGATGGTCGAGCCCGACGTTGTTGGTCGCTCGGGTTCGACCGAATTCCGGGGTTTTTCGCTATCGGCCATCATGCCCGTTACCGCTTTGGCAGATCGTGCAGTGCAGATCACTTCGAGCACTCAAGTGTCAAGCTCACGGATCAGATGCTGGCACACAAGGAGATGCCGATTCTTGGATGGAGGAAAAGGGGAAAAGACTTTTTTTTCTTATTTGACATCAGGATTCGGACTTGGGCGAAAAGGAGGGCCGAAAGCAACATGATCCGACTAGCCGTTTGAGACCCACTACATAGCGGCTTCAGCAGTCGGTGCCGAACTGCCGAAGGGCATACCAGTGCACAGTGGTAGAATTGTGTGGCGAGAGTCTCGTTGAATTGCAGAGAGTAGCCTGACTAGCGCATAGCCATGGAGTACTCGAAGTACAACGCCAAGTCCAGGATATCCATGGAGGAAGAGGACGAAGTGCAAAAATTGTTGATACCTTAGGCAACATCATTTACGTCACCATGATTCAGGCGGTGCCTGGCCCTTTTCTCGTTGCACTTCTACTTACTTCACACTCTTGACTATTATAACCTCCTACACTACTACGTATTCATACTCACTGGGTATCTAGCATATACTTCATTCAGTTTGACAGCACTTTACTCAAATGCTATAGCAGACACTCATGTTAGGCTCCAATATCTGATAACTTGGCACTACGGGACCATACTCCACCAGCGGTGGCAGTCGGGGACACTCCACCGCGGCGTCTGGTAGAGAGTGCAAGTGGGTCGTGCCTGTAGGTAGATTTGGATTCCGTTGTCAAAGCGTTAGAGAACGGGTCTTCGGATATACTACAGAGTAGAAGCACTAGCAATACTGCTCTATGATACATAGTGCTGAATGCACATGTGAACAACAGAAAGAAACACTCATTTTTTCCAGGGATGTTTTTCACCAACCTCCAAGGCTGCAGACTATTGAACATTCATGTGTACTAGCACACACAGCCAATATGGGGCACTTTGATGGTCATCACATCCTTGCCAAGCTGGGAAGGCGTCTCCAGAACTACATCGCCCTCGCACGTGTCCAACTCCTCGTGCTGGAATAGATTGCATCTCATGCATGCATGCCAAGCCGATGTGAGGTATCGCACTCGAACACTTGCCCTTCAGTACCTGGTAGTGTTCGCGTGGGTAAATCGGCACAGGGTAAATTCACTCCGGTGGCGACTATCGCCTTACCAACTAACTGTATAATCTTGCGAAATACTGCATACTATGGATCACGCTGCATAAAACCATCCATGGATACGTCTAAAAAAACCAAAACACTACCTATGTATCCGCTAAAGCGAACAACATGGCTGATCATGTCGAGAGTTAAGGATGTCCCGTTTGAGCGGTGCGGCAATCCCTCATGCCTCCATCTGCCGAGCAACCCTAGCCCGACGAGCAATCTTACCCAAAAGCGGAGCCAGTCCAGCATGATCACAGTGATGCTCCTCTTCTACAGCATGAACATCACGCTTAGAGAAATTAAATCCAGGCTTCGGCTTGACACAGTTGAACTGCGCATCTGCAGCGCGCAGAGTACAAATCTCGGTTGTCATGCACTCGCCCTCACATGCAGTGACATGGTATCCGCGGACTCGCCTGGCCCAGAAATCCTGGAAGATCGACGGGTCTGTCTCCATGGCGACAGTGACATTGTGCCAGAAAGCTGGGGTCAGCTCAGCATTCGGATCTACAGGAGGAGAGAGCTTCGATCCGTAGTCGGCCTTGGCAGAGTAGTAGGGGAGCCATTGTGGTTTCTCTTGGAATCCGGGGTCACTGATATTGGCGATGTATTGAGTATAGTCCAAGACGCCGAAGGTCTCGGGGTCGATCTCATAGACGCGGAACGAGGGAGGTCCTTCGGTTGGTGTCATCGCTGGAGCAATATATCCCATTGCAGTTGCGGTGTTGTAATTCCGATCGGCGTAGTTGGAGTATGCGATTTGGAACTCATCCATATGGGTATGGCCATAGAATAACCCTGCGATGGTAGCCTCGTATCGCTGGACAATTTGATCCAAGTACTGCGAGTAGTCGTGGAAGTGATCTGCGACTCCAGGCGGGATATGCGAGATCAACCAGGCGCGCTGGCCTGCGTCTTCGGCTGCTTGGAGTTCCTCGATGAGCCATTCGAATTGCCCGTTGGGGTCTTTCTCCATTGGCTCTTGGTACATGTAGAAGTTGAATTTGTAGTAGAAAATGCTGTTGTAGGAGATGATGCGCAGATTGCTATTGGGGTGAATCGCGGAGTAGGACCCGAACTCATCTGCGGCTTGCACGGATGAGATACCGGTCAAGGCGTGCCAGTCTTCTGCGAGAGCATTGTATGCCCATTGATTGTTTCCATCGGGGACGTTGTTCGACGGGAAGAGGTTCAGTGGTGCAGTATCGTGGTTTCCTATGGCAGCGTACACCACACCCAGTGTGTTCTCCATCTGGCCATATGTGTGGTTGAAACTGTCAAGAGCCTCGGCCTGGTTGACTAGCCAGACATCATGGGCCACGACATCACCAGTATATATGGAAAATTCGGGATTGATCTCTGCGATGGCGGCATTCATGCTCTCCTGTAGCTCCTGGGGCGGGTCGCACCTTGGGTTTCCAAATGGTCCACATGGTGTCTTAGTGATTCCCGGGGCGTATTTGTCTTCAAAAACCCTGCAGCAGATGGGCTTGGAACACTCATAGCTTGAACCAGTCTCATAATATAAATCCACATGTGTGTCGCTGAAGTGAACAACTTTGATCGGCGGCTTTCCACTAGGCAGTGGTCGACTTTTCTTTGGCTTGGGCGAGGGGAACGAGAGTGCGTGGGATCGGACTTTCGGGTACTGACACAGTCCGATCAGATTGGCACACATGGTCTGGGTGGAATGGGATCCGATATGCAAGGCTTGGAAGGCATCGTGAAGCGCAGGCCCTTCTTTCTTGATGATTCCTTCACAGACATCCGAATCTTCAGCCTAGCCAAGTGTCAATGATACTTTCAGCCCCGGGGCTTCCAAAGGCATGCCTGTACCTTACTGATATCGCAGACTCCAGTCAGAACATCAACCATGAAATTCTCTCCAAACCCCGAGACAAGCTTCAGACCGCCAAGAAGAGCCTGCAGAGCCATGGAGAATTAACATTCATAGGTTTGAAAGCGAAGGCGAGTATGGCTGCCTACCTGGCAACTACCGCAATCCACGGCATTCTTGAAATCCTCCCAGATGGACGCAACAGACTTGTTAATTGAAACCTCGGCTTGAATGCCCGGGAGTAACGCCAAAGCAGCACAGGCCGCAAAGCCACCGTCAACCCTCATGCTGGCAAGATGGCCGACAGACAACGGACGCAGTTGAACAGAGGCCAGCTGAGCGTGCCTTCCCAGAACGAATTCCCCATGAGGGCACGACCTCCATCTTATACGGCCAAGTCACGTAGAAGCTTCAGCTAGGAGTTAGTAGTCTTGCATCTCGCTTAGAGAAAATGAGGCCTCTAGCCCCCATGGTGAAGATCTCGTTCAGCTCGGCCTCACGGTCTGCCATGTGAAAGCGACACATTAGTACATTTCATAGCTGCGCATCTATATGCACAGGCGATATGAACACTGGATAGCGGGATTTAGTAACCACCGGACTACCGAGAGAGTTCGCGAGTGTATACTGGAAGTAGAGCCAAGCACGAGAATCTGCAACGCTGGACCAGCACGTTGATCACGGGGGTTGAATATATGCCGTTCTTGGCATCGCATAGCCTCGGGGGGTTTCGGATAGAGAATGAACAGATTAGATTGAGAAAGCTTATGCACAGCATGTTTATCGCAGTCGATCAGTCAGTTCTCAGTGGACTAGTCTAATACGCCAAGTTCGGTGCCTGCAGGGTCAGGGTTTGGAGTGGAGTCTCTAGATTAGCCTCAGATCTGTCGAGATCGATTAGCTGGTCGCTATACGGCGTGATGGAGTATTTACTTCTGTAGAGTGTCACAGTCTTACAATGCACGAGATCTGCGACCTGACGACCTAGGTACACCGCATGCTCAGTACTCCACTAGTAATAGTAGCGAGTACGCACTGTACTTAGACTGTGGGGCATCACGATTGACGTTCCAAAGCACAGGAGAGTACGGAGAAGATCCGAATAATGTCCCCGGGTTCCCGACGCAAGAGTTTGCCAGACCAAGGGTCCCGGAGTCGCCACCCATAGCCAAGTAGCCAACTGCAGGGCGCAGCAGTGGCGATGAATGCCATTCAGGGAACGCGAACCCCCAGGACAAGTTTAACCAGATCTCAGGGGCGATTGGAACTGGTCATGGTGGCGCCATTTGCCCCGTACCTATTGGCCGAGTACCGTACTAGTTGAGTCTGTACGCTGCGAGGGGGTACGCAGTACGCACTTTGGAGTGTAAGTACTGTACTGTACTCCGCACGTAGGATCGACTGGTGGGATTGCGGTGTAAGTACGAAGTGTCATTAAGCGGGGATCTCCCGGACGAGAAAAAAAAAAAGGGAAACCGGGGTAAAACGGCCTTTAATTTTTTTTCCCTCTCTGCAGATCTCACCTCCGCACGAATTCTCCTCTCCTCTCCGTTCCGCTCTCTACGGAACCTCGACGATGGCCCTGTACACGCGCGACAGCCCGCCGCCAACCGCGATACACTAGGAACACGCTCGTAACATTCTGGACTGTCCGCCGGGCAGTCCCACCCGGTGATGGAAGGTCAACAAGCAGCGACACTGGGGGTCTCAATTACCTTCTTCACCCTCGCCAGCATTTTCGTCGTCCTCCGCTTCGTCTCGAGAATATTTGTGGTCAGGAAAATTGGGTTACATGACTGGTTGATGTTGGTCGCATGGGTATGTAGGATCCGTAGGCGTGATCCCTGCATGTCTCCCGGGGTGGGACAATGGACTCGATCGGGTCCTGGGGATTTGGGGGGGAGCTCGGCTGACTGGGATGCAGATTATCGATTTCGGATTCTCCTTCTCACTGTTCTATGCCGTGCGAAAGGGTCTTGGCCTTCATTCGAGCGAGATCAGAAAGCAGGATGAGCTCGCGTTCAACAAGGCCAATTATGCGTTCACCGTGCTCTACGTCAGTATGGGGAGACCTGTCCGCGCGAAGCTAGCTAACAGCCACCCAGAACCCGGCGTTGATGGCCGTCAAAACCTCAATCCTGATATTTTACTTGACTTTGACTCGGAATCAGAAAGTCTTTCGTTACGCAAATTATGTCACCTTGTTTATCGTGAACGCCGCGGGCCTGGCATTGACATTGGTCAACGTCTTCCAGTGCAGCCCGCTTGGCGCAGTTTTTCTCTCCGACATTCCGGATTATGCGCATTGTACGGATATCGTCACGCTGTACTTGTCCTCCTCTCCGGTGAATATCATCACCGACATCGCGATCCTCATTCTCCCGATGCCGCTCCTGACGAAAATGCGCCTACCTTTCAAACAAAAGATTATCCTGGTCATCACGTTCTCCTTCGGTTTCTTCGTGGCGGTAGTCGATGTGATTCGAATCGCATTCCTTCAACAAGCCGCCATCTCTCGTTCGCTGGAAGTTAAATCGATCCACATCCAAAATATCGGAGGAGTGGACTTTAGCTGTACGACCCCATGTTCCCTGTTTCGGAAATTGAATTGTGAATCGAACTGACACTGTCTTGGCAGGGTATGCGTCACTCTCGTTTATGTGGTCTGTTGTCGAAGTCAACGTTTCGATCATTTGCGGCTGTGTCCCAAGTCTCAAGCCGCTCGTCACTCGGCTTGTCCCCAAACTTATTAGAGACACAAACGACACGGTAACCTCCTCACCCCACGGAGGCTATGCGCATCCTGCAGGGGAAATACCCGTGCCAACGACCCCTGCGGCGGTGGCACTAGGGTCTGAATCCCCTTCCCCGGGCACGGAAGGCGACAAGAGTTTGCAAAATCATGTTGGAAGTGTCTCTGGGCGTCATAGCTCTCGTGAGTCGGAACCAATCGATCTTTTGGAGTTTTTGGGCCATCCTGCCACGGCAGTTGGCGATACCGAGACCGTCACACACACAAGCACGAGCTACCCACCCGACATCACGTTCTTTGACTTTGTCAACATGAAGAATCCAGAGAGCATGCTTAAACTCAATACTCGGGAGTCGATTGCGCCAATTGCCCTGACCACGCTCTTGTTCTTCCTGTGGGGATTTGCGTACGGCCTGCTCGATATCTTAAACTCCCAGTTCCAGACCATCGTCCACCTTGGCCCGTGGCACTCACTGGGTCTTCACGGTGCATACTTCGGTGGTTATGTGTTAGGGCCTCTTTCCGTTGGTGGTCCTGTCTTGAAGATCTGGGGCTTCAAGGCCACATTTATGACGGGTCTTTGCATATACGCTTGTGGAACCCTCATTTTCTGGCCTTCGGCCGTCCTCACTTCCACTCCTGCGTTCATCCTATCGAACTTCATCGTCGGTTTTGGTCTAGCCGTTTTGGAAACGGCGGCAAATCCCTTCATCGCCCTCTGTGGTCCACTCGAAAATTCAGAAATCAGACTGAATATTTCCCAGGGTGTACAGGCAGTTGGAAGTGTCTTATCCCCTCTCCTAGCCAAGAGGGTTCTCTTCAAGAGCGTCCAGGATGTCGCATCCCTGGTCGATGTCCAGTGGGCATATCTCGGTATCGCCTTGTTTGATGTCCTGTTGGCAGTGGCCTTCTACTACCTACCTGTCCCTGAGGCCTCAGACGAAGACCTGGAGGAGTTGGCAAACCGCCGTCGCGAGGACAATATGACTAAGGTCATCGGTATTCCAGTGGTATGGCTAACACTAGGCTTGGGCATCTGGTCCCAATTCTTCTACTGCGCCGGTCAAGAAGTCCTCGCAACAACTCTCAACCGTTACGTCCTCGCCGCTCATTCAACAACCTCCCTTCAACCGTTCGACGTTCTTACAATCGGCCACAGCGTCTTTGCCGTCGGTCGCTTCCTCGCTGCATTTGCCCAATGGTTCCTCAAGCCCCGCTGGATCCTCATGGTAAATTACATCGGCATGATCGTATGCGGAGTTCTCTGCATGTACACCAGCGGCTCCGCAGCAATCGTCGTAGTAATGCTTCTCTACCTCTTCGAAAGCGGCACCTTCAGCATCATCTTCGCCATCTCCCTCCGCGGCACAGCACAGCACACCAAGAACGCCGCCATCCTCCTCACAATGGCCATCAGCGGTGGAACCTACTTCCCATTCGCCGAATACGCAGCCTACCTAGCCCGCGGTGAAAACTACTCCTTCAGTGTCCTAGTCGCCCTCTTCTGCGCCGGCGCCATATTTCCCATCTACCTCAACTTCGTCCCAGCCGTCAAGAAGCAAGTCGACCCCGTCCCCAACGAGTATCTCCGCCGTCATCGCAAGAGAACCCGTACCCACATCGATACCATCCAGCGCGATAAAGAGAATCCCTCCCTTGGCGGCGTTCTCTCCCGTCCGCGCAGCATGGTCTCGAATCCAGATCATCTCCCTGATCTTCCTCTTCCCGAGGAAATTCATCGCTCCTCCCTCGCGCATGATCTTAACGGTGATAAATCGACTTCGAGCTCGAGTCCGAATTCCATCTATACGAGGGATGAGGTCTCCAGGCGCTTCCCAGCCAGGAATAATGATTCATGACCGCTTGGCGTTTTTCTTCTGCCATGGTTGGCATACATCGTTTTGTTTTGCGATAAAATATACCCCCCTTTTGCTTCTTTGACTGGAATCTTTCTCCTGGCAATATCTTCTGCATTTCTGGTGGCACTTTGTTTTTCTTCTTTTGCATTTCAGCGATGGTGTTTTGTCGAAAATTTATCGGGGGTTCTTTTCACTTGCCTACCTATTGCTCAATTAATTAATGAAACTTGCTTTCCTATTGCTTCGACTCATGAATCTTGCAGATCTTTTGTTTGCCCAGGTGCCATGGGTGTTTACTCATTTGAGTGATATTGGCCTGTTGGCCAATCACCAGTGCAGTTTAGTCTGGCCCCCTGTCCACCTGGGCAGGTGGCTGCCAACTCATCGCGACTCAGCCCTGGAAGGTCTCAACGCGCAACCCCGCCTTCGCTCATACTCTGCCAAATTACTATTGAGATCGGCTGAGCCCACACCGAAGCCTGAGTGAACCGAATTTAACACCTTCCAAACAACATGGAAGTCATGGATAGCGACCCTGATGAACGTACCAATGCGTCTGCATCCGGAACCCCAGGGGATTCTTACCCAGCTCCAACCGCCAAAAAAGGCACCAAGTCTCGCCATGGAACTTTGGCAGTCCAATCTGAAAGTAGTCGGAGGTCTTCTAAGTCGCAAAATCTCAGTGGTGAGTAGAGCCTTGGGGCGTTCTGAATTTTTGTTATGCCAGTCACATTCAGGCCCTAACTTACAAACGCCCATAGAAGATGAATTTCATACGGCTACTGGTAATTCCAGTCCGGGCTTTATGAAGCCTGGCTCAAGGGTTACATCCGATAGGAACTCCAGTTGGGAATTGGGGCCTAGCGAGGCCGCCTCGTTCCTCAGAGAAATCATCCACACCGGGTCAGCAGATCAGGTTACGAAGTATATCGAAGATGGTGGTAATGTGAATTTGTTTCCCCGTTCTATCGAGTCTACTCCTCTTTGCTACGCTATTCGTCATGGAACCCCGGAGATCGTCGAACTCTTGCTTCAAAATGGAGCCGACGTCAATGTTCAACATGAAACCAAGGAATTCATGAGCCCTCTTGTTCTTGCGGCTCTCAAGTCAGCCCAGATGACCGAAATTATAATCAAGGCTGGTGCTAATGTTAACATGGAACTTACCAACGGGTTATATGACTGCGCTCTTGTTGCTAGTGTGGTAGAAAAAAGGATTGAGTCGATGAGAATCCTCATCGACGCCGGGGCTGATGTCAACATGCAGCTGGCCCAGGGGGTTTACGGCAGCGCTCTTGCTGCTAGCGCGAGAGTGGGAAGTACTGAGTCGATGAGAATCCTCATCGACGCCGGGGCTGATGTCAACATGCAGCTGGCCCGGGGAAGGCACGGTAGCGCTCTTGTTGCTAGTGTGGTAAGAGGAAAGACTAAGTCGATGAGAATCCTCATCGACGCTGGGGCTGATGTCAACATGCACCTGGCCCGGGGGGATTACGGCAGCGCTCTTGTTGCTAGCGTGGTAGCAGGAAGCACTGAGTCAATGAGAATCCTCATCGACGCCGGGGCTGATGTCAACATGCAACTGGCCCGGGGGGGTTACGGTAACGCTCTTATTGCTAGCGTGAGAGCGAAAAGTACTGAGTCGATGAGAATCCTCATCGACGCCGGGGCTGATGTCAATATACAGCTGGCCCAGGGGGAGTACGGCAGCGCTCTTGTTGCTAGCGTGGTAGCGGGAAACACTGAGTCGATGAGAATCCTCATCGACGCTGGGGCCGATGTCAACATGCAGCTGGCCCAGGGGGGGTATGGAAGCCACCTTGCCGCCAGTGTGGCAACGGGAGACGATCTGCACACAAGAATTCTCCTCGACGCTGGGGCCGACGTCAATATGCAGCTTATAAACGGGGATTTTGGAAGTGCTCTCGCCCATTGCAGCTCGTCTTCTGTACTTCGTCGACTTCTTGCCGCGGGAGCCGATATCAATATGGATCTCAAGCATGGATGTTTTGGGAACGCACTTTCGGCTGCACTCTATACTAAGAGGCATACTGTTTCAGACCTTGTGAAGGCGGGAGCAACAGTTGGTCCCCTTTCATCTGTGATGATCGAAGTCCAGAAGCAATCTCACAATGTCATCGAGCATACTTTCAGGTGGGAATTACCTGGCATGGTAGACACAGATGACCTCATTTCATACCTTTCCAACATGGGCACCTTGACGCGGGGAAAGGATACAGTAGAGCTAGCTGCATGTTACGACTTTCTCAGGGAATCCTATGGGAATTGGGGAATATCGCTCCTACAAGGCATCGCCAGGGCCCTCAAGAGCTCGTTAAAATGCTACCGTGAGTTAATTAGGACAATCATCTCTTCTTCTGCTTTTTTTGGCTGACCTGAGACGCACTCTTTCTTAGAGGATGATAATTTGTGCATTGAAACACGGAAGTCCGAGATTTTTTCCAGAACGACCGATGCAACCCCAAATTTGCGTCCTATGCTCGACTGGATCTGCCTCACTTTTCGAAAGCCAAAATTACGCGCGCTCTGCGTGTCAAAGTTAGTGGGGCTTCACACAACTTCTTGGCTGGAAGACTTGGCTCCATTCAATCGCTCGGGCGATGGGATGTGTTGGCATAATCTATTCAACTCTGGAGTTATTGCCTTTCAATCACCGGATGATGAGACAGACCCATGTCGTGGACTGCAACTAGACTTCAACCGGCTAGTTGGGCTTGCAGCCGTCGAATACCCAATTCTCGTGGAGTCCGGTCTTATCCTCATGGGATATTCAACTGCATTGATCCCTATCGAGATCACTGATGATGGAAGAATCATGTGGCATTTAGAAGTTGCTAAGGATGACTACCAGCTGCAAGTTTCTGACATCAAAGCTACGAAAACACAATGGCTGCGTGAAATAAGCCTGGAGCGTCTGCAGTGCAAACCCGCAATTTTGGGCTGGTGCTCCGAGGCAGAGGTTCTCTTAGGGACAGACCGTTTGAAGCCAACGGTCAAATTATCAAATTCGTCCGTCAAACCTGTCAGCTGGCGCTGGGGTGGTGCAAATCTGCAACTTGTTGCTCAGTCTGCCTCCCCGATGGCTCTGGGCGGCCAGCTAGGGTTCACTTTTGATCGATGCATCAACACTATCAAATTCACACCCTCTAATAGGTACCTCACTTGCTTGGGAAGCAGTGCTCGGCAACACATCGTTCTTTATGATGTGACATCAAAAAGAGCCTGGCTGGTGTCGCTACTCTCTGTGTTTCATCATATGTTATTGACCTGGTCGGAGCAAGCCCACGAGGCATTGCGAAAAGCCTCTCCGCCTTTAGCTTCGCCCAGTTGTGATGGCGGCAGCGCTTCTTTGGATGCTCTGCGTGATCAAGGGGCGCTCATCCTTGACAGCTCTGGGGACGATGCGACCACAGTCCGAGACCTCATCATGGGATTTTCGACCAACTTATCCAAAGCAGCGTTGCAGGCACCCAGCGGGTCCAAAATATGCGGATACGAATTCATGGACATTGCACTCCAATCTCCAACGAGTGAGCTGAAGAAAACGAAACTTGAAAAGGGGGGGGCTCGGTTGGATGCCGTTTCTCAACGGGACAAAGTGCCTTTTCTGTGCCCATCTCGGTGATGCTATCATTGGGAACCGGTCCCCACTGCCCCAATCGCCATGCAACAGCCTCATCGAAGGATACGATCTCATGGCTGCATCCATTCAGAGCATTGATTCTTTTTCCAAAAGGTTTGCAGCAGGGGACAACGGATCATCCCGCCAATTATCCCAAAACTACTTTTGGCGTTTAGCGGGCTCACCATTTCAAGGGTGCCAACACGACAACCAGGGTTCATGCTGGACCCGACCAGAAGTGTTTGGGGAGATTCTTCAAATAATCAACAACCGACAGTTGCCCGAACATCAGAATTCAAGCCCCAGTAATTTCTGCCGGAATGGAGCCCTGGTCTTCGGCAAACAAGTTCGATCCACGATGTTCTTCCACCGTATACAGCCGGCCGAGAACCACACCGTCATTTTGTCAGGACCAAGTCGCACTTGAACGGAGAAATATCCCAAAAGAGCAAGAGCCTACTGGGGCCGATCGTCTGATCTTCGGGGTCAACCGCTAGCCTCGAAGATTTCTGCACAACTGCAGGGCGATCCATCCACTTCGAGTTCCTTGATTGCGTCCCCATATTCTGCAGATATCAATGTTCACATATCACATGTCGAATATCAATTGCATATGATACGAAGATCGATCGAAGAAATGGGCAATATTGGATCGTAGCCCTTGACCGTCAGTTGCCTTTTACTCGCCGCCCCTTCAGGAACCATCGCGCAAGAGACATTCCATGGTTGAATCACGTCAATTGAAACGTCCTGCTCCATTTTAGGGCCGCGCTTCAATTTTCCGAACCAAAGCCGGATCCATCGCAGAACCGTTGCGGATTTACGGAGTCGCAGGACCCAAGATTTGGACTGTGCCGGCTGTGATCCACTTCAAGGTTGACGGGTTTGTCGGTGTGTTCGCCAGATCTTGGCTTGGGCTGCATAGTGCTACCAAAAGAGTAACAGTACGTCCTGTTTAACTTCCCAGGCTTCCCAGTAGATCTTCAGGATTCGATGCTCAGTCGAAGGATGTGTAGCTTAAACCCTATATCCGCTAAGCGTCTCAGACCCAGCCGGAGACGGAGAAATATTCATTTTAGGATCGAGTACCTCCACGTCTCCCTACGGAGTACAGACAGCCTATGCCGAGGCTTGGGAATCATTCAGGAACAGGAAACCCACGGATTTGATTTCCGACAGGAACACACAGACTACACAATTCCTCCCCTTTTTTCTCCGCGGATGACCTGTCCCAAGGTCGAAAGGGAGACGGAAAAAGCACCCCCAGTGACGGGCCAATAATCGGAGGTGAGCCAGAGCCTCCGAGATGTCGATCAGCAAAGGCAAAAAGGGTGATCTCGGAGAATTTTGCTGGACGCCAATCATGGGGGAACAGATGACTCCGCAGACTAAAAGCCCTAAGTGCAAGACTAACCCAAGTTGATTAGCGTCCAGCTACGCCACGCGATTACGGCTTGACTTCGTTCAAGGCGTGAAGATCTCATTTCGACCCCTTAACATATGTGACTTTTCGGCGATCGGCGATCGTGATCGCATTTTTCGGATGCCCATCTACTTCGTATTCGATGGGACGGAGTTAATCGGTCTACGAGAAAACCCCCTGCCGAAGAGTGGGACTCCCGATTCCTCCGATTCTAAGATATCTACCTGGGTAGGTAGGTAGGTAGGTAGGTATGTAGGTATGTCCCTTGCCTGACAATAATTGCATATCGCGATTACCGAGTCTCGATCCATGGACACACTCTTGGCGGCGAAGTACCGAACCAGTGGGGTTAGCAGTTGAAGGGTTTCTCAATGGAGTATGCGAGATGTGGACACTAGCATTAACTATGACTTTTCTCTTTTTTGCTTTTTTGGTATGGAATTCCCGACTCGGCCGGATGGATACGACGCGCAACATCTCGTACTCGTTCTGTGAGAGCGGCTCGGATTTTTTAGGTCTGGTTTTTTAAGGGTGTCTCGGTATATCCGGGAATTGTATATGCGATGAGAATATGTATCTAATGCAAATCTGAGGAATCGGTCACAATGAAGATCTCCGTAAATGCAGTGACCAAATGAAGTCGCTCGACCAAAAAAGATAATCAAACAGAAGCATGACAAGAAAAAGACCAACGCTAGAAAAGGAAACAAATGAAGGGCCTTCACGCCATGTCGCCAACCCAATATCCAGTGTTTAACCGCGCGCACTGCGCGGCCGGGAACTCTGCGACGAGGAGTCCTGGAGGATATCTGGCGCCCGGGGGCCGACCATCCAATCCTCCATGGCGAGCCACTCACTCCATCTGCGTTCGGCAGCTTCGATCTCCGCATCGAGGGGCCCCTGCAAGGGCCGCAGGAAGGGGATGGTCTCCAGCGGAGGCATATCGTAGTCCTTTTTGACGGCGGCCCAGCCGCCGCTCTTCGCAGCGAAGAGGTAGTTGCGACGTTCCTGTTCGTGAAGGGGCCCCACGCCGCTGCCCCAGTCGTCGCCGAAGAAGCCGTGCAGCACCCCTGGGAAGTCCATACCGGTTGCGACGAGGCGGCGGATGTAAGGGAGGAGGGAGACGGAGGGAGGCCCGGGCTGGGTGCCCGGGATGGTGGAGGAGGCGTTCACGATTGAGGGTTGGCGCTGGAAGGGGAGGCGGATATTCAAGAATGCGGAGAGCGCTTGGACGGGGACGCTGTGCTGGGCGTGGTCGAGGAAGTACCGCTGACAGCTCTGATAGCGCGGGTACCACTCGAAGATGTCGAAGTTGTCATCTGTTCTCCCTAGACCGATCATGGTCGGGTCGAATTGGGGGGCGTTCATGGGGGAGGTGGGACGATCTAGCACTCTGCTAATTTTTTTTCCCCTTAGTTGGTGTTCATTGGGGAGATGTGTAATCCGCAAAGGGCCCGACGCAGATGAACTCGAGGGGTAAGGGGGGATGTACTTGGAAAAGAGATTCCTACCTCGACGGACCAGAAGCGATACTCCGCGCCGTGGAGAGGCGGAGGGTGGGGGTCCAGAGCGGAACAGATCCCTAATGGTCCCTAGTCCGCCACGAGATTGGAGCTTGTTGATGGGCATCTGTTAGGCCATGGAGCAGGGAGTAATACCCAGAGACCTTTAGACATACAGAGAGAAAGAGAAAGAGTAGACGGGATCTTCTGGAACGTCCATGGAAGGGGATCACGGAGCTTTTCCTCTTTTCTTCTTTTTCTTTTTTCTTTTTTTTTAATTAATTTCTGATTCATTTTCTTTTTCCATCGGATCCATCACGACGGGTCTATCCGCCCAGGCTACGAGATCGGCTTGACCACGGGTCGGTGGTGGGTAAAGGGCATCGATCTACGGTCTTTCGTCTAGCTCATAGTGCTGGTCCAGATGGCAATTCCGTTCCAGCCCCAAGCTGACGGAAATAGCATATCGTGAGGATTCTCCAATTGAGGGTGAATCGCCAAGATTCCGGAAGATTCAGATCGCGTGCAGCCCCGAGCAGATCCGAGATCTGACAAAACGCCAATCTGATAGAGATCTTCAGACTATTCGCGACTAGTCCGCCGTGTTCTGTCCAGATCTCCCTAAGGCGCTGGGGCCACCGGCCGGCCTGTGGGCGACACTAAAGGGGCTTTAGTTTCCTTAAGCTCTTCTCTATACCCCGGAGTACAGGATTCTCATTCTCATCATGACATGCCAAGCTATCCTGGGAATCCGGCTTCTCCGATCAATTTCGCCAATTCGCCACCTGCGGAGTTGACGGAGTACATCCCCAGCTGGCATTCATAAAGACAGGGCCTGTGCCGCCATTTCCCCCCGAGCCTGCAGCTCGAACCAACCAGTGAAGACACAGTCCTCAGTCCCATCCAAGTCGACCCCTACCAGACCCAATATCGAGAGAATCGACCCTCAACCGAGGTCATGTACAACCCTGGGCTTCTGCCGTGTGATTGGGGCGCAATGGTCATTTACATCACGTCGACCTACTTGTGCGAATCGACTGAGACAAATGCTATCCGTTGCACCCGGTCCCTGGCACCCAATACGTCACAATTGATACCGCCTTACCCCTGGGAATGTCTACGTGTGTTGGTGAGCGCCCCTCCAATCATCTCGCCATACGGCAGGGAGCAGGCGACATGAAACCAACCGGTTGTCATGGAGATCTCGTGGCCGGATGACGACATTCACGCTTGGCCTGCAACTGTTTGGAGAACCACTGTGTTGGGACGAGGCCGATCGCTCCTAATCAGTGAATGTCGCAGGTAACATGGGTTTGTGCAGACCGCCATATTGGCGCGGTACCGAGTGCTGCCGTGTCGGGTCGTCGAAAACCTTGTCGCGCTTGATCACCGCTTTGGTGCACTCTCGCGAACGTCCTTGCTGCTGTCTCCTTTTGCCAGGGTCATGGGGGTAGATGCATTGGATTTGGCCTTGGCTTCCCCCATGGGGCTGGCTGATCCCTTGAAGGGATCGTCGGAATAAAATCTCGCTTAGAGATTTTCGGCGCGATCTATCAACTCAACAGCTGCCACAACTGCCGAGATACATGACAGCTCCAGCCACGCATCAGTCAGAGCTGAGTGACGCGCGAGCACTGTCAAGGAGCATATACTGAATACGGCAATTCTTCCGTGCGATGTGTCTGCGCATAGACGTGAATTGTCATCGGTTCATTCCAGGGTTCATCCGGGTGTTCAGCTGAAAGCGAACGTGTTGGCAGTGATGAGCCTAGGCAAGAACACAGCTCACCCCTCGCTGCGAGCATCACTTTCACCCGTGGGTGCTACCGTTCCACCTTGTATGCCCAACGACATTATTGTCTCCGCCTTGGGAATGTGGCTACTCAGATTACCAACCGGGGTAATAGGTGTCGTTCGGCGAAGCTGCCAACGAACAGTTAGGAGATGAGGATAAAAGTGAGATGACTGACCCTGAGGGGGAGCACATCGGTAGAGTACCCGCTCTCCCTCCCGATGTCTCTCCTTGGCTTTCTTTCCCAATGCTCAATTACCCAACCATAACTGAGCTATTGTATTCTCAGGAGCTAACTTGCAGAATCACAGAATCCGCGAATTTTTGGTCAACTCTTTCAAGGTGAAGGCCATAGCAAGATGAAAACCATCCCGCTCAGTGCTTAGGAAACACCTTGCGCATCGAAGAATCTTTAAGCACATTCCCGAATGGTCGACAATCAAATTTCGAGCACAAAGCGGATAGGCAGTGCCATGTTCCACGTTCCACGCCTATCCCAACCCGTAGAGAATATCCATGACCTGGTACGACGTTTCTCTGCATCCCAACCCGGCCTCGTTCCCTTCCTGTCTGGTGGCGGCAGGATTTCAAATCTCACGATATTGTGCCTCTCTCGCAGGTGGTCTCTCTTGACTTCGATCACTTGCTTGTGACTCCTCTCGATAGACAGTGGCGTTATGAGGCTCAATGCCCTTCCTTCTGACTGTGTCGTGAACAGCCAGGAATGCTGGAACAGGAGATATAGCTTGTCTCCTTTTACTCTTCGGTCATGGTGTGGTGTGGTCGTCTGGTCTGTTCGTCTGGTCTGTGGATGGGTATCACTTTTATCGAATGGCCTGCCCTATTGATTGCCCAGCAACTCCTTCGATAACCGCAGGATTCTCGAAAACTCCGGTTCTTGTTTGCCGGCTCTTGTCAATTTTGTACTAAATACCGCGGATGAGGCGACTTGTGGACCTCGGGATGCAGAACGTCTTCAAGATGAAATTGATATGAAAAGGTAGGACTCGTAGGAAAAGCAATGAGTAGAAAAGTGATGGCTGAACAACGGAAAAGAAGAAGAAAGAGAGCGAGGTTGAGGCAACGAAGTGGACGCCTTGGAGCAAAGAGCTTAGTCGAGGTCCTCGGTGATAGCACGCATCATAACCTTCCTTGAACCTGCTCCATGAATATTGAATGACTTTTGAATTTTCATGGCCCTCCATAATTATTTCGGCCTCGCGGACTATCCACTTTCTAGCTCGGCATGTCAGCGCAGTATAGCTCCAATAGCCGCCACCCATGCCCCATCCCAAACCACCGCGCGCGCATTGAAGATATCCAAACTCATCCTCGCGGTAACGGATCGGATCTATTATCGGCAGGGTCTATGCGAGTCGAGTAGCTTGAAGTCATAAGTCGCGTAAACTGGATATCAAGCCATGCCAAGCGGTTTGAGGAAAGCCAGCAGACATTGAGGCCCGAGATAAGGCATCATCCCTCCGGTACTAGGTATGATTGAAATTCCAATCTCTCTAGCCCTGGAGGTATTCCTGCAAAGATACCACTTAGAAAAACCTTGTAAAGTATCACCCTTCCCATCGCCACGCGAGACCGGACTCATGACCCATGGGGCATCGCATTCCGATCCGATCCGATCACGCTCTCAGCATCAGTCCACAGACAAGACAACTCCAATTACCCCATAATTGAATGAGTCACTCCAACCTTGGAAGTGTATCTATGTGTACCCCTCGATAGGGAAACAGCGACAACTTGGATAGGAGCACGGCCCCGTTTAATGTCCGGGTGCGCGGAGTCCGCCGATGCCCTCCCGCTTGACATCTCCACCTTTGCGCGGGGTGGCGGGGTATGGGTCGATGCTTTCCGGTCTTTGATGTTTCTTCGTGGTTGGTCTGGTCTGTGATGTACGGAGTAGAGATCTACGGATCAGTTCTGGGGGTGGATTTGGGTCGCGGGTCTTGAGGCTCCCGACGGGAGGTCTTGGTTTATATATACAACGGTCCAAATGCCAGGTATTCGGGTTTATTGATTAATGCCCAGGTGAAATCTTTATAAGATAAGTTTAATAGAACGATAAGTTGATGTTTTACACCAAGAGCGTATTCTATAAGTGCGAACTGCGGGTTTGTAGATTTATCTTGTGCCTTCCTAATCGGGTTGACGGACACATACTATGTAGTGAAGAGTAACCCTGGAATTCCAAGGCGACGCCAAAGGAGATGGAATTCACGGAATCGAGTTCAAGGTTACTTCGAGCCTCGGAGTTTGGTTTTCTTGCTAGGCACTCTTCTCTCTGCCGCCACTGCTCTTCAGGACTTGGTCACCAAAGGTCGCGTGACCACCTCCAGGCTTCCAAGGTTGAAAGGCTTCATCGCATTTGATAGACCTTAACTTACAACCATATGTGATAAAATTGTGGTTTCATATTTATAGATAGAATTATTCCTAGTCTTGCTCAATACTGCCTGATCAGTTCATCGCGGCCCTCCCCAGCCCCTCTTCATTATGGCCTTTTAGCACCATACAGCGAGAATCAAGTCAAAATAAAGTCACGGCGAGTGGGACTAGTGTCAAAGCATGGGCACCCATCACGTCATAGTTCTGGAGCGTGCTTCACTTTCTAGTCCTCCCACATGGATACTTCTAGGTGCCTGACAGAGCCCCGATGCTTATGCGGTACCAGACCATGGGACGGGGAGGACCAAGCAATGCATACAGGTCCGAGAGATAGGGGATCTGAACTATAGCAATAGTACTAGGTACCTATACCGACGGAGGGATGCACGTGCGAGGACTTCCAGAAGGAAAACAAGCTTCGGTGCCCCGCAGATAATGAATAATAGCATACAGTCACCATTGACCCCCGTGGAACTGATATCGGAATAAGGACCGTGTTAGATCTGCATCTGCATCCGGATCCCCGGTGAGCCCACCCCCAGAAAGCTCAAGCCAAGCCCGCAAGGAGTGGAGTTGCATCTCAATTTTAGATATGTGTCTGCGACCCCAGATTGGTGTGCAAGTATGGGGGCCCCTCAAACATGGGGTGTGGCGAAGGATGGTCGTAATGCTGCACGGTGCATAGCCCTCTTACGTAGACCTCGTAGAGTTCGCATACATCTCTGCTTGGCTGAGGTGGTCATGATATTCAATGATTGTCAATGATAGTCGCATGATAATCCAGTGATATTAATCCGCTAGGCAGCGCCACAAGATAGGCAAAGAGGACACGAATACTCCGTATTCCGTCCTCCGTCCGGCGTACTTTGGGCACACTCAGGACGGAGTAGCGGGCTACCATAGGTACTCTACATACGGAGCGGCAGGTTGGTGCAGCTGGGCAGAAGCCTAAGAATGGGCAGGTCCGATCATCGGCCCAAGTCAAATGCAGTTAACCGCTCTTGGCAGGCGGCATTGGGCCGGGGAACCCTGGGGATTCCACTCCGATGACTATTTGAGCTATGACCATTGGGCGATCTGGGTACTTTGGACGGAGTACGACAGTCCGGGCAGTACCAATGCCTTCTGTACACCTACTAGTAGTTACCTAGGTACATAGGCAGTCGAGTATGTACGACTATGTACAGTCGTACCAGTGACTTTATACAAACACCATATGCACACATAGCATTGAGTATAGTAAGTATAACTATCAAGTGTTCTCATCACCCCTCAGTGGGGCGATAAAGAGTATGAATAAAAGGATGTGAAACGGAAAAGGGCGATCAGATAAGACACACGTGACTTATGCCGAGCCAAACTGCCGAAGTTGGTAGCTAGTGGCGGATCCCTGGGTCTTTAGGTTTTAATGCATGCAGTAGACTGTTCGCATCATCGATTATGATTCCCAGGGTTATAACATAGTATCGAACAATTATATTACGATGAGAAGAGGGGAATTAAATTCCATGGCCTGCGACCATCTCCTGGAGGCGTCTCCAGGCCTTTATGCACAGGTAGCATGTTACGTCGGAGACCGACGACAGCAGATCGGGAGGAATAGGGAGGACGAGGAAGAAATAGGGTGTGATAAAGACAGAAAGGTGGGAGTAATACAAACAGGCACCGGTCCTGAGTGGCCAGTGACTGTGGCCACCGGTGGGGAGCCGCCACTCGCCTAAGATAAGGTAATTCTGTGAGGTTAAAGCATAAGATAACATTCTCCCGGCCCCGGTCTTCGGACGTTTCCTCCCGGCCATTGCGCCCCTTCATTGGTGTGTCGTTCGCCTCCGCTCCTCCCCAATCCGTCCAACCTGAGGGTCTTGGTACTCCGTCGACGCTGGAAAACATGCCCTTTTTGCCCCGTCACTGTCCGGCACCTCTCGTCCGACTCCGGCCTCCACCTGTATATATTTCTTCAACTCCCCCTCCCCTTCTCTCTTCATTGTCACACACTCGGGGCTCTCTAATATCTATAATATAAAGGTCATTGCAAAGCATTGATCTACCCAACCTCAAATCACCCCCAACCAAAAGACAACTCCCTCACAATGTCCAACCTTCCCTACGAGCCCGAGTTCGAGCAGGCCTACAAGGGTATGTGCAATTCTCTTCGGGATCGGGATGTGGTCCCAGTGTCTCGGCTTTGACTAATCCCGAACAGAACTCGCCTCCACTCTCGAGAACTCCACTCTTTTCCAGAAGAAGCCTGAGTACCGCAAGGCCCTCCAGGTCGTCTCCGTGCCCGAGCGCGTCGTTCAATTCCGCGTGGTCTGGGAAGATGACAACCAGCAGGTGAGCCAATTGCGATCCAGGACTCGTCACCACCGTCTAATGCCTCCCAGGTCCAAATCAACCGTGGTTACCGCGTGCAGTTCAACTCCGCTCTCGGCCCCTACAAGGGTGGTCTCCGCTTCCACCCCTCCGTCAACCTATCCATCCTCAAGTTCCTCGGTTTCGAGCAGATCTTCAAGAATGCCTTGACCGGTCTCAACATGGGTGGTGGTAAGGGTGGCTCCGACTTCGACCCCAAGGGCAAGTCCGACAACGAGATCCGCCGCTTCTGTGTTTCCTTCATGACTGAGCTCTGCAAGCACATCGGTGCCGACACCGATGTGCCCGCTGGTGACATTGGTGTCACTGGCCGCGAGGTCGGCTTCATGTTCGGTCAGTACAAGAAGATCCGCAACGCCTGGGAGGGTGTCCTCACCGGTAAGGGCGGCACCTGGGGTGGTTCTCTCATCCGCCCCGAGGCCACTGGTTACGGTGTGGTCTACTACGTCGAGCACATGATCAAGTACGCCACCGAGGGCAAGGAGTCCTTCGCTGGCAAGCGCGTCGCCATCTCCGGCTCCGGCAACGTCGCCCAGTACGCCGCTCTGAAGGTCATTGAGCTCGGCGGTTCCGTCGTCTCCCTCTCCGACTCCCAGGGTGCTCTCGTCCTCCAGGGTGAGGAGGGCTCCTTCACCCCCGAGGAGATCAACACCATCGCCGCCATCAAGGTCGAGCGCAAGCAAATCTCCGAGCTCGCCACCACCGAGGCCTTCAGCTCCAAGTTCAAGTACATCCCCGGTGCCCGCCCCTGGACCAACATCACTGGCCGCATCGACGTCGCTCTCCCCTCCGCCACCCAGAACGAGGTCTCCGGCGACGAGGCCAAGGCTCTCATTGCCGCCGGCTGCAAGTTCATCGCTGAGGGTTCCAACATGGGTTCCACCCAGGACGCCATCGATGTCTTCGAGGCTCACCGTGACGCCAACAAGTCCGAGGCCATCTGGTACGCTCCCGGTAAGGCCGCCAACGCCGGTGGTGTCGCCGTCTCCGGTCTCGAGATGGCCCAGAACTCCGCCCGTGTCAACTGGTCCCGCGAGGAGGTCGACACCCGCCTCAAGAACATCATGGAGGATTGCTTCAACAACGGTCTCGCTACCGCCAAGGAGTACGCTACCCCTGCTGAGGGTGCTCTGCCTTCTCTCGTTGCTGGTTCCAACATTGCTGGCTTCACCAAGGTCGCTGAGGCCATGAAGGACCACGGTGACTGGTGGTAGATTACTCGCCCAGTCCTTTGATGATTCCGTGCTTCGGCCGGCTGTGATGCATTTTCTTCTTGTTAAATAGCTTTTTACCCTTTTTGAGCGGGTTATTTGTTTTGGATAGAGGCGCAGGTTTCTCTGCATTTGATTGATATCCCCTGAGCAGTGTTTGTCTGGGATTTATGACAATGAGAATGAATGAATGATTTAATACACATCTTCCAGTAATCTTCCGACGCTTGTAAGACTTCAACCTTGAAAGGCTATAGCCAGCTGTGCTATACCCAATTATACCATTTCTGGGACCTCCGCCCGGTCGGATAAAATCTCCCTCCAGCCGTCCTGCAGACCTTAATCCTATAAAACAACTTAAACCTCGTCTCCGCACGTAACGAACTTGAAGCTGTCCAAACCGATCACCGCACCCCGGACTATACTTGTGCCTGAGGCATCAGGCACGTGATCATATTGATTGCTTACGTAATATTATTTCGGTCGCGCTTTGAAGCATCCCATCCCAGCCTTGGAATCAATAACCAGGATTAAAGGCGCCCAAGTCAAAGACTTGCAATCGACGCGCTCGATCTATTGATCCTCCCAAATCTCGTGTGTCAAGTCCACGGGTGGCATGTTGTGATGCTGGCGGAGGCACCCGAGCAATGGAGGACCTTCCTCCACCAATGTCTAACCAATCGCATTGACATTGACGAATTCACCGACCTGTCAGGTCTCCTCCTGGCCAGGTCCCCAGTCAAAGAGCATGAGCTGCTGGACTTGCTGCTCCAAGCCCGGGCAGACTCAAGCATCACCTGGGACCCCCTGCTGCCGCTGTATGTGGATGGGCTATGCAGGGTGGGCCGGGTGAAGAGCTCTGCTGCGCTGGCGGGTGTCTTGAGACACTCTTCTATTCAGGGGGATCGGCCGTCCACGCTCATGACTGATATCAAGGTCGTGCAGGATGTGATGATGTTTGTTTCGACGGGGTCGATTCCTAAGACGGCGACTGAGGCCGCGGATATTTATTCGGTCACGGTCGATTGGGTCGTTGCTGTTGTTGCTTGGCATCATAGGGACGGGTCGACGGGGCTGGTGGGCTCGCCTGATGCGGTTTCGTTGTTTGAGTCATTGGGCATTTTGCTGGCTGCTTTGTCGGGGACTAATAAGGGGTTGGAGGTTTTGTCGAGTGACTTTAATCAAGGTATGTTACTTTTTTGGTCTGGTTTGGTTGCTTTCGTTTGATCTCGGGTTGACGGGCTTTTAGGGCTGAAAGCAAAGCTGGGCCAGGCTTTGTCGTCTTATTTGCCGCTTTGCGTGGATGTTTCCCTGTCCTTGAGACAGCGTCTTGAAGAGCTGCAGAAGATCTTCCATTTATACCCGGATCAGCCGTCCAAAACGCTGGATGAGCCTGCTATCAACGGGATGAATGTCAATGCTCTTCAGTTTGAGGCGTCGGTGATGGATAGTCCCGCTGTTGACACTAGAGCCGGACTCTATGTTTATATTAATTCGATGGTATGTCCGTATAAGTATACCCCGGAGATCACTCGTGGCTAATAGTTAAAGGTCGTCGGCCGTCCTCTGGTTGATGATACTATTCTGATCAATTATCTCACCAATCGATACCAAGTGAGTTACACGTCCACTGCTCTCCCATTCTGTGGCGAAAATGCTTACATCTTCAGGGTCAAAACGATGTTCTCATTGAAAAAGTTATCACAGCTACATTTGATGTGTTGTCCAACGGTGTATACCGCAATGAGTCCAGCAGGACGATGTTCCTTTTCCGGTCCTTTTTGGTCAACAAGCTCCCTGCATTCTTTGCCGCTATCTCGGCGGCGTCTATGGTTCCAATATCCATGGAATTATGCATCAGTCAAGCCTTGAGCCGCCTGGACCCAAATGCGTTCCCTTCATTCTCACAGATGTTCTCTATGCAGGGTAGTAGTGTTCTATCGGATGCTCGCCAGGAGTTCCTTTTTGCTTGCGCATCACACAAGCTCATTGAGGAGTCTAGCATTGAACAGCTTTTGGGAGAGAACCCCATGCAGACATTGCCTGGTGGCGGTCCCTATATCAAAGATGATATTATCTCACAGATAAATAACAACCATGAAAGGGCGGAGCAGCTCATTGGGGAAATTGAGTCAATGGAGGGTAATGCAGGCGCTATAGTTGGCGCGGTGGTCGAGGTATGTGCGAACAAAGCGTACTGTCAACAGCCAGCTAATCTCAGACCAGGTTATGCACAGTCTGTGCCATCAAAAAGAGACAATGACTCTGAAAAACATTTGCAACTCGCTTTCGCGTCGTCCGCAGACGCTGGATGTTATTTTGCTGTTCCGAAGCGCAAAACAGGTCCTGCAACCTCTTTGCTCTGTCCTTGACTCTTGGAAGTGGGATGAGGACCAGGGTGAGAACCAGCCTGTCTATGATGAATTCGGCAGTATTCTCTTGCTTGTCCTTGCGTTCAAGTATCGTTATGACCTGAGCCCATCCGACCTGGGTATCTCGAGCAATGATTCATTCTTGCTGAAACTTCTGGACCGCGGTGCTTGCAGCCAGAAGCTGGCAGACCTGAGCGAGAAGCAGAACAAGGATCTTGGTGCTTGGATCGGTGCTCTTTTCATCGCCGAGGGCATCAGTGAGGAGATCATGTCCTCTTGCAGTCCGCATGAGCTCTACATGCTAGTGGCGACACTATTCGACCAGAGTCTCGGCGCGTGTGAATCTGGGAAACTAGAATTCGAGACACTGAAAGGCGGATTTGAATGTAAGACGGCCAGCCATGCAATCGCAATCTAGCTAACACCTACAGATCTCCTCGAGCCCTTCCTTCTTCCATCCCTAGTGCTCGCCTTGACCTGGCTAGGAAATCACATCTGGGAATCCGAAACCGACCCAACGATTCCCCTCAAAGCCCTTTACTCCCTCATCAGACCAAGCTCGATCTCCGGTGAAGCTCAAGCCATCCACCAAACGGTCCTCAACATTACCGCACGCCCACTAGAGGAACAACTCAAGAATGTGCGCACAAGACACCAATCACGCACGGACATCAAACCCATCCTAGATGCCCTCGAGCCCTACCTCTCCTTCCGCCGCGTAGGCAGCTGCCACCGCACCGAACTAGACACCTGGACCTCCCACACAACCGGCGGCCTCCTAACCAGCATCCGCACAACCCTCCAATCCCTCGTCCTCTGGTCCTCGAACCCCGAAATCAACCTTGCCCCGGTAACATACACCCACCGCCAACTCCTAACCGGCATCCGAATGCTAGGCGCCACCCGCGTCCTCTGCACCCTCATCGACGAAGTCAAGCGCCAATCCGAAACCGGCAATGCCCACATCGCCCTCGACATCGCAACCACAATGATCTGCGCCCCGATGCCCGAATCCTTCGCCCTAGACCAGAACAACTATCATCCCGAAAAGCCAGTGCCGCGCTGTGCGATCCTCACGCTCCGCGATGCTCTTGCTCTCTCGCACGATAATGTTCCTAAGATCTCCGAGACGGATCCCCTACGCGCGGAAGTCATTGTTCGGCTTGCGAGGCGGGTGAATGTTCTTACTGCGCCGCCTTCGCAGGTCTCGAATATCGATGTTAGTAATATTATTCAGAACATGGAGCTGGGTGTCGAGAGTGATCGCATGGATCTGGAGCCGTCTGCTGCGGATGTTGCGGGGAATACGGTTGGTGAGGATGATCCGGAGAATATCAATCGCATGCTTGATAAGGCTGCTGCCGCGGCGGCGGCTGTGGGCATGGATGGTGGTATGGACGGTGGTATGGATGGAGGTATGGATAATGGTATGGGGGCTGGCATGGACAGTGGCATGGATGGTGGAATGGATGGCGGTATGGGACAGGATATGGGACTTGATACCGGAGCTGGGATGGATGCCATTGACGATGTGCTCAACGCAGCTGATATGGCGGTTGGAAACCCCGAATTTTTGGATCTGGATATGGAGGGCATGTTTTAGATGTCCGTCTGGGGCAACATAAGTATATTGATGCATGTATATGTAACATTTATTCTATTTAGGTAGGCGTTTGTGGTACTCTATCTGCTGGCATTTGAAGTTGAATATGCATTCAAAGGTGTTACAAATCGCGTGTTATAAATTGGATCTTGCATTGAACCTCCAGAGGGATAGCAAAAGGGCACAATTCCATGGCCAGTGACTTAGCAGGATTGGATATCCCCTGACTTCATGCATATTCGCGTCACCGTGATTGGGACAGGAACACACCTGAGCGTGCAAACTTGTTCTCGGTCAAACTCTTTTCGAGAACCGCATGTTCCGGGTCTGCTCAGCTAGCCACGATCTCAGATACACTAGAGAAGTGAATCTTACAAATGTACTCCGTACCTAAGTCCCATTGTAAGCGTGAGGTCCTACCGTTCTTGTACAGGGCAGAGTCTAGTCCTCGCAATTGGCAGAGATCTGTGGATCACGTAAAATCTTCGTGTCTGACACACTATATGCCAAGGCTTGGTCACCTCCTGCAGTCTGTTAGTGTGAGATTCGAGCATACAGTAGTATTGTAAATACTTCGAGGTTCAGTGACTGAAGCGCAATTCTCGCTCCTCCGTATATCAAATCATGGCCACTGCAGGTACCTGCTTCGGACTCCACACTGTGATGAGGATGCAGCACCACAAGCGACCAGCCACTGAGGATGTGCGTAGTTCACGCTGGATAAGTTCTCCGGGGGGCGAATCCCCGCCTGTTTGACCTTCCTGATTGGGAATTCACGACGCACTCGAGCTCCATCGGGAAAAGGACAGCCTCTGCCACTCTGTACGGAGAACAGAATGGTATCGTCATTGAAACAAGCCTGGAGGGTCCCAAAGCGTCAAGTGTAATCACTGTAAATGACGATCCGAGCCTTTGCAATGGGCCGAACCGGGTCAACCTTTTACTTGTTCTGGACTTTCCTCACTGACCATCATTGCCTAACTGCAGCAAGCTTGGCCCGGCTGAATGGAATCTTCTCAGCCGATTCCACTTGGTGAAGGTAGTCGAACTCAAACCTCCAGGGCTGCCGTGAGATGAGCGTAAGCAGAGGAGTGAGATTGGGATTTCGATCCACTGCATTGCACGAGGCAACGCACGAATATGCATAGGAGTGGAAACTCGCCCCCGTCTGACATAGTTCCCCTTGATCTGACAGTATCAGAACCATATTCGGCGCGGTGAGGAACGTGAGTCCCTGCGCTCGAGCTCTTTTCTGCAGGACGGCGCACGCTTCCTTGTTTCTTCTGGGCTGAAGCTTGTCACAGGTTCGGCCTGAGGTTTCTCGTCACCATGCAGGATCGCTGATCGCTCGGAAAATATCCGTTTAAGGATGTTCAAGTGGGGGAGGGGCGTTCGAAGGACTCCATATCGGATCCTCGCGTCGGGAGGTTTGGCCTTGTCGTTCTGATTGGGGTTTTGGGGGAGACGCGTGCAGCCGAGGATTCTTTTTCCTCCTGAGCAATGTTGTTTCGTCAACAATCCCCATTCTCCGTCTGATCCTTTCGCGGCAAGTCAATCCTCCAATACGTCCCGAGCAACTCGGCCAAGAAGAGATCGGCAATATGAGTGGGGTCCACAGGCACGTTCTCCCAGTTATGTCCGAAAAGGAAAGGCTCAAGCCCCTTTGGATTAATATATGCTCGTGTAGTTGTCGAACTTCAAATAATTGGGCCACTTGATCGCCGTTGGGTTGCTCCACTACAACTCTTGCATCCAATTCCGAGCTAAACGAGAGCTTCACCCGTGGAGCAATTTTCGGTGCGAAGCTTGTGAGCTTAAGTGAATTGGAGACTTGCTGAGAGTACAGAAGGTCAATTTGAAGTTGAGTGGTCAACTCAATTTCTCATGATACACCAGGGCTTACCCGGGTCCTCGTATGCCGTCCCCCATCCTCTCTTGGTACTATACTCCATACTGTTCGTACACATCTGGAATAACAAGTAATTTCGGAAACTCGGAAGCAGTGGAGTTGGCGAGATCGCGCTACCAACTGTGGAGTGTGACGCTGCAGCTTCAAAATTCAGACTGCCCGGGGAGGTAGCTTAACAGAAGCTGTTACCCTACGGGGTACTGGTAGAAACCAATGATCACCGCAACATGGACCGAGTGAACACACAGCTGTCAAGGCTAAATCCCACGTGAGATCTGTATTTCCGGTGCTCTGGATTAGTGTCAATAAAAGGAGAACGGAGTATACTAGTAGCAGCCTCAAACCTGAGATCAGAATTTTAATTAATTGAGTGTCGCCTCTATCACAAAAGACGCGACCCGTGTGCCAAAGTCCCCAAACCTGTCAAATTCCCCCCCTTTCATCCCGTCCCAGGGACATCGCGGGATAGGTGGAGTGTTCGCGTTTACACTTTCAACTGTGAACTATTGATCCTTCCAACGGCCAGCACGCGATACAAGGTTCTCAATAGTCTACCGCTCTGTAGGAGATCTACCTTTTTTAATCCTAATAGTCGTAGTATTCTCTCAACCTGTGTTCTGACTTCGGAGTATTCGGGGACCATTTGGTCTCATAGGGGCTTCTATCCCCACACGAACCCCTGCTCGCACACCAGATTAGGTCAACGCCAGGGGTGACAGGGCAGACTTCGTACATTAGCTCCGCATAGTGTTCAAGCACGTGAAGTGTAGAACAAAGAAACTCGCACAGGGAGCTTGCCTCTCCGATGCAGAGATCGCCCTATGAGCCGGAATATTCCCGCTTGGAACTCAACCGAAACTCTGCGACTGCGGCACAGCCCCTGGACGAGAAATCATATCAAGGATGGTATCATGGTATGGACTTTGTAATGAAAAACCAATTCCTCCCTCAGACGCGGAACAATAGACCCAGGCAGAGTTTTGTTGCTTGGATCATCTCAGCTATGGAGTATACAACACCAAACAAACCGATGATCACATATTGCATCAAGCCCCCAAACTACGTACTGTAGATCTTTCTTTCTTGTGGGAACACAATCCACTCCATTTACCCAGCCCTTTGTCTTTGGGACCGGGATCCTTTCCGGCGACCCTATAGTCAAACTACATACAGAAAAGCAATAAGAGACCACCAAAATTGGGACTTCGGGTCCATCCGCCACCGTCTGGACTCGATAATCGCCCTCCGAAATTTGAGCTAACAGACCCCGAATAAAGATATGACAAAGAAATCCTTCGCGCGTGGCGCCGGACCCCGGTCGGCCTTGCGCTGCCTCGGGGTCCTCCACCAACACGGAGTCTACAGCCGGCGAGGTTCCTCCATTCGATCCCATGTCAGGTAACATAAGCTATGAGAGATATGTGTGGCGTCGTGACATGGATCAAGGGGCTTGAGGGCGTGGAGTCCGAACCTTTTACAGATCTATCCAACTGCCGGTTAGACCGTTGCGCGGGAACGTGTTAGTCAATCTCCAGTTGCCTTCTGGTGGCTTTCTAGACATTTCGCGGATGTTTTTCCGGGAGATTACTACCTACTAGTTCTGATTTACGTCGGCATACGGTACAGTACTCTTAGGGCTTGGAGGGATTTGCTACGAGATTTTCGCTCTCCCAGTCTAATTTATTGGAGCTAAAGGGATGGTGGAGACTGGCGTGTGGATAGTTTCTATCTTTCTTTGTTCACTTGCCCCATATCGTAGCCGAGAGTACTCCGTTCTGTAAATATTATTCGGGAGCCTAGTGATCTAGTGTCGCATAAAAATAGTCGTGTATTGATGAACTTTGTAAATCTCCCGAGTCCTTCCAAGGTTTACAGAGTATGGAGTATAGTTAAAACACCCGATACATATTTCCCGGTTTGGCTTCCCGTCCAACCCCCGTGAATACCTAGGCACCTACTAGTTGGACATACACGTCAGATGGAATCGGCGAAATCTAGACTCTGAAATGACTGATTTGCTCACCTTGGAGACTTTGTGTTCATATCCGTCAGTACTTGTATGGCTCTTTCAAAATTGGGCTTGGAACGGATGACCCCTGGCATCCCGAGGGGGAACTCCGTATATTGTGCTATGATCCATGGATGGACCTGTCTTTAATTCAATGCCCAAAATCCAGGGTCTCATTCTCTCACTAGTTCACTATTCTTCGGCAAAAACTATACATACCAGTAGCGTTGTACATTCTTTGCCACCATTTCTGGCTCCCTATGACATCATCGCGAAAGTATCCAGCTGAAGCATCGAGAAAAGAAAGATTTGTCCATATGGTGAATGATCTACAGTGTATGAAGTATAGTAAGCAAGATCCACAGCATATGTCTCGAGCCGAGGAGGTAAGATGGCTTGTGGCCAATAGGTGAATTGAGTTCACACTAAGGAGAGCTAAGTAGAACTATATCGTACAGAGACCATGGATTGTTACTCGCACAATCGCGAACATGCTGGGAAAAAACAATGGATGCTATAAAAACTCGGTGAGCAAAATTACCAGACATTACAACAATCCGTGTGCATGTAGAACTGCACTTTCCAGACCGACTTATCGAGATCTAGCCCAGTAGTCCTAGTTTTAGAGCGCGATCTTGCAGTTGACGCAGGTACTTGCCTTCCTAGAATATGATTGGAGCTAGCATATGCACCTAATCCCGGTATATCAGCCTCAGCCATCCTTCTCGCCAGAGCTCAAATCCAAGATGTTACACGACGTGAACTGAAGACTTGGCCGGTGTGATGTTCGTTGCAGTTCCTTCTACTTCCACTGTCCGGTAGGGATTTTTACATACTGCATACCCAGGTATGCAATCTTGGAGTAGGATACTGGTAGATGATCGACTAGTGTGGGAGATCTGTCCCAGAGATATATTCTAAGGTTTCTAATATCGCCAATTGGCGATATATAGTTCAGGTCTGGATCAACGTCTAGCTATCAAATAGATTAACAACTTCATATTTGCGCCTAAAACTACGCTTCTTACATCCCAGCGCTCAACACAGACCCCAGGGTATCCTTTGACAACATTACAACCCAATCAAGAGGATTCTCAAATATCAATCTCCACTTGTATACTCGCCTGCCCGGTGAGGAAACCACTTCCAAGGTTGCCACGTTCCATCTTTCGGATAGCAACATTCAGTTTGGATCTAGACTGGAACTTCAAGACATCGACTCAGATTCCCGGCCACTTCCCCTGTCTTTGGCAATTGAAGCTACCAAGAGGCTGAATAAATTGTCTCACGTAAAATATTCCAAGTCGAGATAGCATGACACACGGAGCTGCAAGCGCCCCCATATCCTAGGAAAATATCGGAGAAATTGTCTAGACACCTTCCCGAGCACTTCGTTCTCGACCTTCAAATCCCCGACAATCGAGAGAAACATATCCCGTGGTTATCGCGCAATCGTCGACTCTGACCCAGCTCCGGTTCCGTCAACTCCTACCAAATACGGAACTGGGCCGTACTTCCTGACACTGGCAAGTGGATCATGAAGTATCCGTGACGACTCACTGTTGACGATCCCTTGGTCGACAGTCGACAGCACAATGGATCTTGCACAAAGTCCTTTGGGAGAATGGCCGTGCATGCCCCACTACTTGGGCACGAGCGCGGGACGTGATCTGCTTGTGTGCCATGCAGCTCACGAGTCCCCAAATTGATAGGCAGGGCAGGGCGCTAAATTAGTTTATACGGAGCACTACAGTAGTAGTACGTGGGCGATATCCCGCAAGCAAACAATACAGACAATCGAGCCCATTGTACAGTATTCTGCACGCAGAGTCGTACAGCTCTTCTCCAGAACCCACAATTGAACGGGATATCAAAGCGTTTCAAGTTCGAACCCCACCCACTAATATTTGAGGTCGAATCCAGACATTCCACAGTTCCTACTCCACAGCGTAATAAATTCGATCAGATAGAGTGCTATGAGACCTGGCCCAAGCTGTCCACGGTTCGACTGTCCCGGCACGGACATGCCTCCCATTCAAGATTTAGCTTGCAGATCCCATTTAGCATATGGATGCTCACCCGCTCCGATGTGATAAGGCGGAGGGGGCTTGCATTCAATCTAACAACGGCCATTGGACCAGAGCGGTCTTTCTTGTGTATTTTTGATTGCCCTACGAGCTGGGACTGGCCTCGCATTGGTCAATAGATGCCGGTTTGGCTGACATACATTAGTTACCCACTAGCCCTGGGGGACTAAGTAGTTTCGAGGTAACAATTCCAGAACATGTGACGGCTGAGCCATGCACGCGTAGGAGAAATAAGTATGCGTTTTCTTGGATTGGAATCCCGACCGGCAACTGCAGAATCACCGCGGCGATGCAGTTTCGCAGAAACTGGTGCACGACGTGTGAAGGACCAAAGTACGGAGTAGCTATGGGTAATACCTATGGGTTACCTAGGTACTCGTATGCAGCTCTTGCTCTCCAGTTTTGTGACTAGACTGCGATCACACTATATCCACGAGCTTCATTTTTGCGACTTCAGTGCCCCAGCCACTGCGAAGGAATTACTAACAAATTGAGAGATGCGCAGTTTTTGAATATCGCTGTTTTTGTTTTATACCATTAGTGTCATTCCGTACAGAGTAACTGGAGCACTAGACAATTCGAGTCCAGCTTCTATTCTGGTTGCGCAAAAGTACATGAAAATTTTCATCCGGCAGACACACCCGCGTTTGCCCCTGCGATTATTACAAACCTGGCTCCTTTCCAAGGTTGAATTGGACAACTGGAGTAGACAGCGGGTTTTTTCATTCCTGCATTCTACACGAATGCCTCTGCAGGCCTCGTGTAGCCCTTTCCGTGACAGCTACGCGTGTGTGGATCCTGTTTGCCAACGCGAACCTGTTCCCTTGGCTGCCCCACGCGGGAAAAAAAGGAAAATGGAGGGGAACTCGGTACAGGCCAGTCTGGTTGACAATGGAGACCGGGGGGTAGGGACAGGGGGAACCTCCGAAGTCAGAACAGATATCCATTTGGAGCTACTGTAGGTACCGAGGAAGAGTGTGAATCACAGGACGATCTTCATAACGGCCATCCCCAAAGAAAAAGAAAAGCACGCTGTCATCACCCAGACGGGCTGGTTACTGCGCCGTCGATCCCCATCCCGAAAGCCTTGACAGGTGAAAAGCGACCGTTTTGTCGGATGGATCGAGTCGCCCCTGTGGGCTTGGGCTTTGGCACACGGTCAATGCATTAAGACATGGCCTGATTAACCCCACAGAATGAATTTGGGTGGAATGATATGATTGGTCTCCAGGCAGAAGGGGTTTTTCAAATTGAACAAATTAGAATGGAGCATTTTCATGCGTTTGGACAGTTTTAGTGAGAGGTCTGGAACGAAGAGCGTTCGGCAGATGCAAGGTGGGTGGGAGTGACCCAGGGCAGTACTTGACGATCTTGTACCTTTTAGCCTGGTTCATGGTAGCGAGGGTACCTTCTTGGACGGTACTAGTGGTAGGTGCGTTTAGCCTGTCGGATGGCACACAGGCCAATTGCTCGGGAGATGGCATTCCCCCTTTTCTGTTTAACCGTAGACTGTACTTACTACGGAGTACTACGGAGTACTACGTAGGGTAGTAAAACTGCGGAGGGAGAGTACTGTAGTAGAGTATAACTACTCCGTAGCATGAATAGACGTGGACAGAAGATAAATACAGTTAGCCCCCAAAAGCAAAAAAGAAATCAAATATCAAGGAATAAATCGAAAATAAAATAATCCCGTACTTGTGGTATTGAACCCGTCACATTAGATCATAAGTACCCATACAGGCCCAGTACCAGTGGAGCTTGGATCGTCCCCGATCGAGTCCCCAAGGATTAGCTATTATTATTCCTCTCGAATCCCTCTTTTTCTCTACATTCACTTTGGTTCCTTTGATTCTTTTGGCTCTGCTAGTACTGATTGCTGCCGGTGGCAATTGTGACTATACTTAGCATTCTGACTATCCCTTCGGCCCTTGCGTGCCCCGAGGAACTTTCTCTGCACTGTCATTTCGCGGACCTTTACGTCCTTGCTGCGATCTTCGATAGCGCGCACCTGGTCCCAATCTCCAAAGCACCGTGTGACATTGGGTATTGTCCAACCACGCACGTTGAGACCTTCCCATCCCTATATTGGTTTAGGGTTAATCTGCGACCTCATCCCTCCGGCTGGACCTTGGATGCACTCGGCTCCTCGACAGGAAGTTTGTTTGGCCTTGTTTATAGTTTGATTACCTGTGATTACTCGATGTGGCCTTGTATGTGTCTCTTAATCGCCCCTCTCCTGGCATTCCACACCTTGCCCCGGTCTCCTGGGAATCTGCGCATTCCAAACAATCCCTATAACGCTCTATACTGTCATTTAGCCCTTGAGAGCCCCAATTGACCTAGATTGTGTAGGATCAACCCCAGCCTTCGGCAATCTGGTCCCCTCCATCCTTGATCATTCAACCGACACTCGTTCTTTCTCGATTACCACTTTGGAGTCAACCATGATCATTGCATCCATCGAATAAACTCCTACATCCAATGACCTCAGTGGCTGGGAACAGATACCAATCAATTATACACACGAGAGATGGAACCAATGAAGCCACACATCCCTCCGTTAAACATATCGAAATCCAACTCCAATCTACAGGACTCCCACGAGCACAGCAATACACAGAGTCGATTCTACACCACCTGGGGCTCATCTGAGATGACGCCTCCCTTAACACCACACACCCAAGAGACAAATATGGAACCCATGGAGGCACCGAGGCCTGTCTTCCACAACTACCTAAGAGCCTTCTATCCTTTTCACCCGGCCGGCGATGTCTCCCCGTCCACCGTTACTCTGCCCCTGGAACAGGGCGATATCATCTTGGTCCATTCCGTTCACACCAATGGCTGGGCCGATGGTACTTTATTAGATTCCGGGTATCGAGGCTGGCTCCCCACGAATTACTGCGAGGCGTACGACCAACAGCCGATGCGTCCCTTGTTGAAGGCCTTGACTGATTTCTGGGATATCATTCGAGGAGGATGCGGGTCATCACTAAAAGATTTCGGAAACCAGGATCTCATGAGAGGTCCCATAGCGGGCGTCCGGTTTTTGCTGGTAAGTGTGACCGTTAAAAGAGGTATACCACAGGGCTCATGATTCCACAGGAAAAATGCGAATGTCTGAAGAGAGAGTCTGCCCTGGTACAGAGATATGATGGACTTCGCCGACTCCGCAAGGCTTTGCTGTCTGACCTTTCTTCGCTGGTGAAAGCAGCGAAGAAGCTCCAGGAAGCGGCGAACGGGAGCCCATCCGAAGATGAGGTCGAACACATCTTGGATGAGATGCTTCTCAAGGCGTTCAAAATCGTCACTCGTGGAGTTCGCTTCCTCGACGTATGGAATGAAGAGGTCGGCCTGAGCAGGACTATCGCCGGCATGGATGGACCAGCCGACGGCCAGAATGATCTACCGCCAACCCCGGCTTCCGAGAACTTCAACATTGGCGAAGACGACTGCCCCGAAAGAAATGAGTCCCGAATGCTGGAATCCCGACAGATGGAATCAAGGCAAACGACGCGGAGCCGCATGGATATGAGCCGAATGTCAATGAATATGAGCCGACTGTCGATGCGCACCGACATGATGGACCCCCCGCCCAGACCGATCTCTGTCTCCGCCAAGAGAGTCTCTGTCTCGCATCGCATGTCAGTGTCCGGTCCCTCGGCTGCGATCTGTGCGCAGAACTTGGCATCCGAGCGACTTGGCACAACATACGATGGGTTCCTCGGCGTCCTCGGCTCGTTCATTGGGCTTCATATGCAGTCTCGCTCCTCGACCGAGCTTGTTGCGACGACCCAACAGGCTATGCAATCTTGCAGAGCTTTCCTCAACGTCGTGGAGGCTGTCTGTGCGCACGACACTCAGCGTAGTGTGTTGCTCGACCAGGCACGCGACTCGATGGTCGAGAGGCTGTCGCAACTTGTCCACGCCGCCCGCGACGTTTCCTGCCCTTCGAATCTCCCCGAAGATGACATGGTATATATGCCGGACGATGGAAAACAACTAGTCGAAGCTGCGACGCTGTGTGTTCGCGCTGCTGGTAACTGCCTGGCCAAGGCACGTTTGGTCCTGGAACAAATTGGAGACATGGAGCTTGAGCCTGAGAATGACGGCGCTGGACAGGAGCCCATGGACTCCGAACACTCAGAGACTCCCGTCGCAGAATATGAGCGTCGTCTCCCACCTCCTCCCATTCAAATTCCCAGCACAACCTACTCTCCCCCTACACCTGCTCTCACCGACGCCACTACACCCTCTTCATTCCAGTCTCACATGGCTCACTCCCCTGCCAATCACTCTGCTCTCTCATCTATTCCCAACTCGGCTGTCCTCCCGACACACCTGGAGAACATCTCCTCCTTCTCTTCCACCGACAGTGGCTACCGCGAATCTCACAAATCCGACATGGGTGAGTCATTTGGACGCGGTATCACTTCCAACGGCAGCAGCTTTACATACCACAGCCGCGCTCGCGACTCCGAGATGAGTGGTCTTTCGCAAACCTCGACGCGGGCTACCTCCCCCGATATTGGCGGTAGCTTCCAAGGCAGTTTCAAGGTTCCCTCGCTGAAGGAGAGTGTCAGCTACTCTACTCTCGCGGAAGAGAACGAGGAGACGGAGGCCAACATTCTTGCGAAGACCTATGCTCATGAGCTCATCTATAAGGAAGGCTCGGTCATGGGCGGTAGCCTTCGTGCTCTCATCGAGAAATTGACCGCTCATCAATCGACACCTGACGCTTTGTTCGTGTCAACCTTCTACCTCACTTTCCGTCTCTTCGCTAGTCCACTCGAGTTCGCCGAAGCTCTTGCCGCTCGTTTTGAGTACATTGGTGATACCCCCCACGCTGCCGGTCCCGTCCGTCTTCGTGTCTATAATATCTTCAAGGGCTGGCTCGAGTCTCACTGGCGCCATGATCGCGACAACATCGCTCTGGAATTCATCGTCCATTTTGCTAGGACAAAACTTGCAGCTGATCTTCCTACTGCTGGTAAGCGTTTGCTTGACCTGGCAGAGAAGGTGTCAGCTGTTGGTGGTCCTGTTGTGCCGCGTCTGGTCTCTTCTATGGGAAAAACTAATACCTCGATTGCCCAATACATCCACCCCGATACTCCCCTCCCCCCTCCTGTCCTTGGCAAGAAGGAGCACAACTTGCTGAAGCAATGGAAGAACAACGAGGCCTCCATCACCATTTTGGACTTCGACCCCCTTGAGCTCGCCCGTCAATTGACAATCAAGGAATCGCGTATTTTCTGCGCCATTCTTCCGGAAGAGCTTCTTGACACTGAATGGACCCGAAAGTCTGGCTCATTGGCTGTGAACGTCCGTGCCATGTCCACTCTATCAACGGACCTCGCGCATCTCGTTGCCGACTCCATTTTGTGCCTCGAGGAGCCCAAGAAACGTGCTACTACCATCAAGCACTGGGTTAAGATTGCTGGGAAGTGCCTGGAGCTGAACAACTATGATTCCCTCATGGCGATAATTTGCTCCTTGAATTTGTCGATGATCTCGCGCCTGAAGAAGACCTGGGACATCGTCTCCCAAAAGACCAAGACTTCCCTCGAGCACCTTCGCGGCATCGTTGATGTCTCCCGCAACTATGCGGTTCTCCGCCAACGTCTTCAAAACCATGTGCCCCCCTGTCTCCCCTTCGTCGGCACCTACCTTACCGATCTTACCTTTGTCGACCACGGCAACCAGTCTTTGCGCACACTCTGCACCGACGAGAGTGAGATGGACGTGATCAATTTTGACAAGCACATGAAGACAGCACGTATCATCAGCGAACTCCAGCGATTCCAGATCCCCTACCGCCTCACCGAAGTTCCTGAACTTCAGGCATGGATGCAAAATGAGCTAGTGCGCGTGCGTTCCAACGGCGACGAGACAACCAGCCAACTCTTCTATCGCCGCTCATTGGTTCTTGAACCCAGAGAACAATCTCGCAGTGCAAACACCCTGCACTCTCAGGACTCAAGTCCTCCCTCTATCCTTGACAACGCCAAGGACAAGTTTGACTTCCTTTCCTGGACCAACCAAGGCAAAGTCAAGTCTGTGCCGACCCATGGCTAATCTATCCACTACATCACACCTATCATTCATATAACGACTCACGACCGCACTTCATGTTCCCGCCACCTTCTTCTTTCCAACCATGTTCTACTATGCTCCATTTCTTCTCATTTGCGTGTGAATATCCTACGTTTTACCATTACCTCTTTATCTCTTCATCTCTATCTCTTTTATTGCTGGGCGGCGCTTTTGATTCATCTTTTTACGCGATTTCTCCCTTGGGAACGCGTTGGAAAAGCGGCTATGTATGAAACGAGGTGCTTCGGATATATGGAGTTTACCAATGGCCTTGCTCTTTTTGTGTTTATCTTGCCTGGTCTTACGGTGGGTTGGGAAAACGGATTGGAGATTATTCCCTATTATCGACTCATGTAATTAGACAGGATTCGTTGCCTCACGGCTTCTGTACAGGCGCGGCTCTGACCGCTTGCAATGCAATGCATCTTTACTTCAACTCATTCTCTTTTGCTCGTAGTTCAAGACTCACAAAATGGTAGGCAGGCTCTGGTGCTGAAGTTCTGATAGATTTCCACACTTCAGCCCGCAGTATAGAGCAAGTCAAAGTGCACATCGCAGCCTCTGTTTCCCTCACATTCAGATCAAGCTCAGGATCAACGCACTAGTGATGGGCCCTCATTCACAGGGACTCAGTGCTCGATTATCCAGCGCGATGCATCAGAAACCAAGAACGCAATAACAAGGTCAAGATCAGTCTCGGTATTACCCAATTTGTTCCCAAGGCAACACGATCATTCATGCAATAACCATGCCGCCCCTCGTCTTCAGATACGGAAAGACAGCCTAGCTCATGAAGATAGCACCCTTGGTATTGACATCAAGCATGCGATTCAACTCTGTCGGATAAAATCTGGGATGCTACGATTTCGCTCACATCGTCTTGGATGTCGCATATCACTAGGTGGACGCCGTGCGCGGCGAAGACTTCCGCGGCCGTTGCCGATCCCCAAGGCGCAGCCGGTGATCAGTACGCGTTTACCGGCGATTGAAGGGATGATGTGACATGCCGTTTCGTCTACTGGACAGTCTCCGTGCGGGGTTCTGGGACACATGGTGGTTTCTCGAGATTGTAGATACTTAGTTGACTATAGATCTGTGAACTCGATTGCACCATCGCGCTGATTGACCCGATTGCTACGTAGAAGATCTGAAAATTCCGGTGCAGCCTGGCATTCATCGCACCATGAGTTTCGAATCTGTCTGGGGTATGTACGCCCCGAGTCCGAGCTGGATCTAGTGTGTAGCCATGGGGAGGATGGGGGAATGTCTGACCGGGATGTCTGAATTCAATGTGAAACTCTCAGACTCCTACGTAGAGAGGCTTCTGGTCTGTGTGGTCAAGCTGACATGTAGGCCCTTGTGAATCGTTATCTGTGTGATCAACTTTCTTAAGTGAAGTACAATCGACATCATCCGTGGTGATATCTCGGCTTGCCGAGCTCTGTGCTCAGTATGGAGTGCTCGTCTCTCATCACAGATCCTAAGTTTGCCCGATGCATTGATGATCGAGCAGCTTACAAGCTGTCATCACCTACACCGTAGGACGTATTACCACAGCGGGAATGGGAGCAATGAGCCCGGAACCTTGAGCACTTTGACCCTACACTGTTCTATACGCTATACTCTGTACTCTGTACTAACTTTTAGACACGGCATCAATATGACCTAGAACTGTCTGAGCGTAGGGATAGTTGGCTTTCGCGATGCATCTAAGCTTGGGTATCCTGGAGTGAATGCATCTACCACAACCGCCCAAGCCAAGTCCAATACGACTGAAACGGTGTGGAAAGAGGCGAATTTGAAGCCCAACACTGTATACCAATACTCCATAACATGCAAAGAAGCGACATAGAATAATTTAGTAGCCCCAAAGCGTGACTAGTTCCTCGATGTGTCATATCGCCAAATAGGGCTAGATTATCCATCCGCGAATATTACAATCCATTCTTACCAGAGGTATGTGCACACGGTGCCAGGATGAGCATAGTTCGTATATCTTGATAATCGAATCATAGGACAAGATCCTGTCACCGAAGGTTTAAAAGTAGCTAAAGTGTCAGTTCATCTACTATCTCTGTTAGTGGCTGATCCCTGCATAAGCCCACACGCCACTTTCCGACTGCTTGTGAACAATCTGATATACAGCCTTCCATAGGCAAGGGGTGTGTTAAGTAAACAGTATTCTGGAATACAAGCGATTTTTCTCCGTATGGACCGTGTCAGATTGAGAACAGACCGCTGTTAGCCATTTAGTATATTGGAGAAATGCGGCTGCCTTTGGGCGTCAAACTTATGCAGGATGGGTATTTGTAATACATCATGCATGATCAGTCTTTTAAATACAAGCTTATGCATTCTAAGGAACCACTTTATATGCAAAGCAACCCTGGAGTACGCTAGATATGCATGTCGCGACAGGCAACCTGATGGCCATTTTTAGCTGTGTATTGAATTTCTCCACTTTATGTACTCCGTATGGAGTATTCCGTATAGAGAAGCTGACTCGGTTTCCGGGCAGCAGTTATAGTTCCGTTCCATGTAAGATTGGTGGGGTAGAGATGATGGATCACATCGAAAATTTAGAACTGGGCTGTTGTCTAAAGATATCTGCTGAAGACACCAGAACACGATACGAGCCGAGCTAGGGTCGAAGATTGAGGCTTATCAGCTTTTGGTAAAGACAAGCGATAACAGCTGCCATGCCCCGTAGTGAATTTGGTCTAGGTGGAGTACATGAGTCAAGGACCAATAGACCCGTGAACAAGTCGCAGAATGGCCCGAGTCATGGCAAAAACATTGGGTCACTATGATTATCGAATGTTCCTGCATTATGCAATAACCCATGTGCAAGGTCTTCCACGTATGTGATATCCAATTTATGTGCTATAGCTGGCGCGAAACGCATCCATATAGTCCAATTCCATGCGGTCGTCAGCTGATTTCGACTCTTTTAGGCTTGATGGGAATGAGGTAGTAGTATCGGGTACGGATCGTAGGTCCAGAATGGGGACCATGGAGGGGCGACCGTGGGCACACTGGAATGGAAAAGCACAGCGGGCGAGGCGTGAAAGCAAGGCCCGACATTCCCCAATGTCTAATGGGTCGTTGAACATGATGGCGGTGCGACAGGCGCGAGAATTCAGGAGATCAGTAATGCCCTGAGGACATCCGTTCATCTTGCGGACCCAAGAGTGCGAGGTGAATGGGGGGTTTTTGTCTGCTGGATCTTCGATGCCAAGGGGTGTGAATGGTTGATCTTCAATCTCAGATCCAAGATCTCGCTTTGGCTGAAATGACTTTCCTCCAACTTCTTCACTCGACCATATCTCTCGCCTCATCAAATCAATCAACACTTGTGGCTCGGTCCGGCATCGCTCGGCGATGAGAACGGGCAGTGTGTGAAAGGTGATCGAAGTGGATGAGTTCTTGACCTCTGTATCATAGTGAACCCCCCAGGATGTAAAATCAGTCTTATATCGGTTGAATAAACGGCCCTCTGTCTCGGAGACCTGGAATTCTAAGAAGACTTGTACAGTTCGTACGCCGGTATCCTGAGCAATCGCCTCTCCAGGTGGCAGGAACATCTCTTCAAAAAGTTGCTCAATTCTACATCGCTCATCGGCAGCATGTTGATCTATCAAGAGCAGGAAGTCATTGGATGTCTCGCTTTCGCAATTTCTCAAGGCAGTTGAAGGGACCTTGGCCAAAATGAACTTTTTGTCGACTTGGGCAATGACTTCAGCAGTCTCGAGATCACGACGCATAAGCTTGCCCCGATATTTAGCGACCTGTGCTGTAGTTAAAGATCCAATTCCTTTGAAGCAGTCGTGAGAAGCTGTCAAATCATTGGAAGGTACAGCCTCGGCGCCCAGGTTTGGTATCGGAACCTCCGTGCGGCTAAAAGAAGGATTTTCCCACGTTTCCAGTAGGTTTTGAAACCAAAGGCCGTGAGCTGGGTCCTGGTGCTCACCATGTGAAATGGGCAACCGATGGCTTTTGGTGGCCAGAGATTTTCTAGAGTTCAATGTTTGACCAGTCCGAGGGTTGATGAGGTAGGCTAACTTCGTGTGCGGATCGATCCAAGTTAACATCTTGTTTGGCGATGGGGGCGAGCTTGTCTGTTCGGATTGGGTTCGAACTATGTTTTGGTCACCGCCCACGCTTGGGTTATTTGATCTTCCAAATGAGAGCTGGGGTTCCCGATGGTGGTTGAGACCACCTGAGCCACGCTGGTTGCGGGTAGGCAAGGCCCTCTCACTTTGGAATTGATTAATTCCAGGACTGGTGATTGGGGTTCGAGAGCGAGGAATAATGGGGTATGACTCTGGCGCTTTAGCTGCCTTGACCCTGGACCAATTTGTGAAATCCTGGCTATAGTTGATACCCTGTGACCTGGCAAAGGAGGGAATTTTGAAATGGCCACTAAACGCTTCATCGGCACTTGAAGCAAGACGGTCCTGATTTGGATCGACGCCAGCACTTTGTATTGAACATGAGCCCTTGGTGAGTATGCTCCGACTCCGATCTGACGATTGGGTTCGCTGCTTGCCACTTCGAGGCCGCATGTTGTGTTGCTTCAAAAATTCACGAACCATGGCCCCAAGTACATCAACAATTCGTTGAAGTGACTTGTCTGACTCTGGTAAATGTTCACTTTCATCATTTTCGCCAAGCTGGGGCGCATCGCTCGTGTCAATACGAATATAGAACATTGGCCACCTGTTGATGGGCTTTGTCCAACTTCTAGCACTTCCAATACTTTGAGCCTCACTTATACGCACTGGGTGGGTGATAGCACGGGGAGAGGCGTGGTTGGGGCGTGTGTCAAAATTCCCAAAATCTGACAGGGAGAAGAGACGATTGATCTCGTTGTACAGAATGTTCGAGCCATTGCGTGACATCAATGGCTCTTTTCCCAAAGAGATAAACTGGGTCTTCCGACTTGGACTAGCCTGTAGTGATATTGCAGCTCGCACTGTCAGATCAGGAACCGATGCTGATAATTCATGCCAGCATTCCCAGTTTCGAGGGCTGATGAGCCCGCATTGAGTAAGAACAGACCCAATGCGCCTGAATTCAAATGCATCGCCACTTGGAGCTTGGGCGGTGGGCGAAATCAATGCACTAGGTCGGATGGACATCCGTTTGCTCTTCTCCGTGTCCAAAAGTACTAATCTCAGGGCTTGGGGATTGGCTAGAACGAGCGAGATAAGAGAGTTTCTCAAATTATCCCACTCCCGGTCTGCTTCACCTGCCTTTCGGAGAGTGATGGCTCGGTTCTTGACACGGACCGGCATATTTCCAAAAAGGTCATTCACCGTCACAGAGGTGCCATGGCTGGCAGATCGAAGTGTGTGATGCGAAGGAGCAGGTATCAGTCGCGCCACTGGCTTGGAATGGTGAAATATGATTGAGTTCGTAGACTCGTGTGCAGCATGATGTGAAGTGAGGGTCAATAGTGACAAGGAGGCGAGAGATGCCAAGAACAAGCCACGATGCCCGTACGAGTCATTCTGCTCGAATCTGGATGTATCTGTCACATAATTAGCAGGTAAATAGAGGCCTCGAATCTCAAATACCCACGGTGAGGTTTGCCAAGTCCCCCAGTTGTCTCAAACTCATTTGGTGGAATTCCATTGCCATCATCCTCAACTATACAGCCTCCCCGTTGAAAATCGACCGTGACAAAAATAGTATGTGCACTTCCATCCAAGGCATTCTTGACCAATTCCAGAATTACACCAGATAGATCAAGGATAGCCGTGGAGGACTTGAGCTTTGCGATCACATCAGATGGTAATGCTTGTATCGATTGAGGAAGAGGCATCGATGAAACCTGAGGCTGTCACCGGCAGACATGGAAGTCAAGTCAACTCAGCAGCATCCAAAGCATCCAAGTTCATCTCGACAATCCTTCGCACTTGTCAAGATGGCAGATGAAGTAGCGAAGAGGCAACACAGGCACATGACATGCACGGATAAACCATACCTCCGCCCGTCCCTGCCTCGGCGCATCTCAGCCACATTGATCCCTTGTCGGCCTTTAACCTTTCGCAAGCCAGAGTGGGTTGTGAAGGCTTTTCAAAGCATGGCTACCACTGAGGGTCCTGCTAGGGTGCATGGTAAGTGTAGACCATTAACAAGCCCATAGCCCAACTCATGAGCCCAATCACTGACGCCTGTGAACAGACCGCAACGTACGACGCCGTCCATTCTCAAGCTGGATGAGACGACTAGCCAGCCTGAAGAACTCTGATTCTACTTCAACTCGATGGTCTAACAAGCGCTCCGCCGGGGCCAAGGGCAAGAAGGGCGACCAGAGCAACAACCCATACCCACTCTCTGGAACACTCAATCGTCAAACAGGGAGCCAGACACCGACCGTGTCATACACCGATGAGAACTATGATGACAACTCCCATTCCCGGAGCGATCCATCTTTGGTGTCTTCGGGATATGAAAACCCCGCCCCCTTGACAGGTGCAAAGTCCGCGGCTCCGACCATCTCAACAAATGGTGACGCCGGGTATTCCGAGGCCGCATATTCCAAGGCAGGGACCCTGACAACCGGCACGGAAGGATTTAGTACACATGAGGGAGGGGAAGGCAGCACGTTCTCGTCGCCCGCGCCTTCGGTCCGCTCGTTGGCCACTACTCTGACGACCGTGCACTCAGCAGCACCCTCGACCCAGCTGTACAATGCACAGAACAGCCACCCACACCATCACGGCAACTCAACCCAGGCCTCTTCAAACGGAGCTGTTCACTTCAGCCACCAATTCCCTCCAAACTCGTCCCCGGCTACCGCAGTCCCCTCACACCTAGTCTCTCAAACCCATGGCATGACCTACAGCACAGCAACCGCCAACAACGCTCTGAACGATAATGCTTCTGTGCTCACCCTGGCAAGCTCGTCTAAACGCCGTCGCCGCAATTCTTTGGACACCAACGCCTCCGTGCGCGGATTGGCCCCGTCTTCGGTATTCGGTGGGAGCCGTGAGAGTTTACCACTGAGTGTATTGAGCGGAAACACGAATGAAGCATCGAACGCTTCTGTTTTCAATGCATCGGGCGTACTAAATCGGCCAAGCATTGTTGGCCTTGCTAGCGCCGAGCGCATTAGCGTCTACTCCTCCACTGGTGCCACACCGCTCGCCACCACCAACGCAGAACGAGGCAGTCTTTACGCCAAACAAACCAATGGAGATGCGGCGAGTATTCGCAGCGGAGCTCAATCTCATAATCGAAACGATAGCAATGCCGCAAGTGTTGCAGGAGTCGTGAGTAGTCCTCTCGCTATGACCGGTCGCATGAGCAGGAGGAGCTCTGGCTGGGGAGAAATCACCGGCGAGGAAGACAATACCGATGACAAGCCCAGCGATATGATCGAAGAGCGCGAGGAGAAGAGCAAGGACGAAGCTGGTTCTCTCGATCAAACGCCGAAGAAATAATCGCACCTGGCACCCTGCAGCCATTCGCACAAGAAGCAAGGTTGGCAAGGTTTGAATGAAGTTACGCATGGAATTGTTCGGAACTATGAGCGAAATAACAGCGATTCTCTTTACATAATGACTTGATGCATGGAACTTGAGGTTGCGGTTGTTCTTAATGGTATGGCGTTTTCTAGGCTGGGACTTTGATACCCTATGTGGTATGGACACACTTGTTTTTACTCCACGAATTTATTCATGCTGCTATTTTTACAGCTTTCGCTCAGGCCGTCCCTACATATGCTCTGACGGATCGTGAGTTTCTCATCAGACTAGGCCCAGGGACGATTTCATCGCCGTCGGATGATCATCGGCATGTCGTACTGATATACAAACCAGGCGTTGTGGTACTTCCACCCATGGCCTTGGTCTACCAATTGAATCTACATTGTAGATTAGCACCTGTCATCCCACAGAAACAAGAGACCACTCACATCGAATGTGCTGTACAGCGTCGCAATCAGCTTTTTGATCTCCAACACAGCCAGATACCGGCCCATGCAGACACGACCACCTCCACCGAAGACAAAGTCGACAGTATCCTTCATCCGACGCGAACGTTCCTCATAGTGCTCCAAGCTCTCATCACTCCCTTGCAACCAGCGATCCGGATCGAATTCGTCGGCATCATTTCCAAAGACGCCAGAATCACGACTGGTGACGAAAGGGTTGATCCCGACTTTAGTTCCTGCAGGGAGATACCGTCCATCCGGGAGTGTGAATCCGCCCTGTGGAACGACACGTTCGAAGACCATAGCAATGCCCGGATTCATACGGAGAGCCTCGCGAATAACAGCGTCCAGGTATGGCAGGTCGCGAACCTGCTTCCATGGGGCGGGGGTGGGCAATGCGGCGCCTTGAAGCTCGGTGATGAGTTGAGCCATCGCTGAAGGAGACTTTGCTAAGAAGTAAAGGACGGCTCGCATGGTGGCAGAACTGGTATCGCCTCCAGCCAAGATGCTGAGCATGAGCCAATTTACTATCTGGTTGTCGTTGACCATCTCCGGGTTTGTTTTCTTCAGTTGTACGTATTTATCAAGCGTGTGGTCGACAGTGCCTTCGATCTTGTTTTCGGCTAATTGCATTTGATACTCGGCCACTACTTTGAATGCGTATAGCACACCCGTCAGTGTGGGCTTGGGCCCAATGCGCTTAATGGGATTCTTGTCCAGGATGTTGTCGATCCATGGCATTTGAGAGACCTGTATCCGACGTGTTAACGATATTGCACTGAGATACAGGAGAGCTCGCAGAGATTGCTGACCGGTGCAAAGTACTTCAGGCCAGCCGTTGAGTCCGTGATCAGATTATCGACATCTTTTTCTTGATCGAGAAACCCATAATGACGACCGAAGCTGAAGTTCGCCGTGACATCCCAGGCGACTATGCGAAATGTGAGTTCTCACCTCGGTCTCAAAGGGGAGAATCTCGCAACTTACAGAAACCGATCCACTCGTCCATTGGACAGACCTTTCCGCAATCGACGAATCTGAGAGAAAGCTTGTCCACAAACTTGGTGATTGTTTCGTCAATCAGTGGCTCGTATTCTAGGACCTTTGTCATGGTCCAAAGTCCCCGGATTGGGCGAATGTTCTGGTTGTGCCAGTCCTCATCCTGGGTGTTGAACAGATTCGACAGTCGGTGGCCTTCGAGTAGTACATCATTAGGACGGTACATGTCACTCTTTACGAACCCGCAGTGAATCAGCAGGGTCCATTTACTCCATTCAATGGTGTCTACGGGATATAGCGAACCTTCTTCCAAGGATTGCGGGTTGAGTAAATCGTGCGGATCAGCCCAGGATCCGAGATGCTCACACAGTTAGGCCCAACCCGGACAGCGGTCCCGTATTTGCGGTGCAGCTGAACATGCTTGAGGTCGATACGTCCGCCATACGTATGCACGGCGCGCCAGACATCCGTGATCTTCGCGAGAGCTGGTCCGGGGATGAGTCTCAAGGCTGAAAAATAGACATCCCATATCAACTTGGTGATAATGAGAAGGCCCACAGCGGCCAAGCCTTGGATCCACAAGCTGGCAGGAATCGAGACACCCGACATTGTGACAAGGCGGTTATTGTTTGCAGAAGTACGTGCAGGAAGCAATTAATCCCAAATCCGGGGCGAGCGATGAACCTCAAGGATGCGAAATTCAAGAAAGTGCGGCTTGCAAATTTCCTGTCGAGGACCAAGCCCTACGCTAAGTTGAAAGCGGCCATTCATTTTGACAGTCGCAACACGAGGTGCGAGCGGAGATGCGGAGAAAGTTTCACAGCACAAGCATCTCAAACAAGAACCCATCTCGTTTGGAAGTCATATCCCTAGTGTCATTTAGCGTGATATCTCACACGGGGAGGGGCGGAAGGTGGAGTTCGTCGTGACTTTCCGAGGATCGTGAATGGCCCAACCTCAGCCCAATTTCCTAAATTGGCAAAATACATACTTCATCTGACAGCGGCGCCCGCCCTAGTGCCCGGACAAGTATGCCGACGCCTAGGAAAGCTCCCAGCGAACTCTATGGCTGACGCCGCTTCTGGTTGCCGTGTTGAATCGAACCCAGACCGTACCTTTGTCAAGCCACCCGGGAAACTGGGCTTGGGATACTAGACTGAACGCTATGTCCGACTGACTGATCCACTGCCATGGTAAGCGAAAGCCATTGCCCCTCGGACAGATACTATATTCCGTTGGGTTGGGCATTTTTCGCGATACGAATTTGGCCCACATCCATCGATTGAGATCCATCATAATCGCCTCCCCAGTACCGAGTACTCCGTATGATACCCCCTTTCAGACTCGTAATGGCAAGTTGCCTCCCGTCCCCACATATAGGGATGCTTCGTTCGAGCTTATATTCTTCTCGTTCCCCAGGAGTGGCGTTTTTGCCGTCTGGGGACGCTGAACTTTTCTCCTGGGGGCTTCTGATTGCTGACTGTAGGCTACAACTCTGAGGAGCATGAGAATGTACCTCGGTCGGGATGCATCGGTGCTGGAAAGCCGGGCCCCAACGGTGAAGGGCGTGATGTGGGTGATGTCGATTGTACCCCTGATCTTCGTTTTGATGCGATTGTATGTGCGGTTCTACTTGCGGAGAGTCTTTGGCTGGGATGACGCTATCGCAATCGTTGCTATTGTAAGAGATCCTTCCCTGGACGTTTCTTAGGGCTCTTAACGCGGTATGCTGACTCCTGACAAGGCTTGCTTGATTGCGTACGCCGCTGTCTGCCATGTTGCTGCAGACTTGGGCTTGGGCCAACACCTTGTGGTTGTACAGCAACACCCTGAGAACCTTATGCAAGTGGCGCTTCTGTGCAACATCGGTGAAAGTTTGGCAATTATGGCGTGTACTCTTGGAAAGACTTCTTTTGCCGTCACATTGCTACGCATAGTGGTTCAAAGATGGATGGTCGTCGTGCTCTGGTTTGTGATTGTGACGATGAATGTGGTGAACATCCTGACTGCGCTCTTTGTCTTTTTGCAATGCAAAGACCCTCGTCATCTGTGGAATCCTATGATTCCATCGGAGTGTTGGCCCTCGGACGTGTTCACTAACTTCTCGCTTTTTGTTGGTGGTAGGACTATTCACCACCCGTGTTTTCAATTTGCCAAAGCTGATATCAGTTGTGGTCTCTAGCCTACTCGGGGGCGCAAGACTTTATTCTTGCACTTTTACCTTGGACAATTGTCTGGAACCTACAGATGAAGAAAAAGGAGAAGATCGGTGTTGCATTTGCAATGAGTCTTGGAATCTTGTAAGGCTCCAACTCACTCCCATCGTCGCCACAGATTGAATAGTCTCTAACTTGCCACTTTCAGTGCTGGTGCGGCATCCATCGTCAAGACAACCTACCTGGTAGCTCTTTCTGCCAAGGCTGATTTTACATGTACGCACTTTCAAAGTATCACCCCTACAATCTAATGAGCTGACCTGATATCTGTTTTTATAGGGGAGCTCGCTCCACTCCTGATATGGGCTGCCGTGGAAGACGGACTTGCGATCACCGCTGCCTCAATCCCTGCGCTCAAGCCTCTCCTCGTGAAGGTGTTCCCCAGCTCAGCGCCAGACAGCTACAATATGATCAAGTATCCGCCTTTGCCAGGCCGGAAGGTCTTTGATAACTCTCAGGGCGAAACGCAAACTGATATAGGACATACAACGGTACACGACTCAAGCAGTCAAGCAGAAATAGTCGGGCCCGGTTCTCCGAAATGCGAAAGCATCAATTTAACCACCGAGGTTTCCGTGACATATAAGCATGGTCTTTGAGAGCTCTTTGGTTGAATTTAGGATATATAACTCAAGCAACAAAATATCGCAACTGTTTTCGGAGATCATCCCCATCACATAGAATACCAACGGTAATTTTTCATGAGCCAAGAGCCTGGTCCAGCAAAATCTCAAAGATAGCTTCTTCCATAATCGCAGCAAACCTGTAGACACAAAGTCAGACCATCCATGGATACCGCAGGACTCTCATTCCTTCAACTCACCCTTGGCACTTTATGTTAGACCTCATATTGTTCTCCAACATTTTGAGTTTTTCAGGCGTCAGGCGCGAGAAGTTCTCATGGTCTCTTATCCGATTCCATGCCTGAACAGGTGTTATAAATCCATCTAGATTGAGCCTGTCCGCCATTTCGAACAGCTTCTGGAAGACTTCCGCCGATACCTCCCATTGAGTATCCGTGGCGAGAGTTGGAGGGGCGTATTGAAGTAATGTGCTTTGCATTGACAAGGCATGACTGCTTGATTGTGCATTTTGGGCGTGATATAGGCAAGGTCTTTCCAGACTATAACTTTAGTGAGTACAACGTGAATGAGAGACCTTGGGAGAAGTCAATATTACGACAGCACAAAATCCACACCCATTTGGAAGTATTCTTGATCGGAATACCGGGGGAGCCATGGCTCTGTGTCATCATTCTTTTCTAAGCCGTGTCTCTTTTTCAAATGACTGACATTCAGAGCTGATCGCTTGGAGGAGCTTGAAAAAGACGGCAGACCCTGCTGACCCATCATTGAAAAATGGGCTTTTATTCGGATGTCCTTGGTCGCAGCTGTAAAGTTGAGGGCATCAAAAGGCTGACCCGAAGGCTTTATGAAGAATCAATATATTCGACCGTAGTGACTTTAGTTAAGTACGACTTCGGGGCTGACAGTGTCTGTGGAAGGCAAATTGCACGTCCGGCAACAATGTCCCGTAGGATGGGGTTCTCCCGACGAACCTCTTGAGATGAGTGGCTGGAATAAGATTAAATCAACGGTCAACGTCTGCTCCTATGGAATAATCTGTATTCCCTATTTGTATGCTTTCTGTATGTATCAAGAGCGAAATTGCCAAAGATAAACCTTGGAATTCACTCATTGTCGTGCCCATCTTACTTGTCCACGCCGTCTGGGCTGCGTTACTTTCGGACCATTTGCCATCTGTGAAGCTTCTGGCACCGATATTTAGTTTTCCCACCTAATGAACTACTGTCACTTTTGCTTTAGGAGCGTGAGTCAAGGGTAGTAGCCATTTAGACTACCCAGGCGATGTGCCACCGGTTACCATCGGGCTTCGTAAAGCTTTCAACATCTTGTGAGATGCACAATGTGATCATAGGCCTCAATCCTGTTGCATCCCGAGGTCTCAAGGTTGTGACATCTTGGTGATACGGGACCTCAAACTTGAAAGTCAGACCGAAAAAGTGTTCTTCCTTCAAGGACTGTAATTTGTGTATATTTAAATGGTGCTGCTGCTGTCGAGGCTTTGGTCATTGTAATTGCATGGTAAAAATGTACGTAGCATGTCTGACAATGTGTCCCGAAGTGAATGTGGCGACGGTATATATTGTTCCCAACTGCGGAGTTAGCCGGTCTTCGGGTCCGACAGCGGTGTACTGGGGTTGAACCGGCCTCAAGCTGCATATACCGGCTGGCGGTCATCAGGGCTGACCAAATCATCTCTATCACTGCGAGACCAAGGCGAGCCTGTCAACTTCCTCATATTCTTAAATGATTTCATACGGATCGTTTTGCATCTCTTCCGAGATCACGGCAGCCCTCAAGCCCCCATTCTCATCTGAATTAACAATGAGCAAAGTGAAGACTGCCCAAACCCTGTGAAACAATCGGTGAGTTTGGTCAGCGGCTCATATCTTTCCGCATTAAGCTCACCAACTCAAGAAACCCAGAGCAGATAGTCAAAGCTTACACTGCACACTGCATTCTTCGCAACCAGACTTGATTTCTCCGCGGCACTGAGGAGACCATCAAGTCCCTGACCGCTGAATGAAACAGAGAACAGTCTCATTGGCTGAGAAAAGAGATAATCGTATCGCCGTGCATTTCTGGTATGAATTCCAGGATGCCGAAAATGGGAATAAGTGGATGAGGTGTTATGGACTTGAAGACTGGACTTTCAACCCAGATGGGAAAATGGAAAAGCGAGTGATGCCCGGCAATAATCTCCTTCTAGGGCCGAATGGAGATTGTACCGGCCGTTTATTTGTTGATGAATTTGATGTTGATGAGGCGCAGACTAAGCCAGAGCATTGGTGATGCTAGCTTGCGAGTCACTCCAGGGCTTCAGACTACCGTATATTTTGGTCTTCTCGACTCATTATCAACTGATTCAAGATATTTTTTAGCTTCATGCCTGCATCTTCACTTGATGTTTCGAGTATTGCACCTCGGAAATAAACGGAGGATTGAAAAGCAAAGGAGATTCAAAAGGCTGCCAGGCAGTTTTGCGGAGCCCAACTTGGAACATGAAAGCGTAGTGGACCTCGGATGTATGCAGGGCCATATCAAAGAGATCCAAATTTGAGAGTAGGCAACGGAGCATGGGCCCATGCTCATGTTTTTACACCTAACCTTAAAAGTACCGAGGTCAGAACGATTTCAGGATTTAGGAATGACCCCATGATTTTGAAATACTGCGGTATACACTAGGTGCCTAGGTACTTCGACGAAGTCCACTATCCGAAATCGAACGACCTTGGAAGTATAACGTTCTTTTCTTTTCCTATGTTTTTTCCTATGCCTTCCAAGCCCTGGAGGTTTTCCTCTTCTGACCATCCTCTTTTTGGAAATACACTATACTCTACAGAGTAAACCGGCACTCTACCCTATAGTACTAGTACTACGAGTATTTACTAGGTACTGGACCAGATTTCCTGCCCAGGTGTACTGTAGACTCCCAATAACGATATTGAGACCCAATTCTAAAGACAGTGGGTCTGCAACTATTATGGAGAATTAGTGGAACCACTACGGAGTATTCACAGAGAAGAGTCCACACTGGTCTTGTACCCGCAAACTTGAATTCTGCGTCATTCAGCCAGATCCTTGGAATGTTGGAATGCCTTGAAACTCATGCTACTCGGTAGTATATAGATCGGGGCACTTCACGTTTCCCTCGGAATTGGGAACGCTAACCCCTTTCGGGCCGGCAAGGGTTCCGGGAGAAGACCCGTTAGCGATAAGCACGGTTACCTAGGCGTATAACATAATGTCTTCACTATACATTCTGGGACAGGGACAGGTGAATGCTACCTACCTATGTACCTAGTAGGTATATATTGCTATATATTACCAGGATAGCACGGACTACACATTCAACTCACAGTCGAAGTAATTGGAATATTTCCGGTGCTTACCAATGCAGTAAAAGGATCTACCAATCACCGTTGCCCCCACTTCGCGCGGTTTCGGTGTTTGCTCAATAACCGCGTTTGTCGATGGAATTGAAGGAGAGGTGCATCTCGACAATGGGCTGATGGGATGCGTGATTCGTGCAGCATATTCCTCAGAGCAAATAAACTGGTCAATGGAATCACCGCACTGTACTCCGGACTATAGTAGACATTGTCCACCTTAAATTAGGAACGTGGGACCCACTTGCGCTCCGATGCTCGGCCTTGAACGGAGTACGGAGTACTTCCGGCTGAATAGCACAGTGTAGTCACACAGAGAGAAGCGAGTGCAAAAATATATGGAAAGGAGAGTACCAAATATGTACTAGTAGAGAATCAGAATAGAAAAGAAAATAAGAATGAACAATAGACAATAGACAAGGAAGAAGACGGATCGGGAGCCTGGAGGCAAATCGGGGATTAATCATCACCCCTCTGCCTCCCCACCGAACGTTCACAGAAAAAACCCACTTGTGGCCCCAACTGCCCTCTCCAGATTCCATCTCCAACTTGCAGTCTACACTCTACACCCATTTCGCGATTTTCTATAAATCGCCCGTCGACTCGCCCCCGCGTCGACTTCATACCGTCTGAATCCGCCTTCAAGCCGCATTCGGCTTCCAACACTCGGATTGACTCAAACTACATTTCGCCGCGCAACGCGCACTTCGACTTCGTTCATCGAGCCATCAGTTCCCGCGTGCAAGACCGGCTGATTCAAAATGGCCCACTATAACGGGCGTCGCGCGCCCAACTTCTCCCAGTACATCGATGATCTGAACGCGATCCCTTCGCCTTACGACCAGGCTCTGCAGCAGCAACAGCAGCAGACCCCGTACAACCTCGACACTGAACTCGCTCTGTTCACCAACACCGAGTTCTTTGACTTCGACAAGTTCACGGACCTTGGTCTGCCTACTTTTGACTCCGTCGATGAGAAGCCCCAGACTGTGGAACAGGCCCACGCCGCGGATTCCAACTTTTTGGATTTCCTGAACAATGGTGAGTCAATACGATCTTCCTCCAGACTGCTCTTGGGTGGTCCTTGGGAGGCCCTCGATGCATTTGGGTGTTTGCGGTTGTTCTTGGTTGGATGATTGAAGTTCGAGCTGCATGAGTTCCCTGCATGAGTTTCCCCTGATCACACCATCATTTGCCCATGTTCATGAGACTTGACTACGAGGTCTACTTTTATTGGCCGTCTTCTCAAGCTCGTCATGGTTGCATATCCTTGGCATGGATTCTGGGCGCTTGGTGCGCTTCAGACTTTATACCCTTCCTTTCCCCTAACCTCCCGATCGCATCTTTTTGTCGCACACTTTCACCATTGCTTTGACCTCTCGCATCTTTTCTTTCATGCCCATCCCCAGCAAGGTTTGCCGTCAAATCTGATTTTGGCTGGCGCCAACTCTCCCCACTATTACGCCATTTCACGTGATCGGCACACGCAGGAACTTTGCTCGGACTCAATCGCCTTTCGGGACACCGATTGTGGATGCTTGGAAATGAGATCAATGCTAATGGCGTGTTACAGAGGGCCTGAACTCCATTCCTGACTACCAGCCGGAGCTGAACCACAATGCCCAGCCTATGCACAATGCGCATTACCCGGTTGCACCTGCGCCGGCCAACCAGGCCCCCATCCAGCCTGCTCCAATCAGCGCTCCGAAGGTCGCCCCGGCTCCACCTGCCCACTCCATGTCGCCTCCCACTCCGGTGACCGGAACGAAGCGCAAGAACTCCGCCAAGTCGACCCAGGAGAACGCTGAGGAGGCTAGCCGCCACATGGCCGAGGAGGACAAGCGTCGCCGCAACACTGCCGCTAGTGCTCGCTTCCGTGTGAAGAAGAAGCAGCGCGAGGCTGCGCTCGAGCAGACTGTCAAGGAGACCACCGACAAGAACGACATCCTTGAGGCACGTGTTTCCCAGCTCGAGCTCGAGAACCACTGGCTCCGTGGCTTGATCATGGAGAAGAACGGTGCGGACGAGCAGTCTGAGCAGGATATCTCTGATATGTTCAAGAAATTCCTGGCTTCACAGAATGCCGATGCCACAAGTACATCCGGTCTGAAGCACGGCGTTGGCACCACTGCGTAGGCAGCACGCCGAATACGATGAAAAAAAAAGCCAAAAACACACCAAAAAAAAAAGAAACCCCAGTCTTGTTGATTGCTCTGCCGCGATATGGTTGGGCGTTGGCCAGGCTACCTTTGCTTTCTTGTCCATAGTGTTTCTCTTTCCCAGCAATCGGTTTTATCAGTAGTCACCAGAGCTCTAGGTCTGTATCTGCAGATTCATTTCCTGGGGCTCTAGGGCTCACAGGGGTGGATGAGTGATGATTTTGCAATTCCCCGATTTTAACCAGCTTAGTTCAATAGATGCCGTTATTTCACTACCTCGATTTGGTAAATTTATGAATAGACCTGTCTTTACGATCATACCTTTTCAAGATCCCTCATAGATCATGAATTGTACCTGAAATCGAGGATTGAGCTTGGCATTGATAATTGCTCCAGAAGAGAAAGCTTGGCATGTGTGCCGAATCCAAATCCTTTTGGAATCCTTCCTTATACTTGTCAAATTTCGGCTCTAGATGATTTAGTATCGGATTTTTTGGAAGGTCCATTTTCGGGTCTACTTTTTTCTCCTCTCACAGTGCACCTCACAATGTCTGTTCTCTTCCGTAATAACAAGCTTTCACATCTAGTGACAAAAATATATTATAATCTAATCAATGAACCCTTACCGGTAATGAAAATTCTGCAGTGCTCTAAATGCTCTAGAAGCATAGAGAAGAACAGATGATGCGAAAGAGAAAAGAGGGGAGAAAGGGAAAGAGGGAGAAGAGGAAAGGCAAAAGAGGAGGGAGTTATTTGTGGAAGATGATATGTGCTCCATCACTATTTCTGCTTCCGCAAAGAAGACTGGGAAGTAAGATGGCTAAGCTATGAGGAATAAGCCCGAAGAGAGCACCAAGGCTGCCGGAGACATAACGAGTCTAATCAAACAACGTGAAGCTCTTTCATATTCATCGTCTGCTCCTCGGCCTTTTTTAGATAGTCCTTCTTCAAGAGACTGCCCAAAAAAGGAGTATAATCAAAGATCCAGTCTCGAATCTTGGCAAGGGGCCAAGGCAGCGAGTGGAACATATAGCCGCTAAAGCGAGCAAACTCCATGTTATGGTTCACATAATCAACACGCTGACTTTCAAAGATCTCGAAGCCAGCCTTGACAGCGGACATATTACGCAAGTCGACCCCTTCAAGAGATCTGGCCAAGAAGTAGCCATCTTCAATCGCCATACCGAGACCATACGCGGCATAGGGTGATACTGGGTGAATCGCGTCACCAATGCACATGACACGCCCAGTTGACCATGTCTTCATGGACGGTCGGTTGAAGATCTCCCATCGGTATACCTGCGAGTCGAAGTCGGAGGCCTCGAGGAGCCGCGGCAGAGGCTGTGACCAATCTTTGAGGATGTTGGTCAGGTATTCCTTGGGGTTTTCAGGTACGGGCTTGCCATCGTAAGACCATTCCACGACCCACCATTCAAACCCGGGCTTTCCTTCGTGGAGCATGGGGAAGAAACTAGCTTGGTACTGCCAGTCATGGGATATGACACCATAGTTTTCCGGAATACCAGGGATCTTGTCACACCAGGCGAGCCAGACACGGACACCTGCGTGGAAAAGCTTTGGATCGCCGAATGCTTGACGTGAAACACCGGAGCGTATACCATCTGCGCCAACCAAGAGGTCGGCAACAACTGTCTCTCCATTGCGGAACTTGACTTCCACACCCTCCTGGCCTGGGAGTTCGGAATAAGATTCGAACTCGTGATCATTGAATATCACTCCGCTTGGAAGAAGATCGAGCATTTTCTTGAAGAGTGACGAGCGCAAGACGCCATATTGCCAACCCTTGATACCCATGCGCTTTTCAACCTCTTTATTGAAGGGGAGCTCAACGCGTTCAAGACCTTGCTTGTTTTGAAAGGAAGTTGCAGTGAAAGACCCGACATTTTCCATAGGCATTCCGTAGGAGCGTAAAATTGCTAGAACAGGGATGTTGAGTAAGACTGCGCCTCCGATAGGCTTGCACTCTGACTGTCGCTCGAAAACACGGACATCGTAGCCTCGTTGAATGAATGCCAGAGCAGTTGAAACAGCAGCAGGGCCACCCCCAGCTATAGCAACTCTCTTGCCGGGCCGCCAATTTGGTTCAGACATCACACTGATTTTTTTGAAAATAGTGTCAAGCAGCAGGGTCTCGGTAGAAAATCAAGTAAATGAGAGAATTACCTAGGTAAGGAGGACATGACATGGGGAACTTGCAACTCTATTTCAACCTTGGAATTTATGGCAAGTTGCGACAACTGAGGGTTTCGACACTCCAGGACGTGGGGCCGAGCCGATGAAATTGTGGAACTTCAGTGGATTCAAGGCTGCGGAGGAAGAACCTCGGGGCTTCAGAACATCCGCTTAGTCAAACGACGATCCTGGTCAGATCGCAGGCTCGATGACTTTTAGATTGTTGGGTTGTGGCCATTAGTCGATATAAAGCTCGGTCGAATCCGTAGCTGGGTAGACAGAGAATTTTTTCCTCCGATATGGAAGATTCCCGAAGGATTTTATATGATTGAGGATACTCGTGGCAGGTAGATAGTATGGATCAAGTCAGATGAAGATGTAAGACCCTTAGTATAACCTTGGAATCACTGAGCATGCACTAGATCCATGTCTTATGCTCTATAAACTTCCCGATTCTCCAAGTCTACATAGTATAAGGAAATCATTCGGAGTTTCTTTGCAACATCGAGAATTGAGGCAGTTATTGGAATAATTTATACTCACGCTACATAATATAACAAATTCCCTAAAAAAACAGTAAGCTCGTAAGGTCGTAAGGCGGCATACACGGTTATATCACTTATTCAGAAGTGACCGAAGAAACGATGATAGTGGGTGGCATTGGAGAGGGCGACATAGTCGTCGGACTAATCGCAGTGTCAGAGCCGGAATCAGCTCGGCTTCGACTCGACGCTCTTCCACTGAACGGACGCAAATTCTGCGGCCAGTCTTGCCATGAAGTCTCGGGGGATGATGGGTGATATGGAGATGTGTGGAGCAGCCCGTCATTCGGAAGTGACCCTGAATGGTCACCGTGTTGGCGAGAGCGTGCGGGCGAAGGCGATGAGATGGGGTATGATTTTCTCCCTGGCGTTGGGCGACAAGCCATCTTGGAAGATTCTTCGCCATTGTCTAATGAGCCCGTGCTGCTAACGAAGCTCGCTGCTCTTGAATACTCGTTGTATTTGAGGATTTGAATTGGTAATTCGGAGTTTCTCAAGCGCTCCCCCGGAAGCTCAGGATAGTTGTCTTTCTGATCTTGCTTGAATCCACCCTTCTCATACTGAGAGTGAGTTCTGACAGCGATGTTCTCGGATGCCCAGTTCATGAATCGGGCAAATCTCCTTCTTCCGCCCACATCGCCTGTCAGAGTTCGAGCCGTAAACTGGCGAATGAGTGTTTCGTTTCCTGAAGTTGTAGGCTGCTCACTGGGCGTGTCATTGTCTGGCTCTTGGTCTTCGGTGCTGGTTTCTGACTGACGTCTGGAGCTGCTTGAGCTTTCTGGCCTAGCACACTCCTTACATTTCTCTTTTTTGTCGCTCTTCCGCTCGGCGGCCATCTCGGCGGCAAGAAGGAGATAAAGAGATCCCAGAACAGCCAGTCCAGAACCGACTATGGGTGCCCATTGGCCTAGATTTCATCTTGTTAGCCTTCGCCTTAAAGAGGAGATCCCGTCATCACTCACCGATGCTTGTTATGGGCTCTGTTTGATAGTAAACCTGGCGGCTCCAAAAATTCATCTCGCCTTTTATAAGGATCGCAAGCACTGCTGCTGCCATCACTGGTATCTCAATGAGGGACATTGCATCTTTGATTCTTTCCCCAATTCTTGTCATTTGAGTCACGGTCGCACCATTGGTACCCTTGATAAATTCATCGGGCTTCTGTTGTTTCCTTCTTCCGCTCGACAACTTTTCCCAATTATGATCCATGATCTTGATCCACATGGATACCAGGGACAGTATTGCCGGGATACAGCACGCTGCTGCAAGGAGTGTGGTGGTGTTGAAGGACAGTCTGTCCGGCGTGGGAACCACATAGATATTGTCGGTTGAGCCTTCCCGGAGGCTCGACGTTGGTCCATCATCGGGTGAGCAACGAAGGTCGCATTCGTCGCCATACGGAAACTGTCCTTTTCCGCCCGCCCAGTTGATGCATGCTGCCGTTGCGCTCCCTGGAACAGGAATGCCCTCAAGACGCATGAACTCAACGATCAGACTCAGAAGTCCAGCGAGAAGAAGGACCGTCCATATGAAGATAATATCTCTACCTGGATTGTTGAAGTAGGTCTGCGATAATCTCACGGTCGCCGGCGCCGTTAGAATTCCGATTGCACACAGCTGGAAGGCCCCGTAAATATCCATGTCAACGGCACCTATTTCTTGTCAGGACAGTTCTTCGTCTCGCGGGTTAAATAGAGTGGACGCTCTCAATGGAGGATATCTGAATAAACTCACCCTCAACATGGAGAACGGCGAGAGCAATGGCATGGAGGGCTGCGACGGCGGGGAACAGTAACACTGCAGCCAGACACGCGTTCCGAATCCATTCTACCTTGCGAGCTACCACACACGCCGCGATGAGAATGTAGTATCTAAGAACACTGTCAGCACACCGTCCGGTAACTCTTTGTCAGACTGCACGGAACCGTACAGAGCGCGTGTCCCAGGACCATACTGTCCCGAGACAGGCCACGCGCAGATAACCTCAAGGGCCTTTGCGGATGCAACCACGGTGGAATTTTGGGGCGATGCAAGGATCTCACGATGCACAAGGGTGTTTTCTAAGAGGGTTTCAAGGGGAGGAATCGCCGGCATTGGATGTCATCCACTCCCGGCGACGGTCACTTTAGGATAGAGGAGCAAACAAAGCATATATTAACACAGTGTTCTCTAACACAGGAAGTAAATCGATATCATATAAGTCTCGTCAAGGGTGTCAGAAGTAAAAGAGAAGGGCTTCCCCAGTCCGTCTTATTCAGGAGGCGGGCGATTGCATATCGCCCACAAAGCGAGGACACGCACCCGGGTTCTGGGGTATTTGGTCAGCACAGAGCCTCAAGCCGAGGGTACTTTCCCTCGGACTAGCTGGGATTGGGTGACTGTGAAGATTGACTTCTATCGAAGACAAGTTTCTTGGGGTAGGGATTGCCCTGATGACGGCTCGAGTGGGCGGAGTGACACCCCGGCAGAGTAATACGAGACGGGGCAACACTAGCCCCTATGGTGATTGGGTGCTATGTACTCTGCCCAAATCGCGCAGTGGCTGAGTCTGCTCTCAGGACTCAGTTGAGTCAGTGGAAGAAGCAGCATTTCGCGAAGAGAAGTTAGGGCAAAGGAACCATGGGTCGGAGTCAACATTAAATGGACGTCGGGCTGTGGGGGTTTGGCCGGTTTGCAACCCTTTCTCTCCCTTCCATACTCCAAGAGCATTGGCACGTCTGGGCTAATCAGACCTCTGTGCATTACCTCGTGCTCTGCATACCCGCCACCTCTGAGGCTTAGACCTGAATCTGAATTCTCCGGAAAAACTCTGATTTGCCCTTCGGGAGCTCTGGAACTCCTGCCCTGTTGCAACTTGAGTGTTTGAGTCGAATCTCTGCAGCTCCACTTTCGACGGTTCACAGCCTCGCTACTCTGCGTTAAGGCCTAGCGCCCGTGTCAGAACAGTCCCAGCACTTTTATGAAGACCGCCTTATCTTTGGAGCTCTCCGCATTCCTGCTCGAAATTTGACCCCGCCACTTCAGCGCGAAGCGGAACGCGAAAAGATTCGGCACGGAGCTCTCCATCGGCAGGCGACATACAAATCCCCGTCGACAGGTTCTCGAAATTGATCCTAGGAGGGAAATGCGTCGGTCATAGGCACAAATCTGGATTCCGGTACACTCGATGTCGCCCTTCATTCCTGTCTCTTGTTGTCATGATGGACTGCGGCTGAAAACAAAGACTGACTTACCATCGAACATCCACAGCCCTCACTCCAGTACCCAGCAACCCCGAGGCTGAGAACGACCTACAACGCTCGAGGCGAGCATACGAAGCAACGTCAAAATGGCAATGACCGAAGATCTCGACACATCGAAAATCGAAAGCTGGCGCTCAATCATCACCTTAATTATCTTTGTTATCACTAGTGGGTATCGTCAGCCCCAAAGGTGACTGCGGACTGACTTGCCCGTGCGAAATCGCAGATATAATCGTACTTTTCCCATTCCATGTCCCGTTCTTCCTGCCACGATGGGTTGTGAATGGATTTCTCGACTTGTCGAGCGCGATGCGCATAACACCACGGCGAAGCTCCCGCTCTCGACACAGGGACAAGCAACGTCTCTTTGTGAAGCTTCATTTTCCGTTGAACTTCCTTACAGCACCCCTGATAGCGGATCTTTTTCTTCTTGCCATCCTCGCTATTGGCCGAGAAGAAGTGCATGATGGAACGATCGGCGCAAACAACATCAAACCATATGATATCATGATCTTCTTCCTGACACTGGCCTACATTGCCATATCAGTGGACGCGTCCGGACTGATCAGGTATCTGGCCTTCAAGGTTTTGCAGAAGGGAGGTAAAGTCGGCCACCGACTCTTTTTTTACCTATACGCTTTCTTCTTTGGCCTCGGCACCTTCATTGGAAACGACCCGATCATTTTGTCTGGCACGGCGTTTCTTGCGTACATGACCCGCGCATCAAAGAATATCGTTCATCCCCGAGCCTGGATTCATAGTCAGTTCGCGATAGCTAACATTGCCTCTGCGATCCTGGTATCCTCCAACCCCACGAACCTTGTTCTCGCCGGTGCTTTTGAGATCAAGTTCATCGTCTATACCGCCAACATGATCGTCCCAGTGGTGGTGACGGCCATCGTGATTTTCCCATTTTTGCTGTATATCATCTTTGCTGATGAGTCCCTGATTCCTCTTTCGATCGAGATGCACAAGCTCGACCAAGCGGTAATGGAAAAGACACCTGTCAACCCCAACATCCCCAATGCCCGGGGGACGGCTGAGGAGGAAGAGCAGGAGCAGGAGGGGGCAGCCGGCAGTGAACAAGTCAAGTCTCTCTCTTTAGAGGAGATCATGAACCCGTTTTTGGACAAAAAGGGCGCAACTTTCGGAGCGCTCATTATGGCTGCCACACTCATTGCCGTTCTTGCTCTCAATGCATCAAGTCAGAATGATGAGGAGCATCCCGTTTTCTGGGTGACGCTTCCAGCTGCCGTGATCATGTTTTGCTGGGATGTTGGATTCGGTTGGATTCATCGCGAGGAGACCCGCGATATCGCCGCCAGGGGTCGAAAAGAGATTGAGGACGCGAGAGCAGAGAAGGAATCACGAAAGAGAGAGCTGGACTCGGCAAAGTCAAGCCCGGAGATGATGGGGCGCGATCAGTCTGAACAGTGTGATGATTCGGATATGCGCTATCGCGGACCGCAAATTGATGAGAGTGTCTCTCGCAAGGCGACTGATAGCAGTGTTGGCTCAACACTACCTCATTGTGAGATCGGGACGCCGTCTTCGGCTTCTGCGCTTGTCGATAAAGAGAAGTTCCCAGAGCTACAAACATCCGGACTCGCGATGGACAGCAAACAAATAGCCGTGATGTCTTCGCCGGAGGAATTGGATACAAAACAAATCACCGACACCGCAGACGAGAAACAACACGAGATCTCATTCGAAGAAAATGGGCCGCCGACATTACTGTCTTTATCCGCTGACCTCTACCGCTGGCTGCAGGAGACATTCCCTACGGTTACAGTTGTTGTATCGCACATGCCATTCCCACTGCTACCCTTCGCGTTTGCCATGTTCGTCCTCGTACAAGCACTCGTTACGAAAGGCTGGGTTCCCGTGTTCGCCTACGGATGGAACCACTGGGTGAACAAGACCGGGACAGTGGGTGCAATTGGTGGAATGGCATTCTTGTCCGTAATATTGTGCAACGTGAGTGAAACGAGATGCGCTATTGTCGCCAAATCCGCTAACATATCACAAACAAAGTTTGCCGGCACCAACATCGGCACTACGATTCTGCTTTCACGTGTCATCCAAGCGTGGAAACTAATTGCCGATGAATCTGGGGTTCCAATCAGCGATCGCACATGGTGGGCGACTATCTACAGCATGGCACTCGGCGTTAACTACGGTGCATTCAGTACTGCGTTCAGTGCATCCCTGGCTGGTATGCTATGGCGAGACATCCTGATGAGAAAACATATCCGTGTGGGGAGTCTGGAGTTCGCGCGTGTGAATCTTCCCATCATTGCTCTCTCTATGGTGGTTGGGTGTGTCGTGCTTATTGGCGAGGTGTATATTATGAGAACTGACAAGCCATACAAACCGGTCTGAGGTAAAGCTGGACTGTTGGGTGGAAGATTCCTTGAATGTTTATAGATGCGGATTACGTGTCGGTGTGATTGGCACTTGACGAGCAGACGAGATTACGAGGTACATGAATTCGTTTCGTATTAGTGGAAGATTTGTAACTATTTTCCTTCTTCCAAGGTTTTGACCCTGCATAAACGACCTCTGGGGCTGGAGTTGTCGAGACCATGGGCGTGAAACGCTCACCTGCCCAGGTGGGCATGATTGAAGCCGACGTTCTCAACAATATCATTACCTATTCCAATGTCGATGTGACAGTGATACCATCGAGGGGAAAGCATTTGCACAATGCGCAGGTGAATGGTATGTAATCCGAGTTCAATGCCCAGATGTGCAGAAAACCCGCTGCGGAGGTGCCTCTTCGAGGTCTATTGAAGACCTCGGATGATTGAATGGACTCAAAACTTACTACGTTCACCCGGCCGGAGATGTGATCTTTGTTAAATGTGACTTCGCCATGTGAATGTTCTCAATCAGTTGAGTACAGTGAACTCATCGCCTGCCGGGTGATAGTGGCGTGGGCGTGGAACTGAGCAACGCTACAAATGCCCTGCCTGACCCTCCCCTTCCGATGGCATCACTAACGAGATTTCCTAGGTACTGCAAGATGAACAATGTTCATCAGAGCTGCATTCTACCTAGTACACTCCCTATGCAGCCGATCTACACGGCAACAACCGATACGGCAGTGAATGATTTCCCTCTACTTGGCGCTGCCCTTTGTGGAATCGGGGCGTCTCTTCTCTGGACAAGTGAAGCTGCGATTGCAGTTGGACATCCGAAAGATTGGAGCACTGGCCGGCGGCGCGATAGCCCTTGCTCTCAACTTTGGCATCGCGCTAACAGGCAGGTCATGCCGTTGGGGCAACCTCCAATACTTGCAGACGCCGTGATACGTCCCCTCAGACGGTCGAGATACGATTGCCTAGACTTCCAAAGTTGTCGCAGTATTGTCAACTTTGTTAAAAGAGGCACTGCGAGTCCTAGTCTCTTTCGGTGTTTGTTGGGCCCGTTTGCCAAGGATACGTTTTCGCGACGATCCGTTGGGCTAAAGCAGGGCTCTCGGCGCCAGTCTGGGCCTTGCTCCTAGGACGCAGGAAAGATGTCCATCTGGTACTCCGTATTATCATCTGAATAGCTCCGTACTGAGTACGGTGATATTGTTTACTTCGCAAAGAAATGAAATAAGGTTCAGGGACACAGAAGGACTATGTGGCGGGCTATTAACGCTCTAATCAGACTATTGAAGTAGTTGGATCCAACGGGTCAAGACATTGTCGCACACTTTTGCACTCCCAGCTATGTAGAGATCAGGCAAAGTGAGGCGCAGCTCCAGGGCTGTCTCAAAGCATTGACCAAGACACCTCATTGACCTTGCGTCGCCGCAGCTCTTTTGCTGTTTTGGGCTTCCAAGGACTCAAAAGTGGAAAGGGGGATTTGAGTGACAATCGAAATGACAGCTCGGAAATTACAAAAATCTACGTAGCTGGTATGAAAATCGCAGGGAAGAAAATTTGTTCAATAAACGTTTGCAATACGCCATTCTTTTTTGAAGATTTTGTGGAACATGATCATCGCGTTCGTCATTTTCTGACGCATAGGCAATTCGAGATCTCATCAAGAGAGTCAACCGAATGGGTATCCATCACAAGGTAGTATTGCACCGAAGAAAATTCTATCAACATGGAGGGTAAATCGTAAATTCCCACTAGGGGAAAAAGTGGCGGAAAGCGTCAAGAGAGTGAGACGAAATGTAAGAAAAAGGCCCGGTCTCAGACCGAAACCGGGAACGAAAGATAAATGGTAAAAAAAAATCGTGTCCAAAGGGGAAGAGTCATCAAGACCATATCCCAAGTGTGCAATCTACCAGAGATGTAAACCAAAATGCGAGATGCTTAGTGAATGTACCACTTGGCACCGGAGACACGACCAGCGTCCATGGAAGCAAGCTGGCCGAAGAGGTGACGAGACAGATCAATGGAGCTGTCATCGCAGCCCATGCACTTGTCAACGACGGTACCGGTGGCGGTCTGGCCGTTGTAGGTGATTGTCACGGTCTTGCCGCAGTCACCGTCCTTCATGATGCCGACGGGGAGGGCGAGGACGTTCTCGGACGCGCCGTCGTTGGTGGTACCGCAAGAGCTGGGGTTGGTGGAAGTGGTGGCAGTGTCGTAGAAGGTAATCATGCCATCACATGGGGAGCCCTCGGAGCAAGCACCAGTGTATCCAGTGCTGGCGGTGCTCTGGATGTTGGCAGAGCGGGTGTTGGCAGCAGCAGCGCTGGAGGTGGAGGTGGTTTGGGCGGGAGCCGGGGCGGAGGACTCCGCAGTGGGAGCTGGGACAGCGATGGAAGCTTCGACCTCAGCGGTGGGGGCCGGAGCGGCCTCGGTGGTGCTGGTGCTGGTTGTTGGCGCGGCCTTCTTCTTCTCGGCCGGGGTCTCAACGGGGGTCTCAACGGGAGTCTCAATGGGAGTCTCAGTGGGGGTTTCGGCGGGAGTCTCGGTGGAGGTCACAACAGCGGCAGCAGCGGTAGGGACTGCGGTGGTGGCCACAGGAACGACAGTGGCGGTGGGAGCCTGGTTAGGGTATACAGTGGTGGTGACATCGACAGTGGTCCAGACAACGTCGGTAACGGTCTCCCACACGACGGCGCGCTTGGCGACGGGAGCGGCATAGCCGGTCATGGCGAAGAAAGCGCCAGCGAGGGCGAGAGTCTTGGTGATAGGGGCCATTGCGATTGAATCGGAATAGTCAAGGTATCAAAATGAATGTGTGTGTGATAGTGGGTTTATCAAATGATGGGTCACTGCACAGCAGGAATTGGCACTCAAAAAGGAGCGAGAGCGCAAGGAAGGAATGTACCGTTGGGGCTAATGAAAAGAGAAGTCAAAGGAGGGAGAGTCGAGATATTAAATACCAGGGCCGAGTCAATACGCCTGAAGAAAAAATTACTGGTTGGACCCACTCGATGGAACTGAACCATGGCTGAGGATCAGCCACCATCCAAGATCAGACAAGGGCTACTCCTACTCCATTCGATTCTAGAGTACTCGTACGGAGTACAGAGTACAGAGGCTTCGTTTCTCTGACACCGTACGAGTTAGAATCTCACAGGTACCCGCACCGGACGCCCTCGGGATTGCGTAGCTTACGCCCAATGTGCACATAAGAAACAGGGGGCTTGTGCGCTAGTAGTAATCTCCTTGGCTCGATCTGAGCCTATTAACGGTACCTGACCGACCAGCCAATCATCACTCACACCTTCGGCTGAGAATTTCTGGGGGATATCGTTTCCGCCTTTCCATGTCTAAGTTCTAACGGATGACTATCTCATCTCCGGTTTACGAGGTCGTTGGTTTGCAAATGGCGTGTTGACGGGTCTGTACGGGAAGACGGTCGCAAGATACAGGTCATATCCTGTTGGGCTGCAGGCTGCCATTTCAGCGCTTGACTGTCAGACATACCTGTCACGATCACTGATTGGACAGATCGTCAGACAAAGATATTTTCTCCGTACGGAACACCCACCAGGATTCAGCTCAGTTGATTCCTGTTTCGTTGTGCTAGTATTTAAATATGGGTGTTCTTGTGGCCCCACCGAGGTCTGGACTCTTTGTCTGACCGTTTTTTTAGTGGAAAGTAGTGCCGATCTTAGAGTGATTTCAACGCAAAATTACATTCTAGAATTGTAGAATCGGGCGACTCCATGTTACCGGAGTAGAGAATCTGTCAAGGTGTTTGGGGTCCCTGTACTCCGTGCTCCGTATTCCATACCCGTACCACGGCAAACAACCCAGTCCAGGGTTGCACCCAATCCTAACCCTAACGCAGGGCACCCGTGCTGCATCTCCGTTCCTGCCAACTCATCAATGCGCCGTTCGATGTTTACTTCGTCATAGGGAACAATGGTCGGATTCCACACCCAACTACCCCTCTTGATTTTGGCATCAGACCCTGCGATACATGGTACATCGATGGACAGAATTGGGATAGCACCCAATGGTTCCGAAGGTCGTTCCGCATTGTCCAGTCTGCTCTGCTCCACCCCGCCGATCAGGTCATGGACCGTGGGACGCATCTCCAGACTTTGACCTACAGTTTTTGCTTCGTGAAAAGGAACTATTCTTGTCTTGGAATACGAAGCCTGCCTTAGTGCTCATGCATAGAGAATTCAACAATAGTATCATATCACACATTGCTATCGGTATGTTCGTTGGGATGTGTCAGTCTGGGATCTAGATCGAACCCCGCTCATTTTGAAGGTGAGGCCCCGCGACTCTACAGTACTCCGTACACCTGCAGTACTAGGCTCCATAGCATGAAATAATCAATTTACGGGAATTAGGAAATAACATATTCAATGGATGAGAGTTTCTCTCGGGAGAATAAAAAATCTCAAAGGCCGTAGACTTTGCGTGGCAAAAAAAGAAAGAAAAATCTGAAGCATGTGGCTTACTACCAACCCCAGCACAGATGTCGGATGACGGCGGAGTTCAAGGACGTGTCTTTCATTGATCAATCTTCGATCGGGACATGGGTGATTGGCCCCCTTTTCTTTGAATTTTCGGTTCTTTTGTCAGATCGCCGGATTTGGCAGTGCTGCCGCTATGGAATGAGTCCTCTGAGCTTCCAGTGAAAAAATTGGGGACAATTTCATGGCTGTGCGAGAGCTTCTTGGCCTTACTCGTTCTCTCTTTGCATCACTATGGTCAGAAAACCAATACTGCTCCTCGGCCCCGAGTCATGCTACCTAGCGATGAGGGCTTTGTTCTGTTTTTCTTTTTTCGAACAAAACCTTGGAGCCCCCCAAATATAGCTCTGTAGATCGTATTATGGCATCTGTATGGGTATTCAGGCACTTCTTCATTCATTCAGCGCTCCATTTCCAAGGCTCCAGGGTCTAGCATGGCTGGTTTCGAGTCTGAACATAACTTCATGTTGCGTTAAATGACAGTAGCGGATGCCTTTTCCCCCTCGCATTCTGGGTTCATATATCGGCCCCCCTAATTCGAAATCTTAGTTTGATCTCTTCCAAGTAATACCTAGGTATTTTTGCTGTACTGCGTAGGCAAGTTGCGTTGATAACGAAGGGTAGAAGCTATATAATGCCCCATAAACCTTCATAGACATTTCCTGAATTCAGAGACTGGTTTCACAGCTTGTATATGCTTCTCTTGTAAGTAGATGGCCAGATCCCAGACTTTCCCGGTGCAATTATTCCATTCGGGTCGAGTGTATTCTTTATCGACTCATTGAATCGCATCAGAATATTGTTATTCCAGTTGTAAGTCTCTGCAATCTGATCCATCAGTGCCAGGTGGGTGCGATACTCGCCCCAGCCGTGTGCAGCACAGTCCGCAATGAGGGTTTTGACCAGAGCATGCACTCTCTGCTTCTCTTCAGGGCTTTTGCGGTTGAAGACGAGACATACAATGTGATCTGTAGACATCATTTAGCTCAGGACTCTACCGGGACATGTAGAAACATACGCATTTCTCGCATCCCCACAGTGAAGGTCCCAATGAAATCGAACCCTGCCTCCCGGATCCTGGTCTTGGTGACCGAGTATTGTAGCATTGCATCATTCCCAGAGATTTTGCTGATCGGGGAAAAGAAAATATGTGCCCCATTGGGGACCCAGTCAATCCATTTCAGCTCATCGTAGGTGGGGATTCCTTGCAGAGTTTTGTGTCTAGTATGTAACACGCAGGGCTCTGGAATATCCTCTGGGAAATAAAATCTTGCACCGTCAATGGCCAAAAAGGCATTCTTGATAATCCCCCAGAGACTGCTGCGAACGTTTTCCGGTCCCTAAGCGATTGTCAGTGTATGTAAGGGAAGCCAGGTATGTAGGCTAGTTTCGCCCGTTTCACCTGGGCACCTGCAATGAATTTGCTCACGTAAAGTGCCCCGTAGAAATTCCAACGCCCTAGATTCAGCTTTTTGGCAATTTCATCAAGCTCTCTGTCATCGAGTGGTCCTTGCGTGCTCGCAAAGTCTGCTTTCGAGCCCATCACCCCTGCATCTAGTAGGATATGGCGAATTGTGGGCACATTTTGTAGAATCATTTGCTACGTTGGAATCGCGTTAGAACAGCCTTCGAATTTCACAAAAACACTTACAAGCCGCAGTGGTCGAATAATATCGACAGCCTTGTGAAGATCTTCATCCTTGGGGAAGGTGATAAGATATGACTGGTATCCCCCTGGATTTGGCATAAGCTATCACCCATAGAACCGGGTTAGTATAAGGACAACTCGGATGGTTGGGGGGATTACCCAGATGCCCATTTTGGTCACAATTCCCAAATTGCTTTGAGAGAATAGGCCATCATTATATGGTCCGAAGCCATACGGAAAGAGCTGCCAGCATTTGTTTCCAGCCTCTTCGTCCGGTGAAGTGGTAGATGAACCTTTTGTAGGTTGAGGCATCGCCCCCATGCCGGTGCGCATTAGCTCTCCAGATGGAAGCACAACTTCCATTCCACAGTGCATCATCCAGTGATCTATAATCTGTTATTGTTGTTTACACCAGTTGATGCGGGCCCACCCACCTCCGTATGGGGTGTATCCCACTCCCCGTTCGACGGTGTTGCCAAGCACCGATCCACCCCCCAAGTCGGGGACCTGGTCATGAATCAGCAGAGTACAATGCATGTCTTTTGGAGACTCACATCGATCCAGAGTCTGTCGCGCAGATTGTGTTCCACCAGATATTCATGCAGGTCAGAAAACGTCACTCCCGGCTCCACGACAGCGTAGGCACCCTCAACATTGACATCCAAAATGCGACGCATATGTTTACCAAGATCAATCACAACACTCCCACGCAGACGAGGAGCAGCTCCTCCATATCCTGAATTGCGCCCAATCGAAGTAGGCCAAAGTGGGATTTTGTACTTGTTGGCGGTCACCACCAAGGCTTGCACGTCCGGCACTGAGCGTGGGCAAACGACCGCAGACGCAAGGAAATAATCCTTGTCAAGAATGTGATGAGGGTCGTGGGTCCTTGGTTGGTTTAAATAGGATCCATCGTCCAGTTCATCCGCGCTCGTCACAATGCGAATATTCTCAATTTCCACAAGTGCGGTTACTTCGTTCACAAATTCAAAGAAGGTCTTCGGCTCGATATTTGGTGGAAGCGCAAAGGGTACAGTCATGATGTGGAATTGAGCAGTCTTCTCTGAACTTGATAGGAGATCAAAAAGAATGTCACAAGTGGTCGGGCCATGTTGGACGTTGACTTGGCTATTTGTCCAAGATTATCCCCGCTCCTCTTCAAAGAGGGGGTGGGTTTTTCCGCTTGCGTGATATTGATTAGCGGGGGTTGCAACTTGTGTGTATCAACAGGGACTTTTGAAGATTAGTATGTTGTGTTAGCAAGGATTGCGGATGGGGAGAAGGCGGCCTTCTCAGTGTGCTATCACTTCACATTTACATAGAGTACAAAAATTCAATGACTGTTCCAAGGTTGCTTTTGATTGCTCAACTCCCTGGATAATTCCAAGGTTCGCATAGATGCTAACTGTCTAGTGGCTATTTCCCCGAGCTTCCCCTCCCTCGCCACTCGGCTACATGTTTTAGTGCGATGCTAAGATCAACCAGATTCGGGTGGTACGAGCTCGGGGACACGTTGATACCTAGTATACATGCAGATAACAGGGCGCGGTTCTCGCTATACTAGGACACTAGGTAAATCCTGACTCAAACCCGTCTCATAGCTACCATTCGGCGTATCAGACTGAAGGGAGCCCATATCTGCGGTACAGTCTCCATGGATTCCGCACTTTGAATATCTGCAGGGGACCCAGTCGTTTCTTTTTCACCAGTGCTTGTCAAGGGGGTGACAGGTACAATGGCATCCTGGCGCTGAGCACGCTCGACCTCGCCAACTTTCCACCCACGCACCAGCCAGAGGCACAAGGCAGCACCAATATACATGAATCCGGTAAATATTTGGACCCGAAGATACGAAGTACCACCAGAGGTGCTGCTGCGCAGCTGAAGTGCAATGGCTTCAGAGACAGTACACGGGGAGACCAGCATGAGCCAAGTGATGCTCAAGCCGGACGGAAGGTCTCTGATGCCGATGATCTCTACCAGCACTGGGGATACAGTAGCCCAATATGTGCCAGAGACAGTGCCCACCAAGATGGCAAAGAAGCATACAACACCCATGTTATCGGCAGAGGTCCAAATAACAAGGCAGAACAGGCCGCAGAGGAAGGTAAGCAGAGTGGCGATATTAATGCGACCCAACCGATCACTGAACATGCCTACACACGGACGACCAAGGCCCTGTCCGAGGTTCAGCAAGGCAGAAACGATACTGCCCTGGTGGGAAGAAAGGCCCACAGACAGGGCGAAGTTCGCAACACTGAACAATAGGGCCACATAGCCCAGCATGCTAAACACGCCCCATCCCAAAAAGAGCAAGAACTCCGGGCGACGCAGCAGGGGCAGATGAAAGGCCGTGAACCTGCTGCCAACAGCCTTGTTGCGGTCTCGGAGGAGATTACAACAGACCAAGTTCACGACGCAGGAAATGATGCCCAAGATGCGGAAAGCCCAGCCCAGTCCGTAGCGTGGGATGATGGCACCAACTGCCAGAGAGTAGATCAGACCTCCGAGACCCGAGCCTGCGGCCGTGATGCCCATTGCGACACTGCGACGCTTGTTGAACCACTGCGGGGCGATTCCCACGCTGCCCACGAAGAGGAAACCCATTCCCCAGCCGAAACAGACACCTTGACTGAGGAAAATGTGCCATTTGAGAGTGGCGAAGGACGATCCAATCAGAGAGAGGGTCTCGAAGAAAACGCCTAGATTGAGCACGAATCGCGTGCCCCATTTATGAATGAAATGCGTGGCTAGAGGTGCTACCAGCAGGGCACACGAGATACTCAATCCACCTGTAAAGGCGTAGGAGAGCGCCGACGTATTGGGAAAGACATTGTGAGAGAGATAGTGACTCAAGAAGACGCCGTAGCTCTGGGGGTGGTCAGTGAAGGAAATGGCAAGAAAGATACCCCGATATAGATATTTTCAAAAGAAGTATATTTTCACTTACACTATTAATGCCCCAGGTATGCGCATTGATCCAAAAGACACAGGCCACGCAGACCCAGCCGTACCCGCCATCTGGGGGCACGTCGCGCTCATATTTTTCATCCTCGGGTGCTACCGAGTGGGGGCGCAATTTCTGTTCTTGTCGTGCACTCTCCCGATCCAGATCGTCCTGATGAGACCGGATTATATCGATTGGCGCATTGTCCGCCATAATCAGTAGAGATACCCGACGTTCTTATACGCGCCCTGTGCAATGCCGGAACCAGATACCGTTTCCGACATGAACGGGAAGAGATGCGAAACACGAAAATTTGGATATATGTCAAAGCGAGAGGATGAGGAACTAGGAAATATCAAGCCTATGCGAAACAAAGGCCGAGTCCAAAAGGGATTGGTCATACATTTGGAGATATCGGACTATAGGCCGACTTCGTTCGTATAGAGCAAAGATGGCCGCCTCGTGGTGAGGTTGCAGTGATTCGGCGACATTGGGCCAATCAGAGCATTGGAGCATCTACGGGGTTTAGGGAGCAACGGAGTAAACGGAGAAGCCCATGCTTCCCGGCGCTGCGCTGTCTGGCAGGGGTGAAAGGCCCTGCACAGTGGGGTCTTGTGCCGAGCAGCCGATGCGGAGATGTCGAGCTTATTTGGAGAAGTGTCAGCCGAGGGAAGTACTAGTACTGTATACGATGTAAGGTATCGGATTCAACAGTCCTGATCAAGAGACTGTCGACTGTCTACTGTCTACTGTCGACGTCCAGACTGTCGCTATAGATGCACGTGGCATTAGCCCTAGCTGCCCAACTGGGGCTGCTGAGTCATCCGTTACCTGGGCCGACGGTGTTTTGTTTGGAGACGCTAGCCAGCTCAGACCGTCAATCATAGATCGCAGCTAGACTATTCTCATCTTAGTTCTTTTGGATCTTCTCTTCAATTCTATGACAGGCAATGGATCATGCATAAACAAACTCGCAAAGTCTCGCCGCCAGGCCCCTCCTTCATGTCCAATGATCAAGTTGGTGAGTCAAGCGTACTGCGGGGAAAGGCCGAGCTAACATATCTTGGAAAAGCAACGTACTTGAAGGACTTGAGGGTCAATCGTCCAGCTCGTCCGACCGGGTCCCGTCCATATCCTGGCCGGGCGCCGGCGACGACAACGGCGGTGCCCGACACGCTGCCCTCAAGGGCGTCCTCGGCCCTGTCGATGCAGCGGCCAGTCGAAGATGAAATGGAAGATCAGCCCCGCGCGGGGAGTGCCATGTCTCATCGCCGAGCTACGTCTCAGATGTCAGCAAATGCCATGGGCCGTCCGCTAGCCCAGGAGCCACGAACACACTCGATTCGAAAGAATGTCTTCCCCGCGCAGGTGCAATCCCGTACGATTCCAATCCCACCATCTCCATCACCGTCATATCAGGAAGATGGTCAACGCCGACATGAGAAGGAAGAAGCCCGATCCCTGCGAGAGGCCTTACAGAATATGGATGTGCAGGATGACGTGGGGTTGCACAAGGCCGCCCAGGATGAGGCTACAGAGCTGGTGTGGATGCACCAAAACCCAGGCAAACAGTTCAAAAACCCATACGCGCCATATAAGAACCCCGATGCCAACAGGCGCAGTGAGAGCCCCGTCATGAGTGATTCCCCGGGGCATAATTCCCCTCATAGATTCAGCCAGTCAGTGGGGTCAATTGGATCGTCGGATAGTCACCCAAGCCCCGAGTCTCTGCGCAAACGATCCTCCTTGGCTGGATCAACGAAGAAGAATCTCAAAGTGAACTTTAAGCTACCTGACGAGGAACCCATTGAGCCCATCGCGCCAAGGCCACGAACCGTCAGCAATGATTCCTCCAAAGGGGTGTTCAGAAACCCCAATGATCATATTTACGAGGAGCCTGCGCGCACTAAAAAAGAGGATGCACCGGATTTCTCAAAGTCGGATTCCTCCGCTTTAAGAAATAAACCACGCAACGCTCTCGGTCGTAATCCCAAGCCACTTCCGTGGCTGCGGGATAGAGGCACCAACGGCACCGTTATGGACAAAATTTCGAGGTTCGAAATCCACAAGAACCCTCCCACTCAGTCACGCAACGCCGGATACACTCGCAATGAGAGCTCACCTACCCCTCCTCCGGAGGAATCCAGGCAAGACCCATTGTCGACAAGGGAGGGAAGAGAAATCCGCAGTGATGATATCCGGGCCGCCACGAGCAAGAGAAGGGGAGACCGCAGCGAAAAGCTCCCAATGCCTTCAGCCGTCAGCGATCGAGTTGGGCGTCCAATCGTGAGCTTCGATCAGACCTGGAAGCCGGCCGATCAGCCCAAGCCCGACCGTCCAACCATGCCCATCATCGAAATTGCGGCACCGTCAATTGAAGTCTCAGCCCCCTCCATCGAAGTGTCTGAGCCGCCACCCATCCCGGTCATCAATGTTCCCGACATCAAAGTGCCAACTATATCTGAGATTGAACCGCCATCGGATCAATCGAAGCCAACAAGGCCGGGTCCACAGCCCTCGAGAACTAGCCCGACCAAGCAAGGGTTCCCGAGACAGCCAGCATCCGAATCTCAAAACCGCTGGTATACGCCGTATTCCAGGTCCGGTGCACCAACCGCAAGCTGCGAGCTTTGCTCCCTTCCAATTTCGGGCAAGATTGTCACGGCTGGTGGATGTCGCTTCCACCCAGAGTGCTTCACTTGCTTCCACTGCCACACGGCACTTGAATGTGTCGCCTTCTACCAAGAGCCACAGTCTAACAGGGACGAGAGATTGGCTACCGAGCCCAATGACCACGAGGCTTGCGTGCCACGCTTTTACTGTCATTTGGATTTCCACGAAATGTTCAGCCCTCGCTGCAAGAGCTGCAAGACCCCCATTGAGGGAGAAGTGGTTGTAGCATGCGGTGCTGAATGGCATGTCGGCCACTTCTTCTGTGCCGAGTGCGGTGATGTATGTTTCCCTGTTCCTACGATTCGCCCTACCTCAACTGACCTTTTCTGTAGCCATTCGATTCTCAAACGCCTTTTGTCGAAAAGGACGGTTTCGCATGGTGTCTCAATTGTCACTCGCGACGGACCGCACCCCGCTGCCTGGGCTGCAAGAAACATGTCCTCGATGAGGTTGTCATCACGGCCATCGGCGGACAGTGGCACGAGCAGTGTTTTAACTGCCACGAATGTGGCGACGGGTTTGGACCTGAGGGTCGGTTCTTCGTTCGCGAGGGAGAGCCCAAGCGAACAGCCAAGGGCCGCATTATCGGTGGTCCTGTCCAGCTCGCTATCTGTGAGCGATGTGAAGGAATTCGTCTCAAGGCACCGGGGATGTGCTAAGATATGGTTTGCATATCTCTGGGGAGCCACCATGGTTTTACGAGATCACTGCTCTTTACGATTAGATTCACGTCTGATGTCGGTGTTCGTTGCATTTTTTTTCTGCATGTGTTTAACCCCTGTTCATTTCTCGGGTCATTTCCTGGTGTTTTCTTCATTATTTTGGGATCTTAGCAAGCGAAGACTGTCAGCTCAAGACCGAAATTTCGGCCAATGCATTTTAAGAAAGTTCGAGATAAAACGCCTCCCAACACCTTCTCTTTTGTTTATATAGATCTATATCCAATGCTCAGGTAGACCACTCTGGGTCCGCCTTGCGTCTGAAAACAGCAACAAACTTCTTGCCGTTGTTGCGCGTCACCTTCTTCGACTCCTCCGTCTCGTACTTCATCACCCGCACACAAGGATCGGCCTCAAGTTCCTCATCGGACAACCGCTCGAAGAGATCCTTGCTGCTGTCGGGAATGGTGCCATCCTCCCGCTGCTCCTCGGGCTGATGTAGGAAATGCCGCAGAACCCAATGATGGTACTCTTCCACATCGGTAATGGTGTACAGCAAGCCACCGGGACGCAGAACATAGGCATATTCCGTGTTCAGAGACTCGGAGACAATGCGCGCCTTGTGTTTGCGGGCTTTGAAGTGCGGGTCCGGGAAACAGATAAAGATCTTGGAGAGTTGGTGGTGCGCAAAGAAATTCGGAAGGAATTTCATGGTGTTGCTGCGGATGGCAGTGATGTTTTCGAAGTTTCCAGGGTAGATCTTGGTGGTGCCGACGTCGTCGTCGTTGACGGGGGCTTCTTCGCCTTCCGGCTGCGGTTCGGTAGATGTTTCGGCTCGGTTCTTCAGACGCTGTTGTTGGCTGCGGAGTGCGTGGATGCGCGAGCTGAGGTATTCCAAAACTGAGGTGCGGATTTCCATGCCTGGATTTGTACATTAGCACGGTTCTGGTGCGGATATGTAGATTCGCCAAATGGGCTTGATTTCACTCACCGACCATCAAAGTATCTGGCAGCAATGGCGCAAGACCAACCATCAATCCACCGAAGCCGCAGCCGATATCCACGACCTCGACATCCTTGGTCAGCTTGCGCGCGCCGCTGAGATTTGTCTTGGTGGGATCCGGGTCCACGAAGGCAGGGTAGTGGGAGGACCAGTCCATGTGCGCGGGGCTTATAGGGCTGTAGCTACGATTAGCTTCAATTCAACTTTAGGATTGCCCAGTTGGATCTCACGTACTATTCCAGTCGGTGGTCGGAGAAGGGATTCGCATGCGCACGTTGGCGGAAGAATTTCTTCTGCGGCATCTTAATCACGGAGCCATCGTCGGTGGACTCCTGTTGCGCCTGGAGTTCGCGACGATATTCCTCGCGCTTGAGGCGCTTGGCCGGGGGGTTCTGTGGCGTCGTCATTGTGGGAAACGAACAAGAGGAAGTGCGGACAAAATTGAAAATCGGGCTCCCCGCTCTCCAGATGTCCGGCTCCACTACTCCAACCTTCAGCTGCGAGCTGCTTTTCTTTGCTGCGTTTTGGTCATTTTGCTCTTGCTGCTTTTTTGTTCTGATATTCTGCACCATGACAGCACCGTTCTCATTCCCGCCAACCTATAACTTTCCACCCTTCTTCACTCCGCAACCCAATACAAGCACCCGTCACGCCCAGCTCGAGAAATGGTCCTCCCTGATCCAATCCTGGTGTCGACACCACCGCCAGTACCGGCTCTCGTTGATCGAGGCAGTCGAATCACCACTCTTTCACAACACAGCTTTGCGCAAGCGTCTTGATCTGCGCGAAGCACGCGCAGTAGTAGACTGGATGACCAAGAGCGAGGAAGAGGGCGGTGGTGGGCGGCGGGCGGAGTGGATCAATGAGACCGGGTCTTCTGGGCAGGGAGGCAAATCCATTGCGTGGATTTGGTGGAAGAGACCTGAGGAGTGGGCGGATGTGCTGGTGGAGTGGGTGGAGGGGACTGGGCAGCGGGGTTCGGTGTTGACGGTCTATGAGCTGATTCAGGGAGATGTGACTATGTCTCAAGGTATGTTCGGCTTGATGGTTAGCGAGTATAGCTACTGACATGGGATGTAGAGTTCCATGGTATGGATACTGATGTGATGCTCCGATCTCTGAACGTGCTGGTCAAGAGAGGCAAGGCGCAGATATTCGGTGCAGAAGGCCAAGAGGGTGTGAAGTTCTTTTGAATATGTGTTGGGATTTCTCTATCGGGGTAAAATCATGGCTATTCGTGACGAAAAAATGCGCTTCTCAAAAGGACCAAAACTCATCGATCCAATACTACATACACAGAAGCCGGCAGTGGGATTGGAGTGAACAAACATCTACTCCTCCATATCCGCAATCATATCCTCGGTCAACTCGTACTCGTCAGCGGCACGGGTCGATTGCGACATGGCCATGTCGAGAAGCCAGTCAACACGAACAATCCGTGGGGTCTTCTTGATATCCAGAACCGACTGGCGGAATCGAGGCCAAGCTCGGCTGTGCTTCGTCGAAGCACTACTCAGAAGGAACAACTCTCGTCGCGCGGGATGGTCATCCTCTGGTTCACTTTCTTCGTCATCGCTCTCCTCCCGTCGGGAATTATTCGCCAGCGTAAGGCGACCGCGGAAGAGTAGACACTCGCCACCATTTGCCTCAACGATGGATTTGAATGCGTCGAATCCACCTCGAATGTCTTCAACGCAATAAATGCGATACCCCTGCAACATCTTGTTCTTGTTCTTCTTTGCGTTTGCGGTGACAGAATCAAGCTTGAACTTGTATCTCTCCTCGGCTTCCTTGTCTTCCAGAGGGAAGTCCGCGGGATTGAGTAACTCGTCGGCCTTGAGACAGGCGGTAATGAAATCCGTGCTCACGATGGTGGACCCGTATGCTAGAGCATTGACGAATTTGGTGGTTCGCAGGATGGAAGGTGCAGCAACATGAGTACTTCGTTTGGCATCCTGGACCACCATAATGCCGAGGTCTCGAAGGGCTCGCTGAAGGGGTCAGTCGCTGATAAAATATTATAATCTCCCGTGTGACATACCTTGTCTGCATCCTCCTTCTTCTCGTTGCCTTTGCCTACCCACTTTTGATAGCCAGTAATCAGGAGATGCATGGCGATAGGAGGGCGAGATTTTTTCTGTCGCTTTGTCTCCACGACTTGTTCACCATCGCTTTCGTTCTCAGGCTCGGCCTCGGGCTCGGGAGAGACTCTTTTCTTTGCTTGAACACGGTCTTCGTCTGATTTGCGTCTGCCGCCGTAGATGACACCACCAACGCGCTTTCGTTCCTTTTCATACAAAGCCAGATCAGGGGCGTATTCATGTAGCCGTGCGGTTGCGGCGTCCTTTGACTTGCGACTGCTGGTCGAAGAAGGAGTCTCATTTTCTTTGCCCTCAGACATGATTCGAGACCGCGCGGGAGTTTGAGCTGGTCGACTGGTCTTGCCGTTACCCTGTGGAGTACCATGTGAAGCCCTTGGGGCGTCTTCCTCGATCTTTCGTTTCTTCTCTGGGGGCTGGACGGCAACGACAACCTGGTTTTTGCCTTGCGCTTGACGAGTGGGACTTCGAGCAGCATCGGATGCAAAAAAGACTTGTTCCAGAACGGTTCGGTCGAGACGCGTCTGGCCTGCGACTTCCCCGAGATTCGTTCGCAGCGGGAAGTGGCTGTAGCGAGGATCAGAGGCGGGTTGGAGTTTCCACTTGGCGTAGCTGTCTTCCAGCCACAGATGGTTCACGACTTCCAACCCCCATTCCTTCGCGGCGGTGCATTTTTCGCTGTTTCCATGGGCTGTGATTAAATGTGTGTTCTCTTGTTTCAATGTCTTTGTACATTCTGCACCCGATGCCGCGATCAGGTTCTCCAAGTAAAGTCTCGCTTCACCAACATAGTTCGACAAACTGATCTTCAGGCCCTCGAATCCAGGGATGCCAGTCCGAGCGACTGGGTAGTGTAGTAGACGCCGGAGGGGTGAAGTGTATGTGTTAAATGTCATGAGTCGGTACAGCCATGCGAGATTTCCGACATCGATGTTGAGTCGGGACGCTGTCCGGTATGCAAAGCCCTCTCGGTACCGGCAGATCAACATATCCGCGCTATCGAAATTTGATGTCATTTTGCCGCCGCCTTGCTCCAAAACTGATTGGATTGACTCCTGTAGGTGCGAGCCAATGCCAAGATCAGGAGATAACATAATAGACTTTCCCTGAAATACACTTCGTCGATCCGAACTATGCGGGGTCGGCAGGTTGGCCGGATCTGTCGTGGATGCGCCAACCAGATCCTTATTCTGGCGTAGTCGGATTGGCGTATCAGGTCCTTCCCGCAGGATCTCGGGATCTGGGAGCATGTATGGGCGCTCGTCGATGCGCCGACCCAGTTTCAGGCAATCATCAAACCTGAGGAATTAGCAACTGGCTTGTGGTCCGACCTCCGAGACATACCAATGCGGTAGCACAATCTTCACGTTCAGGTTCTTTGTCTGGACCACCCGTGCTTTGTCTGAATCAGCGGTGAGGTCGACCAAGTGGGTCACCATCTGAGAGACTCGCGACGAGTATAGCCCGCCTTTCGCGATCACACCACCGATGATGGCATCCTTGTCTCCCCCCGGGATATCACCACAGGTGACCACGATGTCGTTCATAAACAGCCGGGGGTCTGGGCTATATTGGCGGGGGTTCACTAGTTTCCTCTTGGACAGCGAGGCGTTGACCCATTGTGGCTTCACAACGGGGATCAAGGCATCGCACGTGGTATCGTAGGCTTCGAAGTCGATGGTGGCAGAGATCAAGTGACTGAACTTGCCCACGTCAGGTACCTCGGCCCCGGGCTGCACTATCAGTGGCTCGCCACCATTTTGCTCGAGTGTTGTCGCGAGCTAAATGATTGGTTAGTCTGCAAAAGGGTGCATGCTGGTGAAAACACACCTGCTCGGCGGCTTCTCTTGGGAGGTCAGTGGAGCAAATGATGCAAAGACAACACTGATCAAATAGCCTGGACTCCTCGGTGGCCATGGTTGCGGGATATAATTGGGGGAGATCGGCCACAGGTGGTGAGGCAATTTGACGCGCCGCTGGCGCGTGGCAGAACGCCGAGTCACGTGGAGCGTCTAGAATTTGGCTTTACATAATCATTAGGTAACAGAATTCCGGGGTGGACGAGGCCTGAGGCAGACAACGGGCCGTTACTTGGTTCTCGTCGTGAAAGGGAGACTCTCAGGGCCATCGAGTACAGTTTACAGTGCAAGCTGAATGTCATTTCAGTATGTAGTGAGGGGAGACTTCACGCAATGCCCCTTGCTGTCAAATGCCTCGTTCCTGAAAATTCGTCGACTGGGATGATTCGTGATCGACGTCCCCCAACTTAATGCGGGGATCTCCACACCGGGCCGGTACAATGTTCTATGTATTCAGTACGGAGTACAGTACTAAATAGAACCGAGCCCAACTTCTTCTTTTTTTTTTCTCTCTCCTTATTTTTTCATTCTCATCTTCTCTTGTTTGCCTGCTTCATCATGGCCGCGTCCAAAGTCCTCCTGATTCCCGAGTTATTAGAGGAGATCCTTTCGGATCTTGATATGCAGACTCTACTGGTGTCGGCACAGCGCGTGAACCGACTCTGGTTTGATGTCATCAGCCATTCGAAACGACTTCAACAAGCCTTATTCTTCACACCCATTCAGCCTTCAGTACGGCCCTCGCTGGCCTACTCCAATCCCAAACAATCCCCTCTTCGGGGCCGCAGTCCCTATCACAAAGAAATTGTGTCGACTCGCAATCCGCTGTTAGAAAAACACTTCGGCCCCGTGTTCTTCAGCAGTGGCAGCAGTCCCTGCATTCTCAACAAAAACAACTTCTCCAAATCCCTCGAATGGGGCCCTGACTACCGGGACGAGGATGGCATGCCGGCCAAAACTCTCTCCCGGCACAAAGCATTCACACGCGCCGGCGCCAGCTGGCGGCGCATGTTAGTCTCTCAACCTGCGCCGCCTGCGCTCGGGTTCGTCTGGTGGGAACACCGCAGCCGATTACAGAATGTCTATGAATACATCATCCGCCAGTCCCGTTGTTCTTCGCCACCCTCCTCCGCCTGTTCCGCCTCCTCGGCCTCCTCTGTCGCATCTTTATCCTCCTGCTCTTCCGCGTCCTCCATTGACTCCGCAGCGTCATTACCCTTGTCCGAGACGGGCCTGCGGTTCGGGTCATTATACGACCTCGTGCAGGACCAGACGAGTGCGACGCTCAATTTGGGATTCTACGTTGGGTGGGGCAATTACATTCCCGTGGGCACCGAGGTCGCTTCCTTGAGTGAAGAGCTCTTGAAGGAGACTAGTGTTGTGGTCCAATTCTTCCCGGACGTGCGTTCGGAGGGGGGCGACCTTGCCGATGTGAAGACCTGGGATAGTACCTTCCGCAGTGAGGATTTCCAACTGCCGGACAGTGAGCTGGTGGACAAAAGGGTGTTTGAATATGGACTTTGAGCCTACCAAAAATTGCATAGCTGGGGTTGCATAATAATCTACTACATTCTACGGACTTTATACTATATCACTCTACACCCCTAAACTATACCATATACTAGACACTATACTAGACACTATACTAGACACTATACTAGACACTATACTAGACACTATACTAGACACTATACTAGACACTCTATACTCTATACTCTACCAAGGTATACTCTATACTCCGTTACACGTAACATTGAATACACCCAACCCTGGAATTGAATTTTCGTGACTAACACCGTGACCCCGTGCAGCTCAGGTGACGTAAAAAAAATGAAAAAAAGGCGCAAACCCCATGACTGCGATGGCGTCATTGTGGACCTAAAAATACCGCAAAACCCGGGGAAGTGGCCTGAGGCCTCACTCAGACTTGACCTTCACATTCCACAAGTCACTGGCAGCCTCGGAAGGCCAGGAACAGTCTGACCCCTCAGACTCATCAGACACCAGATCAATTATTTCAATCCTGGCCCCATCGGAGTATTCGTCTTCGGACAAGTCAATCACATGATCTTGCGCAAGGTTCGGAGAATCGGGTTCGGTTCGACTAGCCGACTCTGGACGGAACCCCTCGAGAATTTCCAACTTTGTAGGCCGGCGGGATGACGTTGGCTGGGGCGCATTGTCCGCACGGCGATTCTGGACTTCGGATCAGCATGCTGTCGCACCTCGTCTGCCGGGGAAATAGTTACACTCCTGATGGAAAGAGGGACTGGCTCTTGACTAGGACGATGGAATTGGGTCCCATACTCGGCGGCGAACTCGGCGTCATTGCGGCTGACTATCTATCAGTAGCCCGAGAGGGCAGTACCTAGTATAGCATGGATGATGTGCTCCGAAGGGACACGCACGCAATGTTCTCTAATGCATCACACAGAGGGTGAAGAACCACCAAACCGTCTGTTCCTCGAGACATGGGCTCCCGGTTATAGAGGGCGTCTCGCCATCCGCCCGTCAGTACCCAGCGCTTGATTGCGTTGGCTCCGATGATCGCGTCTCTAACATCTGTTGATTTGCTGCCCACCCGACTATAGACTATCTGGAGGATTAGCAGATGTACAGACCCAGCTACTGAGGCGAGGACACACCAGCTCTACGGTGTTTGGTTCGATAGTGTAAGATCATCCTCGATCGCGTGGTACTAGCAAAACCACACATGGTATTGCCCGTGACCAGAATATCACAACTGTTGTCCAATTTTGCTTCAGCGTGGCCCCGGAGAAGTGCAGAGAGGAGACTAACACGAGACTGTGTACCTTATTGATGGCCAGATAAGCTGGCTCTTTCGCCGGGTCTTGCTGGCCATCCGTGGCTGAGGTAGAATCAGGGTCTCGTGGTATGGGTCCTGGAAGAGATTAGAAGACGGACTTGCTTCTCTATCCACCTTACCGTGTGCATATCCCAGTAGTGGATGGGGGTGAATGGCTGTCAGTACGCCTGGGTTCACAAAGTCTTCTTTCGTCAAACTGTGGAAATATTGTATCATACTCCCCATGGTGGATTATAGACAGTATAAGTGCCTGGAAGAAGGACGCCTTGACGTTTGGAATGGAAGGCGGGAAAACAAGTCGTTGAGTAGACCTGAGATATCCTCACATGGGCATTCGGGCAATTATTACAGGTGGCAAAATTCAGCAAGACACATAAAGAAACCTTGAATGTTGGAAGTGTGCTGTTTGCTATATTCAAAGGTCCAAGATATAATGTTCCATGCCCACAAAAACAGCGAAGTCGAGCATGGTACCGGTAACTTATCTTGGTAAATTTCAGTAGCAACATTCCGCATCTCATCTTCGGCATTGTCCCAGGGAGAGGGAAGAGAAGTAAAAACGGAGTTGACATTAGGCAATAACATGACTGTAAGTCTTTCGACAGACCCTGCAGCAACCAACAGCGTCACAGACGTATATATCAAGAATCAGGTAATCTATCGCTAATTTATTCACAGATGTAAGTGTCTATCAACAGAAATTCAAGGAAAGGGGTGTGCACTAAACAAAGACATGAGCGCTGTGAATCGGAGCTGTAGGGCAATAGAAACCACGCCTGGAGGCAAGATCTTCAACGAGGTCGGTAATCAAACAAATGCAGCAGTTGTTCCACTCGGTTTCACTCGCTGGCTTTGGCTTCAACCTCGGCCATAGCCTCCGACAGGCTCGGGGTGTTCTCGCCCTTCAGGTAATTCTCGAGCTCGCCGATTTGCTTGCCACCCTTGACCCAGCGCTCACGGTAGGATTCCCGGCGCTGCTCGGCCAGCTTGTTCAAAGAAGGCCAGTAGGTCGCATGATCATAGCGGAATTCAACATCGCCTCCAACAGACTTCATGAGTTGACTGGGTGGGACGTGCTGACGCAGGTCCTCGTTGAACTTGAGTTTCTCCCGGGTGTTGGGGTCAATGAAGGGAGTAATCAACTTGAAGAATCCCCAGATCATGAATGGAACTACGACACATTAGCCGTTTACTGTTGATTATATGTCAGGATGGGAACTCACCATTGATCACAAGAGCTCGACCAAGCCTCTCAGGGTAGTGGTTCTGCAAGAAGCCGAGGGTCTGCTTGGCCTGACCCATGCTAGCGTTCTGGCCAGACTTGGTCTCGTTGAAGTTGACCAGCAGTGCAATTGTCTCCTGGTCAGGCCCCATCAGGTCAATTGCCCGTTCCAGCATGAAGACAAGATGTTCGAGCTGACGGTCGCTCTTCTCCGTGTTTTGGTTAGAAGGCAACAGGTACAGACAAGGTCTTCCGTGGATATCATATCCCAGAATGACCTGCTTGCCCGTCTCATTCTCGATGGAGATGTAATCGGGGGTCAACTTTTCCAGGCCATACTCCCGGCGCCAGGTCAAGGTGCTCAGGAGGCGAGTCTCGGCCTCGGATACATTCCATTTGGTCGCGCGCAGGTAACGCAGGAGACACTCGCGGGTCAACCACATACGTTCATCTTCAGTGATGGGTGCATTTGGAGCACCCTTTTCAGCCTTAGTAGGGACTGTGGTCCAAGATGAAACGGTCTTGAGCACAGCTTCGTACTTGGACTTTTGATCCGAAGTCAGCTGTGCTGGGGCTGCTGGCCTAACGGTATCCAGGGGCCGGGCAAATGGCTTCTGGATAAGGCCATCGGCGGCAGAAGTGGGGAGTTCAACATCAATGGACTCAGATGCGTGAGCGATGGGTGCCTCTGGCTGGGCATCCACAACGGGAGCAGGTGCTGGTACAGTCTCTTGATTAGACATGATGGATCTATGCGTATTAATTGACGAGAAAAGAAAAAGCAACAGGCAATAACAAATGAGTTCTGGCGATCGACAGGTCCCACTCCAATTGCCCGATATTACTTTTTTGGGTCGGCTTAGGTCAGCGACACGCCTCAACGCGCTCCTCGCGTCTTGTCACTTTCGACAGATTCAAGATCCACCAAAATGGAGGCAGAGCTCAATGAGTTCTTTGCGGGCTCGTTCCCCGATGGAATCCCCAAAGATGTCATGGGAGAGCTTCTTTCCATCATGCGGGTGCACTCGGTCTCCGCCGAGGAGCTCTTCTACAAATGGGAGTCTTACAGTATGAAGATGGGTGAGGGGGTGAAGTTGACCATGAGTACCGTGAGAGGCTTCAAGCAAGATGTCCAAGAAGCCCTGGAGCGCGACAGCCGTGACAAGGCCAGCCGACACACAGAGAAACGAGGCGCAAACACAGCGACCCCGCGTGCGCCCGCGGCCGGCGACGATATGTTCGGAATGTTCGATCAATTGACACCGACCGCTTCGAATACACGGACTGTCACGGTGAATGGGATTGGATCGGCAAAGCGCAAGGCTGAGTTTACTTCGCCCGCTACACCCAAGGTGAGCAAGTTCGACAAGCTTGCAACGGAGGGTGCAAAGACGCCAACCGGAACGCCAGGTGATGGAGTACAGTAGGCTTTCCCTGAACCGTTGACCTGGGATCTTGAAAGAAGCTGACATGATTACCAGGGCCATTGCCTTCTCCGAACGACCGAACGCCGGCCAGACGGTGGAAACACTCAACGCACACCTGTCCCTGCCAGAGACCCCCATGGCGCCGTTCTCTGAGGCACGCATCAAGCCCACAGCGAACACAGACCTGAAGAAATTTGGATACAAACCGATGGGTATGAAATTGTCAGAAGCATCGGAGATCCTCGATGATCGCATTGATGAATTCGCAACAATCTTTCAGGAACAATACAACTCAGATGAGGTCACTTTCGGAAGTGCGGCCACTCAAAGTACGAGTGAGATCGTCGCGGTTGGCCGAATTGCTTCGGATGCTCTTGAAGGAAAATTGAATGCTGCCTCCCTTGTACTCGAGACCTCGCGCCGGACAGGAGCCGGCAGACGAGTTCCTTTGAAGGTAGACTCGGTATCCTCGGTGAACTTCTTCCCCGGACAAATCGTGGCTCTGCGGGGAATTAATCCTTCGGGGGAATACTTTACTGTGAAAGAGGTGCTTCCCATGCCTCTTCTCCCACCAGCGGCGTCTTCGGCTGTGGCACTTGAGAACATCAATGAGCGACTCGATGGAGATGCCAATCCACCTCTCAACGTCATGCTTGCAGCTGGCCCCTACACGGCCGATGATAACTTGGACTTCGAGCCATTACATGAGCTTTGCCAAAAAGCAGCCGAAAGTTACGCGGATAGTGTTGTGTTAATGGGACCCTTTTTGGACATCGAGCACCCTCTACTTGCTTCCGGTGACTTTGATATGCCAGACATCAAGGGAATCGACCCGGACACCGCCACACTCTCTGTATTATTCCGACACTGTATCTCAACGCCTCTGGCACGACTTGCCGCAGCAGTGCCCAGTATCACTATTGTGATGGTTCCATCTGTTCGCGATGCTCTCAGCCGACACGTCTCATGGCCCCAGGAGCAGCTTCCCAGGAAGGAATTAGGCTTGCCAAAGCAAGTCCGCATGGTCTCAAACCCCGTCACATTGTCATTCAATGAGGCGGTTATCGGAATGTGCTCCCATGATGTGCTCTCTGAGCTCCGTCGTGAAGAGGTTCTGCATGGCCGTCCAGCAGAGGGCAATCTCCTCACCCGTTTACCTAAATACCTCGTCGAGCAGCGCCACTTCTTCCCATTGTATCCTCCCACTGCACGAGCAAACCTTCCAAAGCCAGCTTCGGAAAACGGCATAGCTACAGGCGCCATGCTGGATTTGCCTTACATGAAATTGGGCGAATGGTGGAATGTTCGACCGGACATTTTGATTGTACCGAGTATGCTACCGCCGTTTGTGAAGGTCAGTCAGCCCAACGCCCTCAGACATTTGTTTTTATTAACCTTCATTCAGGTCGTGGACAGCGTACTGGTCATCAATCCAGGTACTCTATCTAAACGTCGTGCAGCAGGCTCCTACGTTCAAATGGCCATTCACCCTCGCTTAGTGGCAGAGAACGAGCGCGAGGAGAAGCAACTGAGCCACAAGTTGTATGAGCGAGCCCGGGTCGATATCAACCGAATTTAAATCCAAAATATATAATCGCATCACGCTGGCGTTCAGGCTATACTGAAACCGACAAACATCGGCCTCAGGGCCATTCCGCGATTCAGAATCAAAACCAGATAATCGCAAATGAAAACGAATCAATGATCTTCAATATCAAACATCAAAACCATAACCTGGGTATCAATGGCTAGTCCAAAAGCGACTCAACAGTAACAAAAGCAAAACACAATCCTTCTCGCAAACCTTGGAACACAATTCCAATGTAGTCCGCTCGTTCCCCAACCGGAATCACCTCAACCCAACAACTCTCCTCCCACCCATCTTCCTTCCCGCCTCCCGAACCCTCACAACCGGCATCCCCGCCGCCGCCGCACCACCCCCACTCCCACGCAACGTAGCCCCGGGCCCCGATCCAGCCGCACCAGGCGCCCCCGTTCCACCGGGCCCCATCAAAGGACCTCCCGCCCCATGACCTTCGCCATTCACCAGGGCCTCAAGACCAAGATCTCGCCAGACGGCCTCGCGGCGACGATCCATGGCGCGCGTGATACCGAATGCGGCATGCTGGTCTGGGACGACGTCGTCTTCGTCTTCTGGATTTGGGGGCTGATATTGGGGTGCGACGTAGATGTCTTCGACGGGGAGGAAGGAGGGGATTGTTGTTGGGGATGCGGCACCGTATTGGTTGTCGCGGTCGCTTGGGTTGTGGGGGTCTGTTGTTGTTGAGGTGTGTGGGCGGGTGAATTCTTCGAAGAGGTCTGCTAGTCGTGGTTGATGCATGTGGATGTATGAAGCTGAGGAGTCTTTGCTCTGTGATGGATTAGTTGGTTTCTGTAGAGGTTTATTGGGAAATATGTACCATTTTGAAGTTTCTTTTGGTCGCTTTCAGGGACCAGCTTGGTAATTCTTGTCTAGGGTCCACAGGGTTGCAGAAGTAATTGATTGGAGTGGTTGGAGTGGTGCTTCGATAGTCGCGATGATTGACAGGCAGAATATAATGCGAGTACACCGCCCTCTTTACGTTCAACATGCACATGTCCCAATGGGGTTAGCCTACCTCTCGCGCGCCTGTCTTCGCGCTTCCAAGGTTGAAGATAAGCGCCGTGAAGGAATACCTTATTGTTTACGGAGTACTTAAACAGAACCTTGGAAGATTCGACGGAAAAACATGATTCTGTTTGATGTAAATGCCCGAAATTTTTTCCCCTCAAGTAATTTGGAACAGGTGATGATAACCCCGAAGGTAGTATTACAAAAGAGCCTCAATCAAACATGTCATGACCATTTTTATGCTAGAGAGTACAATTTAAAAGTCCCACGCATCAGAGATTCGTAACCATACGGTGCACAATAGGTACAGCACTTGGGGGCAGACTACCCATCTCAGTGATGACCATGTCCACATAATCCGCAGGCGTGACATCATACATGATGTTCAGCAGCTGCAAGTTAGGAGTAGTCTTCCAGTTTGTCAGTGGGGATTTTGAAATTCCATTGGACATAGCAGGGGGCTCATGGCCGGTAGGCTTGCCCTTCTTATCAACGGCTGGTGCATCGTCGGTCTCGGGGATTCCAGTGATCTGATCAGGGCTGGGGTTAACGACCAGTTCATCGGCGTCGGCGATTTCATTGACAACGATACTGTCCAGCGCGACGCGGTCCGTGAACTTGACCGTCTCGCAACAGACGATGACGGGGATTTCCACACCGCTGGCGCGTTCCTTGGCGGACATGGCCACGAGGGCTGTGCCGACGCGAGAGTACAGACCTCCGTTTGAGGTCATTGCGTGGGCGCCCAGGAAGACCTTGGTGGCATCTTTGATGGCGTGAGTAGTGGCGTGGACAAGAGAATATTGAATTTCGAGGCCTGCATTGACGAGGGCTCGGGCGAGACTCTTGCCTTCGAAGAGAGGGCGGGAGTCGATGATGGAGACTCGGAAACGCTTTCCTTGGTTGTGTGCTGAGATGAGGGTTTCCTTGACAATGCTGCTTCCAGCGAAGGTGACAATTACATCGCCATCTTGGATCTTCTGTGCGGCGCTTTCAGCGATGACTTGGTCGGCGACGGTGATCTTTTCACGAATGAAGCTGTCGATGAACTCGCAGAGACTGGTCTTTGCTGAGGACTCGGGAGTGGAGGGGTCGGTGGAGGCGATGGCGAGTTTCAGGGCCCGAATGGCATTACCCTGACTGATGGAAAGTGGGCGGCAGGTCGAGAGGTAGGTGATTTGATGCGAGAGGTGGTTTGTCAAGTGACGAGGAAGGGATGTTCCCATAGGGGTAGTGTAAGATTCAATGACCTGATCGAGTCAGCATACAGTGTCGGATGTGGGTTAGGAAAAGACTTACTCGCTTGAACGCAATCATGGTCGACACACAGCGCGCACTGCTTCCGCAGACCACGTAGTCCCTGAGCTGCAACCCCAGGGCTAGTACAGCGGGGTGTACTTCCTTTCCACCACCGGCAATGGTGGTGCGGCGTTGTTGGCCGTACAAATGACCGAAAACAGCAACCTTCTTATCGTCCTTCTTCTTCTTCTGCTCCACAAGTGCAGACCCAGATTGCGCGAGGGCCACTGAGCCACGACGCGCAGTCGGTGTCTTCTGTCCCTTCTGCGCAGCGGCAGCAGTGTCCTTCTTCGGTGTAATTGGCGGCCGAGCCTGGGATGCTCCAGGACCAGGGGCGGCACCACCCGGGGCGCCACCTTCCTTCTCCAATTTTTCGCGGGCGCGTCGAGCAGCCTTCTCAGCCTTGGCCTTCTTCTTCAATTCACCGGGCGTGAGTGTTTTTTCTGTGGCATCGGGTGCGGGCGCATCTTTTTCTGTGGGCTTGGGCTTGGGTTTGGAGTCTCGGATTGGGAGAGTCGTTTCGGAAGCCTGAGCCTGAGCCGGAGGTTGCGCGACGGGCGCAGGGTCGGATTCCGTCATCTTGCCTTCGCTGGTGTGAGGGGAGGTTTCGGGAGTTTGGTGGGGAGAAGTTGACTCACGAGGGCGGAAAAAGAAGTATTGCCAGAAGTGGCCCACCGACTGGAGTCGGAGCCCTAACTTGCTGAATCCCATTTTCAAAACAGATAACTATGGATAATCTTGAGATCGTATTCAGGTATTACAGACCTGGAGGACTCGGGACTATTCATGGGTAGGAGCTGATTCATATACTGATGTCTGAAAGAACTATTGTGCCCAATGGGAGTCGAAATCGAAACATGCGTATCATAGCTTCATTATTCATCGCACGCTATCAAAGAATGAATCCTGGCCGATGATGGTCCAGCTCAGGTGGGAACAAAAGTCTTAACAAAGAAGTCAAACAGAGTCAAAACAAAACAATATCCCCACCAACACCAATCCCTGTACACCCAACATAAGAATAACAAAGACGCCTCAGCGATTGCTGGTTATGGTTGCCAAAGCACGACGTTTACGAGTCTCTGGCTCCTCAATGGGTCGGAATCGCTCGTGATCTGTTGCCAGCTTCCGTTTGAAGACGCTCAAATCACCAAGAAGGTCATGCATATGATTTTGCATCCGGTGAGCTTCATGCTCGGTATTCTCGTCGGTGACTGTTTCATCGTCTTCCCAAAATTCCAAATTTGACTCGTCCTCTGATACGTGGGGGGAACCATCGGGGGAGCCCTCGGGGCCTTCGTCGTGACTAGACGGTTGGTCTTCGTCGGGCATTGATGTCAGACTCGGCTTCCGGGGCTCAAGAGTGACAGCCGGGATGGGATTCTTGAGACTCTCAACAGCCAACTTGAGATGCATTCGCAAAGCTTCATTTTCTGTTTGTAATTGTCGAATCTTGCACTCGCTGACCATATTATTCTCTTCCATGAGACGTTGCATTTTCTCCACCTTCTGCTGATATTGTTCGAGTCGCTCATCCGAAGCTTCGTTTGCTCTCTGGCTGAGGGCTGCTTGACTAACGCTCAGTTGCAGGGTGCGAATGGTCTCGGTCATCTCCGCAATCTGTTGATCGCGCTCGGCCGCCGACATTTGGTCTTGATTGACCCGTGCGCGTGTTCGAATGTTCTTGGCCTGATCTGCATATCGAAGGGTGGAAAGCGTCTCTTCGTAGTCTGCAGGCGCAATGCATGCAATCATCGCGGTTTTGGAGTTACCTCCTAGACTATCCTTCAGAAGCCATGTGAGAATCGAGTCACGATACGGCACTAGCTCCTTGCCCTTTCGCCCGCGGACCTTTTTAGGATCTGCAAGTGCCGCAATTACACGACCAAGCGTTGTTAGGGATTTGTTGATGTTTGCGCCTTCACGCAGTCTGGCTCCAGTCGCCTCTGTGGATTTGGCACGTTCAGAACCTGCCAAATCAACCAAACGAATGCGAGCAGTGCGTTCAGTAGTCTCGTCTGTTGAAAGATCGTGGTGTATTTGTTTTAGGGTGATCGTAAAGACGGCGTGGGATCGGGAGGAGGTGTCGTTCATCTTGGTGCTAGCGGTGGTACGCGAGACGTCACCCTTCCGCATGAATTTCATCAGCTCAGCAAAGTTCCTAGCCGTAACCTCCGTGAGGTCCTTGACATATGGACCTTCGGACGGGGACTCCCGAATGCGGAGGTAATGCGGGGAGTCCGTGCGTGGAACCAACAAGTCTCGTACATGCTCGTTGTATACCTCGAAGTAAGACACTCGGACGTTGTAGCTGATATCGGGAGAAGGCGAGCTTTCGATGCGCTGGAACAGGTCCTCACAAGTCCGAGGAATCAACCCGGGTCTCTCTGGCGTTCCCATCATAGTGTAACTCTTTCCCGATCCCGTCTGTCCATACGCAAAGATGCACGTGTGATACCCTTCAAAGTTGTGATCCAGAAATTCCTCGCCGAGGGAGTTATAAACATCCTCCTGGTGTGCGTAATGTTCGTCCTCCTCATCGTGAGACCAAAACGAATTATCAAAAGTGAAAGACTTGTCCTCCAAGACCTTCCCACGCGCCTGCGACTTGGGCTTTCCCACATCCCCGGGTTTGGGCTTTGGCGCTTGCAGGGAAGTCATTTGGGTATGGGGGTCCATTGAGATCAAACATTGGGCCTTGCGCTCGATTTCTGGATGAAAGTCAGCTCTCGCCCCTGGGGTATCGTTGTCGACTTACCTCGAGGCAAGAACTTGCGCACGCGCACGACGACGCGCACATTCCCGCCTGGCGAGGGACTGGCCATTCCATCTCTCGCGAAACCTTCGCGCGCGCGGAAAGAGGGACTCGAAGCTGTGGATCGGAGGGTGGCGGCGGAGGCGGAGGTGGAGATTATACTGGGGGAGGTGATGCCCGTGGCGGCTGATAGGTCGGATGAAGCGGCTGACGAGATGGAGCCGGGGCCTGGGTGGCCAAGGTGGTGAAAGAAGCGCGGATCCAGCGCCATGTCCCTGCTATGTTTCAATAGCTGTACACAAGTGGTGACGGCGTCGCGTCGGCGATCAAGAAGAGAGAGGTACATGCAATAGAGATGACAAAGGGAAGTAATTGTTGAAGGGAATGTGTGTATAGACAGGAATGAGTGAAACGGAGGGGAGGGGGGCTGTTACTGTTGCGCGTAGTTTCCGTCGGAACGTCGGAAATTTAGTTCATTGTCGACCACAGCAAGTCGCTGTAAAACGAAGGACGAGAAGAAAAGCAGGAAGGACCGAATTGACTGAGATAGTTCACTGTGATGCCCACACCTTGGGCACGGATGGTCATTACAATGAAGTGTCACTAGAGTCCGTTGCCACAGCAATGACACGCGGTAAACTCCACCAGACACGCTAGTGCTCTATCAACTGTACATATGTCCGACGTGCTTCAATTCAATAAACTCAATATGTACAAGGTCATTACGATCAGTCAAAATCGGCAGTCTCGGCGTTCATGGCGTCAAAGACATCCGGCTGGTCGGATTTGCTGCCCTTCTGCGCCTTATCCCAGCTTGGGTCGGCAACGGGGTTACCAGCGGCGTCCATGTGCTCACTCAGGAGCTGTGCTGGACCCATATCGCTGTGGGAGGCCTTCTGAGTGGCATTCTCCTTGGCTCTGGTGGCCGCGTCTTGGGTCGGCATAGGCATAGGCATAATGTAAATTGTTCTGAATTAGGTCAGTGAATCTGTTCGGGTATCGAAGCATCGTATCTCCCGATGCGGACCAGTTCCGTGGAACTTCGCCAGGTACCTACCAGTATTTGTGTGTGATACAAGTGTTCTGTAGGCATGCTCCAACGATACCTCAGCTCAACTGCCCAAATATAAGGCGAGCAGTGGCGGGTGATATAACCATGACGATCCTTGGAGGCGAGTGCCACCCATGGAATTGTTCTGGGGAATGCGAAGGATCCATGGAACTTCCCCACGCTTAACGGTCGTGATCGCCTAACCTTGTTCTTGCCACATGTCGACCCATGGTATCTTCATTACCAGAGCCTCATTTTTGTGGACGTTGGGACCCAAGGTTCCTCTCACCTTGCCACTCTTTTTGGGATCTTCGTTATCGTGTATCATTACAATACATAGACTGTCATGTCCTCAATTTCAGGGCCAGGAACCTGTCTGGTATATCAGGATACCATCGGAAGTTTTGGCCGATTGGACACGATGTGACTCAACGGGGAGGTCCCGAGGTCACCGGGCACGATCGCGACATCGAGGCGAGGCAGATAAGAAAGACCATAATTGGATCCCGAGATTCGCATTCCCCGGGTAGTTACACCATGGGTAGGTACCAAATAAATCGCTACGAATTATGTTTACGGAAATGACGCGATGACTGGTCTAGATAGGTCTTGAAGTTAGGGTAGAGGGTCATGGGATCAAATTGTTCAATTCAATTGGATTGCAAGAATAGAAGAAAAACGCCAAATGAGAGAGACCCTAGTACGGGCTAAGTGTGCATCGCAAATATTGGAACATGGTATATAAAGAGAATGGCTCCAGGTACATGGAGAGAAACCTCGTAGGGAACGTAGCGGAATGAGTGGAAATAGATCACAGTCTAGAAGTAACGCCTCTCTTGAAGCGGCGCGGGATGAGCGAAGCCAGGTTCGACTTGGTCAATGCCATGAAAGTGTCCATGCCGGCGGGATCATAATACTTGCCATCAAAGCCAATGGACAGAGTGATCCGATCCCACAGGGAGAACATACCCACCCAAGCGGAATCGTTGATCTGACGACCGGTATGAATAAAGTCATGCACCTCAAGAGAAGCAGTTGGGGATTTGAACTGGCGTTCGAGCCCCAAAGCACCCTGGGGCGAGAATCCAGGTGCACAAGGTGCGGCGGAGGGCTCTGTCGCGGCAGCAAGACCTTCCACAGCCCGGGCAGATGTGAAGTTCATGCTGGAAATGTAGTGCGGGGAAACAAGGTGAGGACCAAGCTCCTTTCTGATGGCCCGGGCAATGTGAAGGACAGAGTCCCGGGTCGAGCCCTGGAACCAGTGCTGCTCGAAGGGAATCCAGAGGAAGACACAGTCGGCCGCAGCGGGAATCTTACCGCCAGACTTGCCATTGGTGTCTACCCAGCGACGAGCGTTGCGGGTCATACCGAGGAGGGCACCGGTCTCGTGGCCCTTGGCGTAGGTTTGCTTGACTGCCAGAACTGTCGCGGCCGCAGTGGCGAAGGTGATGCTGAGCTTCTCTTCGCGGAGCTGAGCAAGAAGAGCCCGGGATTGTTCAAGCGAGTACTGGAGGCGAATGCAGTGGGTTTTGTGTTCGCGCTCCGCAATGTCCTCTTCAGGGTACATGGCGACGGATTGACCGATCTGGGAGTATCTGAGTTAGATTTGATGCGGCGGAGTTACGTGCCAGCATTACATACCTTGGAAGTATACAAGTCACCCTGACGGGCAGCCTCGGCGATCGCCTTCTGGATCTGCTCCCTGTTGGGCTTGTACTGCTCCTGGTAAGGAGTCAAAGGACTGATCGGCAAACGGTCAAGCACGCCAGAGTAATCAATCTGGCTGACTGAGTAGTCCCGGTCGCCAGCGACCTGGGTAACAGCCTTCAAAAATTGGTTGACGAATTGCACGATGCTGTAGACATCGGCAACCGCGTGGCTTAAGTTCCAGACAAGTGTGTGTTGAGTAGGGTTCTCGGGGTCCGCGTGAGGTCCGGTGACCAGGTACATCATGTTGCGCTTTCCCTTGGTGGGCAGACGACGGCTGTACGTCATGTTGACCACATCGGCAGCGGACTGGTCAGTGACCACCCGGAAGGTCTCTTGCATCCACTGGGCAGCTTCAGCATCGGTGTGAAGCACTTCGTACTTCATCATCTGGGGAAGCTCGGTGCCTGTCGAGAGCTGGACGGCAATCTCTGGAGTTCTCGAGTGCGAGACGAGCCATGCGTTGCGGAAGCGCTGAATCAATTCGCTGGTTGAAAGATCGATGTTGAAGGGAATCTGGATGGATAGCTCAGTGTGTCCATCACGGACATTTTGGTTGTATGAGACTCCAGTCTCGCCTCCGGAGCATGGCCGGGTCCAGGTTCCCTGCTGAACTCGCTTCCAGGTACCTCCATCGATACGAGGAACCTCGGTCTCCGGGATGTGTGTGGTGGGCTGCTGAACTGTAGGAGCCATGATTAAAGAATGTGTTGGAGCTGGTTAAAGAAAGTAGAATGATAGTAATTGTTTTTGATAATGGTTTCGCAGAAACACAGGCCACAATAATGAGTGATGGCGGTGATAAGAAAGAGAGTCAACCACAATAAAGAGCGATGGCGACGATATAATGACCACAATAATGAGTGATGGTCTGTACAGAGTACGGAAGAGTCGAGATCCTGAACCACACCTCACGCGGATTAGGCGAGGTCAAATACACACACGAACTGACTGATACCATAGTGGAACCCTCAAAAAAGGGGAAAACGCAGTGTTGTTTACACATCATCTGCGCAAGGCCCCGGGGCAAGTGCAGTTGGAGCTTCCTTGTTGAGACTTGATGCTGTCTCCACTTGGTAACCGCGCTAGTATCATCAATACACCGTACGGTCGGCTTTTGGTGGACCCCTGGTGGAGCTCCCCTGTCGATCGACTAGTTGAGTCGACACATGAGATTGAGTTTTTCACCAATACATGGTATTGTTCCCGGTATTTGACCATGTTTTTGTTTTTGGGGGAACCTTCGATGCTTCGATTCCAATCTTTGAGGTCGGGAGTTCCAGGGTTGTCTGCAGCTTATCTTCGGGCCTATCTTCAGGTCCAACATTGAAGCCCTGGAGGATCGACATCGCCATCAGTCCATTGTACTGGTACCGAGGCATCGGGAGCCCCTGTCTACTGCTTCAGCCTCGTAACGATCTAAATTCTGATAGTTCTGGATTTCAATGAACTAAGTGGATACATCCATGTGGCGGTCTCATACGGAAATATTATCTGTAGATATCTTACACGGGACCACAAATTCGCCCACTCAGTGCCCGAGGTTTTATTTCGCGTATTTCCCAGTTTGTCAACACCCTGTCTATCATTAAGGAGCTTCAGGTCCGTTGTGCTTCAGACAACTCTCCGCCAAACCATGCATATTGCCTTCTTGTCGAACCCGGCCTCGGGCCAGGTCAATGTGCAGATGGCGACGGCCACGCAGCTTGTCTCTGAAGGTCACTCGGTGACTTTCTTGTCGGCGGACTCGTGCGCCAAAAAGATTGGCCAGCTGAGGGACACCCTGCCGCCGTTTCAGCAGGACCTGATCGGCTTCATTGGTTTGGGCACGAGTCATAACGTGAGCGACTAGTATGTTGCATATCCCATGGGTTGGTGGGACCTGGACTGACTCGCTTTAGTACGAACTTTTTCAAGGACCGCATGCATTTGATGCGAAGCCCACCCGGCGATCCCTCGAGCCTCGAGCTATGCATCGATGCAGCTCTGGGGCCCGTGGAGGACTTCGCGGACACAGCTACAATGGTGGCCGATAAGCTTAACGCACTGGATCCTAATATCAGTATGTATTCCATGAGCCCCAAAATACCAATCTTGCTGTGCGGGGCTAATTATTTGGATAGTCTGTGTCGACGCGTTGACGCCTTCGCTAATCACCGGTGTTCGTCTCACCAAGCGCAAATATATTCTTACCATTCCCTGCTCACCGGGGACAAGCGCCTTGCCTGGCCCCTTCGAGCCGCATATGATGGCCTCAAACCGCGATGGCTCCATGGCTACCTTCATTGAAAGTATGTCACTCCATTCAGTTCACCGCGGGGCTTTGCTAATCGTCCCACAGACGTATATCTGAACTTCCGCGAATACTATTATAGCGTCACACAACCTGACTGCGTCGCCAAGCGCGATATCCTCACCAAGCGCTTCAAACTCCAATCATATGGAGTCGCACAAGACACAGCACTGCTACCCCCACATTGGGAAGACGAAAACTGCGTTGCCGGCATTCACTTTAATACACTAGGTCTTCTCGACTGCCCCAAGCAATCTTCCAAAATTGTATTTGTTGGCGCCGGCGTCTCCGTCGAAACCTCCTCGGCCTTCTGTCCCGAGCTGGCTTGGATGGACGAGGCCATGCTACATGGCGACGACGTCATCTACATGAACATGGGCAGCATGTTCATCTGGAAACGCCATGAATTCTGGAACTGCATTGCGGGCTTCGAAGCCGCCTATAAGCAACGCGGGGGTCGTGTGCGCTTCCTATTCAAGATCAACTTCCCCATCGATTCCCCAGAACACAACTTCTCCACCGACGAGCTCCCTCCATATATTCGGCTCACTAATTGGATCGACAACCAACACGCTATTTACTCGCACCCGGCCCTCAAGGTCTTCATTCACCATGGAGGTGGCAACTCGTTCAACGAGGCCGTCTACTTCGGAGTTCCTCAATTGATTCTCAGCCAGTGGCTTGATACCCACGAATACGCCACCTACGCCGAGAAGTTCAAGTTGGGACTGCGCAGTGACCGACCACCGCATGTTGAAGCCCGTGATATCGAGGTCAAGATTCTGAAGATGCTGGGCCCATCCTGGCCTGAATACAAGGCCAATTGTCGATCGTGGGCTATTCGAAGCCAGATCAGCGGTGGCACAGCATCCGCTGCGAAGATTATCGTCTCTCATGCTGAGAGCACACGATTGATTCAGGATGGAATCTTGACCCCACCCTTCACGCCTGTCGAGTCGCCCGTCTTAGAAAAGGACGCTGAGTCTCTCCAGGACATTGCGATTTGCTCTTAATTGACCAAGATACCCGATTCGCATCCACTAGAATATTGTTGCCCGGGGAGTTGAGAGTTTTGCATTTGGTTATATTTTTGGTACACAGTTAGCGTTTGGACTCGGATCTTCATTGTACATTACTTTTTTACAACCTTGGAAATGTCCATATTTTTTTATCTTCTTGATAAATTGCGCCTAGGTATATAGTCGATATAAACATGAGTCCGAGAAGTGACAAAGAAAAGATATCTACAAGAGAGAGTGTGCAAAAGATCAAAGCTTGGCCCGCACTGGCTCCTCATCCGCAATGAATGTCCGGAAGAGACCTGCAACGGCCTGCGCAAGCTGCGCAACCTCGTGCAGGACGAAGAAGCGCTCATCAAAGAGAAGGTTGAACTTGAGTTCGTCACGGTAAGTATTCAAGGCGAAACAAACGCCCGGGTCAGTGTTTCGACCACCAGTATTGAAGTTCGCCATGCGCATCGGATCACCGCCCGCAGGATCGGCTACGCCCTTTCCAAAGGCGCCCTGGGAAGTCAATGTGGGACGCGCGATGGCAGGTGGCTCAGAAGGGTTCACCATGCCCTTTACCAGCTCGGGAGCCATCTGATCGTACAGCGCGAGGAGATGCGGAGACACCAGATCCTCTTCCTGGGCTTCTCCGATCGCCTTGGCGAGCTTAGCCAGGCCGACTTTGTCTTTGGCGCGGAGGTCAACATCGCTGGCATTAATCCACAGACCAGCTGGGACAATGCTCATGTTGATGGGACCGTGGCCATCGCCTGCAAGATCGATCCAGCGCCGACCGTTGGTGCTGAAGAGGAGATGGGCGCCTTCTTCATTTCCTTGGCTGTACATCTGGGCAGTGGCGGAAGTCATGCAGGCGAAGAAAGCGGATGTGAGAGAAATGCCGAGCTGCTTGAAGCACTTGAAGGCAGATTTGGATTCGGAAGGCTCGAATCTGATAGTTTTGTTGTGCATGTGAGATGGGCGGGTCTTCCAGTCTGGGTGGATTGGAATGCCGATGGTTGAACGAGCGTAACGAGCGCCTGCGCGCTCTAGGGTTTGCGCCGCGGCGGCGAGGTCCTCGGGTGTTGGTTGGAATAGGCGCGAGTATGCGTGGCACAGCGATTGAGGGAGCCGAGGAGTGATGTCTAGTAGGAAATCCGGGGAGAAGATGGCGTCGATGCCGCGCTCCGTCTCCGGGCGTGAGAGTTGCTTCATAAATTCTTGGACCGGTTCGTAAACTGGGAGATCAGTGAGAGTGTGAGATACGTTGTAGACGCAACCCCGAGGGCCACGGATAGGGTCGACGACCAGAGTCATGGTTGTCTTGTCCAGGGGACGGCGGATAAGCGATTGTCGGACTTCCTCCAGGGAAGTGTTGGTCGCGATCAAGCATCTTTCAGTCGCCCAGCGTTTTGCTGCTTCAGCGGTGGTGTGCGGTTCGAAGTAGGCCTGCTCCAGGTCGGTTTCAGTGCCGATGACTGGGAGTGCGCGTCGTGTGCGCCACCACGCTGCATGACAGCGCTTTTTCAATTGCTCGCATGTCAAGGTCGTGTCGAAACTGGCCAAGGCAATCAGCTCGAACTAGAACTCTGTTAGTGGGGCCGTGAATTGAGAATATCCAGATTCACTCACGTTTCCTTCGAAATGATGCTGGGAATGCTGAGCCATCAATTCAACCCCGCGCAATGGTCGTGCCATGCGCGTACCCGAGTTGACCAGCTTCCATTCTGAATTGGAAGCTGATGTGCTTCCCTGGACACCCACTGAAGACTTCATCGTAAGGGATAACGATCGCAAAAAGGAGCGGACACGATGGAAGAGATGATATTCACTGTCACTTTGGGGTCAGAACCGGCACCACACGGGTCAAAGTTTCATTCTAATTTTTCTTTTCCAGTAAATATCCAATTCAAATTCGTATCTTCTAATGTTTTGTCCGCTTTTCTTTTCCGTGTATTTCTCCCAGGGGAAAAGATCAACTAGAAATATCCACCATGGCGATTTGATAGACCACACCTGGGTACTAGCGGCAGGGCGATACGAGTATTGGTATTGTAAAACAGGGCGTATTAAGCTTAAGGTTACCCGATCGGCATGAAAACCGTGGGTCACTTCATCTTGCAGACGCCACTGAGATCCCCTGCTTACGGTACTGTAATCCCGAGCATCACTAGCCGATCTGGTTTTGCACATCTGCCGATCGCAATAACCATCTTTTTGACTGGGATCCATCGATCCCGCTAAAATCTCGCTATCATTGGAGAATCAATGCCAAGGTTTCCGGAGCGGACTCCATAACCACCTTGTAAGTAAGACCATGTCCATGACGTGTGGGTTCACGGTTCAGCTCCGATGGTTCAGGCCCACGTCTTCCTTTTCCCCCCTGAGCGGATCGTCTTGGATTGTTCAAAACTAGCTCGATTCTGCATTTTCCCTATGTCACGGCTTCTCTTAGTTTAAGAATTCCTTTTGAAACTCGGGCAATTTTAACCGTTGTCATTCTTTCTCTCCCCGGGTTTACGCCGAACTTGCCCCACTATGAGTGCCGATTATACTGCCGTCCCAGTCTCACTCTGGGACGCGACTGTCGCCAAGTAGGTCATGCTCAACAAGCCATTGATACCTTGCTGATCGTGGTGTGATAGCACTGATATTTTCGTATGTATTGTACAGGTCACCGCCATTCCATACTGACATGCTTGGTTAGGCCCGCGGCAATTTTGTCTTCGACGCGGCACTATCTTTCGAGAAACTGCATGCAGCATGGCTCGATGTCTTACGAGCTCGGCCCATAATCCAAGCGCGCTTGCGCCGCTCTAAGACTGCACCCTCGGGGCTCGATTATCATGTCTATACCCCTGAGGGCCTGGAACGGTACTTTCAGCGCCAGGCTACGGTCCCAGATCACTTGAAGGACTTCCTATGCGTGGACCAGTCCAAGCGATCATTCAGTGAATACTCCCCGGCCCTAAGCCGCTCCGCGCAGGGCTCCCAGGGCATCTTCATCGCCGATGCAGCGGAGCCCGAGGATTACAGGCGCTGCACATGCTATAATGCGGTGACAACCGTGAAGGAGCTGCTCGATTCGGACCGTCCCGTCATGACGATCCAAGTGACTCGGTTCAGCGACGCAACTCTCATCACATACTCCTTCAATCATCTCATGGGCGATATCTTTGCCATCAAGGATGTTTGCACAACTTGGCAAGATGCTTTGAATGGGAAGCCTATCTCGCCTTGGGAACGACTTGATCAAGACCCTTTCACCGAGTACGGCCCCGGTGGAAAGCATGCCGGTGAGCACGCCAACGCCGACTCGCCTCCCCTGCCCCCAGGCTGGCGCATCTTCGGCCTCCTCGACAAAGTGCGGTTCATGTCCCGCATGCTCTGGGACATCAAACACACCAGGCCCGAGAAGAACTTTTCTCAAAAATACATCTTTATCCCAGATGCAGAGATCAACCGTCTAACTGAAGAAGCAAAGCGCGATCTCTTGGTGGTTGCGGAGAAGCGCACGAAGCAAGGTGCACCACCTCAATCTCCACTCAAGGTCACTCGCTCGAACGTGATCTATGCCTGGATCCTCAAGCACAACCACGAACACTTGGACCCCGAGCAAATCAGCACCCCCGTTACCGTCGCCAATGCCCGTGGCCGACCGCCCGCCGGGCTAGATCTCAAGTCCGACGACATCCCCCCACACAACTGGTGGAACGGGTCATATCTTGCCTCGCTGCCTAGTTTGAAGGTGCGCGATCTCCGAAATATGTCACTGGGTGAATTGGCCCTCCACGTTCGGGAGGGCACAGACGTGGGTTCTACGCCCGAGAGCGCACGACGAATGATCTCTTTCGGGTTACACAATGGCTCATGGAAGAACCCAACGGGCAAGCTTGCCTTCTGGAGTCCGCCCAACCACTGCTGGTCTGGATTGACGGATTGGCGTGCCGCCGGCTTCCACCAGGTTGATTTCGCTCCTGCGCGACTGACTGGAACCGGTCCTGTCTCTGTCTGCTCTCTCCACATCACCATGGCCATGGCTGGCAGTCAGCGAGATCGCTGGGCTTGCGTGGGAGACTTCGGCGGCGGTACCTGGGTCATGGGTATGGCCACGGACGCCGAGTGGCGGCTTCCCACCGGGTTTGGCAAGTATCCTCACCACCAACGTCCGGCCAAGACGGCCACCTCGATCGATGAGTATCGAGTACAAGAGCCTCTGTAAGTCTCGAAGTTCGCTATGCTCAATTGCTGGGAACGATGCTGACCTGATTAGGAAAATCCAAGCCAAGCTTTGAACGATATAACGCGCTACTGTTTCGCTTCACGGGCTCGACGCCTAGATTTCTTATGTTTTCTTTGGACTGGCTCCGAGAGCAATTCATGTACTCATATACGGCATTGCTCCCTTCTTTTAGCACTCGCCGACTGTCTTATTCAAATTACTTTTCTTTCACACGAGCTGGACTGGGATTCTAAACGATGTGCCATCCCTAGGTATTCATGATGAACATGGTGCACAGTCAGTGAGAGGTCTTGAATGTCCCCAAACCAACTCAATCGACTTGAGCTCCCAAGTTCAAAGCACAATTCGGATCTATTAAGAGAGATATATGGAAAATCTATGTGTAACCCCTCAGAGTAGCACTGTACAAGAGTCTATTTGGCGGGGGCCGCCTTCCAGAACAACCATCCAAAGGCAGCGACGAACTTCAAACCAGCCGCCATCCAAAGAGCAGATTCCATGCCCCCGCTGCTGCGACTCAACCAACCGCCCACAATCGCGCCGATCAGCAGAGCGACCACCCCGCCCACGCGACGATTCCGCTTCACATTGGCGGTCGGCTTATCCGTGATCTTGGGATCCGACGCAATATCAAAGTAGACACTGGTCAGAACCACGGTCGGGATTTCATTATAGCCCAGCGCGCGACTGCACGTCATTCCGCCCGCGGACTGGAAAGCCAAGAGCGCGATGGGGATCAACTCGAGGAACAGCGGCCCCCCGTCCAGGGAGGCGTCACTGGAGGTGTGGGGGATGAGATCGGCTTCGATGAGGGCAACGGCGATGATGATGAGGATCATTTGGGCGAGGAAGGAGACGAAGAGAGTTCCCCGGCGGAGGGCGCCGACACTGCGCATGACGGTCGAGAAGATCATGGCGCCGAAGAAAAAGGCCAGGATCGAGACCATGGACTTCAGCCAGCCCCACGGCTTGCTGGAGGGCTGGTTGGAGGCACCGAGGCCCAGGAAGATGGTGTTTCCTGTGTGGAGGTTAGCGTTTGCGCTGGTGTGCCCCTTGCGCGGGGGGTCTCGTACCGGTTTGCATGCCGAGGAAACAGGACCATGCGTTGTAGGCGCTGCTATCGCATAGTCCCGTTAGGAAGCAGAGGAGAAGACAGACGAGGTCGGCATGGGTGGTGGACAGGTTCTGTTGCCATTTCTGCAGGACGCTGGATTGCTTGACGGGGGCATTGGGGGCCTCCAGATCCTGGGGCGCGGGATCGCTCGTCTTCTCCATGGCAGAATATCCAAAACACCAGAATATCCAAAACACCGTGGTTAAGGGGAAAGAAACAAACTCTTCCCGACTCCCGAGGGAAAGTCAACGCGGCACGAACCGACAGCCCTACGTGACTAAGGGGGCAATAAACAGCAATTTCATTCGCCGACTCCTGCTTGCTGCCTGTTCAGCACGCAACTGTGGAGAAATATTACGGATAGGGCTGAAGGGTCTATACTGTGTTGGAAATCTCTGTTGTTTCGTCTCTGTGATTCCTGGTAGACCATAGTGCAGCTCTTCTACGCGGATAACGGTAGGTATCTCCCTCGAATACTATGTACCTAGGTAGGTATATGGTGTGACCCATGTTGGTACTAAGCAGCTATTTATATATTATCTTGTCAGATGGAACTCTTTGGTCGAGAATACGAAAAAACCATACTTGCGAGTAAACAGATATAGTTACCAAAGTAGACAGACTGGAGCCTCTGCCTCTACGAATGGACTGAACGATCTTGCTCAAGCCGTTGCTTTTCTGGGATCGCACAATCTAGCACATGGCGACCTACGGCCGGGGGATGTATTACTGGATCGGAGCCGGTTGAAACTGTCAGATTTTGACTCTGCGGCCGAAATCGGATCACATTTTGAGGCCTGCATGGCACCGTATGGAAGAGTCCTGAATGGCGAGCAGGCACAGACGGAGTGGAAGTCGGTCCTCGAACCGAACAATTCGCCTTGGACTCTTTATACTACCACCAGAATATGGAATTTCCGAAATTAGATGGTGAATCGGTAATTGACGATATTCTTGACTGCTGGCACAACAAATATCCTACGATTGGGGACTTGGCTGCATGCACGGCAACCCTCGGAAGAAACAAGGCAACCAGGCCAGGAGGTGACGGCGAATTACCTGGCTATGGGATAGCCGTGCCATCGGTCAGCACGACTCGGATAATTTCTCCCCGAAACGATTCTGCGAGAACCTTGGAAGCCAAACCAGCGTGGACTTCTTCAGATGCTTTATTCGGGAGAGCCAGAGCAGCTTGGGTTTAGGATCGAGTGGTATAGGTCCACCAATTGAACGTCCCGGGTTCAGTAGACAACCTGAGAACCTTGGAAGGAGAAAATCAACGGAGATGATGCATATCACAAGGAACTAGGTTCTACAGGTCGTACCTCTACTGCCCACTTGGGCTGCGGGCAGTACTTTGTACCGTGTCGGACTAATCTTTGTGTTTGTATTTAATGTACGGAGTATAACATCCATGAATATATTTCACCTCGTCAAGTAAAAATACACCTTCCCAGGCCACTCCTTACTCTCCATACATGCAGCCACCATGTTATGTTTCACAGCCCTGTAATGGACGATCATCGGCCGCGCATCATAAACCAATGCGGCAGAGACCACTCCGTGGTATCTGATTTCACGTAACTATCCTCGGGTCAGATCCCCCCTTGCAGAGAGCGGTCAACTTACCGACGCCCGTCCCCAGTCTTCGTAGCAAGTCCGCTCACCGTTTCGGCCGACGATCAGCGGGGCCACATCATCCGTGGTATCAAACGTGTTCCCGAACCAGTTCAACTCCTCCAGTACCTTTTCAAATGGATGGTCGGTGATGAGAATATGTCCATCCCATTCGCCGATCAGATTGTCGGGCTGGAGGGGCTTGAGCTGGTGGAAGAGGCTGTTGATTTCCTTGCTGGTGACACGGGGATTCTTGGAGAGAGTGATAAACTGCTTGGCCGGAGTCGGGTGGAAATAGTCCAGGGACATGATTGGGAATTGGATCGTCATATCGTCTTGGCGGTTGTGATCGGGGCGAAAGGGGTGTGTACTCCGTACGTCAATTTTATATTAGTTCACGAACAAATATGTATATCCAGTCCTCTCTTCATCGGCGGGCTTCAAGGCCTCATAAGGTTCTCGGAATATACACTAGGGAACCAGCGTTTCCGGCGCTTCAGCTTATTCTCCCATGCAGCGACACTTTGATCGGCCACGTCCCTACAGCCTAATTAGGGATTACTTTCTCTCTGATTCGCCTGAAACAAGACAGTCGCCCATATGTACGGAGTATGTAGGATAGGATTCGCGCCTCTAAAATGCGGCCAATACTCTTGGCCAATGTCCGCTCTCTCATTTGTATCAGATCCCACTTGAATGCATACAATGCTCACTGATCTGATAAAAGGCTAAACAAGGGCCCAGGTCTATCAAGCCCTGAAGATCTTGCCACATTCCAGTGCCGCCCCCCGCTAGTTTGCCTGTCGATGAATACTAGTATGTTCATTGGAGGTTTTGGAATTCGCTTTTCAGCAGTGTCAAGCATGAATTTCGCATGGTTTGTTGGAGTATAGAAGTACTTGATGAATATTATTCTCCATTTGCCTGCCTCACGCTTGCATTTATCTCACGCCATGGGCAAACACCAAGACAATGAAATGCACGAACCTCACATTTGGCCAACGTCCGACAAATGAATCTGTGTCTCGCCGTATTTGGAAACTCGAAGCCACATCCTTTCAAAGTTCACCACATCCGGTGCCTGGTTTGCTTCAACCCCAAGGATTGATGCATACCCAATCATACACTACCCCCAGAAAGACATGAAACTCAAGCCATTTATACCATCAATATCACTTACAGCCCCCACGTCTTCTCCACCTCCGCACAATCTTTCTCAATAGCATCCCACTGCAACGCACCCCACCTCCCCGGCTTCTCAAGCGCATCAACAAAATGCTTCAAAGCAAGCACCGTCTGCGTCGCCCAACGCTCCGCACTAACTCGTCCTACTCCAGCCGCCAACGGAGTCATCAAAATCCTCTCGATCTTGCAATCACCCTCCCCACAATTCCGATTAAACCCTTCAATCTGACACAGCAAGCTCCAAACACACTCATAGACCACCTCCCGGTCCCAGCTAACATTGCCAGGCTCACGCATCGTAGGACAGATCGCAACCCAGGAGCATCCGTATGCGTTGACATTCAGCGGTTCTGGGAACGGAACAAGCGTACATGAGCCTGGGGGTGCAAAGCCGCGCCATCTCTCGTAGAGAACTTTTTGCGCAGCGCGCGTCAGAGCATGGTAGTCTGTGCGTGGGCTGAAGGTTGCTGAGATGGCGTGGTCGAAGGCGCCGTCTAGGCGGGCATAGGAATTGGCTGGGGAGACAATCAGGTCGAAGGTTGTGCCTACTGGGAGGGAGTTGAGGCGCTCGTTTATGGATTTGATCTTGACTTTGGTGTCGTTGTGAGATGGCCAGGTTGTTTTTAGTGCGGTGTTGAAGGCTGTGATGAAGTCTACATCCATGCAGAGGAGCTGCACTTCGGGGATGTTTGCAGTCATGTTGTCGGGTTGGTTTTTTTACTTTGGATGTGCGAATTCAGAGTCTCAAGTACTTCTTACGTCGCTGGAAAGTCCAAGGCAGCACTGAGCATTGTACGGGAGCACTGCCCCAGAGGCTGTGTTCCCCGCTTTGAGGGTCGCTGATTGACGGCGACATCGGCAATAAGCTGATGGATTGACAGCTTGTTTCTTGTACATTCGGGGCAGTTTTTGGAATTTCGACTGGAGTTAGTGCGATGAGGCTCAACTGGGGCTCTGCTGATTTAGCCACTGCCACCTCCAGGTCAAGTTGCTCGTCAAGTTGCTCATCGGAGCAATTAATTTGAACTTTCGGCGTCAATTTTGATTGGGGAAAAGTGCCATGAAAAATTTCGGATGTCTCACTGGATTTGCTCTGCAAACGGCCTGATTCATGAATTCTCTACATGGGAGGACTGAGCAGCATAGAACGAGACTACCAATATCCTTCTGACGACTGGTTCTTGGCTTTGACTAACAGGTCGAACTTCTTTGTCCTTCCCACTGATGAAAGAATGGCATTGTTTTCACTTGGGCACTGAAGATGAATGCCATTGCCTTCGTGCACAATGGCCTTGAAAATCTCTTTGCTAGAAGATAAAAGCCTATGTTCAAGCAAAGCAGGCCGGCAAAAAGCGACCCCATTGTTAAGGGAAACCCCGAGACATCCAGTTAGTATAAAGGATCAACTCCCATCCGCGAGAAAAGCAACCATCACACCATAGTGTAGCGACAGTGTTTATATTCCAGATACACTAAACACTCGAGCGCAGCAATGTGTCACCAAATCATCTGGTCATACAGCCTCTGCAATCACCCATACCCAGAGGCCAGCTCCTCCGTTCCATGCCAGAAAGCACTTCGCGAAGGCTACGAGTGTGTACAAAGCCGACAAACCGAGTCCAGCTTCCCGGTTCCTGGCAAATGTCTGGAATGCAATTATAAGGCTCACGAGGAAAGACTGGACCTCATGCGTAGACTTCGAACACGGAACCGGGGCCGGGGTCCAAGCCGTGCTGCCCTGGATGCTGCGTTTGAAATCGAGGAGGAAGAGTGGTACTCTGATAGTGAGGGTATGACTGAGAGTGAGATCGATTTGAATATGCCTCCTGGCTGTGCCGGCACTCGGAGTTCTCCTGCTGACGCCGCTGAAAAGACGGATAATAGGATGGTGCACCATCGTGGACCAGCGAGGAGAGCTAGGTTGGTTATTCCTTCGACGCCCATTATCTCTCATTGTGCTATTGTTGAGACCGAAGAAGAGGATGACGATGATGAAGAGCCGGCTCCACGTGGTATTAGCTGGCGCTCGTGGATTCCTCTTCCTACTAGATTACTTCGAACACAATCAGATCTGAAGGAGGCACTGACTGAGAAGGAGCTGGCGGAGAAGAAGGCGGCGGCGGCATGCAAGTCTGCAGTTTGGGGTGCTGTCACGAAGGGCTGGAATTGGCAGTATCTGGTCCCTGCTTCGAGTGAGAAATGAACCTTCGAAGCACGGAGTACACTGGTCGGGTTCTGCTGCCCAGGTGGTGTGCCTTGAGGCACCCGGCCTCATTTTTTGGAAAAGGGACAGCCTGGTAGTGGCCTGGTAGCTAGCATCATGACTTATCTCTTGGTATTTTCTTGGACAAACTTAGCGGGCAGTTTAATTCGTGCCTTAGCAAGAGATACCTAGGTAGGATCCATGGATATTTTCATTGTCGAAACATATATATCAGGCCCGAATGTTCATGACCGTGGACAATTAATCTTCGTAGATACCCTGATCGAATTTCTCTCGGTCAAAGAACCGCGCCACGATAACATTTCCATTGAAAAGGCGACCCTCAAGAGCATTGACAGCCTAGTTCAGGTAAGAAGTCAGACCAGACAAGATAACAGGCGTGGATCTCAGATACTTACACGTAGAGCAGACAGCGGACTGACGAATTTGACAAAGACAGGAACAGGGTTACCGGCGTTGCGAGCAATAAAGACTCGTTCCACAGTTCCATACTGTATATGTGTGAGTTCCAAGACTTTCAAATGAAATGTAGGAAGACTTACCTTCTCGTTACACTCCTCGCCAATATCCTGCATCAAGCCACCATCATGGCTGCTCTCCAGTTCGGAGTCGATATCAATACCATCAAGCATGCCCCACAGAATGATGACTTCACACATGGGGCCGAACTTGCTCTCATACTGGTCAGACCTTTTGCTTCCGATGATCTTACCCCGTCCAGCGGGTGTCACAAAGCCACCACCTTCAGAATCGGGTCGCTTCTTGCGCTTCTCAACCTGAACCTGCAGTGGCTTCACCATGCCAGAGCCGGTAGCGCCAAGTCCAGTTCCCTTGGTCCATCCATACTTGGAAAGCAATCTTTCCGCGAAGCCCTGTTGGCCGGGTCGGTTTGAGCGAGGCGCACCTTCATTTGGTTCTCCTGCATCCTGCTCTTCTTGCGCTAACGCAGCTTCTAGTTCGGCTTCAGAAGCAGGAATGTCTTCGGGGGGTGGTGGCAGATTGTAGCGGACTGGAGCCCGGGAGATTGTTGCGGAGCTAGGTTGGAAGGTGTCGAGAGGTTTTGGTTGAGCGGGTGGAATATCGGGTCGGGGAATCTGGTATGGCTCCTCGGGTGGAGGTGGTGGGGGCTGTGTGTGTGTAGATTGAGCTAGAGCTGCGCGTCGAGCAAAAGCGTCCTCCCCAGATGCATCATTCGGAACATCGGTAGGAGGCGGGGGTGGGGGCACGTCATTGATGTTAGGTGGGGGCGCAAAGCTGCTGGGAGGCGCGAATTGCTCTTTGAGAAACAGTCAGTACAGTCTTTACGGGTGATGGTAGATCAGCGCATACTGTTTGTTGGCTGGGCATCACCTTCACTATCCGAATCCTGGGTTGGAGAACGTCTCATCCGATGTCTGTACAGATGGTCTTTCCATTCTCGAACTTCACTGATTTTCTCATCGCTATGCCGGTATTCTTGGTAGTTGGTTGGCCACGTAGGATCATAGGGGGCATCCCAATCCTCGGCAACATGAACTTGCTCGTGGGGGTTCTTCTTGCGCTTCTTTCTTCCGCCGCGTTGTCGCTTATTGCCCGCGTAATACTCGTGATCGTCCTCCTCTCTGGAAGTCCAGTCGGCCACGGTGCTCTTCACTGACACCGATGGCTGGTTGGGGGTGGGCTGTGGCGCTGCCTTGGGGAAAGCGTGCTTGGGCTTGGGCTTTTGGGATGCTTGTTGCGGTCTTTTTGTGGGTTGAAAACGGAGTGAAGCTGTCCAGGAAGCAAAGGGTGAGACGAGAGGCTTTGCAATAATCAAGTTGGTTCCAGGAAGTTACCAGTATTCAGTTGTTGCTTCTTGGCTGTTGAGTCCTCGGCTTGCGACTCGGACTCTGAGCTCTGTTTGAAGACAACTGGTGCGCGAGAGATAGTCCCTGGTGCATCAGAGTCCCCTAGTAGATTCGCATAAAGCGACATCCCACCTTTGGGGGGGCCTTTGCCCTGTTCAGAAGTCATGGTTGTGGTGCGGAGTGGTGTCGGCGGCCTGAGAACGGCGGCGGCCGTCAAGATGCGATAAGGCGGTCTGCGCCTTATCTTTCTCTTTGGGTTTCGTTCAACTTTCTATACTATTTTCTATACTATTTTCTATATTTGCTTCCATTATCTGCTCTCATACGTATATCTGACCTTATACAACCTGAGTCTTCTGTCAGGATGTTCGATCAACATGACCTGAACTTGGCATAAACTACACAATACCCTTTAGTCTCTGGTGACAGTGAAGCGGTTTAGCGTTCCTATTTAGGTTTAGCGTGCCCCTGCCCTATACCATCTCCCTCGCCGCTGCAACATGTTGCCGCTTTCTCTGCTTCTCTCCCCCTTTTGCTCGCCCCCGGTTATGCGCTGATGGTGAGGCATTCTGATGGCGACACAGATTGGGAAAATCTTCTTGATAAAAGCTTTCCTAACCCACCAAATGAGGAAGCGGTCATCGATCGAATCTCTGGCCCTATATTGACCAGGTCGCCAATGTCCCAGAACTCCGGACAACCCCAATTCTTCGGTCTAGGAAGAATATCTGATATCTAGATCCAGTTGGTAAACGAAGATTGAAGTGGGACCAGTACGCCGTCTGTGGCCAGCTCAGCTATTGGGTCACAACGAATACCTATTGTGTAAGGCACGGTACAGGAGCAGAGGAGTTTGTGCTGTCGATGATCAGACCTGTCTATGGGTCTGCAGCTAATTGGATGTTTATCCATCCATCCACTCAATATTTAGCACGCTTTGATCTTATACTTATACAACAAGACATTTTATTAGAGATCACATTATTCTTAATCTCTTCATTTTCCCTTTTTTTTTATCACTCTTTCTCTTATACTTATACAACAAGATATTTTATTAGATATCACGTCATTCTCGATCTCTTCTTCTTCCCCTTTGCTCTCGGTTCTCTAGCTCTCTCTAGCTCCATCTCAATCAACTGATCGATCTCTTTCTTCTGCTACACCCATTATGCTAATAATATGATACCTTAGTAGACCCACTATGTTGGACAAATATTCGATTACGAAGACAGTCGGTGAAGTTCCTAGGTAAGGACGAAGTCATCATTCATGAATGCAATGAAAAGCTCGCTGGTGTCTTTTACAAATATTGCCCCAAGTACAAATATCATGTGTCTGGATCTAACCGACAGAAGAAATCTAAGAGCTACTCGCAAGAAAGAAACAGGCTAAAAGCCATGAGATTGATTGGTTGGGAAAGGAAAGGCAAAAGAAAAGCAAAGAGCTAGAAACTATGGAAGCGGATCACCCATGTGATCCAACAAGAAGAATTTGCTTGAATGGGCCAAGAAGTTGCTCATAGTAGCGGTCTCGGTGATCGATGGGTGCGAGCTTATCAGCCACTCCACTGCAATTCTTGACTAATACGTCAAATAGGGACAGCCACGGCATGAGCTCCTAGCTTGGTTCAGCTTCGGAAATAGCGGTTTGGGGATATAGCAAATCCATTCAACGTAGACTCATTGTAGCATGATGCAGTCCAAATCTACTTAGCTTCGGAATATTGTAGGGTTGTTCTCTAGTTATGAGTAATATGGAAACGCCAGTTAAGGTAGCCTTACTATATAGATATTAAGCTCCGACAAGTCATGGTTGGGAGGGCCTGAACAGTCTCGTACGTATGTGATAATGGATATATAAGCATTCATGCAAATGTGTTGCCACTCTCCATTTGTCAAGTCCTAAAATCAGGGTGGCCCCCAGTGCGAGACTATTCGACAAAGGGTCCTATACGCGGCCGGGACTTCGAACATCCTACAGTGGAAAACGATTGAATCGCCATCTGAAATTCTCGCTCGTGATTATGGAAATCGGTCCGTTCGCCCACAGGCCCATGAAATGATATACATAGTTAGTACGGTCTAGGCCGCGGGCCGACCCTTTTCAAACTATGCCAGCGTGCAAACATTGCTTCCAAGGTTCCAACCTTGGAAGGTTAATAGTAACGGTCACATGCCAACCGCGTCTACGTACATACTCATCATTATCCCCATGCCCTGCCTGACGGATTTCATCCTCTGTTTCACACGATGACAAGCACACAACATTGGTTCCAACAGTGAGTGGAAGTCTTAATACTTATTGACTCGGACTAATCTTATGCTTTAGGCCGATATCCGATCTTCCGAAAATATGCTACCTACTGTCACTATTCGACCAGCCTCCGAAAACCAGGATAATCACAAGCTCTTGACAGTTGGGATTTTCGCCGAAATATACCTTTTGAACGATCATATTATAAGGAAAATTTCCCGTGGTCAGAGTGAAGAAGATCTTCAACCTACACTACGCGAGGCTCTGATATACGACGTTCTCGGAACTCATCCACGGATTACCGAATGGCTATCAAAGGGCATATCCGACTATACCGAGATCAAATACTATCCTCGTGGTGACCTTGTGAAATATTTGGATAGGAATTCAATTTCCCTCGAGCTTCGATCCAGATGGTACCAGCAGATCTTGGAAGCTATTGTTTTTGTCCATAGCCGTGGTGTTATCCATTCCGACATTGCTCTGCGTCAGTTTTTTATTGACGAGAACTTCGATCTACGACTCGGCGATTTCAACTCTTCGCATTGCCCTAGCCATGTAGCGCTTGGCTATGAGAAAGCATCACACTGCTTACCACGAGATTATGATCTTCCTAACACGGAAGCCTCCGACATCTTTGCCCTAGGATCTACGCTCTATGAGCTAGTCACTGGCGAGGCCCCCTATAGCGAACTTTATGGACCAAAATCAGACGATCCGGATATCATCAAAGCTCAACTCCGACGACAGGACGTGATAGACCATGAGATTGAATCACGCTACAAAAATGGCAATTTCCCGGATGTCTCCGGTCTATTTGGAGGGGAAATCATATTAGGCTGTTGGAGAGGGGAGATTTCTACCGCTCAAGGGGCACTTGATTTGTAATTGCACAGCTGATCTGTTTTAAGGACCATTTTCTATAAGCAGAACTAGTATTTACCGACAGACGGTTCCCAATAAATTCTAGTTCAAACCACACATTATTTGTCTAAAGTCCACTCACAGAAAGTACCCAAACCATTTTTAAATCATTTGGACTTTTCTTATAAATGTCAAGGAGTTAATCCTCCAGCTAGCAGGGTAGAGAGAAATTAAAGCAATCAGCATAACTAAGCCAACAATGATTTATGCGTTTCATAGTGGAAAGTACTGAGACACGGCGCGTGGAAATATCACGGTTTGGCGACCCAAAGGCCACGCACAATCGTGTCCTTCCCATCGTCACCCAGACTTATGTATCTCAGTCTTCGTCCCCCTCCTCCGAACCACTCACCTGTCAAATCCCTCAACTTTCATTCCAAGGTTGTTCGCCATGGCACCAAAACCAGATCCCAAGGCACTAGGCAAACCGTCCGGGGTATGTGCATGCGTGAATCCCTCCCCTCAAAGCGTTCCTTGCACGAGGCAAATGCCTGTTTGAACACCTGGATGTCTCCCAATTGACGAGAATGAAGTCATTAAATGCCCCCATTGCAGCTTTTACCATGGCAGTCCTTCTTTGCTCTTACTGTTTCAGCTCAATTCGAACTGCTCGGCGCGATGCCCAGATCCAAGCCTCCAACGGGCCCAAGTCCGCTCAGCGAAACAGGCCATCTGAAAGAAAGGACGAGTCTTGGGTTCAACAGGCTCTCGAGGAAAGTCGAGCGCAAAATCCCGAAAAGGGACGATGAAGATCTATTGTCTCGACTCTGGGAAAGTTTGAGAATGGTTGTTTGTAAGACTAATGGATGGAACGCATTTGTTTGCTGTTTGCTGTTATGAGCCAGTATTGATTTTGAACTACCTAGGTATTGATAAGAAAGAGATCTTCCAAGCAAATGACAATGTTTGCATCTTCATATTCAATCAGAATTTTCAGTGTATGAATGATCATGCACCAGGAGTCCAAGTGTATTGACAACCTAGTTCAATCTTGAAATGTTCATCATGCGAATATCGAAGAGCGTGTCACTGCAAGGAAACAAAAAGAGTTCCAATGCAAAATGGTTCAAAGTGCAAGGTGGTCTCCTTCCACGACCTTGGAGATTTGATATGGAGCAACTTCGAGCAAAAACTCGAGTTGACGACTTGTGTTAGCTGCAATTGTTTCTGATCCAAAGGATGATTCAGGAATGAGGTATTGCCAATGGTGCATCTCTCATTACAGTGCCAGCATGAAAGCACTTGAAGACCAGAGACACAGGTCAATTGGAGAAGATGTTGGAGGAAGGGTTGGGGGAATGACAGGAAAATTTTGCGGGAAGCGGGTTTTAATATTGTATCACGTGATGTAGGCTACTGGGTGGAGGCTCTTCTGCTCATACACTATACAGTAGAGCAGCAAAGCCCCAATATGCTGGTCAGCAGAAATCAGTATTCCCCTCGAAAACATTCTGTGAAATAACACGCATCTTCGGTCAGGTATTTTGCTAGTATTATGCCTTGCAGCGCGATAAGGAAGCTATGTGCTAGCTGAGTATATATACAGTGAGACTGTAAATATGTTGCTGCAAGAAAATCGACAAAGCCATCAATTGAGGTTGGACCATGCCAATTAATTTGTGAGCATCAAATAACCAAATGTCATACTACTGCCCAGGTGGTAGCACAGCGCGAGGACTTCATTAGACATTGTCTTGGCGTGTGGGGCTAACCTTCACCTCCGCACCTCCATCGCTTCTCCTCGATTTGAAGTCAAGACCAATTCTTTGTCAGAATGTCACTCAGACGATCAGCACGGCTGGGGTCTATGCCAGCCAAGGTCCCACAGATCTCGAGTAACGCAAGAATTCAGCACAGCGCAGTGACCAAACCACGCAAAGCAACCAAGCCTAAGATCACACAACCAAAGCCAAAGGCATCATATTGGTCACCGGAGCCAGAGAAGGCAAACCAAGAAACCGAGCCAAAGCTCTCGGCAACTAACCCTCACCTCAGACCATCCACGCCTCCTCCCCTCGACCGCCCCGTGGATCCCCACCGGACAAACGCAACTCTCCTCACCCCTCATGGATCAACAGTGAACGCCTACCCAGCCCATGCAGAAGATGCCTCACCCACGAAGACCGGTCTCCCCCGACCCCTCGCTACGACGGGGACTCTGCTCGAAAAAGCGACGGCGCACTTGATCGCGACAGATCCCCGCTTGACGACAGTAATATCACAGCACCCGTGTCCACTCTTCTCGCCTGTTGGATTGGCAGAGGAAATCGACCCATTTAACAGTCTGACCAGCAGTATTATCGGACAACAAGTCTCTGGTGCAGCGGCCAAGTCTATCCGCAACAAATTTCTCGCATTGTTCGATTTGCCTGAGACTATTGCTCCGGATGGACATCGGCATGACAAGTTCCCAACCCCAGACCGAGTGGCTCAATGTGATATTCCCACGCTACGCTCGGCGGGTCTGTCACAGCGCAAAGCGGAGTATATCCAGGGTCTTGCGGAGAAGTTTGCAAATGGAGAGCTTGGGGCGAGAATGTTGGCCAGAGCGACTGACGAAGAACTGTTTGAGAAACTGATTGCCGTGAGGGGCTTGGGAAAGTGGTCTGTTGAGATGTTCGCTATGTTCGCACTCAAGCGCATTGATGTCTTCTCCACTGGTGATTTAGGTGTACAGTAAGTCAAATGTTTTCTTGCTCTCGGTGCTGCACATCCTATCACTTCTGTGCTTGGGGCCCCTTTGCACCTTGATGCCTCGGAATTCCTGCTAACACAGCTGCAGAAGAGGCTGTGCGACATTCGTGGGTCGTGATGTGAGCAAACTCAAGGGCAAGGGAGGTGGTAAGTTCAAATACATGGCCGAGAAAGACATGCTAGAGCTGGCTGCCAAGTTCTCGCCCTACAGGTATGTGCAGATCCACTTGATGCCATCTTGATAGGACCTGGCCCGATAATATGCTTGCTCACATTGCCGCTGCAGGAGTTTGTTCATGTGGTACATGTGGCGGATCGAGAACGTCGACATGGCAGTTCTAGGGGGGTGAGAGGCAGGCTCTCCTGTCCATTGTGGTCCGAGGCGTGGTGGCGCCGTGAGGTCTCCCGTTCCCAAGTCAAGGTGGTAGGCTGCATATAACTACGGCGGGAGTTGGATACTCACCCTTGGACCCAACTTCCGCAAAAATGCACGGTGTATATTGAATCTTCAAACATACTTCATGACAGCAAAAGGTGTTCTGGGTGTAAGGCACCTTCATCTCGGCTGGGCTGCTGTCCAAGCTGACTACCGGGCTGGGTTCGCATTGTACATTACCAGATTCGTGAGAACTCATACAGTCGTGCATCTATTTCCTTTAGACATTTCATGGACCCAATATCCACATCTCATTTACAGACACAAGTGAAAGCGCGAAGAAAATCGATTTGTACAGTAACAAGTACACTCAGGCTGCGTGACCAAGCCATGGGCCAACGGTGCCCAATCCATTACGAGAAACACCAGGCGTCTATTTCATGCCAACAACATGCTCCCCAATCCATTTTCATATTCTATGGAGCAAACAGGCACCGCTTACTTGCGGACAACAAGGTTGTCGAGGTCAGCGCGCTCCTGAGCCTCCTTCTCAACCTCGCGGATGATGGGGCTGAGGTACTCAACGTCCTATTTGAATCAGATCGTTAGCGATGTGTCCATTGGGGTGGGTGGATGTGCTCAAAGTGAGTCGGGGTGAAAGTGACAAATCCGGGCAACAGGATTGGCCGATATGGAGACTAATGCGGGGAGGACGAAATTTGGATATCGGAATCAAAGACTCACCTCCTCGGGCTTGATCTGCTCGTTGGCAGGAAGGAGAGTGTGAGAGATAGAGCACTGCAATCGGCACCGTTAGACTTTGTGGCTCTCTGGAGAAGGGGCTTGTTCGAACCTGGAATGCACGGCGGATACGGAAGACACGGTCGTAGGCCTCCTTGGCGGGAAGGCGCTTGATGGCCTTCTGGACGTTCTCGGACTCCTCGGGAATCAGGTCATCGAACCTATTGAGCCGGTTAGTATGTGGTGCAATCTAACCCTGTCGCGAGCGATCTCCGAGGACCCGGGACCCCGGGCAAAATCGACATGACTGCGATCGCATTCAAATAACATGCGACCCGTCCAATGGCGATATGACCCGGTCAATTCCTGATCCTTGTTCCAATCGCTCGTTGTCGGGGTCGTGGGCGGGTGAGAATTACTTGAGACCGAGTCTCCTGTAGCCGGCGGCATCGGTGTACCAGTGGGAGAGAGGAGTCAAAAAGCTCTTGAGCCATGGGCGCTTGACGATGTAACTGGCGAGCGAGGGAGCAGACATTTTGAATCCCGGGTATCACAATTGACGGTGAGGTGAAGGGGTACGAAGGGCAAGCCGGCTGGAACACGAGATGACCCGATGTTGCGAAGTTGTGCAAAACGGAGCTAGAGAGACTAGTCCCAATGCAGTAACTATGTGCCTGAGGTGTTACATGCACGTGATCTGAGAGGGCTTGGTGCCTCAGGCCACAAAGTGGTGTCAATCGGCGCTCTCCACCTCACAGACGGATTCCCTATGTCATAACCCCTTCTCGACCTCTTTTTGTTTGATTCATGGGCTCGGGGGTCTTTGAATCTACAGCTGATATTGGATCCCTGCTTCGAGAAGCTTGTTTGTTCCGAAAACCCCGCCCACGTCCGTGCTGCACAGAAATTAGAACATTGCATTAAGCAACACCGGGTTCGGCAACCATCGGCCCCAGAGACTTCCCACTCGACCGCTCCTTTTCGACCCTCTTCACCTCGCGCATACTTCGACTCGTGGATTTCGGACGGACTCCCCGCTTTCTCCGACTCATATTTCAACTCGGCTTTTGGGTTCCGGATCGAGCACCCGATATGCTCGCGTCCGGGGGCCCTCGTTGATTCAGTACGGTCCGACAAGCTACGTGAGCGCCGGCCACCAAGATGAATTCCAACGGCCGAAGCGCTCCGGGCAGCTCCCCCGACCAGGCTCGGTCATACCATATCGACAATGCTCCCCACGCGCTCTCACCGAGCTCCGATCTCAAGTCTCGCCTTGAGATCTTTTCTACCAAGATCCCCAATGTCTATGTTGCACCTTTCTGCGGGGCCAGCGCTGGCGTCGCCTCCGGTATTGTCACATGTCCTCTCGACGTCATCAAAACGAAGCTACAAGCCCAGGGTGGGTTTCGACGGGGAGGGGCTCAAGAAGTTGCCTCGGGGGCACTTTATCGTGGGATGATAGGTAGCGGTAGGAGAATCTGGCGGGAGGATGGCCTCCGCGGTCTCTACCAAGGACTTGGTCCAATGTTGCTGGGATATCTCCCGACTTGGGCGGTCTATCTGGCGGTCTATGATCGCAGTCGTGAATATTTCTATGACGAGACAGGTAAGCTCCTCTCTAATCGCAGTGATCGAACATCTCACCAACCGATTCAGTTCCAGGAAGCTGGTGGTTATCTCGTGGCTACGCATCTATTAGTGCAGGTGCATGTTCCACCATCGTCACGAACCCTATTTGGGTCATTAAGACGAGACTCATGTCGCAAAGTTTGAAACAGAACAGCGAAGGAATACGTGCGCCATGGCAATACAAAGGCACATGGGATGCTGCACGCAAAATGTATCAAATCGAAGGCATTCGATCCTTCTACTCCGGCCTGACCCCGGCTTTACTGGGGTTGACTCATGTGGCCATTCAATTCCCCCTCTACGAATATTTGAAAATGGGGTTCACAGGCTACGGTATTGGTGAACACCCTGATACTGGCAGCTCACACTGGATTGGTATTTCAGTCGCCACTTTCCTGAGCAAGGTTTGCGCAAGTACAGTCACATACCCCCACGAGGTCTTGCGCACCCGACTCCAAACACAGCAGCGCACGGCACCGGCGCCATCTCCCGAGGAGATTGCTTTCCGGGGCGGCCTGAACCATCCACACGACCGTGGCCGCTCAGGCGGTATTTCTTCTTCCGATGGGATGCGCAATCGCCCACGCTACAACGGAATGATCCGCACAATCCAGACAATCCTTCACGAAGAAGGCTGGCGTGCGTTCTATGCCGGGATCGGCACGAACCTGTTCCGGGCCATTCCGGCTGCTATGACGACTATGCTCACATACGAATATCTGCGGAAGCAGATCAGTTCCTATCAACACGAGGGCATGATGAAGTTAAAGATGCAAGAAGAGAGTCAGGATTCTATTTGATACCCCGGCGGCCCACTCGAGGTCCATCAAACGAAAGGGACCAGTCCTCCACTCTCAAAGCTCAAAAGCGGAGTGCCATTCTGATTATTGAGCCCTTTTCTTCATTTTCTCACTGTATAGACGTGGGCAAGGCGGCTTACTCGAGATTTCCCGATAATCTTTTAGCGAGTTACATCTGGCTTCTGCATTCTGAACACATTTCTCGGCATATATGACGCCGGGATTTGAAGAGCATGTGAAAAGTCACATGCATTCATGTTTTCCTCTGAAAGACTTGAGCCTTGAGCCTGGCCTTTTTATAGCTTACTACCAAGTGTCTTCTATCTTGCTGACTTCTGCATGTTATTTCTGTACATACATCATTCTACATGCTCTTTATCGTGAATACTCTGAATAAATCCAAGGTTCTAGGAATATTTCTTTGGTAGCGCACGACTCAAAGTGGTTGATATCTCTAAATCAACCATGCAGAAAATAGCCAAGCCCAGAAAGTGGTCCGGGGTATCTGGTGCTTGTTCAACAAAGCAACATTATCTAGTGTGCAAATCTGAAATCCAACCTCTTACTTCCTTGCTCTCGAGTGTCCTTGATATAATCAGCTTTCTCCTCCTCGGACTTGGCATTCCAAACTTTGTCTCGTCTCCGATTCTCGAACACATAGTAAAGTTTCGCCGCGATAAAGACTAGGATTGCAAGAACGTTGATGGCAATCAGTGCGGTATTTCCTCTGCGGTATTTCGGCTTATCGTCATCTCTGTATATGAAGTAGGCAGCAATATCACCTGCTTGGACAGACATCTGTGCAATATTAGTACAGTTCGCACCCAACGATTCCGTTGAAGGACTCACGTTATAGAGTGCAGCTGCAACAGAGCGATTTCCCACATTGTTGGCATTACGCGAAACCCAAGCAACCACAATTGCTATTTTCGATGTTAGTACTCTGTATCCTTGGATCTCATCGATATGCAGCTCACATACCATGGCAATATGGGTAGCTCAGCAACACCGTTACCACAGCATATGTGCCCCAAGCATTCGAGATCACATCGGGCCAGAAGCGCAACGCAATTATACAGGGTAACGTCCAGATGGCCTGGAACATGGCAACTAGAGACCATTGATTCAGTCGACTCGAGATCCATGTGATCAGAAGGAGATTGAAGATATGGAAGACGCTGGCTGGGATTGTGAGTAGATTGGTGTTGAACTTATTGAAACCAACCGAACGAAGGGTAAGTGTAATGTATGAGTTCACGGGTGACTGAGGAATGTATGCAATGACTCCAATCACATATAATGGCCACATGTGATAGTCTTTGATAGCACCCCATAGTCGGCTGGGGGTAATGGCCTGACGATTGTGCATGTCTCCCTTGGAAGGGTCATCGCGGAGAACTCGGTTGGCCACAATCGCAATCTCACGGTCAGTAAACCACCCCTTTGGTCGGAACCAGGTTTTGGTCTGTACCACCGATGCTGGCATCATGAAGAAGGAAGAGAGACCAATCGCAAGGGTGATGAGACCCTCGATCAGGAAGAGCCATCGCCATCCCTCTAGGCCGTGGACTCCACTGAGATGGAAAACTGCAAATGCCAAGAGAGAGGTGATGATCGTTGTCACGGATAGTGATGTCCAGAAGAAGCTGAATGACTTAGCATGTGTTTCTGACGAGGGAAAGTGGAAAGCGAACCTCAGGCGCACTGGAAGTTCTCGGCTGGTGTAGAAGTAAGAGAGCCAGAGCACGATATCTGGGATGAAACCACCCTGCGAAATTAGCTGATTGCCTCCTCATCTGGAATCATACTAACCTCAAGCACACCCAGTAGGACACGCGTGGCGAAGAATGTCTTGCGATCGACGAGAGCACACTGCGAAATAGCAACCACAGACCATAGCACCATCTGAATGGGAATCCATCGATCAGGTCCCAGTTTCTTGGATACTAGTTGCGAGGGTAGCTCTGCAACAAGGAATGATAGTCGGAAGATGATGTTTCCGTAGTTATAGTCTGCGCTCACCAATAGTTAGAGACAGGCCTTACAATGATACTCTTGATCTGATTCACCGTTTGTAGTCAGATTCAAGTCTTTCAAGAATGTATCCGAAACTGCCTGGACAAGATTTCCTCGGTCCACCTGGAGTGCGAAAAACATCACACACTGTAAATGGATGTTAGTTCCAATCAAGAAGAAAAGATAGCAAATCACATACAGCCCACAGGCAAATCCTCCAATCTAGCTTTCGTACCAAGCGCTTCTCTTCTTCCTCCGACCAAGTGAGTGACGGATCAAACACATGTCGGCATTCGTATTGCGCTTTATCGTAGACCGTGCGCCAATATTCTGCGATTTCCGGATCCAAGAACGGATTCTTTGCATCGGTGCTTTCACCCGACGGTTCCAGGGTACCGTATGATCTCTTGCGCTCAGTAAAACCATCGTTTACTGTAGCCACCGCGGTGGTCTTTCCACCTGATGCGCTCATATTGTGAAGGAATCTGCGCTCATGTAAATTGCCCCAATTTCCACAGCCTGGGGAAACTGTGCCATTTATAAGACATCTAGAGAGACTTCCCCCGCTCAACGATGTCGAATGACGATAACCCTGCCAAGTAAGATGTGCTGGAGCGGTATGATAAGCAGTTAGGTCGGTATCCTAATTCGAAAGTTTCATTGCGTGCTTCGCGCGGTCCTAGACCCTGACTTAGTATAGAGGCTGCATGATTCAGGGTCCATAACATTTTCCACAAATGATATGATTTTCTTTCTCTGTTCATATTCAGTAAGCATTTGACAAGCTCAATGTAATGATACTGTGTGCAGCTAAGCAGTTGTATGAGTATATCGAAGCCTGAAATGGCGCCATATGGAAATGATGCATTGCAAGGGTAGATGCCTATCTGAGCAGCTCCTCCGAGTGGCTTGGAATGATTTTCTCTTTTCTCTTCGACATTCACCTCAAATCGACCAGTGAGCTCGGTCTCATTATATGCCCAGCCCTGGAGGTGTCTTATACTCCCTTCGAATGGCCAATCACAAGAAGGGCAATGCAAACAGATCAAACAAGATAAGAATGAGCTTCACCAAACGACCCTTTTCCCTCTGCAAACATGGACTTGGACGGTGTGATATCCGCCACCTTCTGCCTCCACGGGTCTACACCCACTGCTTCCTCGTATATCAGGTCCTTCTCGACCGGGGACAAGATCGAGGGCACAGTGACAATATCTTCATCCTGCACCACTCGTTTCCATGATATAGACATCGTGCTTCTGGGTATGTGAGAAGATCAGGCTTCCCGAAACCAGTGGCTCGTACAACCGAGGCTCTCGGTCTTGAGAGATTCAACTTTGAAAGAAACCGGGTGGCTAATATATGCGGCAGGCGATGAGTACACAACAGTCAATTATGCCAAGGCCCATCGCCAGTTTTTGAACGTGCGATATCCTATAGAGGATAGCCAGTTGCCGACCCCAAGAATACTTGAAAAGGATCGAAAATACGATCTACCCTTCTCATTTACCATTGCTGATCATTTACCTCTGAGTTCCTGTGACCATGAGACTACCAGCCATGATGTGAAACAAGCGCATCTACGTCCACCTCCAAGCTTTGGGGATGCTATGATTGCTGGATATGGCGGCAAACTTCGGGATGACTTTGCACCCAGGGCGTGCAGAATTGTGTACAAAATTCAATTTACTCTCCGCGGCAAACACCCTTCGTTGGGGCAAATCAGTACTATGTTTACCGAAATACTGAAGCTACGGATCAAGCCTGCCACTCCGACTGAACCTTTTCCTGGTCAGGAGTCAGTCCGCTGCATGCAAGAGTCTCCATTTCATGGAAAGGCCACCATCCTGCCTGGTCGGTCGAAACCAGTGATTGGGAATCTCTCGATGCTCATAGAAGAGCCGACGAGGTTCCGCCTCCCTTTACATGATCCCATCAGTCTTGTCAACAGCTCCATCAGAATACGAGTCACATATACAGCCAAGGGAGATCCAATATTTCCGCAATTCAAATCCGTCGGGGGATATTTAACTTCCACCACAGTGTTTACGCCTACTCGTCACATGGATTTCCCCGAGAAAAAGAAAAACCCACTCGGCAGCGCGTTGAACTACGACGTGGAGCAATTTCCGCCCTTTTCTCATTCATTTTCCACACTGGATTGGAAGCGCGACGCTGAAACAGATCTTTATTCCGCAACTCTCCTGGTTCCGATCACTCTTCCCCGTGAAAACCTTGTCCCTACCTTTCATACGTGTTTGATATCCCGAACATACAATCTCCATATAAAAGTGGTTGTCAAGGACGGCGTCCCATTTGACTTTAAGATTCCAGCGCACGTCTTTGCCAGACAGGATCCATCGCACCTACCATCTTATGATGCGACAGTCGGTCTAAACCTGGATACGCAGGCCGTTCCTGAATACGAATAGCTGGCTTTCTCGAGTTTACAATTCAAACAGAGTCTGGTGCGTCTCTGGTGACGCCACGGGACCTATACGTTGACGGCCAAGCGTCCGCGGGTTGGGATTTTTTTCCTTAGAGCGGTTGATTAGTTGCGTGTATACATGAGCCAATGATCGGGTCGGAGAACCAATGTCAAGGAGCTGGAGGGAATATTCCATGATGCAATAGAAGCAGAGAAGCGACGCAGACACGAGACCCGATGGGCCCCGACAAGCCTACAAGGATACCCATGAGCCTGTTCAGAAAGACTGATCAGTCTACTGGACAGAAATATCCCGAACTCTCGGGATAATCTAAACGGTATTACTGGATTCGAATGAAAAGCCTCTCAGGTTAATAATTGATACGGGAACGACGGAGTTCTGCAAATTCCTACTAAAAATACTCGGCCGTTGAACGAATCGTCTCAACCTTGGGTGTGGACAGTTTTCCACAAATCAGAATTAAGATGAAAAGCAAGAACAGAGCTGTGCCTTGGATCATGGCCATGGATTCATGCGATTGGGTGCAATATACTCCGCCGTGGTGCATTTCCAAGGAACTCCACGCCAAACCCAAGAGCCATGGTCAATTGTACTTGTACAATACCAACATGAAATTTTCGGTCCAAACCGAAGAGCCTTCATCTTGGAATATTTAGCCGGTACTACAAAGTACACGGACAAGCTGTTATGTGGGCGCGCAACGGAGATTGCGTCAGCGTAGTCGTTCGCTTTTTCTGACTCCATTGGACTCCATCAACTAGCCAGAAAAGAGAAAAATCAGAGATGTGGAGATCGACCGTTCATGCAGTGCAATTGGTTGGACCAGTAACAAAGATTAACATTGAGCCCAAGGCGTTCGACCAAGTCAGATAGTCTGGAAACAAGCTTCAATCCTAGTTTGTGGCACGCCAACTGCTCCGTACGTAGGCAGCTGTCACATTTCCGTCTTGGAATCGGTAGACATGGCACTTATGTGCGCGTGTTTGTGTATTTTTGGGTTGACTTGGGCTCCAAGTTCAGCATTGATCTTGTGCAGGTATGCCATTCTCCCCCCTGGATTCACTTGTGCGTACCGTTCCTGGTGCATTCCCAGTTGTGGCCAAAAATCAGCCCTTCATACATCGAACGGGATGGAATGTGAAATGCCATGTGAAATTTGCAAACATGGCTGCGGTACGGAGGACTGTGACAAGCGATCAAACTTCACCTTGGAGCGATATACTATATAGTTATGGCATTCGAGGTCAAATCAGTATTCGAATGCATCAATTCCCACGGTCGGAGTTGATTAATTGCCGAGTATCCAAGTCGACTAAATGCAAATTCGAATACCGAATTACCAAAGTGGAGTGAGACTGTACTCCGTACGTTCTGAAACATGGCCAACTTTTTCGCTGCAACGTGGGTTAGGCAGTGATAATGACTTTGCCACCCAGGGCATATCTACATAGTACATAGTATAGTTCTGTTGCACTTTGCACGGATTGTGATAATGAAGCTTGGAAATGGAAATCCAGTGGGTTTGTTGATCTACAAAGAGAAAAGTGGAATATCTCCCCGATCCTCGACTCGGGCCGATGAAGCTCTAGGCGTGGACTGATCGTCGTGATTTAAGTGACAGCCCCGAGCTAGCTATAGCCGAGTTCACATCTGTGCATTTTCTGACGAAACAAGATTGCGATCAACCCATTCGATTGAACTACAGCAGGCAAAGGTCATGAGATTGGGGATATGAGAGCCGGGTCTTCCATGTACCAGTACTATACTGGAGGATAGCTGCAGCGGGAGAAATTGAAAACCGGGAAGCGAAAGCACGATAAGCCAAACACAATGCTGCCCATGGTGCCAGTGCAAGGGAAAGGGGTGTGTTGCTCAGGGGATCTCTGGAAATAGAATTTCTGATTTTGGCACCATTTGAACATCGCGCGAGGGGCGATCATCGCATCTCCAGAGATTTCAGAAACCGTAAGTATCCAGGAGGTCATTCCAACGTGCCAATAAGAAGTGGTGCATGCCGGGGTGGACGATAGCGGCAGGGGGGGCGGGTCCCGCGAAGGCTTGGATTGCCGTAAATTTAGATCATCAACTCGAAATACATGTCGCAGATTGCGTCTTCGCAATTGGCTTGAGAGAACACTCCTGAATACTCTCCAGTACTGTACTAAATACTACTATAGTACTGGTAACTACGGAGTAGATGTACTCATATGAGATTAGAGATGGGAGACATTCTGCACTACTCCATCTGCATAGATGACGTTGGCATTGGATAGATAGAACGTAGTATCAGGCTAGTATTTATGAAGTGCGCTCCAGTTTTGGCAGTAATTTACCCATTGCCCAAGGTAGTGGGGACACAACTCCAGGCCCAAGCGAGATGCAGTGGCAAATTGGGACTTCCTTGCCGTCAAGATCTACGAAGTGCAGTATTCCGTATATGTACTCCTGCTGGACTGATTTTCAATAACAATCTTCCGCATTGAGGAAAAGACAAGCACTATCCCACGTGTGTGTACTAGTACTGGTAGAAAGGGGCTGTGGGACGAGAGAACAACTAGCGGCAGTCCGAAGCAGGGAAAATGGGAAACTTTTGGGTTTGGTGTAGAGTGGTATTTTTGGTATTGGTGTATTTTTCAAATGTTTGGCTGAAACCGGTCACTCCGGATGCGGTACTATGTGTGTGTGTATTTGCGATACCCGCGTGAGTAAACATATAAGAAAAAAAAGTGGTACCTTGGTAAGATACCAATCTCCACTGACTCCCCTTTCCCTCTTCCTTCTTCTTCTTCCTCCTTCAACCCTGTTCATTCGTTCTTCCCATCTGAGAGTTCCTGCCCCATCGTTGGCAGTCATCCGCTTCCCTTTCGTTTGAAGCGATTCTTCTTCTTCCACTCATTGCGAACTATATCCGCATCTCTTAATCGGTACGTGGCCCCGTGGCTTCGCGACGGACGCAATCACTGACGCGCATTAGAATTCATCATGTCTCTCAAGTACATCCTTCCCGCGCTCGCAGCCACCC